AAGAATATTAACTATCGGTTAAACTTAAGAAGTGTGAATTTCACAAAGATAATATTAAATTTCTAGAATATATGGTTACTAAAGAGAGACTTAAAATAAATCTCAACTATATTAAAAGCGTACTAAAATAGTTAGAACCGACTACGCTAAAGAAACTATAATCGTTTCTAGGATTCGCCAATTTTTATCGAAAGTTCATACGGAACTATTCGCGAATCACCGCACCCCTGACAAATCTGACAAAGAAAGGAGTCGCGACCTTTACTTTAATAAAAGAAGCTAGGTAAGTAATTAAGAAACTTAAGGAAGTCTTTACCAAGGCCCCGATCCTCACGATCTTCGACCCGGAACAATAGACTTTCCTTAAAATAGACGCATTAGACGGCGCGATAGCCGTAGTTCTAATATAAGAAGGATAGGACGGGAAAATTAGATTAGTTATTTATTTCTTAAGAAAAATGATAGAACTAGAGCTTTATTACGATATTTACGATAAAGAATTACTCGTAATAGTGAAAGCACTAAAACACTAAAGAGTATACTTAGAAGAACTAAAATATTTAGTAAAGATTTATTTAGACTATAAGAATCTCCTATACTAAAACATCACTAAAGTACTTAATAGAAGATAAGTGCGATGGGTAGAAACTATGGCCCCGTATAATTTTAAGATCTATCATATTAAAGATAAAGAAAACGGTAGGGTAGATACTCTAAGCCGACGGCTAGACTATATAAAAGACATTCGGCTAACTCCGATGTCCCTTCTACGGATGGAAGGAGACTACATAATCTATATATAACTAATGTTAGCAGCGGGAGATATTAAAGGTCTAGTTAAGAAAGATAACTATGATTATAATCTTAACACTAATATTAAAGAATATTATTTCGTAGATAGAATATATAATAAGGTCGTACGACTTCGAGTTATAGAATATTACTATAACGACTCATTAATGGAACATCTAGAAGTCGATAAGATAATTAAGCTCATCACTAAGTACCATAACCCTTAGAAATATATAAGAAAAGATATCTAAGAATTTATTAAACAATACGAAATATATACGTAGACGAAGTATACGAGACACAGACCCTACGGACTACTACAACTCTTATAAACTCCAGAAGAAGTATAGACGTTAATTACGTTCGATTTTATTACGAAACTACTAAAGTTTAAAGAACTCCTTACGGAAGTGACTTATAATAGTGTACTTATAGTATACGATAGACTAATAAAATTCTCTTACTTTAGATTCTACCTAGAGAAGTTAACGATAGAAGAATTCGCGTACGAATTCTTACGAACCGTGTTCGCCAATCACGGAATGCCAAAAGAAATCATTATAGATAGAGATAAGCTCTTTACGTCTAAATTCTAAAAAGCCTTAATAAAACTACTAACTACGAAGTATAAATTATTTATATCGTTCTATCTATAAATCGATGAATAAATAGAGAGAACTAACTAAATATTAAAATAATACTTACGAATGTATATAGATTATAGTTAAACTAATTAGATATAACTACTATTAGTGATATAATTCTACTTTAATAACTATAAATTAGTAATAGGAATGAGTCTATTCTTTACGAATTACGGATTTCATTTACGACTCGAGGAGACGATAGACGGAAGCCCGAACCCTAGAGCCCTAAGTATAGCTCTTACTATGAGAGAACTTCACGACTAACTTAAATTAGACCTAGGATTCCTCGTAGAAAGAATAATAAAATACGTAAATAAGAAACGGATCGAGGGATCGCTCCTAGAGAAGAAAGACTCCGTCTATCTTTTACGAAAAAATATTAAAACGAAACGACTAAGCGGAAAACTAGACTATACGAAGCTAAAACTATTTAGGATTAAAGATAAACTTAGAGAAGTTATATATCGACTGGAACTATCGAAAGACATACGCATACACAATATATTCCATAAAGCACTTCTTAAACTAGCATCAAGGAACGCTAAACTAGTTAAGACACTACCGCTGAATGAAGAATTAATACCAGAGAAATATGATGTTAAGAGAATTCTCAAAAGACGCGTCATGCGTGGCACCCCTCAGTATCTGATCAAATGGTTAGGGTACGACGAGTGTGAAAACAGCTGGGAGCCGGAAGCCAACCTTTCGAAGGAACTTCTAAAGAAAGTAAAAAAGGATTACCCTGAGTGGTTCTCAACGCCAATAAAGCGTTTAGCTACCCATCGTCGAAGGTAAACTCACTATGAACTAGCGATGACTTAGGTTCATCCGGCGTATACTCCTTCTCCTCGTTAAGACGATCTAACACCATGTAAGCCCGGACTATTATGTCACTCTAAGCTTAAGTTAGCTTATTTAGCTAACGCTCCACCTAGTTTAGACGCGACTACTCTTATAGCAACTCTAGGGACTGTTGTTGCGCTAAACGAGTCATCTTCCCCGTATACCACTGAGCTCGCTAAGCCATGCGGGCCTAAGCCTCTTGCACCTTATTCCGCAACTCCGATTTTTTCCGTTTAATACTTTAGTACTTCGACTTAGAGTACTAATCATCGCATTTTATATTCTTCTTTAGACACTCGGAACAGCGGGAGACCCTACGTTTCATTACACAGATCGAGTTGGAGCGAGTATAATTCGAACAAGGTATTATGACGCGATAATTAGTGGATCGGACGTTACGGGACTGACGGAGACGTTTAAAGACACGGTCGCGGCTACGGGAAAGAAGCTTAGGAACTACGGTAAAAGGAAGAGAAAGAGAAGAAGAAGATATCTTCGGACCTAGATGAATTTAAGTTGGGTAGTGTCCCGCTTTTATATCATCGTTAAGATAAATCCTTGAGATAAGGATCTAATCGAAGGGAGGATAGTGTTAGATATAGCCTTAGAAGAGACCGGTCACGGGCTACGAAGGCGCGACTCAAGACACTCATTGGACAGATGGAAGGATTCACAAGGGAATAAGGCTGAATTACGTAATATACTCTGCTGGCTCTGCTGGCTCTGCTGGCTCCGTTGGGATAGAGCGCACAGAGCGCATAGAGCGCACAGAGCATGAGTATTATATATACACCCTCATTACCCCTAGATAGTTTACACTCCCTTCGTAGCCAACTTATGTTAACTATTGGACTTATAGTTCTTAGTGATAAGTGACTTCTCATACCTTGCGTTCTTCCTAATCAGTTCATACTATTAGGATTGTTACTAGGAACCCTAACCTAGTTAGGCCCCGGTAGGAACCTTAACATAGAACTGGATATCGCGATTTATTCAACAGTATCCTAATCTACGTTCCAAGGTAGGTAAAAAGATCTATTTAAAGCGCGTTAATTATACAACCTTAGAGATATTGAAAGCTTGGTTTAAAGACCTACGGCTGGTTAAAGAGCGATATTCGATTCTACCAGCGAATAGCTATAATATGGACGAAACTGTTAGGGATTTCTTGGCGACTAGGCAGAGTCTAGCGATAAGTGTATATAGATACCCCTGTAGTATTATAACAGAGCACTTCAGGGTTCGGCATGCACGTGCAACAACGCACAGAGGCCTGTCCAGCAGGTCGGGGATCGAGAACGTCTTTCTGGTTGACACTGACGGAACAACACCACCAACACTACTTAGAGAAGCGGTAGCTAGGGCAACGAATGCCTAGCTGTCTGGCGGCATTGAGCAGAGGGACAGGACTGATAAAACACTTAAGAATAACTAGACGGCATCCAAAGAACCATGACAACTTGTTGCTCTCTTCAAACTGTAGAGAATGGCACACTGTCAGCACTATGAACTGTTCTGCTCTCAGCTCTCTAATTAGGTTTGACATGTGACCTGATAGACCTCTGCCCTATTAGTTCACCAGCCTAGCTCTGCACAGCCACCTTGCCTTGTTACAGTATATATATTAGGGATTTCTTGGCAAATAGGCAGAGTCTAGCGATAAGAGTGTTTAGATATCCCTATAGTATATGATTGATACTGTACACGACTCTAAGCATGAGAAGAGGAGAAGAAGGAATGCGCCTCTCATGCGGGGAGTAATAATAAGGATGCGCTTCCCGAGTCGCATAAATGCTTGGCTGGTGGCCTGATTGTGATCTGAGATATCAGGCGTCCGTTGTTCCGATGTTTAGCCGAATCCGTAACAGGAATAGAGGGATCAGGAAAGGCCTTCAGAGCACAGGCGAAACCGTATATAAACAGTCAGACTCTCTCCGAGTAGATAGACAGACAGACACGACCAACGAGTTCTAATCACTCCTGTTACGTGTGCAGCAGCTCACTTCACCCCCTATCTCTCTCCGCTGACTTCCAAGTGTATGGTCTACCGCTGCATTCTTCATCGATATCGGCTTCTAGGGTCGTAGAGTGTGGCCGGTGTCTCCCTGTTTTGGGCTTCGAGAAATTAGGTGTTGCGACATCTTGAGGCGCCAAAATGCTTTGGTTCATTGGTGTAGAGGCTGACTCGAGGTACATACTGAAGTCTTCATATTAGGTCATCCAGCAGATAGTCCTTATTTAGGTGGACTTCGCTACCCAGCGCCTCAATTGCTGCTTCGAATTTTTCTCTCAACGACACTGAAACTTGTTCGCGTTATCTCTGAGCTTTCGCACACCCCTGTATGGACGGGCGGATCATCGAATAGCGACCGGTGTGCTGACTGCGAAACAAGAGACAAAGTCGTCATTTGAGTTGAAGCAGCTCGAAGGGAGTGCTCGTCACTGACCATAATACGGCATTGATTGTGGATTTTGGACGAGTCTTGGTTAGCAGACCGGGTCTGAGGGTTGGCATAGTTGTGATTCACTCGGCCCGTTTCGCAATAGATTCGGACAAGATTACCATCGTTCTGCCCCGATATAACGATAGATCATTATATGCGCCTAGGAGAGAAGAACGGTGACCCTATTCCTGTATCTTATAGCACGAGAGCTACTGGCGTTTTAAGTACGGAACTCCCACTGTAAGGATGAAGCTATCAAGAAACTTCATCTTGGTTACAAACTACCTTGAACTAACTTAAGCCCTACAATATGCCAGGGGATCACAAACTCGGCATAATAATCCTTGAGCCCTTCAATGCAGGCCTTGAATGTCGGTCGTTTTTCAAAGTCCTCATGATGAGCCTGAATGCCATTAGCTTGCGCAAATAATAGAAATAAAACTAAAGACATACGTACATCTACCGATTTCCAATTAATCAAAAGTAGCTGATCTTGGGGGTTTTCCAGTAAGGGACTGATAAAATGTCCGTCGCAACCAGGGTCATTATCCAGGATGGGAACGACAATCATTTGGAATTGAGAATAGTAGCCTTTCACACCGCCTTCAACGACTTTCGTCAGGGCAACCTCGATGGCGGGTGATCGAAGCGTCTTAGCCAAATGTGGCTTGTCGTTAAGCCCCAGGGACTTGATCGAAGCATGGTTCTGCCATTGAATTTTCCTGCCGTTCATCGCCGGCTGGATGACTTTATGAAACTCGGTGTATTCGGAGCTGGTGAAGAACGCGTGACTTGCATCCAGGCTCTCCCATAAGAGAAGAGCAACCTGGGTGTGGCGGTCTTCATGCTTTCTCCCTCTCCATACGGCTTGCAGTCCCTTTGCCCTGTTCGCAGCGTGTCAGTCAGTCTCACTTGCACCCGACCGCGAATTCACTGCATTCTGCAGACCTTTGTATTATATCAAAGGCCGGAGCCAGGTCATTGTTGATCTCGACATCGGTGTGCACGGGTCGATGAGGGATCATAATCAACTGCAGAACTTGCGATTGGTCTGCCATGGCGTTGGGCAAGTGCCTTGCACAAAACGTCGGATTTACGAAAAGAGCTCAGGAAAGTAAAGGATATCACTGGAGTCCTTAACGAAAGAAGACATTAGCAAATTTGACTTTGACTCACTGAAACAGTTGACCCTGTGAATCTTGAGGGAGAATCCGAGAGACAGCTGGGAGCTATTGAAAGGAGGTGACCTCCGCATTTCGACCGCTGGGGTGCCTCTAATTCCCCCGAAATCAGTCCGTCCCACTCACAGCAAAATACTAAAGGTCAATGTGTCGATACCGCGTCGCCATGATAAAACGTAATAGTCGGGGGACACGTAGTGTGGGCCGGGCTTCATGTTCCCCCTGCTACCAGTGCCTACCACTAGGTCTCTCCTACAGGACGATTACTCATATGACGAGGGGTATTTCCGACATGCGCGGAGTCTTGTCTTTCCGCATACTAACTAGTATAGTGATACCATAGTCCTCAATCAAACTAGCGCAGAGAATCCTCAACGAGAGCTTGGTCGTCTGAAACCATTGGCCTGCACGCTAGGGGTCATGCCTTCGAGCTTAGGAGCGTGTCGTTAGCAGGGATAGTCCAAGGGACTCAAGATATCAACACCTGCCTTTGCGATCGGGTGAGCATGTCCGTGGACTGCGCCGACACAATCTAACTTCAGAAGCCTGGCAGCCTAGTATGCTGGAGATCGCTGCTGCTTTTCTTTGTATATGCTACAATTGAACACCAGGCGGTATATCTTGATATTAAAGGAAGTTTCAGTCAGGCATAAGCTAATCAGCCTCCGAAGGCGTTTCCTGACTGTAGACACTCGAGTTAATGAGTCTATCTCTAGGAGAAATTTTTGACTAATACTCTCCTCCTTGGCCTTCATATTGTAACATTGCGTCTTCCCTCGGTGTTTCTTACATCAGGAAAGAGTCGACTACGCTCTCACAGCTTGAACAGTATGGAGATTGCCATGTTCACACCTTCCATGAGGCCTTAGACCAAAGCCTACTGCTTCACTTTCGCTGATCCTGGCTGCCATTTCACACTTTGATACTTTCTACGTGTTGACCATCAGTCTTCTCGATCTCGACCTGGTTAATATCGATCGCAGAGATCTCCACAGCCACATGGTCTCCGAACTTGGCTGCAATCTCTTCTAAAGTCAACCCGGTAGTCTAATCAAGGTTAATCAGCCAATACCTGTCCAAGAGAATTATAATCTTACCTCGGGACAGTACCAGGCAAGGAACGTATTGGACACAATGCAGACCGCGATCATCACAAAGTAATATCGCCACCCGATTGTTGCAAAGGCTTCCGCTGCCGGGCTATTGTACAAGATTGTCATCAAAAAGAAAGAGACGAAGCCGATCGTCGCACCCTCACTCCGGAGGTGAGTGGGCCAGATCTCAACGATGTAGGTATAGCCGGGGCATTCGATCAGCAGCCCGAAGATGAAAACGAAAACAAAGTACATCGCAGTAGCCGCTTTGAGACCTGCTGTGTTCGACGTTCCGATATAATATTTCTGGAGGACTGCTTCAATGATAAGGCATGCACTGCAGAGGTAACCACCTAAGGCTGGAATAGTGTTAGTTGAGCAAGATGTCTCAATACTGGGTATAATGATACTCACCAAGCTGCTTCACTCGGCCGATTCGTTCGATAAGAAGACCACTGAGCCAGGTTCCAATTGCGCATATTGTCACCCAGACTACTGAAAGCCCCAGTTGAAATACGTTGCTGAAGCCCAGCCCTGCAAAGAGCTGTGGTGCGAAGTTCGCAATGACGACGATGCCAGTCGACTGTCCCATGATCCAAACAATTGCTCCGCAGACGGCCCTTCTGCGCATGTGAGGGTTTTTCAAGATATACCAATACCCGGATGGCAGAGACTAGCGATTTTAGCATTGAGGTCATCTTCTTTGAGCCATATAATCTACCTTTTCTTCTTCAATCTGTGCTTTGATTTGGATATATTCCATACGTGCAAGTCTGCCAGTGGGATCTCTCTTTGACTTGTGCAACTTCTGGAGAACTGTCCAGGCCGCATCAGCTTTTCCATTATCCTAGAGTATGCTGTTAGCTCCAAAGTAGCATTGCGTCGAGAGGCTGACGATACTGACCATGAGCCATCGAGGGCTTTCAGGAATGAAATACATGGTCACCACCAAGAGCAATGCGACGCTGGTCAGGACCACAAATTGTAAGCGCCACTGATAGGAGTGATCGACAAAATGGAACGCGAGTGCGAAGACAGAGGATACAATGTAGGCGCCGGTGATCGAAATACCCTGGAAGCTGACCAGGAGACCCCGCGTATGAGCTGGCGCAATTTCGCTCATGTAGACTGGCGTATTCGCAATGATCATTCCAGCACCAATTCCGTTGAGGACGCGGGCAACGAGGAACATTGAGATGTGGACACTGCCGGCTTGGAGAGCTGCAGCTATCATGACAATGACAGCCGCCGCCATATTGCATGGCCGTCTCCCGAATCGAGAAGAAACGGGGCTCTGGATTATGCTTCCCATAAAGCCTCCACCAAAGAACCTAGCCAGTCAGGTCAGAGTGATTAAGAAGCCAGCGAGATGAGTCCCTACGCTCCAAGCATTCCCCCCACACGAGACGTTGAGTCCTTGGCCAAGAAGTACTCAACAAAGGAGGATTGAGCAATCGTTCCAGCAATAGCATTGTTGGAATAGCCAAAGGTAAAACTTGCGGTTGATGCTGCAAGAACAGTGAGAATATTGATCCAAGTTGTGTGCGGTTTCACAGGGGCATGGGTGTCCCCAAAATCAGTAGTAGGAGACATGGTTTCGATTCTTTGCGGGGGCAACTGAACGGGCAAAGGTGATTTCTACTGGAGAATCTGAGAAAGAATTGATGACTTTAAGAGAAATCCGGGCTTGCTAGAAATAACCTGGAGACTGGGACGGGATCTTTTGTCGTTCTTCGCCGGGCCAAGGAACGGGGGAAGCTGGGGTGTAATGTACTAAAGCTCGGAAAATCTCCTCCAAGTTTGGGATTTGATGGGATACCCCAGGAAGAAGGGGAAGGAGTGTCCTTGGGGCCATCGAACACTGCGTGGAGCTCGCTTCTGTCATGTGTGGGGAGAGATAGACTCGCCTTGTAAAAGGATAAAAAGCATTGACTATCAACAATGCCCATATCAACCATTTAAGAGAGAGCTTGCTAACCGCTATCTTTGGATACCGAATAAGCCTTCCGATCCTGCAGCTAGTCTTGCTAGACGCGAAATATTATTCCCCGGCCGGAATAATCAAAGGTGCTGCACCGAAGAATGATTGTTCTCGGGAATGAAGATGTGCGATCGTGGTGGATCACAAAAGATGTCTCTTTAGAATGCTGCAATACGGATTGCAAGTATTGCCCCCCCCAAGGGTTCCTGACCAACAATCACTCTCTTCGCGATTCGGAAAGCACAATAAGGAGGTTGGCCTCGTATTTACCCTCTCGGCTGCAATGTGTATGGTTCAACTAGGAGGAACTAGATACTGCGGTCTGCCACCGGATCAAATGTCGGGCTGATTATGATTGGTAGCTGCTGAACTGACTAAGTAACCCTGCTCGTCGGTACTTTTAGCTTGACCAACTTCGAATGGAGCATATTCCGGGGTTCAGACGCGGAGACAGATTCAAGACACCAATCTTTACAAATTACCCCATATGTTGCATTCCGCCCTATGTAGTTTGGCTTTTGACAAGTGTTGAGGTGCACTATTTTGAGCAATCTGGCCGAGACATGTCCCATCCCCGTGGTGTACCCATACTCGATAACTCTGTACACGCACTTCGCACGCTCAGCGTCACACCATAACCTCTCCATGAATGCCTCACAACCCTGGGTTGATCGTGCTGGAATGGGTCATGCGATGCTGATCGCTCGAGAAAGCCGACCCTTGCTAGGCCAATAGTAGTAGCAGGATGACGAACAAGAAGCATCCAAATACCAGTCGCGGTGTTGATAAGAGTCGCCATCACCCCTTTCATCCTGTGTCTCGACATCTCTGAGAAATATTCCTTGCGAGAGACATTACATCTTAGTGTTAGACTCATTTACTATCGCAGAAGCTTGTAGACATGGGTCCTTTTACTCTCCTGATTGCCCTTGCGCTGGTCTTCTCCTACCCGCTATATAGACTGTTACAGGTTGGCCGTCGACACCCTCGCATGCCCCCAGGGCCACCCACCATTCCAATCCTCGGCAACGCCCACCAGATACCGATCACGGGGCTGGGTAGAAAGTACGATGGCTAAACGCATGCATCTGAGTGTGACGACAGCTGACGGGATGTAGGTTCAAGACATGGGCTGATATATACGGACCAATTTTTTCTTTGAAAATTGGTCCTACCAACGTGGTCGTCCTATGTGATCGGCGAGCTATCAACAACCTCTTAGACAAGAAAGGCAGTATCTACTCGGACCGGCCATTCAATTACGTCTCCAACTTCGTGACTCATGGCGACCATTTGACCCTCGAATCTCAAGGCGCTTCGTGGAGAGAGAAGCGATCCGTCGTGACCCGAAACCTGAACCCTAAGTCGTTAGATGAGAAACACTGGAAGATACAGGAAGCAGAGTATGTCATTCCTTTTCTTCACCAGCTGTTTTTGGATATGCGGCTAAGTTGATAATGTCCAGAGCGGTTATATTCATGAATAACATTCTTAAGGACCCAGCAAGAATATTCGACTATGCCCGGTTGTATACTGTCTCAGTGGCGGGGTCTCTTATATGGGGCCACAGGGCTACAAGTCTGGAGTCGTTTTGGTACAAAGACTTTTACGAGCTAATGGACCTGGTAACATCTTCTTTCGGCGTCTATCTTCTTACTCAACCGGGTCTAACCTCGACTCTAGTGGCTTAAAGTCCAGGAACCAGGAGCCAATCCCCCAATTGACGAGTTCCCGATTTTGAAATACCTTCCGGGAGGTTGGAAGAGCAGGGCCGATAAGTGCCGCAAAATGATGGACGAAATGTGGGATAAGGCTCGAGCTATCGTCGATGAGCGAAGAGCACGCGGAGACAAAAGAGACTGCTTTATTGACGCCAAAATTGACGAATATAACGATAAAGGCTGGCCTTTATCAACACACGCCTTCAATAATCTATTCGGAGAGCTCCTCGAGGCAGGCGCAGATACAACCGCAAATCATATTCTGACATTGATTCTAGCCATGGCCAAATATCCTCGGATCCAACAAAAGGCAAGAACCGAGATCGACGCTATTTGCGGAACGGAGCGAGCTCCCTTGTTCTCGGATTTTGATAAGCTGCCGTATATCAATTGTATCGTCAAAGAAGGGATGAGATGGCGACCTACGTAAGGCATATATTGTCTATCAGCTTCGACTGTTATGATTTAGACTAATAAGTGCTAATCGATACAGGGCTCCTGCCGGCTTACCTCATTTGGTCGTTCAAGGTCTGTTAATCCTGCCTATAGTGCCACCCTATGAGAGCTACTGACAAACTTCAGATGATGAATACGAAGGAATGTTGATACCTAAGGGCTCGATGGTGTTTATCGGGATATGGGCCCTGCACCACAGTGAATCGGATTTCCCGAAACACGACCATTTCAATCCAGACCGCTACATGGACCATCCCAAGATGGCTAACGAGTACGCAGTCAGTCCTGACTATAACAACCGAGATAAGTACTGTCCCTTGTAGCTGCCTATAGTATTACTGACTTAAACTTCCACATCATTATGGCTACGGCGCTGGTCGAAGAATGTGCCCCGGCCTACACTTAGCCGAACGTAATATGTGGCGGATCGCATCTAAGCTACTGTGGGCATTCGATATTTCTGAGCCTAAGGATCCCGTTACCGGCAAGGTCATTCACCTCGATGAAAATGCATACACGTCGGCTATCCTAATGTGCCCATTACCGTTTAAGGTTGATATCGTGCCGAGAAGCCCAGAACATCTTGCATGTATTGAGCGGGAACTATCGAGTGCAATGGGTTTTATGTCCAAGTGGAACTAGCTATCAATCAATTCAATGAGAAAGTGGATTCCTTTGGAGTGGCATTGGCAGAGATAGTAACGGTCTTAGCAACCTTCAATAATGAGAGAAATTCTTCCAGAGCAAGGTGTAGTATTTAACCCTTGATTATGAGAAGATATACCTCACTATATGTACAAAGCCCTATAACGAAGTCTGGGAGCCGGAGTGGGTTGGGGAAGGCATAGATGGCTGCCGAACGGTTGCACTCTGGAAGCTCTGCAATGGGTACGACATAATTGCGTTCAAGACGACAAAAAAGAAGAAGGCCACCCGGGCATAGTCCTGGCGTGGGAATGCTCCCAATGTTTCAGCTCGACTTTGTGCGACAAGATCTTTACTAATGTTGGCATAGTTTCTGAAGAGGCTTACCGAGGGCCGTGATCGTTCCTTGAGCGCCCGCCAGAACCAATGGAGATCTGTGCGGCTGCTAAGATCCTATCAATGCCAAACTTGGAGTCGCGGGGGGAGTCATGAGTGCTTTGATAATGCTTCTGCAGCCCCCAGGGAGATTTGGTTAGGAGTCTTCAGCGAGCGCTCTGATGATTGGCTCAACATCCACAGAGGGGCTGAAAAATTCAGCCAGTAGTCACTCTAATTTGAGCCGGACTTGGGATGAATTAGCCCGGTATTTAGTCCGCGAAGCCCGGAATGTTGGCAGCCTTCCCCAGGGACAGCAAAGATTATCCGAGCCCCATGATATCAATTTCTCGGAAATACACTAAAGGAGGGCGGGCGGAGACCCCGTGACCTCGTCGTCAATCAGATCTCAATGCTGTAATATTCAAAATTATGGAACCCGCCAAGTCGAGTCGTCGGTATGAAATCCATAAGTAAATTATGAGAATGCTCGTCTCCTGCGAGGCGTAGGACCAATTCCCGCCCATCAAATTCGTAGCAACAGACCTCATATCCAAGATATAGCAGATCCCTGCTCTCGTGGATTCAACTGCACGGAGCTGGCAGAATTCAGGCGCTTTTTCCTAAACGCACAGCCGGGTCTTTGATTTTTGTTGACTCTATTCGCTTGGATGCTACTTTGAGACCTAATATCGAGCTCGATTCAGGGTGACAAGATCATCAGAGCTAAGACCATTATGTCGGTTAGAGGAAGAGTTGCCATCGTCACCGGCGCTGGCGGGGGTTTGGGTCGGCTTTATGCTTTGGAATTAGCAAGCAGAGGGGCCAAGGTCGTCGTCAACGACTACGGCGGAACCCTAGACGGACAACCGGGCACTAGTGCTCGCGCACAAACTGTCGTTGAGGAAATTAAGGCGGCTGGTGGCATCGCAATTTCAGATGCCCGCGACGTTTCTTCTCCGGCTGATGCCCAGGCTATTGTCGCCGATACTGTGAAGGAGTTTGGCACCGTTGACATCCTCGTGAACAACGCCGGGATTGCCGGCAAGATGTCACCACATGACGATGTGGATGCCAGTTCTTTTATGAGAGTGCTTGAAATTGCAGCCCTTGGAACAACACTGATGACTAGCGCATGCTACTCGTGGATGGCGAAACAGAAGTACGGCCGAATCATCAATACATCTTCGAACGCTATCTACGGGTTTGGCGCTGGAGGAGACTGTGCCTACAGTGCCTCGAAGGCTGCTGTGTTTGCCATTACACGAGAGCTTGGTCGGTGGGCACCACGAGATGGCATTAAAATTAATTGTGTCATGCCATCAGCTGCCTCGAGAATGGGAGATCTGTCTGAGGGCACGAAGAAAGTTACACGGACTTACTTTAAACCAGAGGTAAGTCTAGACGCTATGTGGTTTCCTCAATATCGAAAGCTAGCAGATGCTTACCAACGTCGCCATAGGGGGTTGTACCTTTTGTCATTAGTTTGGCCTCCGAAGAGTGCCCTTCGTCGGGTGAGGTGTTCACAGCGAGTGCAAACAGGGCAGCCCGGGAGACGTTCGCAACGTTCCCCGGTGCAAAGTCCGATACGGCTGAGGGATTTCTCGGGAACTGGGACAAAGTGATGGGCCGAGGCGAGGAGCCGTATCTGGCTGATAATACCTTAGCTCATGTGAAGTATGTCATCCGGCAGGCTCATGGCGTGGAGATGGAGGACATTGCAGAGTTTAGCATTGTGACTAGATAGGCAGGGCCCAGGCTTTCCGGGTTCGGACACTGGACATTTTGTTCGTCCGCCGTCCATTAGAAGTGGAGATAGTCCTTTGGCATTTTGTGCCGACTTCTGCACTAGAACGAGCATAAGTCAGACAATGGAAGTCTCCAGGGGGGTTTTCCCCGAAGTGACGGCCTTGGCCTTTGCTTCGTTCTCGCTCCCGTTCACCATTGACCCCAGACCAAACAATGTTCAAATAATTTCAGTCAGAGCTATGTAATATGTATGGCCATTAGTGGCTGCTATAATAGCTTCGCAAAGGACCTAACCTGGGTTGCGCGGTACAAGGGCTTTGAAGTGATCATGGCTGTCTTCTCTGGCCCTTCCCGCCTCTTAAGACTGACACGCTTCGCCGACGGTACGAGAACCCTGACACGTCGTAGTTTTAGCATTGGGCACCCCCGACGAGGTACGTTCAAAAACCAGTCTGCGTTGTCCCTGGTTCCGCTAACCTCCTAGCCCAGCTCCTCATAATGAGGCCACCTACGATGTTGTGGTCGTCGGCTCCGGCTGCTCAGGGCTGACCACCGCTTTCGTTGCGGCCAAGCATGGCCTTAAGGTCATGGTTTTGGAGAAGACACAGTATTTTGGCGGCACAACCGCTTACTCCGGCGGAGGGGCATGGATACCGGCCAACAAGCACCAAGCAGCAATCGGTGTACAAGATTCAGCGACCCAAGCTGATATTTATCTTCAGGAGGTGCTGGGTGATCTTTACGACGAGAAAAAGATCCCGGCATTCCTCGAATCAGCTCCTGAGATGGTGAAATGGATGGAGGACAATTCCGCCGTGCGCTTTAAACCTGTCCCTTTGCCAGACTACCATGTCTCGCAAAAGGGTGCCTCGGCGGGACGAACGATTTTGACTGCAAAGTTTGATGGACGCCAACTGGGTCCTTTGATCAAGCAGGTTCGCTATCCAATACAGGGCTACTCTGCGTTTGGCTCGATGCAAGCGGACCCAGAGGAGTTGCCGGTTGTGACGCATCCATTTGGAAGTATCACGAATCTGGCCCTGGTGACGAAGAAACTGCTTCGCTATGCAATGGACCTAGCTCGTTATGGCAAGGGAACTGACATGGCAAATGGCAATGCCCTTGTGGGACGGCTGTTGTTCTCTGTGCAACAACAAGGGGTGCAATTGTGGAACAATGCTTCGGCCACAAACCCAGTGATAGAAAATGGTCGTGTCGCGGGTCTGCACGTTCTCCATCAGGGCAAAGATACCACGGTTTATGCTCGCAGAGGAGTGGTCCTTGCCAGTGGCGGTTTCGGCAGGTCGGAGGAGGCTAAACAGTATATACCGCACGAATGGTGCGCATGCCCGCGAGGCAATACGGGAGACGGCAAGCGGATCGGAGTGGCAAGTGGTGGTGCTCTACCGCCCAAAAATCCGACGAATGCCATCTTCGCTCCTATCTCCCTTCTGCCTGTTTCCGATGGTCCTGTGCGTCGCTTCCCACACTTCGCGATCGACCGGTCCAAACCAGGGTCTATCATTGTTGGACCTGATGGTCGACGATTCGCAAACGAGTCAGAGCCGTACCAGGAGTTTGTCACGGCCATGCACCAGAAGGGCATTCAGAAGGGGTACTACATCGGCGACCACTCGCATCTCCGCAAATATGGTATGGGAATGGCATTGCCTTGGCCGTATCCAATTTGGAAGCTGCTGCGACAAGGGTATCTGATCTCAGCGCCCACGATTTCCGCGCTGGCCGAGAAAATTGGTATTCCTGTCCAAACTTTGGAGCAGACAGTTTCTGAATATAACTCGTTCGCTACCACGGGCATCGACACACAATACCATCGAGGCGAGAACGCGTACGACCGCTTCTACGGAGATCCCCAGGTCCAGCCGAACCCGAATCTGCAACCTTGCACAACCGGTCCGTTTTATGCGCTCCCACTCTACCCCGGCAATGTCAGCAGTCTATACGGACTGCTTACCAACAACGATGGACAAGTGCTCGACCAGAACGGGCAAACTATCAAGGGGCTTTATGCAGTTGGTTGTGATCAGAACAGTGTCTTTAAAGGGGCTTATCCAGGAGGTGGTTCGAGCATTGGGCCAGGAATGACGTTTGGCTACCGAGCAGGGCGAAGACTGGCCAAAGATGGCTCTTAAACATTCTCAGGGCATCTTCAGAAGGGAGTATTTCAGCTATATAACGTTGTTTACCGTGGTGGATCTAAAATTTCTGCTCCGTTCTGGTGTGCAACTTAAAATGAAGTTAAGCGCTTAGGCACCGAAGCAGTATGCCTGAGAGGCACTCTGCTCGCTCCGTGTTCGGGATAATGATCTCTGCGTGTGAAGGGCAGGGGTTTCTCCAGCTATTACAGGCCCTGAGGGCATTATTTCCGTAGATGTACCAATACATGCCGTCCCTCGGCGGCACGCAGAACATTCCGCGAGCGGCCATTTATTGAATTATCCTGTTTGTGGCCCGATAAGAAGATAGCAGAACTGATTTGTCCAGTGGGACTTCCTGATGCTTCAGTTTGGCAGTTCTAAGTCGATGCCAGGAGGTACATCGCGGAAAACTTACATTATTGGCACGAAGCAGTATGGCCATTTTGCAGGGGTTTCGGACCAACCGAGCACCTGGATTCCTCCGTAGCTTTCTGAGCAGCTGCCTCTTGCTCCCCTGACTTTCACGGAGATACCCCCAGTCCACAAAACACCATGCAGTTGCTAATCCACGAATCAGAAGGCATTTCCGACTTTACTCCTCGGACTATCTTTGATTAACTCGAGTGTCCTGACATGTGGTACGACACGAGCTAATGATCTCGAAACAGAATCAATCTTCCCTGCTCGAGTAACACCACATCGCCTTACTTATGGGGAGAAGACTCTCAGCAATTGAAGGTGAATAAAATTTGGAAGCCCCCATCCGAAAATTGAAGTAAGGTCGAGGTAGATCGTAAAGGTATCCAGCATGGCGAGGCTGTCTTGCTCCCGTTTGGGTCGAGTCCCTCGTATCAGACCTGCGGGCTCATCACTTCTTTCGACACGTCTGGAGCTGCCTTACAATATAGCGCTATCTCACTTGATTCACACCTCACGCGGAAATATCGTACCGGCCTCGATCAAGCGCAATGCGATCGCCAAAACTTCCAAAGTTTGGATGAAGGCGAGCAATTCCACTGGCGTTAGCAAGCTGGAAAATGATACTACACGCCGGATGTACTCGTCGGTGCAAACTTCTCATGAGTCTCCACTTGAGACCGAGTTCTTGGTTGTCGGTGCAGGCCCAGCGGGTGCAGGTCTGGCATCCTTCCTGACAAGCTATGGTAGAGTGGTCACTTTAACAGTGCCTGACTAGACTAGAGAACTGACAGGCACAGGTCTGAAAGGCGTCATGATCAGCAATGCTCCTGGTACAGCCAACACTCCTCGCGCCCATATTACAAATATGGCAGCATTGGGTACGTCTTGAAGCAGACTCTTTGCAAAGCTCAAACCAGAGAATTGCGGTGACTGAACTAGATTAAGAGTGCCTCAGAGACATTGGACTTGACAAAGAGCTGGAAAATCTCTCCTCGAAAGGGGACTGCATGATCCATACCCGATGGTGCCATAGTATGGCTGGCGAAGAATACGCGCGGATTTACTCGTGGGGCAATGCTCCCGAGAGAAAGGTTGGTCTTGTGTACGTGTCCCGAGGCATTTGTCCGGTCCTCTAACCACTGTAAATCTTTAGGGAGACTACGAAGCCGCTAGTCCATGTTCACCGGTAGATTTGCCTCAGACACTGCTTGAGCCAGTGCTTGTTCGCCACGCCACTCTGGGGGGCTTCAAGACAAGATTCGACACGACACTGCTGTCATTTGAAACTGATCCAGCGACCGGGCTGATCACGGCCAACGTGCGTGATAATCTCTCTTCTTTGCAATACCAGATCCGGACCAAATACCTATTAGGGGCCGATGGTGCACGCAGCCAGGTCGTGAAACAACTCGATCTACCACTCTCGGTAAAGCCAGGTCAAGGCATGGCGATCAACGTGCTGGTCAAGGCCGACCTGTCGCATCTAGTCAAGCACCGACGAGGAAACTTGCATTGGGTTTTGCAGCCTGACAGAAAACATCCCGAATTCGGCATGATGGGGATTGTGCGCATGGTTAAGCCGTGGAATGAGTGGATGTTTATCCTGCTGCCGACTCGAGACTGCGACCCTCACATCTCCCCATCGAAGGATGAATACACCCAGAGAGTGAGAGACTTTATCGGTGACGATACACCCGCCGAGGTGATCGACGTCTCCAAATGGTTCATCAATGAGATTGTTGCTATGAAGTACTCCGAGGGGAATGTGTAAGTCCGAGCTTCTATGAATGGATATCCTCGACGACTGATTTTTGGCTTTTTCACGAACCAGTTTCTGTCTTGGAGACGCCGTGCACCGTCACCCTCCCTTCAATGGTCTAGGGTCCAACACATGTATCCAAGATGCCTTCAATCTGGCCTGGAAACTGGCCTATGTCCACCGCGGCCAAGCGGATCCTTCGCTACTCTCAACCTACAGCATCGAGAGGCAGCCTGTCGGCCACCAGATCATCACCCGGGCGAATGCCGGATTCCGAGACCATTTCAAGATCTGGGAGGCGCTGGGTGCGCTCCCACCGGATGTGGAGAGTCGTAAGGCCATCCTCGATGAACTGAGCGCTCCCACCATGGTCGGGAGTGAGCGCCGGCGTCATCTGCAGGAAGCCATCACGAACTCCTGCCACGAGTTTCACGGTCTCGGCGTGGAAATGAACCAAACATATAGCGGGCCAGGTGTGTACGCTGCCGACGAAGCAGAGCCCTATAAGCACTCCGGACGTGCCGCCGAAGATCCCGTTCTCTACTACGAAAAGAGCACTTATCCCGGATGTCGTCTGCCACACGTCTGGCTCAACAAGGCCGTTCCAACGGAGCCCGTTTCGACCATCGACCTCTCTGGGCACGGTGCATTTACTCTTTTCACGGGTACTGGTGGGGAGCACTGGCATGAGGCGGCCACACGTGTCTCCGCCAAACTCGGCATACCCATCACCGTACATTCTATTGGATTCCGACAGCAATGGGAAGACGTTTACTATGACTGGGAGCGGGTCCGTGGCGTTGACGAATCTGGGGCCGTCTTAGTTCGACCTGATCGCTTCGTTGGTTGGAGAGCCCCGGCAGTACTGGAAAGTCAAGAAGCATGTGAGACAAAACTCTCAGATGTGCTGGGCTCAATTCTTGGGCGCAGCGCTATCTGAGCCTTGGGGTCGACTGTAGGGTATTCTTGTTGATGGGACAGTCTCAGCTGCCGTTACGGTTGGAGCCACGGCTGATATTTCAATCTCATACACGCATGCTTTGATACTCGATATGCTCAGGAGGGTTACGTGCCTATGCCTCGAATCCCAATCTCAACTATACGCCGTGTGGGGAAGAGCGTCAATACGCTGTTTGAACTATGTGAGTCTCTATGCTGAGTCCTCACGCTTGTAGAATTCGCGTAGACTGCAGTTGAGGCCGGCCATTCATCCACTATCATGCCGTGTACCCATGAGAGAGGCCCGCCATAACATCGGATGAATACCACACAAGATTGTCCAAATATAACTCATTTGGCCATGTCTCGGTGCATGATTCTGAAAAAGTAGCTTGGCTCATCGAGGGGTCGAATTTTGGGGCCATCGCTGACAGCAATTCCACATCTTCCGGGAGTAATGCAGGGTAGTTAGCATTCGGATCACTAACTAATGGCTGATACGTGTTGCACAGAGAAACCTTGAGGCCCGGCCAGTCAGGAAGAAGTTGCTCCTCACATGCTGAAGCTATGATCGTCTCCGTGCTCGCGGAAGATTGTGTGTCACCATGGCACTGTTGATTATTAATCTGAGTATTCCTGGCTCTACTCTCTGATAGTTCGAGCTCTCTATGCCGGCACTCGAGTCTTGCTTCCAGAGAATCAAGATTTTGCAGCAAGGCGCGTGGTGTCTCCCAGAACTGATTGAATTGGAGATAGGATCGGCGCAGTAGGTCGTATTGGCGTTGAGTGAGGGTGGAACCGTGGTCGCGCAGGGCGAACCTCTTGAATACCTGTAAAGCGGCCGCGATCCATGTAGTGCTAGCGTAGTAGGGATTCACATATCGCACGTGGTCTTCAGGACAATTTGCCAGCAGCCGCAGTACCATGTCGCTTGCTTCCAGATAGTTTCTCAAGCCCTTACCGACTAGAGATCTTTCGTTGGACGCAGTATCTCGTCCAAAATAGTCTTCGTCGCTCTGGGAAGATGATAAAGGGATCAGCCCTTCGATGATGTCGGCAAAAACATAATTCTGATAAATCATAAAGCATGCCGAGGCGCTCATCATATGTATAATATATTTACCCGCGCTTGTTCGGCGCGTCGAAAATGGGTCTTCGCCTTCGGCCAAGGCAAAAGACAGATATTCGCCCCGGTAGGCCAGCGTGGTGGGAAGGTTCTCTCTTACATCTTGATATGCTTTGACAAGACTGGAGAGCCGGTCCGAAAATCCTTGAGCTTTTCGCCTGTAATCCTGACTGTAATACTGAGCGAGCTTTGGGACATCATTCGGAAGATCACTGTTGGAGATGATCCCCTTGATGCTTTCTTGAGACAGTAATCGTCCGTCATGCATTAGGGATGCTAGAAGATAGGCCCATGCAGTAGAATTTTCATTTCCCGAGCGTTTGAGTCTTTTCCATCGTTCTTCGGGACTTCCATGAAGCAGGCAGGAGGCCTGATAAGTGTTTGTGAACCAACATTCGTCCGAGACCGGGAGAAACGTGTCGTTCGCGCTCCAGTCGATGGCAGTAGGTGCACGCTGGATTGTCGAGGCAAAGATATCCATTTCCCATAAAGCCCACCAACAACGGCGTCGCTCTTCGTTGGAGGACCACATCATGAGCTCACTGTCGCGGGTCGGTACTTTCTCGCATGCTTTACAATCGACCAAGTGCAGTCGGAGCTCGTATGCAATGCGTACACCGGTACCGACCAGCCTCCAAGCTGGTCCGTATACTCCGTTCACTAGCTTATAATAGCCCGCTAAAGTGATGGCTTGTAGGAGACAGAGAGGAGGCGCGTTGCTCGAGCAAGCTTCCAAGGACGAATGGATGTACTGTAGTGAGAGGGCGTGGAGTTCTTGGTGAGAAATATTTCTGGAGTCCTCACCCTGAGGGATTTTGTCCTCCGTGGCCAACCTCGAGGAGAGAGAGAAGATTGCTGCGAAAAGGGCAATGAGATGGTTACGATCCTGTATGCCACGTATCTTGTCTGGAAAGGAAGGTTGGTGAAAGATGGACAGGGATTTCAACCCTGCCACCATTTCAAAAAAAAGATCAATCCTACAATAAGCCCGAGCAAGTCAGCTCAACTGGTATGCAACAAAGTACGTTGGGCTGGGGCAACTGCGCGACAGAACTGTCCAAGTCTCGCTGCAATGTAGAGACGAGAGCACGACGCTAGGACACACAAGGAATGGCATGCTCACCTTGACTGAGCTTGCTGAATGGACATGCGGAGCACCTCGCATGCCTTAACCAAGTTCTCCTGGGCTCCTGCAAGAACCAGCAAAAACCCGGGTTGAGAGCGTTCTTTCTGGACGGGTGATGGACCAAGAGAAGGTTCATGGGACGGATACAAGATCCTGGAGAGGCTGATGGCTTTGGCAAAATTCAAGGCTGCTACATGGGAGCTTGTAATGTTGGGAGAAGGGGGATCGACGGAAAATTCTTCTGGTGATGAAAGTGTGTCATCACCTCCGCCCGCGAAGGTTGCATGGCCACGGCAAGGTTGATGCTGGAGCGCACCGTTATAAGAGGTGCTTGAGTGAGACTGAATAACCTCTTGCCCTGTCGGAGGGTACGATGACCGTACGCAACGACGACGACGGGTAGAGCCTAATGATGGTAAGCTGTCCGGTTCTCACACGACATTTCTGCATTCTACCCACCTAACTTGGGCCCTGGTTTTGAGCGGGCCATGGGGTATGTACAGGAGTTGGCGGTCCGTCGGCAAAACGAACATGATGGAATCTGTCGGTCGCTGCAAGAGGCAAACGTTAGCAACCACGCGCAGAGGGGGGCGCGGCGAGCTTGTTGACCATCTGGACTTCCTCCTGTAAATCTGGTCAGTCACTTGTCATTGGCACATGGTAAGCCGGGCGATCTTTGGGACGATTCCGCTATCGGTGCATCTTTCTCTACACAGAGCTTTCCCGGGGGGTTATCGCGCGCAGAAACCCGGGGATACGCCACTTACTTTTTGCACAAGTCGCATGCCAGATTCGACCTCGCTGTAGCGCGGGCTTTGGTGTCCACAGCAGCCATGGGATCAAACCAAAGAGCAAAGCATCAGAGAAAAACATTCAACCTGGGGTCGCAAGACTGTTGTTCGACAGCGAGAAGACTAGGTGGGATTAAAAATTCAAGCCTGACTACCCAGTAGTCTTGGCACAACCTCCCTAAATCCACATCTCCAGTTCTCCTCAAGTCCCCGGCTTTACCCCACCTCCCTGGGATGCGATCCCCCAGGGCGATTTGGGGCCCACATGGCAAATTGATGTCGGTTTCATTGGCTGGAGTTTCATCCCCATCCAAGTGGGGATGGCAGTATTCGGCCCATTTGTGATTGGTCCGGGTGAAGCTCCTAGCGGAGGGAGGGGAATTCATCTACACTATGCCCAAGGGGGGTAGTCTAGAGGCGTTGACAATAACTTAAATCTTTCTCAAGATGGATGCTATCCAATTACGGATAGGTCGGCGGCTTGAAGCCGAGAATGGGCACCCTATCACTGACCTGTCCGTTTCTTTGGGTTGTGTGGGCACCAAAGTCGTGCCGCTCGAGGTTTGGACAGCAAGCTCTGTTACATAAGAATTTACCAGTCTGTCTCTTGCCTCTCTTGGGCGTCCTTGCCTGAAGTACTAGCCTATCTACAAGCATGGAAGACGATCCGATTGGGTCTGTGCTGCAATTGCTGGCTCCGGTAGCATCCCTTATGGCTATGACACCGCAATCATCACTGGCACGTGAGTGCGAATCCAGTTTTGGGCAACAAGAATTCCTCGCAGAACTCAAGCCCATCGCCACCGTGCTGGGCTCAACACACATCACGCGAGTTCCAATAGCTAATCGCGTGCAGGGTGATTAGATCTTGTTACTATGCAGGACTTATTCTAGGGCTTGGACTTGTTAGTTTGCCGACTGATCGTTTCGGATGCAAAGGGACCATACAAACCGGGGGCTGCATTGGCTTGATCGTGGACTTTTTCGAGCCGCCGTTTAGGAGATTGGACTTTTTTTTTTCGCTGGGCGAGTCGTTGCAGGCATGGCACCTGGTATCGTGTTGATTATTGTCAATGTTTATGAGGCTGAGATTGCTTCTCCCCACCTATGTGGTATCACGGTTGTGTTTCCGAATGTGACTCTGAATATTGCCGACGCCTTGTCTTCCTGGGTGGGATACGCCTCTAACTTTTCCAAGTACTAGAATTTCGCATGGTAAGAACCGGGATCTACCTCTTTGCGATGGGAAGCACCGGTAACCTCTAACTAGGTGTTTCCCAATCGTCCCGCAGTGTGTACCAGCCCTGATGCTCATTGCTGGATGCTTCTACATTCTGTTGTCACCGCGATGGCTAACTTCCAAGGACCGCAATGTTGAAGAGCAGGCGATTCTACAGCGCTTGCACGATGACCATGAAGACCCCGTTTTCTGGGGAAAGGAATATCTCCGGATAGCCGCACAACTAGCTGCAGAGCAACAGGAGAGAGTTCAAAGCAGTTTGGATCACACGTCCACCAGCGCCAAAGGACTTCAGCGTGGAGTTACGGCAGTTGCTCCCATAACCTCCGTTCAAAGAAATGGTGCGCAAACCATCTAAGTGTATCGGGGTCGGAGCCCCAGTCATTATGATCAGAACGAAATCGAAATTCGTTTCTTTCTAACCCTGATCAGGCAGTGTTTTATGCCGGTCTAGGCTTCTCGGCTCCTGAAACTGTAATGATGGCAGGCGTATTTGGCATCTGCAATACTGCCGGCGGCACAACCAATCTGCTCCTGTTCGATCGCCTGTGGAGACGTAAACTTTTCCTCACTGGATAGCTAATTCTTTCAGTCTGGCTGGGCGGTTTTTCTGCCTGCTCCGCCAAATAGACGGACACAGGATTGACAAGTGAGTTTTGCGATCTTTTTCATTGCTCAGAAGACGGACTTACTGTTTTAGCATGGGGAAAAGCCGGCATTGCCTTTATCATCCTGTACATTTACAGCTTTGGAGCCACGTTTGCGGCATCTCCATATGCGTATGCTGCCGAAGCCCTTCCTAACAAAGTCCGTGCCCTGGGAATGGCTCTTGCTTTGCTCGTGGCCAAGCTGTTACATTGATCTTCAGTCAGACTGCTTCCATTGCCCTAGAGAAGATCGGTTGGAAGTTCAACCTTTTTCTCGTTGCCTGTAATATGTTCTGTTGTACAGAGATTGGGAGTGGATCTATGTGCTTGATTGTGTTCTGTCTCCCTGGCTATTCAGAGAGACTCTGCCTGTTTATATACACTTTGGCCTGTAACCTGAAGAGCATTCCTGAAACCTCCTATTCCGTCACCATGCTGTAGCTGGTTGGTGGGAACAACGCTGTTGAGGTAAGGACCGCAATTGGTGTGACAGCTAGCATCTCAGGTGGTTTGCCACGGTGGCTATCTTGCAACCCTGTCACCAAATGCGCAGACCTCTTTCTCACGGGCTGATAACGAGCTCTTCTGCCAAGCCACATTACCATTTAGAGATCTGGCGGTCAGGGTGCGCACGAAGATCTTCTAAGGAGTATAAGAGAGAGCTCTCGAGATCGATAAGATTTTTGGTTCGCCCTTTTTGACCGAGGGTCGGAGATCACCCGACTGAGCCGTATGGGCGTCTGTTAGGGGAACCACGACCAACCACAGCTCTCAACGGACGGATAACCATGCCTCATGACGAGACTTGGATGGTTCGTGCTGCCTGATGACACAATATCAAATACAGTCAGCTTCCGTCGTTATTGTGCAAAACTTCCCCAGACATCTCAAGGAATTTATTTTGCATCTCAGGGTCAGACAGTCTGGCAACCGTTTCCCAAGGCACAAGCTTGTCGATTGACCCGAGGCGTTCAAGCTTCAAAGGAATGTTGTGATCAAATCGGAAAAAGAGATTTGCTTGTGAGGAAACGGAACCATTGTGGCGACATTTGGCGGAGTGGTGCTTGCAAAAAAGTTCAGACAGACCAGCTCCGGTTGCAGGTAGAATGGTGCACCAACCTTGAACAGTGGATAGACTCATTCCAAAGGCATGAGTGGCTTCGTCATGTTTTTTACATCACAATTTTCACCAGCACTGCGAAATGGCACAGATATCACTTCTGTTGTCCATTGTCAGCCACGTTCTCGATGCTAGCTATCAATCGATGTTTAGAGATTAACCTCGTAGGTACTTTAGCTTGTAATGGGCTCTCTGTATAGTCTGCTTGATCCCCAGATACGTACATTCATGAGACCTGTGGAACGCTCCTGGGACTAGCACAAATCCACTTTCGACTTGGCATATGAGCTCCACATAGTGGTTGAGAAACTTGATTGATCTAGTACACAAGTCACTGGGGAGCAGCCTGAATGACACACAGGATTCTAGTGCATTTACTATGAGTTGAAACAATCCTGCAATATCGCACGCCCATTGATCATTCAACCACCGTATCCCTCGCTGAAAACAGGAGGACGGAGCGTCTCCGGATCTGTGTTCACTCGACCCCTTCAGCTATATTGTTTCAAAAAGTTCAGTGCGTCCGACATCTCGTGGTTAATACATTCGATATGCTTCTCGCTTCGGGGCTTAATGGCGATCTTAAATGGTAACGGCGCTTGAAGAATACCCGGGTTATATGCATCGGGATCCAACGCGGTCTTGGCCCCAGTCCGAGGATCTACGTATTCAGAGAACTCGAAGGCCCAGAGGAGCTTCGCTGCGATACGCCACATATTGCGCTCTGCGAGATGCATTCCTGGACAGACACGTCGACCGGCACCATAGTTGTAATGATGTAAAGAGGAAGTTAGTACCTATATAGTTTGTGTGTAGGTTCTCAGTGTAAACTCATCTCGATTTGCCCAGTCAGGACTTCCAGCATAATCGCTGGCTAGTTTATGATGATCGAGATATCGATCTGGGTTAAAGGACTCTGGGTCGGGGTAAATGTCTGGAGAGTGGTGGATGGCCCAAGTAGGTAGAAAAACGGTTGTATCCTTGGGTATTAACATGCCCTCATAGACGTCATCTATTGCTTGGTCAGCCGTGAAAACAAACCTCTCTAGAGGCCAAAACGGAATCACTGACCTTCCCTTACTCTGTGGGGTAGTGCAGTTACGGCCCTACAAAACATACGTCAGTCAGTCAGTGCCGACGTTCAACGATCAACAGCCAAACTTACACTGGACGCCATCTCATGCCCTCTTTCACAATACAGTTGATATACGGTAATTGGTCAAAGTCGGACCATAGAGGAGCTCTCTCGGTGCCACAAACAGCGTCAATTTCTCTTTGGGCCTTTTCTTGGACTTCTGGATAGAGCCCAAAAGCAAGGATCAAGGTGAGAAGCTGAGCCGCCGTAGTATCTGCACCGCCTTCCACTAATTCACCCATCAGATTGTCGAACCCATGCTTCGAGAATGGCATTCCTTTCTTGTCGTACTCATCGAGAAGAGTGTCGATGATGCAATTTCGTCGCTCCCCCCTGGCCCGTCTCTCGTCGATCCTGCGACGTGCCTCTCCCCAGACACGGTCCATCACAGCGCCGGCTTCAACGGCCCGACGTTTCCAGAATGCCATCGACATAGGTGTCCATTGAAGAAACTTGAATTCATCCACCGGAGGGTTGGCCCCAGGTTCCATGGCAGCTGTCCACTGACCAAAGTTTAGTAATCATTTAGAATCATTCGATGATTATTGTTTTACCTTGTCCATAACGTCGTAAACGCCCTTTCAAGCTGCCGTTAGCAGGTGCAGTCGAGCATAAGGCACATCACTTACTTGAGCCCAGAATGAGTCAGGGGTTTCGCCGCGATACCCATATGTGATTGAGCTCACCACAGACGCTGTGTATCTCCTGATCTGCCTATAGAAATCTTCCGGGGTTGTTAGGAGGTTGTTCATCAGGATTGTGGCTCTATAGCGGCGTATTAGACTTGGGCTAGCTTCTCAGAAGGAGGAATCTGATTACTCTGCTTCCTGAACTCGGAAGTGCTTCTCGTCCAACGGCTTCGGCGAAAAGTTGTGCGCGATGACTTTTCTCTTTTCTCTCCAGAGAGGGTCCATCTGCGAGATTGCCAGATGATCGCCTTTGGTCAGTAGTTGGCCAACGTAGGTCTCTGGACGATCTGAGTATATTGCGCCTTTCTCAACTAGAAGCTTATGAATCGCTTTTCGATCACACAGAACAACGACATTCGAAGGGCCAAGTTTGAGACTGAAGATTGGCCCGTATTCTTTGGCCCATTCTCGAAACCTGGATTTTCAAGTATGATCAACACTGGCTCCTGATTTGACGGGGGTACACGTACTGTTTGTAGAGGCCGGTGCGAGGAATTTGGTGAGCGTTTCCTAGAATTGGTACAGTGGGCGGACCCGGCGGCATTCGAGGGTCACGTTTGCCGACCTGCAATAGACGATAGACGGCGAGTACGACAAAGGCGACTGTCGCCCAAAGGTAAGGTTTCGACCAGATTGCTGTTTCTGCCATTGTGGTTTGGGGGAAGCTTCAGATCACAGCGATGCCTTGTAAGTGAAGCGTTCGTTGTTAAAAGAGATCTAACTGAGTGTCGAACTGTTGGCAGTAACAGTGAACCTGCCAAACCCTGCATCACCACAACTAGGACCTGGTTACTCCGGGGGGGGCCACTCCGAGGTGCTCCCTGATATGCTGCCAGGGCCAGCCAGAAAGTCGTAAAGATCATTCTCTGGCGGCTTTGGCGTCTCACATAATTAACCCGGCCGAGCAATCGGGGTGATTTTGATTGCTTGATTCCATCTTGGGATCATGTAGCCGAAGTACTAGTGCGATGAAGGCCTCCACCCATTCAATTGCAGCGGGGAATGGTGGGGTGACCACAAATGGTTAGCGTTGACTTGGATCCTTTACGCCAACTCCTCCTTGACTGCCAAGTCACCGGCCGGTCTATCGAATCCTCCGGAGGGAGGGGGAAGGGGGGTATGACTATTGGGCTTTGCTGCTGAAATGATGAGCTAATTCTGCATACATACAGTGTTAGCACCTCGGTGGATAACGGGCAACATTGCCGCCGGATTGGATTGGTAAACCACCTAACGGCCGTCCCATTATGCTGCAATGAGATATGCCGTCGGCAAGAATGGGTTCGAGATTGCCCCCGAGCTGGTGTTCATCGGCCAAGTCGTTGTAAAAAGACGAGCGGCAAAGGGTCGACGGTAGATTACGGTTTCCACGAAGTCCATGTGCAATGAGTCAGTTGAGAGGCCTTCGCAAATGCTAGTCAGATGCTTCTCAGAATGTTGACACAAGATTGCCCCCAGTCGTCTTCCACAGACAAAACGATATCAGATCTCCCGAAGACTTTGACAGGGCTTGCCTGTTGAGCCATTGTGAAACAGTTCTTCCGTCAATAGGTAGCAGGGATATGCGGATATCTCAAAAGCAGAAGTCGAAGCATTTGTAAGGTTGCAAGGCTGCGCTTTCGTGGAGACTTTCGGGGTGGTGACCACATCTCGGAGCTAGATATCTTTGGGCTCGGAGGTGTTCCACATTTGCACTCGGAGATTCTAGTGGATCATCAGAGTCAATTTCTCTTCGTTGACCTGGCTAACGCTGGCAGACTCACTTACTTCGCGATAGCACCGTGTCACATCTGCCTCTTTCGGTGCTGGGTCGTCCTTGTCAATCAGGTGGCAGTCTTACCCTTCATTGTCAAGCGGTCCGTGGACTTAGACTGGGTGGATCTCACAGTCCAGCAACCAAAACTGCTATTTTTGAGCATTGCGGTCGTGTCACATTGCACAAAGGCAAGAAACAAATCGTCGACATTTTATTGCTGCAAATCTGACTTGTCAACTGCTAAGCATGCCTCACAAAATCCTTCTGAGAGTCCTGGCTTGAAAAGCACCGGTCTACACGACAATATCCGACATATAGAAGATACTGTACTGACAACGGATAAGTGGCCGCTGTACCAGGGGCTAGAGGCCATTGCTGTCCGGTATAGGGTGAAAATGAACGTACGAAGCAACGTAATTTAGTCATATACCCTTGTCCACCAAATTCTCCCGCCGCACTCTTAGTCAAGTCTATCACAGCATGTTTTGTTAACGAGTAGACAGAATTCTTCGGATGGCCTTCCAAGCCAATGGAGCTTGAAGCATTAACTATACTTGCGCCTTTCGTCATGACCCTCAATTGAGCTCGCAGGCAATTGAATATGCCTTCGAGGTTCACACTTGTGATGAAGTCGAACTCTTGATCGTCTAGCTCCGTCAAGTTACCTATACTAAACGACTTTCCAAAGACACCAGCAATATTGGCAGCGCCGTCTAATCGCCCAAAGTGTTTTAACGTCGCGTCAATCCAGCTGTCGACCTCCTCGCTCTTCCCAATGTGGGCTGCGGAGGTCAGGATTTTGGCGCCGTCGGGCGGTTGGTTAGATCCTGTTATCTCTGATAGAGCCTCGTCCAAAGTCTTCCTTCCTGTCTGGGCTGTACACCACATGGAGAGAGAAGGATACGATGACCCGTTCACCTTCAACCCTGACCGATACATCAATCACCACAAATTGGCATATGACTATGCTGGAAGTGTGGACTCTAAGCTTAGAGATTAGTTCCTTCTTAAACTTGACGCTTTTCCCGCTGACCTTCACCCACCCCACTACGGATACGGGGCTGGCAGTCGAATGTGTCCTGGCGTCCACCTTGCCGAACGCAATCAACGGCGAATCGATGCTAAATTGATCTGGGTTTTCGAAATCAAGGAACTGATCGACACCAAAACCGGAAAAACTATATCTCTCGATCCTGAAGACTACTCGAAACGGCCTCTTGCACGCAGCAAATCCGTTCAAGGTCATCTTCAAGCCGAGAAGCAAAAGTCACGTTGCTGTGATTAAACGTGAGTATGAGGATTCATTGAAAGACCTTGCACCATTCGAGTGAGATCGGAGGGTATCCATAGATTTATCCCACTACCACTGTTGTGGCAGCTTTTATTAGCGTTGAATACAAGACCAGGTGCACACATAGCATAATTGCATGAATTTGTCCATTACATGGGAACCAGAAGACCACAAAATCTACCATTGACAAGTCGCAAATAAAATAATGTCCACTATCTGACGTACAACACTTAGAAACAATCAGTGCACAATCACGCTGGACTCTCCCACGCCGCTCGATTTGCACTTTGCATGGGTCACAACAGCCCTTCCCTTTGGACACCTTTGTTCGCATTACGATCCTGGAATGCTCGGCTCCGAGCGGCTATCTTGATGCGCGTCACATCTGTTCATTTTATGGGGTCTGCTATTGAAGCCTTTCACCTAACCAGACGACGATGCTATCTATATAATGCTGTCCACAGCTTGGATTCAATTCGGAAACAAAAGGTGTGGCAAGCTCTGTCGCCTGTCGTGCATCAGATTTCACCCAATAGTCTCTCGTTGCTCAAGTGGTCGATTAAGACTGCTCAATAGTATAACCTCAATCGTCAGGGCTCGAAATCTTCCGAATATTATTCCGGGCATTGAAACCTGTTTTCAGGGGGTAACAGCTTGTCTCCACGTCGCCCCAGTGGTTCCCCGGAAAACCCTCCGACTCCAGCAGATCTGTGCTAACTGCTAGGTAAGAGAACACCTAAAGATGCGCTCGGGCAAAATGACCAAGCTGCCCCATGTGTGTCTCGACGCAGCGAAATGATGCGGGCAATTAGCACCATGGCATGCCCACAAGACTTGTGAAGGGGAATCCACCCTTGATGGAGAGCCTTGCTTTGTAGAGGATAGGACAGATTGTTTTGACAAAAGGTCGCTGAAGATTCTCTGCTGACCAGTGTATTTCTTCAATTCTGTACGGTGCGGCGTCGTTTGGGCATCCGTGACTTCTGACCATCTAGGACATCGAGCATTTTAGGTAAAAACACACCTCCTCAAACAATGGCATCAACAAAGCTCGGATCTGCCACCAATGCAGATATCCTTGCGCATAATATTAACTCTCTCAGTGGTTCTGAGATTGCCACTGTCCTAGTCTGCCTTCCGGTAGTAGCATTCTGGTATCTTCAGGGCTTAGGAAGTAAGAAGCCACTAGCGAAATCCTCTGGCTTCAGGAAACCGCTCGGTAACAATGGCACCCGAGACATCGTTGAGCAAATGAAAGTTGCCGACAAGAACTGCGTCATATTCTTCGGTTCACAGACAGGGTTTGCTGAGGATATCGCTGCGCGCCTCGCAAAGGAGGGCCCCCGGTTTGGACTGAAGACCATGTTGGCCAACCTTGAAGACTACAACTGCAACAATCTGAACGAATTCCTAAGCATAGCTGTAGCAATGTTCATCATGGCTACGTCCGGAGAAGGAGAGCCGACAGAAAATGCGCAAGATTTTTATAATTTTATCACGGCGGACAATGTCACGTTTGACAATGGCGGCTCTGAGCTGTCAAATCTTAAGTATTTGTGCTTTGGCCTAGGCAACTCCACTTACGAGCACTTCAATGCCGCCTCGGAAAAAAATCGACGGCACATTGGAAAGCCTTGGTGCCCATCGAGTCACGCCGGCCGGACATGGTGATGATGGAGAGAAGACAACAGAGGAAGATTTTATGGCCTGGAAAGACCCTATGTGGGAAGCCCTAGCCAAAGAGATGAACCTCACAGAGTGCACGGCGGTTTACGGGCCGGTCTTTACGGTTGCTGAGCGCAATGACCTCACCAAATCCAGCACAATGGTCTATCTCGAAGAGCCTAATAAATTGCAGCTCCAGGGCGTACTCCGGACCCCGTTTGACTCTCATAACCCCTTTCCTGCTCCTGTGGTTGTTTCTCGTCAAATCTTCAAAACCAAAGACAGAAGTTGTCTGCACATGGAGTTCGACCTAACAGGCTCGTGCCTGTGTTACCACACCGGCGACCATGTCTCCATTATGCCAGTGAACTCAGGCATCGAAGTTGACCGATTCCTCAGGGTTTTCGGGTTGGAGTCCAAGTGTGACACAGTCATTGATGTGAAAGCGATCGAGCGGACTGTCAGAGTGGCATTCCCTGTTCCAACCACGTATGACACGATCGTAAGATACAGACTGGAAATCGGCGCCCCGGTCTCACGACAATTCATTCAGCAGCTCTCCAGTTACGCCCCTACGTCGGATACTAAAGCAGAAATGGAAAAGCTGGGAGCCGATAAGGACTACTCTCACAACCAGCTCACCGAGCGGCAGTTGAATATCCCTCAGGCGCTCGAACTGGTGGCCAAGGGCGCACCATGGGAGAAAGTGCCATTCAGCATGTTATTGGAAAGCCTTTTGGCCTTGAAACTACGCATATACTCAATATCATCGTCATCGCTGGCAATGAAAGACCGACTGACCATCACGACAAAAGTGGAGACGCACCCTATTGCATCCACCAACCTTTTCTTCAAGGGCGTGGCAACCAACTATCTTCTTGCCCTCGAACAGAAGCAGAACAATGTCTCTGATCAAGACCCCTACGCTGGCACTTATACCGTTCATTCACCTCGCAAGCACTACGACGGTCTTCGCGCTTCTTTGTATATCCGTCCCTCTACTTTCCGCCTACCGAACAGCAGCACAACTCCAATTATCATGGTCGGTCCAGGCACCGGCGTCGCTCCGTTCAGAGCATTTGTTCAGGAGCGGGCAGAACAAAAGAAGTCAGGGCACGCAATCGGACTGACAATGCTTTTCTTCGGTTGTCGCAATCAAAAGGAGGATTTCATTTACGAGGAGGAGTGGGCGGTATGTCTCTTACAACAGATACCATCACATTTCAAGATTTTAGTTCTAACAGATTACCCAGGAATATGGGCGAATCCTTGGATAAGACTTCAGAATGATCACCGCTTTTTCCCGCCAGTCTGCCGGCAAGAAGGTATATGTCCAAGATAAAATACGTCTGTTTGGAGCAGAGATCAGTTCCCTCCTCACCGAAGATGCTCACCTGTATGTCTGTGGCGATGCTTCGATGGCGAAGAATGTTAGTGGCCTCCTGCAACACATACTTTCCGAGCAGAGGGCTGTGTCTCTCGCCGAGGCGGCTGCCATCATCAAACAGATGAGAGCTGCGAACCCATACCAAGAGGATGCATGGTCATGAAATGCAGAGCGCAACATGGAAATTTGAAGACGTGTTATATACAGAATGAGAGTGGATATATCTGCTTGATTATGTTGTATCTCTCTGGCTACTCAGAGAGACTCTGCCTGTTTATATACACTTTGGCCTGTGCTCTGAAGCCCATGCCTGAAACCTCCTATTCCGTCGTCATGCTATCGCAGATCGACGAGAACTACGGTGTTGAGGTAAATGCCGCAATTGGTGAGACAGCTAGCGTCTTAGGCGGTTTGCCACAGTGGCTATCTTGAGACCCTGTCAACAAGACGAATATGAAGATATTTTGAAGTATTGGTTATTTGGAGTTGGCAGATGATGTCAGTCGTAGTCATATTGTCGATATAGATTGCATAGATGGCACACAGCCTCATGAATTTATTTAACTACACCAAGAAGTAGCCATCTGGGCCTTCGAAGGTGATCTCTTTCTTATAACCAGTGAGAACAGTGGTGGGAAACGTCCTGACAACGTCGCGGCTGCGTATTTATCTTACTCGGCAATCAGGGTCCAAGATGCAACCTGACAGGCAATCTTGAGGAAGACCGCAGCTCAGACGCCGGTGCCACTTTCTGCTTTTACTGTGCACTGTAACCTCCATCAACCTGTCTCTGGATCAACTTCGGCTTGGGTGTTGTATGAATGCTACTCACCGACAGCACCGAGCCTGTGACATAGCTTGCTCTGTCGCTTAACAGATAGACCACCGCTTCGGCTACCTCTTGCGGATTTGCCAATCGGCCCATGGGAGTCTTTTCAATTTGTGGAGCAAGCAACATCCGGATTGCAGGTGTCACCAACGGAGTATCAATGAACCTGGACGAGGGAAACTGGTCAGTTGCTTGATATTCTGGCCAACGTCAGCCGTCTCGCGAAACAACCACTATCGAACCCTTGGTAGGAGCCCTGCCATTGCTGAAGAGAAGTCAGAATCGACTTCCCAAACAATAATGGCGATTGATCTAGTTTAACACCTACAGAGTCTCCAACGGCGCTTGCTTCACCATAGACTTCAATTCTTCCCTCTCGCAGAGCCAAGTACTTCTTAAATTGATTTTTTTGGATTCTTTCAAAATCTTCGATGGTTGTTTCGCCCGTTGGCACGAGCGGCGCAGCGGTCGCCGCGTTGTTGATTGCGTAGTCAATTCGTCCAAATCTACCCATCGTTGACTGGAAAGCGCGAACAGTCTGCTCTTCATCTCCTATATCTACTGTAATTGGCAGAAAATCCACGTCTGGGACTTCGGCCCGCAGCGCTGCAGCGGTTTCACTTAATGCCTTGTCTGAGAGATCCAGACCAGCGATCCGTCTGGCAAGCGAATTGGAGAGCAACCGCTCGACTAAGAGCGCCCCCTGCTCCAGTGATGAAAGCGACCCTTCCCATAATTAGGCTATGACATCTTCGTTGCTTAGGATAGTAGACAGCGCTGTGCTCGCCCTCGTAGTCCGAGTCCGGTCAATGACATGGCTGCTTCGCGTGGATTTGAGAATGAAACAGGGTATTAAAAGGCCATCTAGGCGAGCTTTACGCAAGTAAAAGCACAGATTGTTATTGTTCTTAAAAGCAGGTGTAAAAATCCCAAGACAAGATACGTGGATGTGCGTCGGTTCGCCGGTCTCGTTCAGTAACGGGGCCGTTCGGCATTTTCATCAGTCGGGACAACTGACTTTAGCGGGCAAACTACTCTTTCGCCCTGACAACAGAGCCCGCCAACGGGCATCGTGCGAGGAATTCTGCGGATAGGCAACTTAGACGTATGTGCTGTAGATGCCTCGTTTGTATTCGCCATATACAACGGCAAGTTGTATTGAATGTATCTAGCGCCATTCATCAACTACAATGGTATGCCGATGGTGAAGCCACCGTCGACGGCCATGTTCTGACCTGTGATCCACTGGGCGTCATCACTGCAAAAGAAGACGACTGCTTTGGCAATATCTAATGGCTCCCCCAGTCTTGGCCAAGGCGTGCTCTTCCGCATCTCAGTTATGATGGCGGGCGTTCGGAAATTGATGCTAGCAGCACCACTTCGAACGACACCGGGACACACCCCGTTGACGTTGATACAATCTTTAGCGTGGTCGAGGGCGACATTCTGAGTCAACATTGCTACAGCTGCTTTACTCGCAGCATAGGTAGCCTCTCGACGGATGGCTGTGCGGCCGCCGGCGCATGAGGAGATGTTGACGATCCGACCTCTAGACCCAGAGTCTTCATCGATAGGTTGCTTGAGAAATTGCTTGATGGCCTCGCGCATTGCCGTGGCTGTCCCTTTGGCGTTGATAGCGAACATGGCGTCCCACTGCTCCTCGGTTTCCTCTACGAAATCACGCAAAGGCATCCACAAGCCAGCATTGTTAACGAGAATGTCCAGTTTGTTGAACTTCTGGCATTGATTGTTAGTTTGACCACCCAGCGCCATGACAGCGATTGCGCTTACCTTGACTGCAAACTCGATAAGGGCCACAATTTCGGCCACGTTCATCAAGTCACATTTTTGAAAGTATGCCTTGCCTCCGTTATTGCTGATAACTTCGTGCGTGGGGATGTGTTTATCTTCTTCGAATCCATCCTGACGTGCTTCAGCAACACGATCTGAGCAAATCACATAGGCACCTTCGCGAGCTAGTGCCAACGCAATTGCACGGCCCAACCCAGATGATGAACCAGTAACGATGGCAACTCGCTGGTGCAGACGCCCAGCTCCGTCGAGTTTATAAGTGTGGCCGGCGCTCATGTTGCTGACAGTGTCTTGAGTTTTGTTTCGTTGCTCCTGTGTTCAGAGGTTAGAACGAATGAACTCAGCTCGTGCACAGCGTCTACTAAGGTGTTGCAAGGTACGCCTGGAAGGGCAAAGAGATGCTTGGTTTGACGAGCCCAGCCGACACCGAAATGGATATGCTACTTGATTGCGCGTGTCGTAATCAGCCAGATGAATATCAAGGAAAAACCCCACGTTGGCACCGGGTCAATGACTAGGGACTCCCCGTGTCCGTAAAATCCCCCAATTGCTCCCGACTTGGTTTCTGGGCAGCACCAGCGGTAACCGTGCCTAATCCGTTAATGTTTCGCATTTCTAGACCCGCCCTCGCCTTTGAGGCTCGGGATGGGCCTCTCAATGGTGCTAGATTAGGTAGTACCCTGTACATCTCCTCCGATCCCATGATCAAGGAGCGGGATCACCAAAGACATGATGCATCTCGGTCGACTAAGCCAGTAAATCAGAAAGCGGAAATTGAAGGACAACAGGGCTTGCGGTTTCCGAGTCACGAGCCATCTTTCATCGATGTATTTCGCCAGGCTGGTGTGTATTCTACCGGTCGGTGCAGAAAACTAGAAATACTCAAAATCCAAACACCCCAAAATGGGTCTCCCCGCGTAAAGCCGTCCTTGCGAGTTGTCTCCTGCGGTTATAGACCCAGCAGTTCGGCAGGTCATTACAATCCCTCATAGACCAACGCCGACGTTGGAAGAAGTGGATTTTGACCTTGCACCAGCATTCTCGATTCTCCTGAATGCTCAAACCTTCACGCAGCCTGGAAAAGGCGTCGGCATGAGGATCGGTACACGTATCTGCTTTTCCTCCTATGATACGACCTTTCGGTGTCGCATGCATTCTCCACCTCTCAACAGCATACCGAGTTCCACCGCCTGATGCAGCCCGCGCTCAACGGACGCAGCTTAACCTGGCAATAGCACGCTGACGTGGGTCATCACGATTTGGATAACCTGGACCGTCTCAAGTCTGCCCTGGAGTCTTCGTGCATGGAAGTTGCCTTGACAAAGGTGGTAGAAGGTGGAGTCTCCGGTTACTACAAGGGGTTCAAACAGGTAGTCTCGAAGATTCTCGACGCGGATCTGGGGTGCAACGGATGGTGGATCAGCTACCTGATTGAGAACTCGAAACACCAGCTTCTACTGATTGATTGGAAGAGTTTTAACGTGAGTCCGAATAAAACAGTGATTGTTGTGCGCACACTCTTGTTTTGTGCTCCTGAGTACACTACGCAATCTGTCACAATCGACTCTCCCTCGATAGGCCCATCACGAAGACATTGAGAAACGACTAAGGTTCTAGAGCGGAGATTTCTAGCACAGACAGGGTTTGCTGAACCAACCATAATCCGACCGATGATAATCCGTCCGTCCCCTCAAACGGGCGAATTTGACCAAATTTCTGGGGATGGCGGCCGACCCTCCAACCACTTCACTTGCACCTGAAGTGCGTCATGCCAATACCGCGTGAGAAGTTCCTCTTCTACCTCCCAGCATTGTGGGCTGTATGTCCAGCGCGAAGAAGGAGTTCGGTCGACCGCATTGAAGACGGCCGGCCACGACAATCACCGGGTGGTTGAATTGCACAGTACCGGACGCGCTGCTGCTATAAACGAGCGAGTCAAAGAACTGGAAAAGAACATAACTTCGGCTCAGCCACGTGCTCGATTCAGAGGGCCATAAAAGTAACAATATGACAAAGCGCCCTTCTCTTGATGTGGTAGCGACCCTTAGCGACCCCGTTTGTGGTGCTTTGCGCAGCTTGAGCCGACTTCGTCTACGTCACGCTGCTCTTTGTGGACTGCAGCCAACACCCCTCGGCCGTCCGGTCTAAAGCCCGTGAAACAATCCAGCCTTGCACAAGTCTCTCAACATGCCAGAAAACGCAACGCGTACATGATCTATGAAGATCAGGTCTACGATGTCACCCGCTTTGTCGAAGAACACCCGTAAGTCCTGGTGGCAGAGATTGCGTCCGTTGAGTGTGTTGGCGGGTGAGGACGTCGTGCTGATTGCTTCTTGGAATTGCAGAGGAGAGGAGGAAGTGATTTTGAACCGTGCAGGGAAGGATGGCACTGGCGCGTTCGACGAAGTTGGCCATTCAAAAGAGGCCCATAAGCAAATCAGAGAATTGTTGATAGACTCATTAGATGAAGCGGTATGTGTGCTAAAAAGGGCTGCTTTCATGGAGTTTTATCTTTCATCCAAGTTCCGGCGGTTTTGGTTTCGGCGCAGAGCTTTCTCGTCCACAAAGCATGACTGATGTTACATGTTATTTCTAGTCCGCCGATACCATTACGAAGGCTCGACTTGCAACCAGGAAGGTGAAGAAAACCCCCTCAAGCGTAGTCATGCTCTAAAGCATAGTTGCGGTGATTTTGGCAGCAGCCTTGGCAGCGTACTTTTACTCGATGGAAAAGAGACGAGCACTTGGATCTTCAGAAACATCAGTAGCTCCCGCGTCAGAGGAACCTGGTGTCTTCCGGACGAGCTGGCGTGTTTGGAGTGACGGGGGAAGATGATATTGTAACAAGGCGAGGTGGCTGTGCTGTGATGGGCTGTGCTGGGCTGGTAGAGCGGTGGCAGGCAGAGATCTGTCAGGTCACATGTCAAACCTAAATGGGCTGGCAAAGAAGGGGGTGCGGAACAGTTTACAGTGCTGGCAGTGTGCCATTCGTTACAGTTTGAGCAGAGTATCATGAATTCTATGGTTTTTTGGCGCTGTCTACCTAATTCCTGAGTGTTTTATCAGTCCTGTCCTGTTCCTCGATGCTGCCGCTGTGCTAGGTGTTCGTAGCTGTTGACAGAGAGCGCCACTGTGGCAAACCATCCACCAATGCTTCAACCGAGGCCTCTCTATAATAGCCTCGGTGCCACCGTTGATCGACAACGAGGTCTGGACAGATCTGGCTAGGTCCAGATCTATTCAGTGGATCGCTTCTTGCCACAGGGCAAATAGTATATAGACAGGCAGAGTCTCTCTGAAAAGCCAGAGGACGGAACACAATCAATCAGATGAATCCACTCTCATTCTGTGTACAACAGTAGCCCTAGCCGCTGCCCCTCTGGGTGGTGTTGGTGGTGGTGTTGTCTTGTCAGTATCAACCAGAAACGCGTTCTCGATTCCCGATCTGCTGGACAGGCCTCTGTGCGTTGTTGCACGTGCACGCCGAACCCTGAAGTGCTCCGTTACAATATCACATATCTTGCATTAAACAATGCTGGCTCTAGACATAGCCACTGTTGATATGTCTTTCGCACGTAGGAAGTAGTAAGAGATGCGTACACTAGCAACTCAAATTTTGATGAGCATAGATCAGGCAAGGACAGATCGTTCTCAGGTCCTCGGGCGAACATATTCCATATCCGCTCAGTTATTATAATCCATGATTCCTCGAAATAAACCCCTAGGGTTCATCGCAAAATCCAGATCCCACGTCAAGCCATCCCATAGTCCGCGGGACTGGTAAGTGCTCGTGGCTTGCTCAATGTAGCTCCTCCCGCACTCACTAGATCAGTGCTCGTCATGCAGGACCCGTCAAAGATATATTGGATATCATTGCGGCTACAGTCCTTGGCTCCAATATCACCCATCGATGCCGGGACGGTAACCTCGTCGATGGAAGCGTTTCGGTCTTCCCGACCGCTCCTGTCAGCAGCCATGGTCGTATCCTCATGATTCATGTTCAGACTCGTCAGCAAGAACTGCTGGGCACCCATTGGATGACTGTCATCCTGATCGCACTGTGGGATGGGGCCAGTGTCAACGGCGGAGCCGGGAGCAATGGTTGACCGTGCAGCTGGAACTTGGCTGCCGGCCTGACGATCTCTTGAGGTCATTGTCTGCATGTTTGAGGTAGCCTTCACTGTGTCTAAGCTGTGATTCCTCTTTCTGCTCGCGTGGGTGGAATGATTGAAATGAGACAGCGGTGAGCTTTGGGACTTTTGAACGGCGCAACTCCCTTTCAACCGACGCCAGACTCTCCTGGAGCGTTTTAGACAAGTTCCAGAAGTCCGAAAACTCTACCAAGATCATGTGTTAGCACGATAAACCGGGACTCAACCCAGTCTAGGATCGTGCTTGGTGGGACCAGCACTTCTCAGCCAAGGTGAACACCCACACCGAACTAGATAGTGCCTACTAGAAACGAGATATCGAGGTCCTAGCCGTCGTACGTCTCATTTAGAGCGAGAAATTTCTAGACGCGGCATGCGTAGAAAGTAGGGACCTCTTAGTATACTAAAAGTAAGAGAATAGTAAATCCCTACTAAGATATAATTAATCGCGTTACTGTAACAAGGCAAAGTGGCTGTGCTGTGCTGTGCTGGGCTGATGGAGTGGCAGGGAGGAGATTTGGCTGGTCACATGTCAAACCAAAATGGATTGAGCGAGCAGGACAGTTTACAGTGCTGGCAGTGTGCCCATTCTTTACAGTTTGAACAGAGTAACAGTTGTCATGGTTCTTTTGATACCGTCTACTTATTCTTGAGTGTTTTGTCGGTCCTGTCCCTCTCGATCAATGCCGCCAACGTGCTAAGCGTTCATTGCCCTATCTGCGCCTCTCTGGGTGGTGTTGGTGGTGTTGTTCTATCAGTGTCAGCCGGAAAGGCGTTCTCGATTTCCGACCTGCCGGACAGGCCTCTGTGTGTTGTTGCACGTGCATGCCGAACTCTGAAGTGCTCTGTTACAGCACTAGTTAAGACTATAATATAAGAATTAAAGAGTATATATATACACCTGTTATAGATAAAATATAAGGTAAGTGGCGCAGTTGGTGAGATAGCTAGCGTCTCAGGTGGATAGCCACAGTGGCTATCTTGTAACCCTATTAACAATTTCTCTCTGTTTCTCGGCAAGAGGTGTCGGCAACAAGGGAGCGCTTAGTAGGTGCAGAACTCCACGAATAGGCAAGTTACACGACAGGTTTCCCTCACCCGCAATCAATTACTAATGCTTTTCGGCCGGTAACTGAATTTTGCAGCCCACTAGGTACGGGGCGTGAGTTCAAATATTCGTATCCTATAGGCTCGGGATGTCTTTCGCCCCGACCGAGATAGTCATCAAGATAGCCATACCCCGTGGAATGGAGCCCCGCCGAGATTGAAACGCCCTAAATGACGGGGCTTTCTTGGCTGCTGGAGCCTGGAGGCTTTGGGAGGAACGTGAACATGGAGAGCGTCGTCGGTCCCGCCGGGATGAAAGTCTTCTCCCGGCCCGTCAGCAGAAAAACAAATCTTTTCGTGGACAGATGGCCAGGACTGTCGCGTTCATGTGGATATATACTTCATCCAGCTCGAAATATCTACATCCCATCCATATGCTTTGACTGTGTGTTATCACGGCCTTGAATATCACTATAGGGCCTTGTTTTTTTTTTTGGTTTCAACCTCAACAGTATCCCCGTGAGAAGGGGAACGACTAGAACGAAGAGGGAACATAGCACGGTTACAAGAAGATGGATCCCAAAATGATAAACACCCAAGGTTACCACTGGATCAACCGTGAAATCCAGAAACTCGACCCGGAAACCGAATACGAGACCATCTGGCGGTTGATGGCGAGCTACCACCTTTCCGATTTCATGAACAACCTGGTCTACACGCTCACGTTCCCTAACTTCATCGTGACCACGTGGGGCTCCGAGGCTGTCTGGCGCGAGGATGGCGGCAAAGTGGTGCACAAGGCGACGATGCGCGTCGAGGAGACGGAGAACAACAACATGATATGGTGGTTCTATGGGCCCAGTGACGCGCGGACGAAGAAATCTGTCGACGACATCAATCGACGACACGAGTTTTGGGCGTCTAAATATCCGGGCCACTTCAGGTACAACGACGACTACATCTACACGCTGGCGTTCAGCGCCGTGCTCATGCACCGGCTGCGCCGGCGTCTGGGTCTCTCGGGGTTCTCGCACCACGAAAAGGTCGCCGCGCACCACTTCTGGCGCGACATGTCGCGCCTCTTCCATGCCGAGAGGGGGGTGCCTCTGCACGGGTTTCCGGAGGACTGGGATGGTTGTGTGAAGTTTTGCGAGGACTTCGAGCGCAAGGTGAAGCCGTTCCCGGAGAAGGGCCGTATGATCGCGCTGGCTATCTATAACCACTTCGCGTATCGGTACTTCCCACCACTTCTGCGGACCGTGGGCGTCTCCATCCCCATCGCGCTGTCTCTCGAAACGACACTGGACACTCTCCAGATTGCGCCGGTGAGCGCGATTTGGAAATCCCTCATCACGTTCGTGGTGGGATGGATGCTGTGGCTCGCCGAGGTCTTGTTGCCGGACCCGAAGGTGCCTTATTTTTCCACGCTAGAGAACCAAGACGTAACCGGACGCAGAGCACGAAGGGATATGTTGAACACGGTGGACAAGGGGTTTGTTCCGACTTTTGTGCATCACTATGGAAACGCTTTCCCCGGAGGATGTCCTGTCATGGGCTCCGGCATGACTGAACGCGCCGAGTTACCCAAAGGGATGGAGAAGTTTACTTAGATTAGCTTCCTACTCCTTAATATCTATGTCGAATTTGGTTCCTACAGACTCAATTCTTCATTTACTCCACGCTGCATGTACACATTACCCAGCCAGTCTATAATAGCGAGAGGTGATCCGTGGAGATCTGGCTGGCTCGGTCTTTGTGTTGACAGGGCTTGCAAGACAGCCACTGTGGCAAACCACCTAAGATGCTAGCTGTCACATCAATTGCGGGTCTTATCTCAACAGCGTTGTTCCCACCGACCTGCGACAGCATGGCGATGGAATAAGAGGTTTCAGGAACGGCCTTCAGATCACAGGCCAAAGTGTATATAAACAGGCAGAGTCTCTCTGAATAGCCAGAGGGACGGAACACAATCAAGCAGATATATCCACTCCCAATCTGTGTATAACACATTGTCACCTTGACTGCTTCGTCTTCTAGCCGACATCTCGTCCTGGCGAACCAATGCGACTGATTCTTAAATTAGGAGAGCTCTCTTATTACTAGCGTACTCTCAGTATAAGAGGCGCATATCTTCTTTTCTCTCTCTCTCATACTTAGCGTCGTGTATAGTATTAACTATATACTATACTCGGTAGGGGTATTTATATATGCTTATCGCTAGACTCTGTCTACTTGACAAGAAATCCCTAACACTTAGACTCTTCCCGCCAAGGTGTTTTGTAGAGGAAAACAGTGGGCTCTGACCACTTAGGTAACTAAGCCGATATGTCTGAGAACTAAGATCAGTGCTGCAGCGCCAAGGAACGTAGTCGGGTAACCTACCACATAGGGCTAACTAGGGTTGACCAACACAGAGAATCCCGGCGGCTCACATCAGGACTTTGCGCGGTTGTTTGGATTGGGACCAGGAGCGACCTCGTGGCTTCTCTAACTTACCAACGAACACTCCATCTAGCCTGCTTAACCCGAAACCCTCAAAGTGCTCGGGATGAGGGCTGAAATCTACAGTGGAAGCCTGGAAGGGGTATAGCAGTTGGGGATGAGAGAGAGGTGCAGGAAGCGCCGAGCGGAGAGCTAAAACTGGAACAAGCCGTCATGCTTCAGCTTGTGGTCTGTGATGGCCCTGCATCAGCCATATCGCTCGAGCTCCGCATCCTGATGCCTCGTCGAGGCTTGCGTCGTAATGTCCGGCGTGCTGTGTCCAGCGGGGATTTCGGGAAATGGCGTTGCGTGAGGCCTTCTTTTCGTCGTCTTCTCGTGGTCTCGAGTCTGTCAACGGACATGGGAGCCTGGGTCAGTGTTGCATTGACGCCATTGATTAGACGCCGGGAATGACTGGGACCCTACGACTGCTGCGCACAAGTGACCTCTTGATAGCGCACAAGGTGTTCGGAACGACAATCCATCACATTCCAAGACATCCATTCTGCCTCTCTAGTGGCGTGGCATGTTGTCGGTAATCTCCACGACGCGGAAATGTGACAGAAAAGTCATATACTTGGACCCCATTTTGAAGAACTGGAACGCTGTCCTCTGGGAATGCAAGCGGACGTCGGTGTCTGATTCAGTGGGAATCCTTGGAGATGGCTGGAGGGCTCGATCCCATCCTCTGCCTTATGCGTATCCGGATTGTAGGCCATCGGCCCCCCGGTGATTTCCCAGTGGACCGGAAGCACAAGTCGATGAGGCTCCAACATGGGGACACAGGGCTCATGGTTAGGAAGCCTATAGTTAAGAGACGACTGGCTAGGGTGGGCGCCGAGAGTATCGACAACGTCCTACCGCGGTGGGCCAGCTTCGAACATGAGATCCAGGTTGTCTAGACTGCGATGGATTATCGCTGTGGCTCGGATGGTTCGCAAGTTCTTTTGTATGTCTGTCGGAAATTTCTAACGTGTTCTCGATCGAAAGCCAAGCGTCCTCGTCGAGAAGCTTGGCGGTATCTTGGAGAGCCAGCAGATCGGAAGAGGAGGCGTTATTTTGGGTGGAATGATTGGAACGGGTTGCTCCTCAAGAGAAACACGTTCGAATATCTATGTGCATGTCCGCAAGACCCTCGTGAGGAGGTCTCCTAGTCCCGGTTGACGGCATGCAGGGTTAGGAATTTGACGGAGCCGTCTGGAGACATGTTCCATTTACAAACAAGTCAAAGCATTTTGTCACCCTGTTGAAAGAGTTGAACCTTGACCTTGGCCCCATATTCTCGCAGAATTTTGACTGCTTGAAGAAGGCCCGTGTGGCTTCTGTGGCCCGGGAGCGATCAGTCTTTGCGACTCGGTACGAGTAACTGATGCAGCGAGAGATCGGTCTTCAGGCGGAACTCGTTGTCCGCAAACGATACAGGTATAATGGTACCGCCCAGCGAATATAAGTCTCGAAGGGCAAGGGGCAGATTTGGATCAATCTAGAGAGATTGGGAAGGAAGGTGAAGACGGAAAAGTTCCTTTTTTCGCTTTTCTGTCCTGGTAAGGCCTGAGGGGTGGGCAGGGAATCTGACGGCGCTGCCATTGTGTACGATATATGTAAATGTGGGTCGGGAAAAGGGAGCGTTGGGCCTTGGTGGTACTTGGATAGTATGTAACAAGAACCTGGCCTTCTGACGGTCTTTCTCCCGCATCACTTCTTCGGCGTAGGACTTTGTGGAGATCACCGTATCGTGGTGGGCAGCAAATCCCTAGTAGCGACTGCAAGGTCCGAGACAACCAACCCGCCAATGACCGCGTCGGGCTTGATCAGGGCCTGGTCTTTTAAGAGCTTGCGGCACTGTTCGACCTGGCGCACGGTTTGAAGGGGGGAGATACAGTAAAGCAGACAAAGATGGTGGCGACGTTCTTTGGGAAATCTTCGAACATCTCACTCGAGTGAAAGGGTAAGGAGATAGGTGAATGAAGCCTTGATCAGCAGACAGACAGACACAGTCCGACTGAGCGTGATGCACGGCAGCAGCAATCGGCGTAGTGGTCGGCGGGGAAGCGATAAATGCTGCGACTGAATGGTATTAGATATGTACCCGTTGTGTTTCCGTGGGTAGCCTTGACTCACGTTCATAAGCGTCCTAATCCCCCGTGTAGAGGAATTGGATTATCCGCTTCACGGTCCTAGGGTTGTGTTATCCATTATGGTGATGTTGGGTTTTGCTTCCTGCATTGCTGCGTTAAACCTTGAAGCCTCACGGCGCTCCGTCCTGGGGGGGGTGTCACACCTGTATATATAGATAAGATCGTTCGAGAGATTGCCTGACGGGTAGGCTCGTGCTGCCGACGAGACCGACGACAGCTATTGTTATTCAGAACCGCATTGGGCGCCATTTACACCCTCTTCCAACAAAGACATGTCTTAACATAGACACAGTAGTAAAATCTGTAGAAGGGAGAACGTGTGAACGCCTAGCCATGGTTGACCTCTCTGCGACAAACAAAGTGCCAAGTCTCGAGGGGGAAGGATCCGATATATAGAACCCCAAGAACGGGGGGGGAATGAAAAAGAAATATGAAGGGAAATCGTTCTGCAGTGGCATTACTAGAGCACAAGTCTGTCGGTGAGTCGGGCCTCGCTGCCGCTTCGCCGTGGGTGGATTGTTTGCTTCTGCCTGCATGTCGGCTTCATGCTGAGCCAGTCCGAGATAAATTCCAAGAAGGCGATGTTCATCGTGCACTGATCTTTGGAGGCGGTGACATTTTCTGCAAGGCTAGCCAATCAGTGCGTAGGCCTAGGGTTGCTGACAGGGCTACGCACATAAAGGGGCAGCACACAGGCAGAGAGCATTGGGCAGGAAGGCTGGATGAGGTCCGTCTGTCGTTTCTTGCTTGACTACCTGAGATGATAAGACCCTCCCCCACTGTACGTCGGAGTGTTGTCATTCAGCTGTTGGGAGATGGGTGTGTCGGCTTATGCCATTGTGTAACCACAGCCTTTGGCGGCGGTGAAGGTATTTGAGATGCCACTGGATGCCTGCAATGTAGATTATTTGTTGTAAATGGAGCCGCAATGATTTGGCAGGCTAAGGACGAGTGACTTATATTACACGTTCGTACTACCTACCCAGATAGTGTGAAGCAAAACATACTCTTCACAGGCGAAATAACCCCTCTCAGCACCATACACTTCAACAAAGACATAGTTCATGGAAAGCCTGGGTAGATAGTTAGTTGGGCTTCGTGGTCATGGTCGTGGTTATGGTCATGTCACCGTCATGTTCATTCGTTGCCGATCGTCAAAGAACAAAAGATCCCATTCGCTTGGTCCTCGAGATGTCCCAACCCCAGCGCCATGCCTGAAAAATGCAACAAAATAGAAAAGAATAGCACCCTGAAATGCTGAACTGCATCTGTTTCCCCCTCGCTTTGCTTCAAGCGTATCTTGTATCCTTTATCCAGCCCATCTGAATGTCCAGATTAACCCATTAAAACCCTTCTTAGGAATCAATCGTTCTCCCCACAACAATGTGACAACTTTCTGGCATTTATCTGCCGTTTCGTAGAATGAACTTCTGGTACCACCTGGTCTCAGCTGCTGCGCCAAATCATGCACCAAGTCGCTTAGAGCCTGCCATTTTTTGTCACCCGTCTTGTTTTTCTGCTTCATACTCTGCAATTCGACAGTACCATTGCTCTGGATGCGACGAAGGCTCCACGTCGCATTAGGGGTGTCATTTCTCTCAGCAAAGAGTCGCAAAAGCATGATGTCTAGACGTATATTCCATTCCGGCACCGGCGACGCGCACGGTAGTCGGAGTGCAAGAAGACCACTTGTAAGGGCGAGATCACCAGCCAACTGTGGCTCCAGGCGTGTGGTTCTTGGAACGAAATATGTCCGTGGCCGAGTTGAGACGGTGGTTGTTACTTGTGCTTTATCGGGCTGATCGCCCGCGGAGACGCCGTCAGGTTTCTTGCTGCTCTCCTCACTGATGCTAGTTTGTGCATCGGAACCGGATTCGACGGATGATGTGTCCTCGTTGGTAGCTGATGCGGAGTCATCCGGCGATTCGCCCTCTTCTTCCTTTGGAATTTCGGTGACCTGGCAGTTGTCACAGCGCTTTGGCTCAAGAGCAACCGGCCCATTTGCTTGTAAGTTTTGGAGTCTTTTCGAGATGAGCCGGGCCAATGCGCCGCTGCGCAGCTCGCACAGTCTGTAAGCACTGACTGCAATTAGCTTGCAAACGCGATTGATGCCATCCTTGCTCTTAGACGACACATCAACTAGCTTGCTCGTTCTGGTGCGGACAATGCTGGAAGCCTCATAGCACACACGCTCAAAAAGGAGCTCTCCACTAACAAAATTCCCTTGATCGACGCAGATCTCCCCTTGAAGCAGGACCTGCTCAAGATAAGCACAGATGGCTCTGTAGGTGTGCAGGTTAGGCTCGGCCTTGCTTGCGAGGACATGTTTTGCGAGGTCATCACGGAGGGGAGTTACCCGACTGTTGCATGCATCTGAAGTTACCTGTGGTCTGTCTTCTGACAGGATTTCTGGGGCTGGACTGTGAAAGCTGATCGAGTTGATATGATTGTGTAGCCATGGCAACACGGCAAACCTCACAAAGCTGTCAGTCCGGTTGACATGACGATACCGTGGCTCTGCCGATAGCGACAAATTGTATCCCATGCCCCGTGCAAAAGGACATTTGACCATGATCCAAAGGGCGTGCATGAAATCCGCCGAATCCTTGGAGCTGCAGATATAAAATGGGGCATCTGGCTTTGTATTGCCCCCACTGAAGAGCATGACAGGGTCAAATCTGGACTGGCAGGGCTTAGATGCGTCATAAGGTGCACTTATCAACCTGGACGATGGAAAAGGTCCGAAGACTGGGATACCATAGTTTTTCAGCTTCGCGCCGAGCCCTCGGATTCCTGACTGCAGACCGACCACTTTGTTCTCCGTGTACAAGACCGTCTTGCCCTCTAAATAGAGTTGTTTGCATGTTTTCAGGATGGCCGGGTGTAGCTGGCAGCTATTTATGACTGGTGGACTCCCATTGATCTCTTGATTTCCCTTGTGCTTAAAGGGCGCGGCCTCGAGAATGCGCCTCGGATTCAGATAGAGCAGTTCGGAAATACTGTTCTGGGGCGGGCGGCGAGTGTGAGCTTTGCGGTTGCGGTCTATGCGCAAAAGGTAGCGGAGGATCTTGAGGCGGAGCTCAACGGGCAGACGAAGGAGAGATGAGGGATGGGGAGGATCTTCCGATGTAGCATATTCTTCCTCTTCGTCCCCGTCACAATCGAAGATCAAACGGAGGGTCAGAACCTCCCTCGAAGGTATAGGCATCTTCTGTGCATTGCGTGTCAAAGTCGCTAATGAGGCTACACAGGCAAAAGATAGGTCTCGTCCGAGGGCTGGGCGGCAGTCGATCTGGACAAGTCGAGTATTACGTGTGCGGACCACGCATAGTGTGGAAGCTCAGCGTAGATGTCGTCAGTGACAATTGAAGCCGGTCGTGTGGTTGTAGGAGATCACAATGGCCTGGGCCCGCGAGAAGTGCGAATGCTTCGAGCTTGAGAGAAAGCGGGGATCATGTCTGGAGACGAGGTCGAGGGGATGAAGAGTGCTAATGGGGAGTTTCAAACAGCAAAGTTAAAGATCGACGAACTAACAGTCTAGCCAGATATCGCTCCTAGGGAAGTTTTTGAGTATTGAAATAGATTTTGCAACAAGGTGGGAGAATGATGCAGATTAAGCAAAGAGTATGGAGTATCTTGGGTGAAGGAGTGTCACGCAGCCGCCGAAATTCTATCGAGACAGTGAGGCGAGCGAAGCGAACGGACTAGTCGCGCAGCCCGACCACAGGAGCCCGTTGCCTTAGTCAGCCTCTTCCGACCCACGTGACGGTCTATAACTGGCCAGCCTTGCCAGCCCCCCCCCCCCCCCCCAAAAAAGAAGAAAAGCAGTTGGGATTCCCAATGTTCGTTGATGGCATGCCGCAATATCTTCATGTGCTGGCTATCGGCTGTAAACTCGATCTTCTGGCTCAAGAGCGGTAAAACAATATGAGCATGGCTACCCAGGTAGACACCTGTCCTGACCCGGGCTCGAGCATCCGCACGCGTACGAATATGCATAACTTCGGGAACAATCCTCTAGCAGAAATGGGGCGTGATTTCAGGGATGCAGCTTGGCTTCTTCAGCTTGTATCCATACTGTCACCGGCCCTCTTTCTCTTCTCTTTTATGAAGGTGACAAAGTCGTCGATTGCCATAGGCCATGCACCGTCTTCTGTCCACCAACTCAGAGTCTCTCCACCGGGCTCTTTCGTCTTCATGACCAATTCACCAACCATGTTCCACAGATCTTTGTTGACCGGTCTCTTACTCTGAGACTCGTAGAACTCGCACCACAGGTCCAACCACTTGGTCGTAGGAGAGTTCCACTCGATCCCACCTTTGCCCTGGCGAAACAACATGTTCCAGAAGTCGATTGCCGAATCCATCGGAACACTGCGTTGGCCTTCAGGCTTGGCAAGCTTGAATGCATTGCGGTAGACTTGTTTGAAGTATGCCGGATTATCCGCCAGTTTCTTCCTAATCACCTCAACGTACTGTGCCTGTCGTGCTGCGGTATCATATGCCTTGTCGCCTATGGAAACGCTTCGCCAGCCGGAAATGAAAGATTCGCGCTCGAATTCGCCGATGGAGGGACATTGCACCAGGTCACAGATGCCCAAGTGAGCAACTTCGTCCAGTTCTACACCGATATCGCTCAAGTATTTCTGAGCCCCTTCTATGCCGATCGTGTCTGGAGCATCCTTGGGATTGTCTACGGGGGCAAGTTAGTGATGATTCTTCACTGCCACGCCTCGGCGAAACACCATACCACGATACTGGTCAAAGAGCTTGTTGAGATTGTGCTGCAGTGGGGGGACAGCATTGTTGGTGGATCCACTCTGATAAAACCTACAACGGAGTTTGTGTCAGTTACTCTTGATCGGCAACAAGTCATGCACAGACCCTGACGCCTTCGAACGATTCGGCTTGCCACCACTTTTGCCTGACTTGGTTCTCGCTGCCAGCCTCGCAGAGAGGTTCGTCATGACTGGAGCGACAGCCATCGCCGACTTGATTCTGTCAATCTGGGCCGAGTGGGAGGCCGTAGGCTTGACTTTTTTGTCTCTGGGTGCCTTCGGGTCCTGTGAGGGGGGAAGGTCGGTGGATTTGCGTTTCGTTGGCATAGTGATAAGCTGACGGATGCAACATACGCGGATGATGAGAAGAAATAGGATCCCTGGTCAACCGAGAGGGCCGATGTAGTGGCTGGAGTGAGGAAGGAAGGAGCAAGAGAAGATGAGCCAGCAGCTCGGCGCCTGAAGTAACCGACTGCGACTGCGGTGATGCAACAGTCTTGGCAGCCACGGACGCAGCCTTCGAGTTAGGAAGCGAGGCTGAGGATCACGTCCGTGTCCGCCATCAGTGAGTGACAGCGGCTTCGAGAAACACGCAGTCGGTTCATTCTTCTTGTCGTGCCCTCTTCAATCTGCGCCCAAGTCCGCGCAAGGCCAGGTAAGGCAAGGCCAGGTAAGGCCAGGGCTCGGCAAATCACAGCCGAAGCAACCTCACTCCAAGTCTTCCAATCCAGTATGCGCCTCTGCCTCTCAGGTGGGCAAGATAGAAGAGGAAGGGAATGGTCGACTTACGAATCAAGTGCTCTTTCCACGTTCCAGTCGTGTGATTTAAGAAACTGCGGCCATCCTCAGTCAGTTGCCCTCCCAGAAACTCCAATTTACGCACCCTCGCAGCTATGCTTTCCTTTGTCTGCGTGAAGCTCACAAATTGAGATATTGATGATCTTTGGGGTGCAGTATAATTGGGCATTTTGCTAAAGATCGGCCACTCCAGGCAGATTCAAAGGACGTTGCTAGATGGCGCTGCTGACGCGGATAACGGGCTAGCCTTGTCTGCGGAAAGCGGAGATGCTGGTGGCACCAAAATACTCCAGTTAAGATCTTCAAGATTTCAACGAGTTGGAGTCTAGTGTAGACTGGCTGTAGTACAATTGTGTTAGATGTTCGTAGATGATGGGGCGACGTCGTTGACATGTTGGAACTTGCGCTCTCGAACCAAGAGGCGAACAGAATAAACCGGCAGATAAAGCGGCGACATTGGGGAGACGGCAGGTTAAGCGAGAAGGCAGTTGTCTCATCTAATCTAATCTAAGGAGTACAGTAGTCTACAGTAGAGTATGTACATGTGTATGTATGTCCTGACACTGGGACTGGAGCGAGGAGCTGTGGAGGGGGTTCCGTGAGGGAAAAGTGGGAGAGGGAGGGGATGATATGGTATGCATAGCAGCATCATAGAGTTTGTGTTTTCCTGTGTACGGAGCATATGGGAGTCATAAGGGAAGGGTCGGTCTTGATGCTGGAAGGGGGCTGTGGCTGTTCAGGGGTGGAACCAGCGACCAGGTCCAGCAGTTCGTGTAGCGAGACGAGGCTGTGCAAGCATAGGCCAATCGGAAGTTGTCTATGTTGTGGTGGCGTGGTGTTGAGTTTGTCGACGAATCGTGCACGTGAAGACTGTGGCTGGTGGCTGGTGACCAGTGGTAGGTCGGGTTATTGGCTCAAGGGCACCCCGGCAGCTACCTAGTACCCAGTAGGTGCTGGTGGTACCTAAGAACATGGCTCATAGCTCCTCATAGGTACCCAGGCAGCTAAGGCCTCCCCCCTTCAATCCCTGCTATGCCCCCTCATTGACCCCTGCAGCACAGCCCTGTCACTAACTGTGCAGGCTATCCCTTCCCTGTCTTTCACTGTCCTGTGCCTGTTTGTTTGGTGAAGCTGAGATCCAAGACGTGACCAACATCAGCGCAAACATCAAGTTGTGACAGTCGGTATCCTTGGTCTTCTTCCTTTAAAAGAATCTTCCCTCTCTCTTCTCCTCTCCTCTCATCTCTTCTATTCTTTCTCCCAGCATCTTGCAACCAGACAGCGCTCAATCATGGGTGTAAGTTCCCTCTTCCCGTCCCCCCTCGACTCACCTTCACCCCCTCGATGTGCCCCGCACCAATACCAAACACCGAATCCTCCTTGTCCCAGTTCAATTTTCACGCCCAAATCACCCTGTTCGCGCCTCGCCTCCCATCTTGGTTTCTGCAATCAAAACAGGTTGCCATGGCTGATGACGCGGATAGCTAGCTTCCAAACTTGCCGCAGCGCAGGCTGCCTATCCCGGTGGCCCTCCAGTAGCTGGTGGTGGTGCTCCTCCTCCTGGAGCTGCTCCTGGTGGTGGATACGTGAGTCAACCTTTGTAAGAGTGCGCTGGGCTAGCAAAGACTGACATGGCTCCGTTGTTGTTTAGCCGGGCCAGCAGCAATATCAAGCATATCCAGGGGGTCCTCCGACGTCTGCTCCTGGTGCTGGTGCTCCTAAACCAGGTCAACCGGTAAGCGTGGTTCCGGTCTTTCCCACCAATTTTATTTTGGCGGCGTGATCTGGAATCTCAATCCACCAAATTCTCCCTTCTGTGTTGCGTCATCCCAGTTCTGTCCTCACTGCGCCCACAATACGGAGTGCCTCGTACCGCAACCGCAACCGCAACCGCCACCGACTTCATCCATTCTTAACCTCCCTCTCCTTCTCGACACTTCTCCATCGCCAACTTCAAAACTATCTCTTCCACAAACCATGAGCAAGTTCTCTCGCATCGCCCAGACTACTCAGCCCGGAGGTGCTTATCCTGGTGCGCCACCCCCGCAGTCGCCGTACCCCTCTCAACCGCCATACAATCAGCCTGCTCTTCCTCCCAGACCAGGTGCATCACCCCAACCCTACCAACCTCCGCAGTGGCAAGCGCCCCAACAGCAACAAGGAGGATATCAATCACCACAACCAGCATATCAGTCATACCAGTCGCAGTACCAACCACCACAGAACCAATATGGGCAACAGCAGTATCAACAGCCGCAGCCAAGTGGCGGATATGGATATGTTCGTCGCAGCACATTGCACCCTTGCTTCGTGTTTACACACGCGTGACCTTGACGAATTGTGAAACTAACACCTCTTTGTCTCCAGGGCCAGCAACCTCCCTACCCTGGTGGTCCGGCTCCCGGGGGGGCTCCTCAGCAATATGGCGGCGGTCCTCCCCCTCAGCAGTATGGCGGTGGTCCTCCGGGCGGCGCCCCTGTAGCTCCCGTGGGCAACGCAGGCGCATACAAGCAGCTTCTCCAAGCCACCATTCAAGAGAAAGGACTTCAAAACTTCTACCCACCCGGTCATCCGATGCTTGACCAGATCGCTAACCGCGCCGCTCAACAAGTCGCTCAGTTGGCCGCAGCATGGCGAATCTCTCCCGAAATAGCCTCTGATATTGTCAAATTGGCCCTCTACGACGTCATCTTGTACATTGATGATAGCGGGTCCATGCAATTCGAAGAAAACGGTGAGCGCATTGATGACCTGAAGTTGATATTGTCGCGCGTCGCATTCGCTACTAGCCTCTTCGACGACGACGGTATTCAAGTCCGCTTCATGAACTCTCCAGACCAGGGTAACAACATTCGCAATGAGCAACAAGTCAACGAGATGATTGCACGCACCCGCTTCTCCGGCCTTACCCCCATGGGTCGCGAATTGCAGAACAAAATTCTTGGCCCTCTGGTGCTTGAGAATGCCCGACGTGGAACTTTGCGCAAGCCTGTTTTGGTTATCACCATCACAGACGGTCAGCCTACGGGTGAAAGCTCGGCGGATGTGGCCAAGATCATCTCCTCGGCGTCGAGCGAGTTGGCACGTAACCCACGGTACGGCAAGGGAGCGTTGGCATTCCAGTTTGCGCAAGTGGGCAACGATCTCAAGGCAAGGGAGTTTCTGAGCAAGCTTGACGAAGAGCCTTCGATTGGTGATGTCATTGATTGCACCTCCAGTAAGTCTTCACCCGTTCCTGCTTGGAGAACCAGACCATCAAGTCAATTTCAATTTCTTTCGAGGTGCTGACGTGCCACACAGACTACGAGGTTGAAGCCGACGAAATGTCCCGTGCTAACCCACCCGTTCAACTCTCGCCCGAACTCTGGCTCATCAAACTCCTGCTCGGTAGTATCGACTCAAGCTACGACACTAAAGATGAGAAAGCTGGCGCACGACCTCCTCAAGGCGGTGCCGGCGGCTACGGAGGTCCTCCAGGTGGCGGCTACGGTGCTCCTCCAGGACAATATGGTGGTGCTCCAGGTGGAGGATACGGACAGCCTCAAGGCGGGTATGGTGGACCGCCTGGGCAGGGCGGATATCCTGGTCAGCAGGGTGGTTATGGCCAGCCTCAGGGAGGCTATGGACAACAACCACCGGGCGGGTATGGACGACCTCCTCAGGGTGGGCCACAGGGAGGATATCCCCCGCAAGGAGGATATCCGCCGCAGGGACAAGGTGGCTATGGTGCGCCTCCACCGCCAAGATACTAGTCTCGCCACTGGGATACTCTGAGAATGGATTTGCCATGTCTAAACGCGACCAGCAGATTGACGTCTAGCGGGCGTGCCTACATGGAGCTATGCTGTGGGCGAAAAGTGGAATACGTTACCTAGAGACAAATCTCAGTTCTGAACATGCTCAAACTGGGACTTGGATCGGATTTGCTACGGCAAGCCAAGTAGTACGTGGTCAGAGCTCACAAGCATGGAAAGTCAAAAGTCAACGGGCCAAGGGGATGAGGAATATGCTAGTAGACGTGACCAGAGCTGCTGCATGAGATACAAGATACACACCGAACCAAGTACATCATTGAACAATACCCAGTATAGAATTGGCCCCGGTATACCCCCGTCGAGAGGAACGAGAAATTAAATGTATTTTGGTTCCTGACCACCATAGCGAGCCGAATAAGTAGCCCTAGTCAGTGAGTAAAGTTAACTCACAAGTGGCCTGGACAACTCTTCCTTCCTTCTACTCACGTACAAAGGCCATCTCCGTAGACGTGTACGCTCCCTAGGGGCACGGTGTCTGTATATCCGCCGGGCGATCCCACCAATTGAAAAGCAGTGAGTTCTCTTGCGACTTCTCGCTACAGAGTATATTTCAGTCAAAGTCAAGGTTGGGGTAGGAGTAATGTATTCATATAGGTATGGAGATAGGTAGCTCCGTGTGTACCTAGATATATTTCTGAGTCAAGTTTATATAGACGGTTATATACGTGTACATGAGATGCAAGATGGAATATATTGATCAGTGTATGGACGGACCTAGCTACCGTCCTGGCTCCCTAGTCGATGACTCGATGTGCAGGGCTTGCGTGGAGATGTTGAGAGTTTATCCCGGTCATTTTTCTCATCAGTGTAAGATGGTTAAAATGGTGTATAATACTTAGCGATATTTCGAGTGTGTCCATCGACTCCAACTTGACGGATCACCGCCCGATCGTTTGTTCATTCATTCATTCATTCATTCATTCATTCATTCATTCATTCATTCATTCATTCATTCATCCATCCATCCATCCATGCACCGGATCGAGTAGTCGTTCAGCGGCTTCGCACAAGCGGCGTTGTAACCTCCCTCCCCCCAACACACACACACACACACACACAGACTTCGCCCCTTGCCCTGTTCCTGCTTCCTTCTCTCATCTCTTTTCGTTCTTGGTCGTTCGTGCGTGGGGGCCACAGCGACTTCACGTCCGATCCGATTTCAATCCCGACTGGGCCGTTGACACGGGCCAATGAATGGGAATCGAGAGGCATGCGGCAGCGTTTCTCTCGAACCAAGTGGAGTGGCCCTTCCCTTTTTCTTTTTGTTGTGCAGGGTTTTTGACCGGTGATAGGCGGTGAGCGCAAGAATGCAGGAACGGAGGATCATGCTGATGCTGTGCAATGAGGAGATAAGGGCGATGGCTGTGGGTGGATTGGCGATGCCCCTTGCAGATATCGGCGTGAACGTTGCGTGTGTCACCCGTTGCGCAACGTCCATGGCAGAGAATTGATTCATTTTCACTCACCGGAGTTCATGTGCGTGGGTCGTGGTGCGGCCTTTCAGAACATGGCTCTCGGCTGCTACCAATGTGTGTCACTTCACTAACTTGTCTGGACGTCGTTTCGAAAATTTAACTTCGTACAAGTTTGTTATACATCTGCTTCTGGGCAGTGTAAACGAAAGCTAGACAAGCCACGATGACAGGCCCCGAGAATGACTCTCAATATCCTTTTCTCCAGGGAACTGTCAAGTCGAGCATGTCTCGATCCAAGGCGAGACATTGTGAGGAGTAGGAAGACTCTTTGTTCATGAGTCAACGGCCCCTGTTTTAGAAAGGGAAGAGGAGCTGGAACTTCCCAGCACCAACGGAGATCAAATCCCTTGGACCTACCTTTCTGAGACGGAGTGGCTTGGAAATTGTTCTAGAACAATTTTGATCTAGACCACGGTTAACTCATGTCCTCAAAAAACATACAAATAAAGCCGCTGCACATGCTATGCTTGGGTGGTCCCATTACCGCATCCCCAACCGGGAATGACTCAAAAGGTCATGTTGTGGTACAAGATGCAACAATGCTGATAAACGAAGGAGACGAAAAATATGGGTTTGTGTGCCAAGTATTGGAGGGCAGGCCGGTTGGGTTAGGTCGTATAGAATCTCGTATTCACCCGTGATTTGAGACAGTGATGATTATCCCAAGGCCTGCCTTGTCACCAGAGCTGTACTTTAGTGCCCATCACTTTAAGAGACGACGGTGGGGATACGCTGCTTGTCTCGAGGCACCGAGACAGCGACAAGAAGAGAATGAGTCGATGATACCGACGCTCTTGATGCGGACAATGAGACGTCAATGTCGCAGACGAGGACGAGTGAGTGCCAAGTGGAGCGTGAAAGTAGGGCTGACAGCGGAGAAGTTAGCAGAAGTTTGGTGGAGGCAGAGGATGGAAGTCCGAAATTTAGCCATCATGGGGCGGACAGGAGCAGAGCAGATGCCGTGTAACTCTGCAGCGGCTCTTCAGAAAGCTGAATGTCGTGGAGGAGGTAGATTTGGAAATGAATTCAAATCAGGCTCCAGCAAGAAGGCAACGGGTGAATCATTGGGGGGGGGGGGAATGACGCGAAAACGTCGAGAGTGCAGAGGCCACGGGACGAATTGGGCAAGTGTTGTGTTGATTGAGGTTGACGCCTACATACCACCTGCTACCGTGGAGAAGAGAAGCAATGCGACGACTGTGCAAGGGACAAGGGATGAGAGATTGGAGCGGCTGGAGGGCTGCCTCACTAGTTGGGCTGCTGAAGGGTGACAAGACCCGGCACTCCGTAATCATCTGGAATTCCGTCTGGCTGCAGTATTGCCTCGTCCTAAGGCGGAATAACAATGAGGGGAAATGACGGAGTGAGGGTTGAGCAAGAGGCAAAGCATTTTATTTTCCGCGTTAGCAATCAAGTGGATGGGAGAATGAATTGGCGGTGCGGGCAATAATAAGTGAGAGCTGCGAGGGAGAAATGAAGAGCGCGTGTGAAAGGGGACGTGAGTCTTGACCAAATGGGCAGGGGAAGGCATGACTAACGCCTCCTATCTACTGTGCTGGGTACAAGGGTAATTTTCGTTACTTAGCAGGGCTCTTAGGCTGGTGGGCTGGTGGGCTGGAGGGCTGGAGGGCTGGAGGGCTAGCAGTAGGTCGGTCAGAGCTCTCGGGGCTCTCAGGGCTCTCAGGGCTAGTACCTAAGTAACAAGGACAAGGAGGCTAGTAGGCTCACCGCTGACGGTGGAAGTCTGCCTGGCCAGCGTCCACGGGTGGTGCCAATGGTTGCCCCTCGTTCATGCCATGTCGCCCAGGCTGCACGTCACTTGGCCCGGTTGGGTCACCAGGGCCACCGCAGGGCAACCAAGAGCCACCGCACCCACCTTTACGGGCACCGGCTGGACCACTTAGGGCCCTAAGCGAGGCGCCTAGTAACGGATCTTCATCTGTGGTGGCTTCAATCCGAATGTCACCGCTTCACTGGCAACATTGGCTGGCTTGTGCCCTTTTGGCCCTTTGGGCCCTTTTGTCCTTTTGCTTTTGTTTCTCCCGCTCACCGTGCCAGCTGCTCCCACACATCCACCCATCCCTGTTTCTCCACGTGGTGGAATCCGTAAACAATGTTTCCCATTCGACCTGCACAATGCTACCTGGTTCCCGCCATCCCTTGTTTGGGGGTTCAGATGCGTGGCTGCATTGTGATCCCGACCGCGTTTCAACGCAGGTGACGGTGAGTGAAGACAGGGCACGATGGCTCCATGGAGTCACCTGCTTACATACATATGATGATGCCCATCCCAAACGGCTAAAGTAGTCATCACATAACCTCCGAGCACCAGAGTGAGATGGGATATATCTTTCCCTCTCCCATCTGCCTCAGCATCCCCTCGCCTCACCGACCAGAGATCGACAGTGTCCGTGCTCCCACATCTCAGACATCAATCTCGTCGAATTCCACTACCCAACCCCCGCTCGACAGAACCATTCCGATATCTACCTCAACAATCCCATTATCCTCGCAGTCCGTCCACAACACAATGGCTTCACCGTGCAGAGCAAAGCCCGCTCTTCTGAGGGGCCTCCGCCCTCTTGTCGCCACCCAACAGCAACTGGCCGCTACGCAAAAGATCCTGTTGTCGGCTTGCTCAGAACCATGCATCTACTGCGATATCTGGAAATTGGCAACTCTGATCGCCTCCCATTCTCCCCTCTCGGCTCGTTACAATCTAACCACCGGCACACCTACCAACTCGCCGGTCTCCTCCGCACCGTCCAGCCCCGTGGCATCTTCACCTATTGCCCAGTCCCCAACGCCATACGCATCCATCATCTCTGCCTCCAAGAGAATCGAAGCTCAGTTTCAGACTCAACGATCGCAACTCAATTCCATCCTCAGCATCTGCACCGTCTCCGGGGTCGATACCACCGAAGGTCTGAGGTTGGCGCATGACAGAGTTGCCACGGCAGTGGAAGACTTGCTCGACCAGGAAGAGGACTTGGAGGAGGAGCTGCTGCGGGATCTCCAAGAACAGCAATACGACTACTCGTACAACTACGGCCCACAATATGCATATTCGAGTGCTTCAGCAGTATACGGATACTCGCATGAGCGAAGGCCCAGCATGGTTCATGTGACACACTGATCACACGCATGCACTAATGTACCATCACTGTCACTCCAACCGACTTTGGGGGGGTTTGGAAAAGCAAAAGGCAAAGCGAGCGATCTACAGAAGCACATGGCGCCATTTCCTATGTCTGGGGAGGGATATTATTGGCATCTTCAGAAACCAGACTGAAGAGAGCGGGAGGGCCTGGAGCAGCAGCCTGCTTCGGATGCCACCACGGTGGTCCACACGATGACGATTTTGATATGATACCCCATGTATAACAGCAGCTAGTGCGTGCACGGTCAATCAGACGAGATTTTTCCTTCTGCATTCTTTTGACCCTTGATTCCTCCTCGCTGTCTCTGCTGTCTCTGCTGTCTCTGCTGTCTCTGCTGTCTCTCTGACGTCGCATGCCTAGAACCCAGCGCGTCCAGGTGGTCTCAGGTTATTTCTGTCCACCCACCCCCATGTAACGGCAACGCAGTTTTGACTTTTGCTGTCACCATCGTCACCTGCTCGACCTGAGACCTTTGACTTTCTTGAGCTCGCAATAAAAGTTTCATCAGAAGGCGCAGCACATGTGCACGGCACCACGAGATCGGTACCCGGTAGGGACCCAGGCTAGGCAAAATGCAGTAGCGCGTGCGAGCCCTGCGGGGCGACCTCGCAATCACCCTCTCCACTGGCCCCTCACCACTCAGCGCGCTGCCTCGCTTGGCTGGCGGAGGCTGGCACAGGCATCACAGGAGCAGGGGCGTGGCTGGCCTGATGAGGCAAGTCTACGCTACGAGGTCGTTTGCACGTGAAGCCAACGCTGCCCACCCCCAGGAACCGGGGCCTGGGTACCCAGTAAACTCTGTGCCAGGTACGGTAGTAAACTGTTTAAAACGTTCAGCCACCGATTTAACGACCTGCTTGTACAGAACCTTGGTAGCCAGTCACGCAGCCACCAGAGTTTTCGCCATGACATCCATCTGTCACTCCCTTCCCATTGAGCCCTACGGGACGCTTGCCAGGCACATAATTACTAACAAAGGGCGCACCGGGAAATATTCCCGTCATCATTTAATTTCCCTTTCCCTTTGCTCCTCCGCCCCCTTCACATGCGGGACTGGCATTTGAGATAAGCAACAAACAGCACGCAACACGCAACACGCAACGACATTTGAAATACGACATCTCGCTCGTACTCTAGTGAGCCGCGGCGATGCTGCTAAACGATTTCATTCCGGCGTTTCCTGACGGAAAACTACACGAAGCATCTCACCAAAATTCCTCACAATAATGAAAGGGACCACGATCGGCCACCGATTCTACTGTGTTGGTATGCATGTAATAATCGCCATCAGAGGAGAAATGAGAAATGAAATTGATGATCCTCGTCCGTCATCTCATCCCATCCCTATCTTCTCCGTGATGATGATCCGTCCTCTAGCCTCTACGGTGGAACGGGGTGCATACTGCGGACCGAGTACGCTGTACATACGCACGTACCCACGTCTGTCGTTTTGTAGCTTGGTACATAGCTATGTAGATCATAAGCCGTCATCACTGATCCATTGTCAACATTACTTATTATGCCCCCCCTGGCGCTGGTGACGACTGCTGACTACGCATGGAAGCTAACTATCTGGCTAACGATAGCGGATACTAGTAGGGTACTGGGTAGATGACAGAACTAAGTGTTAATTGCCTTTCGTGGAGGAAATCCATCCGCATGGCATTGGGATTCCAAAGGGCAGCGTAGTGCAGTGCAGGTTCCCCGTTGCAGGACTGTCATCATCCTCACTCGTTGATTCCGCCATTACCTGGTTGAAAATCGGTATATTTTGCCGGGATGAATATTACCCTAATCAGGCACCTCGGTGCGAATAATTACTCCTTACCTACTGTACCTATATCCCCCTTCGATGGCCCCCGAATTGCCCTTTTCGCGTCTTCAACAGTTCACCTTTTCGTTCGTTCCTGCGAACATTAGATAATCCTGCTTACCTATGTTTCATGCTCACCCTCACCACCACCGTCGCTCTCGCGGCCGGTCGCGGTCCGCACCTTAGGACCCAGCGCGCTCGAGGTCTCCGGGTACCTGTCAGGCTGTCCCCAGTGTGAATGGCAACCGCCTAGTTGGTTGCTTGTGGTACCCATCAAAGTCCGGGTTCTCGGCCCCGCTTCGGTCTCAGGTTCTCTATCTCCGGATGTGGCATTCTCGTTCTCATCCTCATCCTCATTCTCACCTCCATGCCTCCTCCCTTCCTTGGTTCGCACTCCGAATCCTTCGTAGTCTAGATCTAATCCCCCCACTACCAACCCCCATACCAGAAGTGCCCCTTTGCCCTTTTGCGCTATTACCCCTTTGGCAATTCTGCCCTTCTCCCCCTCTGGGGGAAGGATCAATTAGCATCTTATGCTTATCGCCGCCGGAGCTTGTGGCTGGTAGCTTGTACATAGCCTGGCTGCTCCATTATCTTCAGCACTATTACCGAACGCTGGGCATCGGACTAAGGACCGAAGGAAGGCATGAAGTAGATGACGGAGTAAAATACTCGGCACGGTATGTACCTCCGAGACCTGCCTAACTACCTACCTGTCCTTGTAGGAAGGTAGCTAGTCAATTTAGATGCAGCGCGAAGTCCCTCCCCCTGAAGGGCCGGTGCACCGAGGTGTAGAGAGGAGCAAACAGCGTCAGCTGAAGTGATACGGAGCCTTTCTGTGGCTACCAGGTACGGAGGACCCTTGCACCTACTAGCAGGTACGTGGGTACATTGGTGATATCGGGGGAATAGCTGTCCTCCATCTTCCACTCGTGACTTGCCGTCCGCCGAGCATTCCCTGGGCCTTCTCTCTTGCGCAAGACTGTCATGGTGTGGTTAAGGACTGAGGCGACTCGATCTTGGCTCGAGAGCCTTGTGGCTGTCAGGCGGAGTTCGTCGCCGGAGCGTCGAAGACTTCAAAAGAGTTCAACCGCTGACAGCTATCCCTCTTTTTGGACTGCCAGAACATGCAGTCAAGATATACATCTTCCAATAACATTATTATTATTACTTTTTTTTTCATAACGAATCGTAGCAACGCGCGGCTTGGCGCGCGCATTCCTCCTCGGACAACAACACTGCCCCCGCAATTGCAAATTCCATCCGCTCGTCGTATGCAAAGGAATTCAGACTGTGTCTTCAAGCAACTTTTTCGCTGAAGGCTGCCGAGGTCTTTGAGTGAGGCGCAGCAAATTTTCCGTTCGAAACCCAGAGTTCTTGATCAAACGAGGATTGACTCGTATGCCCCATAATACAAGGGAATGAACCACTAGTCCGGTAAAAGAGAGCACCAATATCACGGCGAGGAAAGATCCGAAAGATCGTTGTACAAACGGGATCACCACCGGATCCATGGAGAAGACGCTCGTTGCAATTGCTATCGGGGAGACGTAAACCTAAAGTAGCGTCACAGAAATTAGCAGGCACAAGTTAATTTAAATGGCGGGACGCGGTGAACATACCATCATCAACCAGGAGAAGTGTCCGACGCTCTCATCCATCTTCCTGGATCCTATATTGAGCTGGAGCTGGAGCAGCTCAAACTGTTGAATGCTAGTATTGAGATGGAACTCAAGCTGTACAATGAGCCTTAGGTTAGTGCTCCTGAAGGAATGCAAACAGCGTGGTGTGATAATCATAGGGGCTTACACTGCGAACCATTCCGGTACAACGCTGCAACACAGCTTCGAGTTCAGACTTCATCAATGCAAGTTCATTGAATGTTGTTTGGATGGCGTCGAGAGACCGAGCGCCGCAATGCCAGGAGGAGAGATATTGATGGTCGAATTTCTCGTAGCCAGCAAGAGTCCGACCCAATGTATCGCGCAGCTGTGTCGACAGTCTCATGAATTCCAAACACCATTCAAGTGACCTCCTGAGCTCCTCGCGCTCGTGCTGATCGAAGGTTCGAGGTAGTTTTCGTTTTGTAATGTCGTTTGCTCGATCCTGTATGATGAATCAATACCAGAACTAGTGTGCCTAGAATATTACGACGACGTGCTAATCGAGTTGGATTCCAAGTTGCGTTGATATGTCTCACGGCGATGTCTTGTGCATCAGGTGTGGAGAGGAGAACAACCCACGGAAAATGAAAAAGATAAGTTGGGACTCACATGGTCTTGTCGCTGCACATCTTCTTTTATCTTGTCAATTACCGTTAACCATTCGCGCCGGACTTGATAGAGTCGATGCTCAAGAACCCTGAGAAAATATTCTCTGGGATCCCGGATTGGCATATCCGCGTCGACGTTGCCGTATGTGAGGGGGTCGGCGTTAAAGCCATATTCAGACTCCCGGTCCCTGTGATACTCAACCACACTTTCCCTCCATTCATCTTCGCCGTCGAAGTAAGTGTCAACAAAGCAGTAAGCGACCCATCGATGGTCGTCCAGGCCGGCTACGACGCAAGATATTTGGGCCTCGTGAAGGCAGTCGCGGCCATTGATCTGACGCGGGTCCAGGAAAGAGACATCCACCATATCTCTTAATGGGCGTCCGTCTGCATAGCGACGGTCATCTAGCCTTGGTTGAGTGGACGACCTCCTCCATGCGAAGTATGGCAGGTGAAAAACGAGCTGGAACCCGTGAAATCCGCCCAACTAGTAACCATCATTTGATTAGTACTGGCATTCCCGCTGAACCTGAAATGGTACTGACCGAAAACGATGCATCGAAGTGCGCCTGGAATGCCAAATGCTTGTATATTGCGTCTCGAAGAGGGGCGGCCTGGGTTTTGGAAACCGTGGATATCAAGGCATAGATGCTTGCTGGGTCTAAATCGGTGATGAATCTGCGAATATATTAGCACGAGGAGAGAATAGAAAATACCGATAATTAGAGTGGCTGGTAAAGGGCCACGAACATTAGCCGCCGCTCTGCATCTGGCTCCATACTCTGTACCCCTTTACTGAAAGAACTGGCTGGCTTTTGAGTTTTTGTCTCGTTGAGATTTTCCATTGCGTTTGTGGGATTGAAATGGCGAAGATATCTCATACGTCGACGCTTGATATTCATCGGAGCAACCATTTTCGATAGATTCTCGTCGTGTCCCATTTCCGGAGCTGACCGAGGTCGAAAGCGCTACACCCAAAGACGTGAGTAACATTCCATGGCTGTTCGGATCTAGGAAGGGGTGTCCTACCGGCTTTCTCAACTGAGCGTAAAGCTCGCGCGCTGTCAGCGGTCCACGGTAAGCCCGTGGACAGCACTGGCCATTTTCAAAACTCCTTTCATCCAGCCACGCCACATAAGGCGCTGCCTGTTGGTCTCGGATAGCGCCCAGGCTCGTTCCCAAACAGAAGTCTCTCACCTTATCCGCTCGGGGGTCGGAGCCGCCGTATCCTTCAGGATCTTGCATGAACTCGCTGATCATGTCCCGAAGGTGACGAGATTCCTCCGCCACGTCAATGTAAGGTCTGTTCTCCATTGCTAAATCTAAGTTTCGTCGTCTCTTGAACTCGGCAGGCCACCCATCGACGTGTGCTGTGCTTTCGGGCGGAAGCTGAGGTTGAGGTTGGGGGGAGGGATCGGATTCGGGCATCGTTCTTACTGCGTCAGATTCTATGCAAACCTCTCCTGACCTTTGTACATCCTCGTATGATGGTCCATAATATGCACTATGAACAGTCATTTTGCATGACGCTCTGCATGGCTCTACACAAGGACGAAGCTCGGACGCTGACTGATGGAGCCCCTTCTGCCCCTGGGAGATGGCGTGACTGTGCTGGGTGCACTCAGATGCAACACCTGGTGTTGTTGGATTTGCTATTTGTAATGCTATTTCGCGCTCTTCTGGACCTGTGGACGTCTGCGCGGCGTCGGCCGAGAACGCTGGGCATTCGGATGTCAACAATGTTTCCAGGACAAGGTCAGAATCTACTAGCAGACCCTGGTTAAGGCGTGCCTGTACGTTGTCGAAAACGTCTCGAGCAGGCATGATATATGCGATCCCCTCGCGTTCACAGCCGGCGATTATATGGCCGTAGAGGTCACCAGTTCCTGCATCCAGTACCCATGAGCCACAGTCGCCTTGCGCAAGAGGGGCATCGAACTGAATTTCATAGACTTCGTGGAACGTGCTGCTGTTTGGTAGACGGATATGCGAAAGCGTGCCATCCAGCGTTCCAGTCAGAAGTCCCCCAGACGCAGTACAACAGAAAACATCGATGGCGTCATCATCTGAGTCTGGTACGATAATGTTGGTCCTCCGTAGGGTCCCCGTAGACCTCCGGTTGTTTAACGGAGTGTTGGCAAGTAAGTTCTCGACCACTCCACCATCCGCAAGTCTGACAAGTGCATAGTCCAAATTGCTGGAAACGATGGGGTTCGTTTCTTTCTCGGCAAATTGATCACGCTGCAACCGCTGAATCTGTGCCAAGCCGAATGCCTCGTCTCCTTTTATTTGGCCGGTTGGTTGATTGTGTGCTGTCTGAGATTTGCTGAGGTTAAGTCGAAGATGCGAAGCGGTTGCCAAGTCCAAGGCGTGCATGTGTAAGTCTGGAGCAAACCGTCCTCTGACCTGGTCCAGTTGACGTGACCCTGCCTCGTTAAGCGTTTTCATGGTTGCGGCACCTCCAGGCTTCTCAGTGTGTCCCTCTTTCATGGGACGCTCCGTTTGAGATTCGGAGGTATCTGGACTGGAGCTGAAAGGGTGTCCAGCAGAGAAGATGAAAACATCACTACCGTGCCTGATAATCCCCCCAACAGTGGCAACATGGTTTGGAGATGTGGATGCGGACGAAGGACCCACGAATATCCTGTTGCCAAATATACTGATCATAGAAGCTATGTCACTGGTTGTGGCCGCCAATGGTCGAACGCGAGCAACCATTCCCGTTGCAAGCAACTTGAGCGTATTTTTCTCTCCAATCGTCACACTGGGGTAATCTTTCATCAGTCCGCTATCCTTGATCAAGCTTCGATATTTCTGGTAGACGGCACGGTCGTTGTGTACGAACAACAAGTGTGGCCGAGCTTTCTCTTCACAATCGCCGGTCATGCAAAGCCAAAACGTCCAGATTGCGGAGCTTGGTTCCTCGTAGCCGCACGCGTTGATAAGTCGTATAACCCTAGCCTTCAATTCAATCAATGTTTTTCTGGCAGGCCCTTTAGCTCTCCACAGACTGGAACTGCCGTTTGACTCGATAAGGCTACCTATCGAATCTCTGGAATTGGGCCAATCGAGTTCCCCTGTGCTAAAGAGGTTTGCCGCCGGCCTTCTAATAAAGTTATTCATGGCATCCCATGAGTGCTGAACGTACACAATACTTTCGATCCAAGACTTCGCAGCCTGAAGAATTCACGAGGTGAAATGGACTTCCATGAGAAGTTGAGAGCCGGCCGGCATGTCATGAAGTTTGAGGATAAGGGTCACTAATTTGGGGCGCTGAAAGGTTGGGCAGCAAGAGAGGATAGCATCCAGTAGATTTGACGGAGTTTCAAGCCAGGCGCAACATTGCCCGAGTACGGGTAAGTCGTCCAATAAGAGAGAGGCTGTTATGCCCAAATGTGGGAGGAATGTCCTGTACACCTCTTCAGGGCGTGATGAGGCTGTGCTGAAAAGGCAGTGAACGGCGTTGCAAGTTATAAAGAACCTGATTCGATTCAACACTGCTTTGAATGGGTATGCTAGATCATTCCTAGTTGGAGACTCTGAGACACGGAAAATATGGGTTTTTTTGAGAACACACTTTTTCCACCTTCCTCAGAGGATAAATTTGCACTTCTGGCACGACTATGGAATCTTTGCGACGATTTTAGATCCCATGAGGCTGAGTACGACGGAGCGGCCTACCTTGCCTATTATGGACAACAATGCAGTCATGCGGGTCACGATGAGGAACATATCCTTGTTAGCACTCACCACGACATTTGCGAACTTGCAACACAGATCCTGCAAGGAGCATCTAGAGAAGATATCATATGCCGATTGAGCTTGAAGTATCCAGACTTGGGTGGAGAAATGGACCTTGATAGGACAGTACGGTTGAACAATTCTGTTGACCTTGCAGCCCGGCTAGTATCGATGGTTAATGTCGGTGTACCATGCTGCACTGCGGGTCGCGGAGGAGAACCGCTGATATGGGCACAGGGCCCATTGAACGAGTTCCTGAGAGCGCACTTCAACCAGCCCAGCCAGGACAAGACCCATGTCAAATTGGACTTCTCATTCAAGGGCCGGAATTTGGAACGACTGGGACGCATTCGCGTCGACTGGACGAGCAAACTTGAGGATCACCTCCTTCTCACCGACGACAGCGAGCGAAGGGTTGCTATTTTCCACCATGCGTCCTTCTTGAAATGTCAGCAGAGGTAGGTATAATTCGTCGTCCTTGCAGATTATGGTGAAGTTATCTGACAATGTAGCTCGGCATGCTCGACTTTGCCTTCTGAGATAGTCGAAGAAACTCTCCGAACCATTGCTCTATTGTTTCCACAATCTGAAAAGAGAACTGTCAAGTGGTTCCGAAAGAAATGCACCAGATATCCTCATCTAGATAGCCATTTGATTAAATGCGGCGGCCTCAGACCTAACGACAGACAAATCGAGAAATTCAGATTCTGGCGCGATCGCCTGATTATCCTTAAGGAGGCCTTCGACGAAAAGACCAAGCCGAGCACATTCTCGCAGTTATGGTATGATAGACGGAATAGGCTGCAGTGGTCCACCTTCTGGGTAGCGATCCTTGTGTTGATCTTGACTGTTTTCTTCGGGATTGTTCAGAGCATAGAAGGCGCTCTACAGGTATACAAGACATATCATCCAACGGCTGGCTAGATATGTGCCTACCGAGTTCGATTTAGGAGGGACCTTTCTAACATAGTTTAAAGTCTATATAAACAGGCAGGGAACACAAATAGACAGATACGGTTGATCAGTCACATAAATGCCAACCATTTATGCAATTAACCTGACTGTTCACAGTCTGACAGTTATCCCTTGCCTTTTGGAGACGGGTAGTTTTCTGCCTTTCTTCTTCAATGCAGATGGATCTTTGATTACTTCGTCTGGAATGACCATGGCTGCTGATCAAGACGCTTTTGGTGGTATTAGTGAGTGATTCCCTAGCATTTGCCGCATCTTGGATCACGGCGAATATCGCAGTATGGAATATCTTCCGTCTCTCTCACATCTCTCATCAGCCTTTGAGTTTTGTATCACGGTGGTTCGAATACACCTGCCTCGGATTTCAATGACTATCGTGAACACGCTACCTAGCACTCCAATCTATCAAGCCAGAAATAGAACATCCATTTTGCCAGACTGGCTCTTTTTTGGGAGTCCGTGATGACTTTTCTCCGGTACTGTCACATTCCACTATACTCGCTTCAGGCGCAACAACGCTCAAGTATTGCAGCGACTTTGACGCAAAGCTCTTGCTGCTGACGGCAAGTCTGGTCATCCTCAAGTGGCTCTAGCATCAAGCAGAGGCCGACTGCCTCTGCGTATAGGTCTCCACACAGAAACATTAAATACGGAATGACTTGATTGTATATGTTACGCCGAACATCGTACGGAGCATTGATAGGCGTATAGGCGAGAGTCTGATTCAGGATTTTTTCAAGGTTCAGCATTGTGTTGGAACATCCAATCTCAATAAGCAAGATACCCAAAGAGTAGCCGTCGTACGCGTAACAGTAGTGTCGATTCAACGAAGCGAATTTCGCTGGATGATGATAGTAATCAAGTTGAATTTCAGCACGAGCGGATGTGAAAGCATGATTGGCGCTCATCAGATCTCCAGTTCGTGCCTCAGCTTGACCTTCATTCCAGTTTATCGGGAGAGAAATCATTGAGGGACGAGGCGCAGTCCTCAAAAGCTCTTCGAGACGGGATGTCGATCCCGGAGCGCCCCTCGCAGGGACCTCAGATTGGATTGGCTCGGGCCTCGAAAATTCGAAACGGGAGATGTGTGGACGCTTGAGGATAAGTGGGCGGTCCGAGAGGCCCGCGTCGCTTGATTCCTGTGGAAAGAAGATGACGGAGCTCGCTCGCAAGTTCTTGTGAAGCCATCCGTTTGCATGCATGAGACTAATACTTTCGACGAGTCTCTTGCCTACCTCGAATTTCTGTGCCAAGGTCAATTGAAAGGTCGGGGTACTTAGGAGCTCTGAAAGGGGTTTGGGACCCCTGAATGTAGTGTCTTCGTAGGGCGAAAGCGGCTTTGATTTACCAAGCTGACCTGGAAGTCTGTATATGAAGTCGATTTGATGAACATCCGGGCGTCTTACAATTCCAACACAATCCAGTGAAAGTAAGAGTGCTGTCCATTCGGAATTGTATAGAAGACGCGCTAATTGGAGAACATGGTCCTCGGGAGAGCGTTGATTTTGTTGTGCATCGCTTGCATGTTGGTAGTTCCTGCCTTCAACATATACCGCTTCTTTCATCTTGTTCCAGACTGCCATCCCCGGTGATTTCATCTCCAACTCTTCTGCTTGGATCTCTGGTACCTTATCTTGCCTAAGTGCCTCCCCATTTTTAATTGCTTTTATGGCTACCATTTTAGCAAGTGTGTTCAGACTGTTTTGTGACGGTTGGTCCTCTTTGTCGCTTCCCATCTTTGCGATGTCCTTTACGACGTCTTCAAGATAGGTGTTTTGATTTTGGATCGATAGAAAGTCGGTGGCTAGGTAAGTTCTCATGATCTCTTCTGTCCCCTGCGGACACAACTTCTGGAGCGAATCGTTCGAGGCACTGAAGTTCTCGATATAGTTTCGAATTTGTCCTTATCTTCCATCGCCCATTTGGCCTTCTGATAAAGTGTCATGCTCTTGCTCATGTTGCGCAACTTGTATTTAATTGGCTTCGAGATCAGCTTCGATATGTCCCAATCATGTCCGCTGTCTGCTTGGATGCTGGTGTCCTGCGGTATGAGTCAGAGAGCGGCGTCGAATACCTTAATTTGTATAGTACTTACAGGCCTGATTTGAATGCCATACAAGCTCAATAGTTTGTCAGCGTCGCTGAACATCCCGGTAATGGCAAGTATTGCTTCTTGTATCCCTTTTAACTTGTATCTGTTTCGATTTCTCTCAAGATACGTTCGTATCTTAGACCTCGATTCGATAAATGAACGCTTGGAGTCTTGATCCAGTAAACGCCCATGCCCGGGGAGTAGCTCCCAGTGGAAACCCCAGGAGCTGATCATTCATGCTTGAATATTAAAATGGCGTAGGCAAGTTGTTGACACCTCCTCGGCGTGGTACGCATCGATGAAGGTCTTGACACACTCTCGACATGCAGAGTCGAGAGCAATCGACCCAATGACAAGACCCGCGATGTCGGCCATGCTTATGAAGTATACTATGTTCTGTCTCTGCTGTTGGCGCTGACTAGAATGATAGAGCTGAAGGAGGCCAAGGACGGCGGCGTGTCCGTAAGTGAAGAATATATTACGAGAGGCTGAGGGCAGCTATGTGTAACACGGCAGGAATATTGTGCATGGAATTTATGGTTGACGGATTACAGGTTGGAAGTTGGGTTGATCGACGGGAGGCATGAGGCTGTGGGCTGATGTCTGTACGCTCGCCCGGGCTCTATGTACTCCCTACAGCTGCAGCCGAAGTAAGCCGCACTAGCCTAGTTAGCCTAGTTAGCTTAGTTAGCCTAGTAGCCACACTAAAATGAGCCCATTAGCACAGGGATTTCAGCCTCACCTCCTTTTCCAACTACCGTGTAACCTACGAAAAGAGCCTTCTCTCGACAAATAGAATGCCCTGCACAAGGGAGCAGAGGCTACAACCAGGCAAGACCTCAACGGATGATGTCTTTTTCTCTTCAAGTTGAAAACTTTATACGAGTATCTACGAGAGTACAGTTTCAGGACCTGAGGTTCGGAACTGGCACTCCTCACGAAAGATGGTGACTGAAATATCTCGTACCCTATACTTTCGCGCAAGGTGGGTTGAGCTTTCTATGTTGCCTTGATCTGGCTGACGCATTCCCTTCACTACGGCCCGTACGCTGCGCACATTGCGTCTTTATCATTCAGTCTATCATCATAGTCGTGCCTTCTGCCGTCTTCCCACCACTCCACTCCTCTTTTTCATTTCCATTTTACTTCAGCCCATAGATTTGAGTCTACGGGCCTAGGATCTAGATCCAGGTCCATAAAGTTCGAATCTTGACAACCCTAGCGTCAACAACGTTAGTGTTTTGTGCACTGACCAGGTCTACTTGTGGAGCATGGACTTGACCCTTAGACTCAAAAGCCTCCCACATCGCAGTATGAGGAGAGCCCAATTACCCAACATTGAAGCCTTCATCCATTAGAGCTTTAATATGAGGATTTGGAAATGTCGAACGCTAATGCGAGGATAACAAGGATTACCTATAGTCGCCTGGTGACCTCAGGCGGTTTTCTCGACGACCCAGAGGGGTTCAGAAGTGGGAGATCTAGCAGTGAAAAGGGGAGAAATCAAGTTGTGGGAATGACGCTGACGTGACGGTCCAAGGCCGTTACAGTATTACAATCAAAGGTACCCTCACCTCCTGCGTAGAAATCCTATTCGTTGACTGTTTTGGTTGTATATGTTCCTTCAGCATCATTCCGTCATCGCCTGGGGTTGTTAGTTCTAGTTCTAGAAGTAGGTCGATCCGACTACGACAGGGTTGAAGTCTAGATATCACTCGCTTGCACATTGCCTGAGCTCATCGGGGTATTCGCATATCCCTGCACTCAACTCTGAGTCCGGGAACTCTCAATTCACTCAGAGATTGCCGCATATAGCAGAAGCAGTAGAGGGATGATGAATATAATACATTTCGTGATGAATGAAATGCAGGGGTAAGTCCTCGTTTCCCACCATACCAGCAGACAGGCGTACGTAGTTATCGGTGTGGGCAGCAGCGTTAGCCATCGGCATAGAGAGACCTCAGCTAAAAGGGTGATGGAGACTCTAGGGATTACAAGTATAAGGATAGATATCATCAGGATGCGATGAATGGGGACCTCATTCAGGCTGCTGTTGGCCCTGCTCGCGAGAACAGGACCCTACGGCGCCTACTTTTTCAAGCCTATCCGATGGTCGACAATTTCTCAGTTCTGTGGATGGCCTGAACTCGGGATCGAAACCCGAGGGCTCACGGTCCGGATATCCCAGGCGCTGGAGCCGAATATCATTCCGCCCTCAGACATTTTTGTCGAGTCGGCAGTAAGGTGGTGTTTCAGTCAACTTAACGAAAGAGGTGAAGCGGGCCATTGCTGCGGATCTGGTAGACAGCGTCTTGTTAACTTTCTTTAAATGCAGATGCTGCAAGCATGGAATGCACCATCTTCACTGCAAATGTGGTTCCTCAGGCGCCGCCTGATCCTCTCTATAGCCTAAGAGCTGCATAAAGAGCAGATTCCTCGGGGTAAAAGGCCGATTTGACCATTGGAGTATATCGAGATGACAGGGGGAAGCTTTGGATCCTCCATGTGGTTCAAAAGGTGATCCCTCTCACCGTGATCCCATCGGCACGATACAATCTGATGTCGCCTAGGCTGAGGAACTCCTCCATCAGGACCACAACCGGACCTATGGATATCTGCGGATAACAGGCCTTTCGAGTTTTACGTCGGCGGCACAAAATCTCATTCTCAGTATTCTCGGACACGACTCACCTGCAATCAAGGAGAATCAGGTAGGTCAATGCTTCTCTGCCTTTCAATGGATGCTGACCATGAGACAGGTTTGCACCGCTCAAACAACATCCGGTACAGAAGCGGTTCACCTAGGCGGACTTTTTCTGGCGAAATTATGGCAGTAAATAGACCCTAGTATCTATCTATCCACGCCGATCTTGTCAAACCACCATCAGGTCTTCACCAATGTGGGGATGGTGGTTCGGTGGTATCCCTACTACTCTCCAGCCACGAAAATGCTGGACTTGGACTGGATGCTGTTGACACTTTGCCAGGCTCCTTCGCAAAGTATGATCCTCCTGCACGCGTTGCGCGCACAATCCGACAGCTGTTGATCACAGTGGATGGAACGAGGGTCAGGGGTTATGGGCCAAGATAGCTTGTAGACGTCCCGACAGTAAAATGCTTCAATGAGCCAAGTTGATGTCTTGCAGCATCGGCAATCCAATTGCTCTGGGCAGGGCAGAGCATAGCATTCTTTTGAACCATTCAACATACTTGGGTCAGGTCCAAAGAGCCCAAGGCTGACTCTCGGTATGGACGTAAATCCCTAGACTTAGTCTCCAAGCTGATTGGCGTCGTCGAAGCGACATCGGTTCGGCTGTTCCGCACCCTCCTTGCGAACCAGGCTGGTGGGCGAATATTTAGTGGTGGGTTCCCCAGAACAGATTCGGTTGATCAGGCATCCTGGCCAGTGAGTGAGCCGGGACGGACGGCGTGTAATTCTTTCGATGTATTCTGCTGCGACTTGATATACATGAATGTCCTTTGAACCGATCTGGGGATCGGGTAAATATGCTAATTGATTGAGGAAAACCAGTTTGGCATGAGAGCAATGGGAGGTGAGGCTTAAACAGGTGACAGCCAACCGCAGTGCCAAGACCTGCCCGTCCCAACCTAGTATCCACCTGCCACCACGGTCCAATCAATCCTGGTATGGAACAGCATTCTTATGCTTCTCAGGCACTCTGGCTGGTTAGTATATTTTTGAGATGAAGCATGCCGTTATCACTTGAAGCTGACCCTTAACATTACTGAGCTGCTCCCTCCAAAACTGGTGTCTCAACGGAAACAGACTTATTATCCCAGGACGACTTCTCGTCCCAGTTCCTAGTCAAGATATTGCCGCAGACTATTGTCTTTGGCAGCTTCATCCCTCAGTCGATTGGGATAAATGAACTAGTCGACGAGAAATGGATTTGTTTCCATTCGTAAATCTTCCCACGGCCATGGATAACGTGGGACGACCAAACCACTACCCTTGGGTGGGCCGACGTAGCTGACCCCTCGAGATCTGGAAGCTAGCTTATCAGGGAGGTGAAGAAGACACCATGCAACAGAGACACTCGGTGTCTGAAACACCTTGGCATTTGTGAACAATCTGACATTGGCGCTGCGATATCAGGGGAAGATCTAAGAGGCAGAATTCATGAGGCAAAGGCTGCTGGTGAGAACGAAGAATAGGTGGGAGTGGAATCATTCTGACATGTTAACAAAGCGTGAGAAAGTTTCGTAGTGGTGCAGCGATGTTAGGAGCAGTGAGGGCCCATTTGATTGACTAGGAAAGGTACCGTTCTAAAGCCCAGAAATTCATATCGTGCTGTGTCCTAGTTCGTCCGAGTCCCTTACATATCATGAACGCTGCTGTTCTTGGTCCACCGCCGGAATGTCTTCCCATAGAAGTAGAAGAAAATGGCACACAGGCACCACAACAAAATCAGGGACGCATTGGTCATGATTGGTGGGATATAACCATCTTTGATGATCCAGTTCTGAGTTCAAGTTAGCATAGGTGATGTAGAGAATAATGGACTTTTGAGAGTTACCGTGATAAATTTGCTGAAACCATAACCCCAAACATTCTTATTGACGGTGATGGCGACAAACAGGCTGCCAGCTACAGGCTTGTAGCTGTCAACAGCATAAGTCGACGCGATACCGGGAATTGCAGCAACCTGAATACCAGCACAGGTGTATCCGATAATGACAATCGCTTGCCACGGCCATTGATTCTCGTAGCCGACGCTGACAATGATGTTTCCAAGATACATGATGATGACATAAGGGATCATAGCGAGCAGACGCATTTCAGGCTCACGAATTCCCTTGTTTCTTGCTGTAGCACGAGCAGCAACAAAATCGGAGAATGGGCCAGCCGTGAACAAGCCAATCATTGCACCCACAAGGATGGCAAAGTTGGTGAAGCCGATCTGCTCAGTGGTAAAGTTGTAGGGAGGTGCAGCGAAGGCTTGAGTCTGAGTCAGGTTGAGTGTCAAGAATGAAGAGCAGCTCCAGCTGACAATGAAGGCGGCCAATTCGACAATGGGGAAGGCGAAAAGCTTCCATGGAATCCAGAGATCGAGAATGATGGCCCGGACTGGATCCGGGTTGGGTGTGTAAAGACCCCATTGAGCCTTGCTTGGCTTGCCGCGGCCGAGCCAAGGATCACGGTCAGCAGTTTCGACAGGGGCAATTTCGTTATTAGTAGGGACTTGTTCAAGGACGGCATCTGACTCCTTTTCGATAACCTCGGGTTTGGCTTGTTGGGTCGCAACGGCGTGTTTGGCCATCTCCCGTGGGTGCTGCCGATGCCACTTTGTTTCGGGGAACATGAAAACCACCATCACCATCGAAAGAGCGACCAAAGCAGTGTAGAACCACCAGAAACTCCTCCACCCAACCTTCTCGGCCATTGAGCCAGAAATAATGGGCGCAACCATGAGAGACCCCATGTAAACAACCCAATAGAGCGTGTTCCACTTGCCACGATCGTGAAGGAAGAAAATATCAGCAATGACCGCAGGCTGAATGGTTTCAGCAGGACCAGCTCCGATCCCGTTCAGACTATCCTCTGTCAGTATAGATCTTTGGCTGGGTCGAATGTTGCCACTCACACGCAAGCGCCCATGAAGGAGCCATATGTCTGAGCCCGTGCACGCCAGATGGCAGAACCAAGGCAGATTAGCTGGGAGAAAATGTAGACCGGGCGACGGCCGAAAGTAGAGCTGAGTGGAACCCTAATACGCGGTAAGTCCGTGATGTCCCCTTTGTGGATATTGTAGGACTATACCAGATGAAGTTGCTAAAACCAAGCACAAGAATAGCAACGCCGGTAAACTGCACCGCTTCTGCGAGAGAGCAATTGAATGCTTCGATGTAGTCGCCAAACATGGGTGCCAAGGACAGAGGACCGAAGCCTTGAGTAAAGCTGACCATACTCGACGCCACGATGGCTGAAATCTTCCAGGTTGTCGACCAGTTGAGAGGATCATGGGGATCCTCCGACGGTTGCGGAACCAAGACGCGGTGACTCTTGCCGGTGCTCTTGACAAAATGGTGCGACCCGACATCCGCCATGACCTCCGTGCCAGGGAGAATTTCGATGTTGAGCTCCTGCTCGATGGCAGAAAGCTCCTGTGAAATCTGGGTCAGTCCGCTGTGAGAAAGCTTTGCACTGAGGGAGCATACCTGTTCATCATAGTTCATCTCCATGATGAAGGGAAGATTTTGGAGGCCTGTTGTAGACAAGAAGTGTACGTATCAACGAGTTAGGGCTAGAGGAGAATGTAATACAGGAAAGGGCCGATATAAGTACATAAAAGAGTTGGTCGGATCAGGGACGGTTTGCGTGGCAAAGGCTGCAAGCGACCGCTGGGGTTTTCCCCGTTTCAGCCTGTTGCTCCGGCCTGGCGCACCAGTTCCGCACCCACTTAGGGGCGGGGCGCCGAAGCTTAGGTGCCTCTCGTGGGTCCTGGAGGGGCGCGGGGGTACCTATCAGGGCAACTTATTGGGGTCGTTGCAAATCACTGTCGGCAAGCTGAATCGGCAGTTCGCCGCGCGACCTCATTGGGGGCCAGAAACAGCGAACGTCCCCTTCCGACACAACAAGTGAATCGTCAACCACATGGGAGTTTGAGGTGCGCCTGCCGCCGTTCCTTCGGATCATCTGCACCTCGATTCAACGTAGGATCCCTCGGGGGATCGAAGCTTCTAGCGCGATCGTAGACTTGGAGCGGTGCTTTCATAGGTGCTGGGTCGGGTGTGGTGAGTGGGCTTGCCATAGATTGCTACGGAGCAGAAATTCCAAACAAAACATGGGAGAAGAGATATTGGTTAACTCACGTTACGGCTTCCCAGAGCGCGTTTTTGGCGCGTTTTTGGCGCGTTTCTTGGGCGAGTTACCTTATGGGCCATTGTCGCAGGCAACGCTGAGGCCATTTGAAAGTACACGGATTAATGGAAGGTCTGCTGTAATAGCCGTGCAAACGACGTGGTCATGGATACATGTGACAATGGGGCTTGGCGGGTGGTACGGATTAACATAAATCCGATACGAGGTACGAGGTAGACTGCGTTACAATACGGAACACACGGCACCAACGGCTTCATGGAAGCCCCCTTGGCCCCATTGACCCACCACCACCGCCAACTCTTTGGTCATCGGTTCTCTCATCTCGAGAGGCGACCGAAGCGTCGTCAATACAACTGTGACTTCAAGCACCTGCACAAGCTGCTGGAATAGCATTGCGACCTTGAATTTTAATTACTTTTGCTGCGAACACTTCCTCGCGGACCACGTTCTCCTGAACCAAGGTCGCTCGAGGATCTTCGTCAGGACGGACTGCAGGGTAGGTTTGTCTCCAAGCAAACCCTCGCGGTGTGCGAGGCAGAGGTCTTTCCTGCCTACCAGGAGCGTCACCAGGAAGCGGCAAGCCGAGACAGGAGTTGAGCTGACACATACTTCGGCCCCAGTCTCTTCACATGTGAATGCCTTTGACCGTGTTTATAAAACGACAAATTCGTCAGGAAATCTGTCGAGTGAGAGTGAGAAAGCAGGAACGCACATTTGAGAGCTGGCGAGTGTTTCAGCTTGTCCACTGACCCCTTCCGCAACATGACTTGACGGGATTATCAACATTTCGGCGTCTGATCGGTCCATATCAAAAGCATGGAGATTGTCCCAGAGATTGAGAGGCCATTGTAACTCGTCTGGGCTGCCAGAGCTGGTCAGATATGAGTCAGGCAGTGCTTCGACAGGGACATCGGACGTGTCGTAAGTGACTCGCGCACTGAGTCTGGACACCACTGAGTGTCTTCCCTTGGGAGAGCTCGGGCACAAGACTGAGAACCGCTTGATGATCTCCCGTTCCCTTGAGCCAGGCCGATGTACGACCGAATCCCTCCCCTCGTGAATTATGGCAAGTAGACCTAATGGGGCGAGGACAAATCAGCCACACAAGCGCTGGGTGAAGAGAAATTTTCCATCTAGAGCGCGACAAACTTACGGAGAAGAGCACCGCCAATCTTCCAGTACCGCGAGTAATGACTTAGCAGTAACTTGGATAATTCGAAGCTTTGGAAGTTGGGCTCACGTCGTGCTTCAAGAGCGTCCCACGGGTTGATCACACAGCAACCCATGAACGGATGGTTCAACGGAATGTACTCAGGTGGCCAGATTAGTGCGATCCGAACCAGGCTCGAGTAAAAGTGCCTCCCCCAGATCGTGGCCTCCTGACCTGTGTTGAAGGACGTTTCTGATCTGTTCTGAGACCATCTTCTACGCTCCAAGAGGGCTTCGCACCTGCACCTGTTAGAAAAGCAACAGCCAAGCGCCAAGTCACCACTGACGATAAAATCATAAAATGCGTTGATATGATCCAATTGCAGTCACCAAAGTTATGTTCGGCCATGTTCACCGATCGTAGTTGAAAATCAGCGGGCAATGCATGTTTGAGACATGCGAGATCCATTTCGAGGGCCGTCTGCGTTTCTGGTGTATTGCGCTTTGGCTGGCGGGCGGTATCGGCGAAGCAAGATTTGAGATAATTGGTCACCAGGTACCAAGCCCGGGGACTTTGGTTCTCTGACCCTTCAAGACTCTTCCAAACGGTACCCGGACTTTGAATAAGATAGGAAGAGCCAGCGGGGCAACCGCTGAACCAGTGATGATCGGAGACCGGTAAAAGAACCTTTATCTCTCCACGTTCAATCCCGTAGGGCTGGCACGAGACTGTCGAAACAAAGCAGTCGAGCTCATAAATGACCCACCAAAGCCTGCGGAGTTCTTCTTTTTGAATCCAAGCATCTTGGCCATCTTCCGTACCACAGTTGGTTTGGTCCTCTTCGTCGATCTCGTTGAGCCCAAGGTCATAAGCAAAACGGACACAAACGCTCACAAGTAACGACCCAGGTGCAGCATGTCCAGCGCAAATGTTGTAAAACGCCAGCAGGGCACATCCTTTCACAAATTCGAGTGACGGTTCCTCGATGACCTTGATGATAGGATCCTTGATGGCTGCTGCTCTCTCCGCGAAGGCTTCGCCTCTTAGGACGGGGTCCGTGCTACAGAAGAAGCTTGCTTTTGAAAACCTGGCGGCGAGCGCAAATACGCAGTTGATCAAGATTGCGTCGTGGTCACTGACACTTTGCCTGCCCACAACTCGGCCGTAATGACTCTCGACTCGAACGTATTTTTGATAGAAGAGGGGACGATGTAGGATAGGCAGCCAGTTTTGGATGTAGTCAAAAAACAATCCAACTCTGCGATAATAAGAAACTGTATCATGACCGGACGAATGGGTGAAACAGACTTACAACTCATAAGCTACTGCGTCTGGAATGTGCCATCCGTTTTCCTCTGAGTTGGCCCCACAGGGAGCTGTCTCGGTGTTGAAATGGGCACCAGGTTCTCGTGGCAATGCATTTAGGCTGGGTGCATGAAGGCCAAGCTTCCACTTGGCTGATGGATTCTGAATAAAATCTGGTGGGGTTCCTCGTGGTGGACTGCCCAATCCAGTCATTGAGCCTGGCTGGAAAATATCTCTCGAGTCGGGGAGGTCGGGGTTCTGGGATCGGCCTTCACTGATGTCAGCGATGTCACTCAGATACCGTCTGCTCTAATGTATGGTTTGGATTCGAACCTAAAGTGCCACTCCTACCTCTGTGCTGATCAGAGATATCTTCAACCGGGTTACATGAGTTGGTGATTCCAATATCAGGTGCAGTAACATTGTAAGTTCAATGTCAACGGATTATGGGAAAGATGCCTCACCATAGTCCGCATGAACAGCACTGAAGCTTGGCGAAGATCCCCCTTTTCGAGTTCTTCGTGTTCTCGCACGACAAGTCGAGGACCTTTGCCTGATTGGAAAGGTACAAAAAGCGCCCACCCTTTCGCAAAGGCCGCAGATAGGGCGTCGCATATCGCCTTTAGAGTGAGCCCAAGGTCATTGGTGAAAATCGCATACGGAGCACTGGTCAGACTAACACTTGATCTTTTTCCTGATGTTGAAAGAAGTTAGCATGCTCCGTCCTGTCCTCGGGTGCGAAAGTTTCGGCACCGTGGATAAGTCACTCACCTGTTGCATCCCTGACATGCTCGGTTCACAGTTGGAAAGTGAGGAACCGAGCCGTTCGCAAAGGTCAGCCATGTTTGAGCCATGTTCTATGGTGTCTCTCTGCTTCGAGGTGACCCGATACCGACACATAGAAAGATTTCGACGTTGGACGGCAGGAAGCTTGATGTTGCGAAGGCCGTGGTGGAGGTTATCACGCTTAGCCCCCCGCTTTTTAGTCTGCCAGTTCGTGCGGGCGAGCGCTAAAGGCTGGGCTGGGTGGCCACCAAATGTTTGTGACTTAGAAGCAGGCGGGACATTGGTCGCCTCAATCACCGATTGGCCATTGCTTCATTTTCCCGTACCCACTCCCCTCCCAGTACCCCAGACGAGGCTGAGGTGGGCCCATAACCTCCCCACAGATGCGAGAAACCCCTCCCAAGCATTTATTTGTCGAACCTGCCGCGCTCAGCGTCGTCAAGTCTCGGACAGTACTCTGCACCCCGTTGCATCGCCGACATGGCCTTCTTCATTGCTAGCTCCATTCTCATCACGTTTCTTGGCCTGTTCCTCTACGCCGTCCTGTTCATTGGCCACCGGGGACGTAATTACCCTCCAGGCGAGTTCTCAAGCAGCAATCATCGTGCCAGCCCCATCCTGCTAACACTCTGACAGGTCCACCAACACTTCCCTTCATCGGAAACATTCACCAAATTCCTACAAAAGGAGCGCATTTCAAGTATGCATTTCCAACCTCCTTAGAGGACCCAATCTCACAAACTCTCGTAGATTCACAGAATGGGCTCGCCAATACGGTGGCATATTTTCATTGAAGATTGGAACAGGAACCATAATAGTTCTGACGGACCGCCGTCTCGTCCGTGAGCTTCTGGACAAGAAAAGCGCCGTCTACAGTGACCGTCCGACCTCATACATTATACAGAAGCTCGTCACAAGAGGAGATTACTTGCTCACCATGCCTTACGATTCGGAATGGCGAAAAATGCGGAAACTAATCCATCAGGAGTTTATGGAATCAATGTGCGAGAAAGAGCACATCGTGCTCCAAAATGCAGAGGCTGTCCAGATGATGCGCGACTTTGTGACCGAACCTGAGAACTATTTGCTCCACCCGAAGAGATTCAGCAACAGCGTCATCATGAGTATCCGTAAGTCAAATACATTCAGAGTTGGAAAACCACACTAACATAACCGCCGGCAAATATAGTGTACGGTCTGCGGACGCCAACTGTTCGTACACCTCACATGCATAGGCTCTATGATGCAATGGAGCACTTCTCGCACGTCATGGAAACAGGCGCGATGCCTCCGATTGATATCTATCCGTTCTTAAAGTTTGTGCCTCAGCGGCTTCTTGGGAACTGGGTTTCACGAGCTAATGAGACTCACCAAAAGATGCACCAACTGTACATTGATTTGCTCGCTGTGGTGAAGCAAAGAAGACAGAAGCAAGGCGGCAAAAGCTCTTTGATGGATCGCGTGCTTGATAAGGAAGAGAAACTTAATCTCAGCAATCATCAAATCTTGCTTTTGGGCGGTGTTGCGCTGGACGGTGGATCCGATACATCTGCAACTGCTCTCCTCAACTTTATCAAAGCTATGACCTGTTATCCCGATGTCCAGAAAGAGGCACGCAAAGAGATTGACGGATTGATGGATGATAGTCGCTCTCCCCTTTGGTCCGACTATAAAAGCCTACCCTATGTCGGTGCAGTCGTCAAGGAAACCATGAGATGGCGGCCAGTTGGTGGACTCATACCTCATGCGACATCACACGGTCAGTTCTTCAGTCCCTGAATCGTTGCTTCTCATTCCCACAGAACTATTCCTAACCACTTCTACCGACGCGCATAGATGACTGGGTCGATGGCAAATTTGTGCCAAAAGGCAGTATTGTCCTTCTGAACGCATGGGGCTTGCACCAGGACGAGACGAAGTTTCCTGAACCAGACAAGTTTAGTCCCGCAAGATATACCGGACGTACACTCCTTGCTCCAGAATACGCCGCATCGCCCGATTACAACTCCCGTGATCACTACATATATGGTGAGTGCCTCTATTCCTTCTATTTAGGCTGCACTTCCTGTCTGTTTCCCTCGGAACTTTTATTGATACACTTAAGGCGCTGGTCGGAGACTCTGTCCAGGCATCCATCTTGCCGAGCGCAATCTCTTCCTTGGCATGGCAAAGCTGTTGTGGGCTTTCTCATTTGAGAAGCAGATTGACGAAGCCGGTCGAGTCATGGAGCCAGACACCAATTACGCTACGGGATGGAGTGAAGGCTTGATCACTTGCACCAAGGACTTTCCTTGCAAAGTAGTTCCCCGGTCCGCTGAGAGGGTCCAAACCATCATGAGAGAGTTTGCTCAGGCAGAAGCTGAAGTTTTCTCAAAGTACGACTAAATCAATCATATCTGCTGAGTCCGAGAGGCACTAAGCCTGGGACAATCTGTTTTACTCAATCTACGTATTTCAAACCCTGCACGTCCCCCGTTTTGTTTTAACAACGATTTTGACCTCGACCAAAGGACTTCAAACGAGGCTCAATTCTATTTCCACGCAAGGCGAATTTCAGCCAGATAATGAGGTGGAAATTAAGTCCGGCGTCCAACGCATTAGGCCTCCGACCCTGTCAGCGGGATCTGTAAGCGCAAAAGCATCATAGTCTAGCTTTGCCAAAAGAAGAAAATTGCCGATTTTATCGTCTCCACCAATCCTTCAGCCGGCCAATCCCTTTGTTGACTGCTTGCAGGGGCAACAGGCCGTTGAATCGTTAATAGACATCGAGGCTGCATTCTACATACCTGGAATGGTTATATTAATTTGCTGGGTTTCTTTGAAGCCGGAAACCTCAACACTGAAAATCCCAAGTGAACACCATGGCGTCTTTGAAGACCCTGCCTCTGATCATCGACAACAAGGCTGTCCTGCCAGCAGGCTCTGCAGTCGTGACCAACGCCTCCAGCAATCTCAAGACTGACTATATCAAATACGTCAGTGCAACTCCAGAAGACGCCGTGGCTGCGGTGGAATCTGCTCAGACTGCCTTCCGCTCGTGGTCAGCAAGCCTTCCGCGCACGCGCAGGACTATCTTGCAAAAGACGGCGACATTGATTCGCGAAAACGAGGCCGAATTGATAAAGTTGCAAGTCGAGGAGACTAACTGCCCTGAGGCCTGGGCGGCTTTCAATATCAATATCGCAGCTTTGCATTTAGAGGAGATGGCCGGCAGGATCACCACCGCCCTTACGGGAGATATACCCGTGGTTCAGGTATGACTACCGTTCGATGATGCCTACACTGTTACTGAGTGCAGTCACAGACTCCAGGCCAAATGGGATTTGTGTATAAACGCCCACTCGGCGTCGTTTTGACCCTTCCGCCGTAAATACATGCCTACACCTCGCCGTGGCCATTACCGTTTAGCTAACTCCGTCTGCGAAGATGTAATGCAGCAGTTTTCCTTGCGACACGAGCAATCGACACTCCCCTCGCTGTGGGCTGCACGGTTGTGCTCAAAGCATCTGAACAATCACCGAATACGCATCACTTTCTCACAGAGTTATTCCATCGTGCCGGCCTTCCACCCGGTGTGTTGAACGTCATCCAAACTCGCCGAGAAGACGCTGCAGCTTGTCACAGAGACACTGATCTCTCATCGATATATCCGCAAGATTGAATTCATTGGATCTGCCAGCGTTGGATCCCGCATTGGGGCTCTTGCCGGCAAGTACTTGAAACCCACGCTCATGGAGTTGGGAGGTAAAGCCGCTGCTTTGGTGCTTGAAGACGCCGATCTGGAGCTGGCTGCCCAAGGCTGCGTGCACGGGGCATACATGCACAACGGGCAAACCTGTTTCTCGACCGAGCGGATTATCGTGAACAAAGCAGTCGTGGAGAAATTCATCCCAATACTGTGTAAGGCAGCATCAGAATTCCCCGTACAGGAAGCCATTTCTCTCGCAGGGTCCAACAATACACTTCGGATGTTGCAGGAGGCTGTCTCCAAAGGAGCCAAGGTCCTCTACGGCGAAGTCAAGCTCCTCGCACCCACGAAATTGCAACCTGTCGTACTATCCGGGTTGACGCCAGACATGGAGATCTATGACAATGAATCCTTTGGCCCGGTCCTTGCCGTGTACACTGTGGACAATGATGCGGAGGCAATCGAACTGGCCAACAGCACCAAGTACGGTCTTAGCGCTGGGGTCTACAGCAGAGACATTTCCCGCGCAATGAAAGTCGCGAGCCGCATAGAGGTCGGGCAGACACACATCAACTTCCCCATGGGTACGGGGCTGGACGAGGCGACTCTGTCGATTGGACTGACGAAGGCGAGCGGGTGGGCGAAACAGAACGGCGGGTACGGGTTAGACGAGTTCTTGGAGCTGAGAACCATAACCGTGACTGACCCCGTTGAATTTGCTGCCGGCATGGCCCGAAAGGCGCAGTAGTCGATTCAGAGAATTTTGATAGTCGTGTTGAATTGACACAAGATTGATATTATCAAGCCAGGAATGCTGGTTGATTCGACAACCACAATTCCATGAACTCAAGATACATTCCGAGTGCATACATGTTTCCTACCATTCACCCCCGTGTCGAGTCGGCTCCATTAACCAGAATTTGATCACTGCTGCCCAGACACCCGTGCTAAGTTGTCTTCAAGGGTGTACGGTAACACCAACTCTCCGCACGCAACCACTCGAGCACGGTCAATCGGTGCCCTAAAGACGATCTCGGGTTGCCACAAAATCTCCGCCTGGATGATGCAAGCGGGTCATAAGGGTCCCGGACAAAACATCCAAAGGTCTACACTCCGCCAACATACAACATTCCATTGTGGGGCATGTCAGCGCGGTCGACCAAATTGCTGTGTGAAGTCAGCGTCGATCGGTTTCTCTGGTAAGGGAGGTCAATCGGGACAAGACCATGAGTAGCCAACATTGACAAAAAAAAAATGCCAGCCTCAACGACGGCAGGCCTCGCACAAAGCATTGTCGTTCCTCGAAACAATGTACTCAAATTGCCTCGAAAGTCAGTCTAGAAGAAGGTGGTAAGTACAACTCCTAATACTGCAAATGATCCAACCCAGCGAGCACTAAATAAATGTCCCGTCGTTTAGCACTTGTTGAACCACTTGCCGTGGCGTGGCACGCGATCAAGAACATCCCCTTGCAAAGGGGCGACGAAACACTCGTGACAGGGAGCTGGCCCTGTCGGGCTTGCAGTCATTCAAGTCCTCAAGGCTTGGGGCGCCGGCAGGATCGTACCCAGTAGTGTGCTCGTGTTAAGGCAAATGTAATGGCGGAGGCATCGTCGAAGTGCACTCAAAACCAGTTCGAATGACTTCAAACTGATCGCGGCGTGGCGCTGAACTTGCCGTCCCCGAATCTATGGAGAGTCGGGACCGGGGAAAGGGGCGGTTTGGGAGGGGGGAAGTATACTAGTATTATGTGGGGATGGCAATGTTCCTAAAAGTCGCCTAGCGTTAATCCCTCCTCTGCCTGCTTCTAGAATTTCTCAGTCTCCATCTCACACTCCGACGGTGCCATTTGCGACCGTAAAGTCCGGCGGTTGGGGTTCCACGGGACTGGCCAATCATTCGCGTGCGGTGAGCTGGCCTGCCATATCCGACTGCTTCGTTGGCGAAGACATGTTTTCGGTAGCATGTCCATCTCTCATCGATTGTGTGTCGAATCCTTGGCGTGGTTGTTGGAGAAGCGCAACATCATGAGCAAGAGCAAGAATAGACACGCATCATCGTTGTCATTCCACCATCCTACCGAGAGGTATCTTGATATTTTCTTGCAACCGACAGATCATTGAATTTTCATCACACCTCCAACGGAGGGGCGCGTCATGGAGAGGTTCTCACGTCTCCCCAGCGCTACCTTCTTCGATCAAGGAGAGATGGCGGTGTTCATACATATATCTTGATGTGCCAATGTTCAGCATATTCCGGTGACAGCTTGAAATTGATTCGACCGTCGCGACAAAGAACATAACACGGAGGAAAGCTGTAGGAGCTACACGAGTGAAGTGGTCGCACGATTACAGGTCTTGGACGGCACTCGCTGCGCATGAGCGAAGACGATCCGCTGTATTGGCAAAATGCTAAAAGGTAGATGGCTGGCCACAGATTGTCGTTGAAACTCCCTGAGAAGGCTATCAAAAAAAAATCCCGTCGAAACCCCCCGAGCTTCAAGCCAGGCTAATAATCATAGAACACCAGCGTCCTCACCTCGATGGTCTCTCTGGGCGGATCATCCTCATGCGCTGGATCGACAAACGCAGTGTGCGGAATCCTCCTTGCGCGCCCGTCGTTGACAGAATCGAAGCACTTGATGAGCAGCGGCTCATCGGGCCGTTGCCCGTACTTGAAGTACCACTGGTGGTTCGGGTTAGGCCTGACCGCGTAAGTCTCGCCCTCGCGATCCGGGTAGATCAACTTGGCCGGGACGAGGTCACTGTCGGGCACGGAATGGGCGTCGGCGAGGGTGAGGGGGTCTCTGAGAATCGTCTTTATCGGTCGCCAGACCTGCGGATTGGGAAAGGGTGAGTCAATCAATCGCGTTCGATTGGGGGAAAGGAAGAGGGAGATGTGGTCACTAGAGGGACTTACATTGATGATCTGGTAGCGCTTCTTCAGGAGCGCGTCGGCTTCCTCGGGGAGGTGGTACTTGACACGATTCTCTGAGGTACCATAAGACTGGTCGATGTGGACACGGCGTGCAGGACCGCGAAGTTGGCCTGCGATGTCACGCACGTCTGAGGTTGCGCGGCGAATTGTGTGGTCGAAGATGAAAATGCGAGATGCTCCAGTGCTGTGGAAGACATAAACAATATATTAGTGCACGCTTTCTTTGCTTGTCGAACGGCGAACGGGAATGAGTTCCTACGTATCCTTCAGAAGCTGCTCAACTTCCGGGTAGTAATCCGCCTTGATCTTCTCGTCGTCGAGGAAATCCTTCTCCTTGCTCTCATGTTTCACATACTGGAAACCATGACTGTCGACGGTGTATTTATCCTCGTCTCCGGAAATGTCATGGATGATGACCTTCTGGGCGACGTGAGGGCGTTGATAAGTGGCGGGCTTTCTGATGACTCTAGTCTTAGACTCAAGATTTCACCTATATTCGACCGACGCGAGGAACTCACCCTACGTAAGATGGAGCCGGTGGGGTTCCGTCACCGGGATCCTTGTAGTAGTATAACTCTGCCGCAACATCGTGCTTCGCAGGCTTATTTTTCGAAGCAAGAGGTTCAACGACCTGTCCGAGGACGTTACCTGGCGCAAGTTGAACCGCAACTGTAGCCATAACTAATCGTGCACCAAGACTCACACTTTGTCGACCAAAAAGAGGGCTCCCGGGAAACGATTTGGATTTCCAGGCTCTCAGCGAATCTCCAAGATACAAGATGCGATATATCCCCTCGTACCCCTCGGCAATGCCACCTCAGCTCAATGCATCGATTTGTAATACGATCATCTTTCGAGCACGCAATACATGCAAAATAGCACGTCGTCAATGCCTCGCATTTCGTCTTTGACATAGCTGCCACTGACACGCGCAGGGTGTTGGCCACGTCAGAATGGATAGCGGCGGTGTACTTCCCAGTAATGATACGTATATTGCTCGCATTGCCAAACTGGGGCAAAACCGGGTATGGTTTTGCGATAGCGGGCATCCAACACCCTATCGATCTGCACGTCCTGGGTGGCCTACCTACACAGTTAGCACAGTTTAACTCGAGGAAAAGGAGTAGATATTTGGAGAAATCGGATTGATAGTGGAGCAAGCACCGAGAATCAAGCTGAATTGATGTCTTCTAAGTTCAAAGCGATGACCTAAACCACACCATTGAGTGTGGATGTGAACTTCAACATAGCCACCTTTGTCTCTCGCGGATCTAGTAACTCGGCTACCTCAGTTTAAAAGCTGTTCACACTCACTATCGTAGTTACAGGCATCCCCTTGTACTGAAGAAGTATTAGAAGTGCGAACTCATATATTCCCAACACCCATTCAGCGAGCGTGGTGCTATCTGGGCTAATTTAAGGGGCCTTTGCCTAGAAATTCTCGTTGAAAGGTCTCAAATCAATTTCCTGCGTGAAAGCCGATTTGTGTTGCGTATGCAGATTCCAGTAGCTTTCAGCAATCTTGCAAAAAAAGTTAACATCCGACCCGCTAAGCGGATGACCAGGATCACTTACAGCATAGGGGCTTAACTTGCCGTCTGGAGTCGCATCATTGCGAGCAGCATGCTCTGCATCAGGGACGTCAATGCCGCCGTCGATGATGGCATGGGCGACGTGAACACCTGCCGGACCAAACTCTCTGGCAAGAGATTGTGTCAAGATACGCGCCGCAGATTTCCCTGCCGCGATAACAGACCATAGTTTGGAGCCTCGGATCGACGCAGTCGCTCCAGTGACTATCAACGTCGGCGGTAGAGGAGAGCTATCGACAGATTTGAGAAGTTGCGGCAACGCGCTTTGGGCAAAATTGAACAGACCGCGGCTAGAGCACGACGCTCCATTAGCGACACACGCAGTTCAAGTGAAGGGGCCGCGATGAGGGGAGACATACACATTGCCGTTTAAGCTTGTGTCCAAATCCTCGAGTTTCAGTTCTAGGAAGGGTTTGCGGCTTGGCCGCGAGTTAGGTCGGACGTTGTAGATCGCAGCGACAAGTTGCAAATTCCCAAACCCCTTTTCCTTCTTTATGGATTCGAATGCGGAAGCCAGGGAAGACTCGTCCGTCGCGTCGGCGGAGATCCCGATCGCCTTGCCGCCGGCATTATTGATCTGGGCGACAACATCATTATAGCTTTCTGACCGACGAGCAAGCAAGACAACGGGGTAGAATTCCGAGACTCGGAGGGCGACTGATCTCCCAGTTCCTGGGCCAACGCCAGCTACAACAGCGAAGAATTTGTCGGATACCATCCTGTGGTTGCACGTTTGCTATTATTTTTTCTCTCTTTTCTTGTTGAATAAAAGGAACCGAATGGTAGTGATCTAATCTAAAAATGCTGAATGAAAGGGTTAGTTTGGAGCAAGTATATGGGTGGCAATGGCTTCGGATTTGAAATCCACTCTGATGATTTCTCAACATGAATTGCGTGACGAGGGATGCGGATCGTGCAAGGCGAAGCATGATCTCGGTCATCAACGACACACCGGATGATTTTTGCTCCATTGCGGGCGGCCGTTTTATGATTAGTGCGCGAGCTGTCGGTGAGACAACACACCGGATCTTGTATTTCTGTCTATCTGGTCGGGCCACCAGTGTCGATCCGTGATCCCGGATTGGAGGCATCCGCCTGTGGCGGCATGCAGATGCAGACGCAGCAACTGTGAGCACGGTCTGGTAAACTGGGGCTGCATTCTGTACTTGAACTTTTGATGTTGCATTGTGCTGTGCTGTATGTGTGTCGCATGTGGTGTATCACGGATCAGCTCTGGCGTCAATTGTACAAACCCAATTCTAGTCGGCGAAATATCATGTGAAGCTTCGACCATCCTGCAAATAACTTCTCGACCAGAAGTTGCTCGTCGTCTCATAAACCCAGTCGTGTGTGATTGCATACCGCATCATTGTGGGGAGAGTCCATCATGGTGAAAGGAGATGTTCGTGCGCTGGGATCAGACCTGAGAACCCACCAAGAGATAGTGATGATGCTGCAAGTTCGTCAAAGAGGACAGTTCGCTGGAGAATAATAGGCGTCACCTTTGCAGCAGTCGGTGCGTTGATGTTTCTAAGTACGTCCTACCAGCAGAAGTAACAAGATACGGCGCAGAAAACAGATGCCACAGTGGAGTTCTCAACTTTTCGTGATGGTCAAGTGCTGCACCTGCAACCACACCAGCGTTGTGACAACCTAATGAGCTTCAGCAGTTTACCGAGCCTTGCACTTTTCATAAATTCGTATTCGGCCCGAAGAGTAGTCTGAAATTTGTTCCTCCTTCTTAAACATGACGGCAATGGTTCTGTTCTTTGACAACCCAAGGGGGTCCCTCTGTCAGAGACATGGCAACGAAGCAGCCGGCTTCCGACGAAGAAGGATTATGTGACGGTCCAACTGACCCAAAGAGCCATGTATCTGAGCGCATTTGTAGACTCGGTTTCTCAGGAATCACCTCCTTCCTGGAAGATTAATGACTCGTTCCGGAGCGAAGCGGCGAAATGAGAGTGGACGTCTTCATAGAGGCATTGTTGTCAAGTCGACGGTCCTCGTTTGAGCAGGTCGAGGTGCATCATCGATGAATACTAGAAGGAGAGCGTGAGCAGGAGGCATTCGATGATTGGGTCGTATTTTGTAACAGCGGAGACTTCGAGGAAATCTATTCCCCCCCCAACCGACCGCAAGGTTATTCGGGATGCCAAAGCCCCGAACGAGAACGAATTGCTTGTGACCGCATGTTTTGTGCGCATCATCCATTGAAACGGACTCTGTGCAGCACACTCAAGTCACCTGCACATTGGTCAGATTCTTTCCGTAGCAGTCGCCGCAGTCCGGAGTGGTAATGGCAATGGATAATTTGAAACGGTACTCCGTACTGACCTGCCCGTCATAAAAGGTGGTAAATATCTTGTCCTGCTGCTAACATGATGAAAATAACTCGCTTTAATGAAGCCCTGAGGGCGGTTTCAGCCACCGTGAGCAAGACATCCAAATCTCACACGTCACTTCTCACAGTTGGTTCATTCCACCGTCGGCAGCATCGTGAGATATCACTGAAGAGGAAATGGGTTAGATCAGGAGAGTGTGGCTGATACTCGCCTCAAATCAGGAAAGGGGTGCAGTGAAAACTTGGAAGAGGCGCGATATCAGCGCTCTTGGTCTGTAGCAACAGTGCTAGGACCTCGAAGATCTGAGCTCGAGATGGCCGTAGGAGTAATCGTGTTGAACCATCTGCCATCGGGAAGAACGATTGTGACAAGAACAGTTACTGCTTTGGGGACGAATTTGACTTCTTGAAAGCTGAATCTCTTCGGTAGTACTCGATGCTTATAATAAAGATTCAGAGCCTACCTCGTCCACATTGAGGTTGGATCCGAGCGAAAGAAACGGTCCTCCTTAGGTAGAACGTTAGCGTGCTTGCTGCCACAGATGGAGCGGCATGCCATCCAAAGGTCGCCGGATCAGGCAAGACATGTAGCCCGTGGACAGAGTACCTTCCCCTATTTAGATGGTCCCCCTGACCCATTCTGCCCATTTCGTCGATCGCGGTTACAACCCTGATTATACTGTAACGGTATAGGCTAATCAAAGAAGCTGCCTTCCGCTATAGTCTCCACATTCTTTGTGCTTAGTTTGGGTTATACTCCAGACTTGGGTCATGTTATTATCAAGTACAACACGTTCCAAATCAAGCCGTTGGGCTCCTCCTGTGGATTCACGCCTTTAAGGACCAAGTCGCGACGCCTCGCTCGTTCAGCCAGCCCACCATCATCTAATCGGGAAACATAATCTAGGCATGCGGGATTGAACAAGAAGTATACGAGTCGTGGCGTGCACGTGGTTTCAGAGCCAGCGTCATGATCCCGTGCTGGATGGGCAATCTGAAATGGATATTAAAGGTCTTGAAATCCCATATTGAAAGAACAGGGAAAGCTCCTCCTGCCTGATTGTCCAACTCAACAGCAGATCCACTCTGTTACAGTCACTCTTTTACATCACAGGCACAATGGCAATTTGGGAATTCTCCCAGTCCGTTCTTTTCTTCACCCTTCTTCCCATCCTGTCCTCCGTGTCCTTGACAAATGCTAGCGTTGTTCCAACCAACCAACTCGGCGGATGGCAGTCGAATGTCTGTTCAAGCCGCATCTATCAAGGCTGGACAGGCCTTTCTTCGTTTTCCCCGGCCCAAGACTTTTGTTCCTCTCAATATCCCGTCTCGTGTACCAGTGCCCATCAGGGCCACGGCCCTCACCGCAGAACTTTCCCAACCCCACCGCCAGCCGAGCCGTCTGTACCTTCCGATGATCCCAACAACCGGCTTTGGTCGTCCATCAAGCGAGGGCCGCCAAATGTGATGTCAACTTGGTGCTCTTGCATCCAGACTCCCACTCCCTGCAAAACAACGAAGACCACACCTGCTCATACCGACACCACCACCTCTCCTGTAATTACAACAACGACTACGCCCACTTCCACTACTACAACCATAACTACCACTACCACCACCACTACTACTACCACTACTACTACCACTACTACTACCACCACCACTACTACTACAACAACCACAACCAGTGCTGCCCCCGCGCCTACTTGCGGATCTCCGGGAACTTGTGGGACCTTTACGAACTGCGGAGGTAGCGACACATGTTTCTGCTTTGGAGACATCGATGGCATCAACGCGTATTGCGTGGAGGATGAGGCGTGCTCCACTGCTGCCGCATGTTCCACAGACGCAGATTGCCCTGGCGAAGTCTGCGTGGCAGCCGAAAACTGCTGTGGGTTCGCCTACTGCGCGCCTGCATGCTCGTCAGGGGTATCGAAGAGGTCCGGAATGGCTTACGGGAACGAGACGGAGGCGTTAGCTGCACACCAGGATATCCGGCGCGATTCAATTCTGTTCGGGTCAGGATTCCATGATATATAATAGGCCATGTTTGAACCAGACACATAACGTTGATCCGCACCTAGTCTTCTCCCTTGGATTTAGCCAATATCTCCCCTAATTTCCTTCTCACTGGGCGCCTCGTTCAGGCCTGTTCGTAGATTCGGTCCGGTATGGCATAGATCCAGCTTCGTAGCAGACTGGAGGGAAAGAAGAAAATAAAAGGGTGGAATATATCTGACTTTCTTCCCTGGTACAATACATATATAGTTTTGTCTGAGCCAGCCAAAGAAATAAATCTCAGCCAGGGTTGCTGGCAGGACTATCTATTCAAGGCCCCTTAGGTAGGCACTACTATGTAATGAAATGAAAGCAGGACCCGGCGTCATAATCCACGAATAAAAGCGAGAGTGATTGGTGCTGAAGTAGCATGGCACTCCTATGGGACGATGCCTTGGGGAGATGAAGAAAAGGTGATCGGCGAAGAAAGCGTCTAGCAGTTTCCATCGATGGAGTAAGACGGGATTCCGACTTCTGTCTCCTGGAGACATTGCCCGACGCTGAGAAGTGTAGCGCCGCTGCTGCAGTTATCGTCCGTGTAAACCGTGACTGTGGTATCTTGTTAGCATTACTGCCGATTGAGACATCATGTCCCGGAGAATAGCTGCAAGGTGGTATATGAGGCCTCACCTTGACATCCGAATGGCTGGCTGAGAAGAGCGATGGCCTTGGTGCCGGGAATCGACTTGACACAGGTGGCGCCGCCTGTGCCTTGGACCTGGCCGATGAAGCCGTCGTTGCAGGCGTGGGAAAAGAAGTTGGCTTGAAACCCGGCCAGGACGTGTGGTTTGGTGATATCCGTGACCAAGAATTGTTGGCCCTCAGTCTCGCCGACATGCTCCGCTGCTGTCACTGTCCCGTAGCTGTGGGCAGTTGGAATGTGGGCAGCGTATGCCGCTGTCACGGCGACGGCGAAGACAAGGACGGAAGATTTGGCGAACATCTTGGATTGAGTATGGGAGATGTTGGGACCGCAAACCAAATGGCTGTGGGGATCAGACTCAGAAGGTAGACGTGGGATACAGAGTTAGTGATGAGAGAGACATAGTCGACGGTTTTATAATCGGGATGTTGCTCAAGGTCTCGGAGATACAGTTCCATTCCATTCTTTCAGCTTGGAATCCTCGTTCCCATACACGAACATCAGACGCCCCGTGATGGATGGGCCTTAAAGGCCACCAGCATGTTGCATTATAGACATGCTCGAGCATCAAATTAACATCCTGCTCCTTTGGGGTGCGGTGTGATAGATCTGAGATTGTGCTGCAAAAGGTGCTTGTATGAGTCGTGACCGGGAAGCTGTCATTCGAAGCTAGCCAGTTTTCTCACAGATACAGCTTCCCGTGACACCGAGTGTGAGGTTTCTCGTGATGCTGTCGTCAGCAGAATGAGTGATGAAGATACACGACTTTTCAGCTGTGTTGAAGTTATGGAATGAGACTGGGCCGTAGGCGGTCAGCAACACTGGAGAGGTATGAATATATACGACTCTTCAGCTGACTCTATGTTCTGTATACTTACAAGACAAAACATCCCATCCTCTCTCATCCTATCCTGTCTGACCTGCATTTACCTAGGACAGGGTTAGTCGCTATTCAGCTGTTACTCCGTCGGTGAAAGCGGTGAGATGGGCAGGCCCCCCAAGCCTTGGCGGCGTGAGTTTATATCAACCCTAGTCGAGGTTGTCAAATCTGATCAGAGACTGCAGCTCAACCATTATCATCTGTCAGCGACTGGGAAAGAGTACCTGACACACTAAAAGGGGAAGAATCACCGTGCTTTCGTACAAAACCTGTAATATAATACGGGACCAAACCTGACTTCCCTTTCGAAACTTCTTCATGCCGCCGTTGGGGTAGATTCTTGCACAGCTGATGCCAGGGACTGGGTTGCAGCCAACGACGCGATGGCTTGCCCGTGCGGAATGGGACATGCTCGTTCAATAAGGGGCTTCCGGGGAGTGGTACGGGCTTGGAAACCGGCTGCCTGATGACTCGGTCCGTTTCATGCGATGGGACTTCGAGAAGGAGACCTGACATTTAGGTTCGTTGTTCCTTTGCCGCTGCCTGAAATTAGAGCCCGTGCTCGATGCTGACTGCATCTACAGTACACACCGCCTATCTCAGCTGTGTTGTATGTCGAAGCACGCAGGAGACAAGACCTTGGAATTCCGGAGAGCTATGTGATGTCAAGTTACGAGGCCGGGGGAACATAACTTAAAGTTGATCCTCAGAATAAGCTTTACATCGCGCACGAAAGAGCATAAGATTGACCCGCAATGAGTCTATTGAGCGGACTTGCTTGTGCCATAAGAGTCTTTCAGAGCCGTTTCAGCGTTTGAGCCTCGTTCGTTTGCTTAAGTTGGCAAGATAAGTGGTGCCTGAAACGGAGCGGTGGATATGGTTAGGCCGACACCATGCCGAATGCTGAAAAGGCCCCTCCAACGTGGAAGTTTTTACGTGACACAACACGAAGCCGCAAACTAATCAGCTACCACGCAATTGTTCACTGATCCAACAGGTGCTAAGGAAAGTACAGTGTGAATACGGGTTAGTTCAGGGAGTGGAATGGCAAGATTCATCTCTTCTAACATGTTGCCGTTGGCACCGACAACTCGAAGACGCCGTGGTTCAAGCGCCGGCTAACCAGCCCAACTAACCATGAGAGATCGCGAATCTCCATTGAAATTGTTCTCTGGGCCCAGCCATCCTTAGCAGGACGCAGAGAGCTTCATGGGCACCGTCCCGAACATATTCCAACGAGAGCATCAGATTCATTGTATTGCGTTCGTTCAGGCGATTTCAGTTGGGTTGGAGCTCATCGAGCAGTCATGTCGCCTTGGCCGCAAGGCTGGTTGCTTTGTCTCCATTCCCCAAAGCTCAATGGAAGTTCGTTGCAGAAGCAATGGCTCGACTGTATTCCTGCCGATAACGGTATTTGCTTTCGCTTCTTAAGGGCCTTGGAGCCCAGCTTTGGCAAAAAGACGGCAGAGGGCTCGAGTGTACTTGCATTCCTCAGGATTTAGGCATAGTATCGCAGAAGGCTACTTAACAGCTTAATGTGCAGTGCAGAAATCCGCCGGTGATTCAGACTTCCCTCCAAGCTTTGACGAAACTTAGAAAATGACTTTCCAACATTACACGTTATTGGTATACAAGCTGTCATTTTCGACCTCTTTCAGCCACAAACCCCAAGGCCTGTCAGAAGTCGCCCCAATGGAGACTTCACAGTCCTGCGCTTGTTGAGCGGTCAGGGGCTCAAATGCACCGGTCCCTCCGTTGCCAGTCCCGCCCGTCCATGCTGTGGCCTCATCCCCAGATAATCCGCCAAATGCACCCCGCAGCAGTGTTGCTGTTGTCTGAGCTTTTGCGTTCGACTGGGTGAAGATGGCCTGAAAAACTGCAGTCTGGATGTCAATAGCGGCGGTGGTGAAGCCATGTCGCCGCATCAGCACGACATTGTAATCAGGAAGCAAGACTGGCGGGTTGGCGGACGCATTGGCCGTGGTCAGGAACGTCTTGGCCAGATCTTCTCCAAGTTTCGGGGTGCGGATCAACAAGTCATGCGGTTCGGTGGCGTTGTAGGAGTTCACGACATCATACAGCGGGACCGGGTCCGGGCCAAGAAAGCCGGCCATGTGGTACACCGCTCTCAACGGAACTCCAGCAATTGCGTAGGGAAGGACATCTTCGCTGTGACTGTGAATCACACAGGCGATGTCAGGGTAACGCTTGTACATCTCTCCGTGTATGTACCGTTCAATATAGCCCTTGGGAGCATCGGAATCAACAGCTATTGAGTCGTTCACTCGATATTGGACCAAATCGCTTGCATTGCTGACAAGTGCAGGAGCCATGTTGGCAGACATGAGATAAGTCATTGCGTCGACCGGGTGCCGTGCTGAAATGTGTCCATAGGCGTCAAGCACTGACGTGAAATGCAAGATGTGGTTCGCAGAGATGAGATTACGCTGAATCTGGTCGTCCACGTTGTCATTCATTCATTCATCCGTCATGTCGGGGGAAAGCGTCCCACCATCATGGCAATTGCTGTGAAATGGTCACTTACTTGTGTAAGGTTTACCATCTTGAACTCCTATTTGGGCCGTGAAAGACGAGAATATCAGAAGTTTTGGAGGTCTTGTTGGTATGCAGTGTTGGAAATGATGGAGGGAGCAGAAAGCTCTGGAATCGAAGCTGGCACACGCTAGAAGAGAATGACAAAAGTGTAGCACCATACGGGGTTCTTTATTCGTGCCCGCACTTTTTTACATTCCTCCATTTGGAAACACAGACAAACTTGGAATCAATATGCTGATCCTAAGGGCTTCATTGCTTGGCGATGCAACTCGGGTGTCTAGCTCGGTAAATCTTCTAGGTCGGGCGTGGCGCCTGGGCGACAAGCACTGACAAAGAGCTTGCCCATTCGTCAAGATTCAAACAGGCCATACTCTCCGGACTCAGCAGATGGCAGCGAACCTGAGACCTTTGCAGTTCGAGAGTCGAATATCCTCCACGTTATATTTGAGTCGCAGTTGGCGCATATCGTGGTCTCCTCTCTTGGATGTGAGAGAGTACCCAACATGGCCCATCAGCCCATCAGCAGCATTCTGAAGGTCCACTCAAGGATGGCGCTCGACAATTGAGGTAGAATCCATGAGGATAGCCAAGTTGGAGCGTTTGAGCTTTGCAGAAGTCGGCGTTGAGATGATAGCACCGGCCAGTCATACGAGGTATGACGTCCGTGGGAGAAGTTGGTCAGGGGGCATTTCGACAGAATCGCTTCCCAAGTCAGCCGGAAGGTGGAATGGTCGGGACCAGGTAGTCGCAAAGAAGGTCAGCCATTCTCATGAAACCTTGGTGTCGTCAATATCCATAACTCCCGGCGCTTGTACCATCGTTTCTTTTTCAAATACAGCCTTAAGTCTTTTCTCAAATACAGCCCTAAGTCCGATCCTGAACTCGGACATGCGCACACCCAGAATCTTCAGGATCGCGGTTTGTCTTGAGTCGAGCGTGTCCCCTTCCCTGCAGACAAGATAACCTTCTTCTTCATCCATTGACCCTTCCGGATGTTCTTCCAACATCACTCTGCCCTTGACCAGACGTGTTGGAATCCCGAGTTTTCGAAGAGTGGGTTCAATCTGGACAGGCAGCGGATCATCCTCGCCGCCCTCAATGCCATACTGAGTGTGAATTTCTCCCGGTGGTATTCTGACGTCTCGGATTGCAGTGCTGCCGCTCCGAGCGAAGTCCTGATTCAACCAGTCTGCGAAATATTCTTCGATTTTTGGAATTTCCTGGTTTGTGAAGAGAAGGCCGACTTCGCCTTTGACATACGGTACCAATGCACTAACCCCCGGTACGCACTCCGTTTCCTCCGTCTGCCCCAGTGCCACCATCAAGACTTTGTTCTTTCCCATCATTATCCTGGAGTCACTAAAATCTGCTCTGACCTGTTTGAGGAAATTGTTGCGAGTGTTTTGGACGTCAAACACCCAGATGTAAGAGTACTTTTCTGCCGCATCTCGAACATTTGCGGCGAGTCGGCGGATGAGCTCCTTCCTATTTTTGCGCACTTTTGAGGTCGGGACGACACGGTTTCGTTTCGACGGTGGCATGGCGAGATATGGGGGTGACTGACAGGCAAAAGGGTTTTGAGGCAAGAAGATGTTCAGGGTGTGGTCGAATGCCGTCTGCGTTTGGGCTGCGCCATAAAAAAAAAAGAGAATTTCCAAAATTATTGCCAAGAGCGACACCCAGCTCAACCCAATTTGGGACTAGAGTCATGCCGCCTTGTGCTCAACCCAGCTTGCCCCAACTCGGGTGAGAGGGGTGGGTACCTAGGACGAGAGGTGGTCAAGGATAATTGTCCTAGAACGAGAGGTGGTTGAGGATGATTGTCGTAGTAGTACAGAGTTCCTAGGACAAAGTGGCCGGGACAAAGTGACTGCCTCGGAGAGCGCCTATAGAACGCTACGCGTCATAGGGCAAATAGCCCGGGAGATTTTGAATCTAGGACCCCCTATTAGCGGTGGAGGGAGTGCCTAGAGAAAGTCCCTGGGCATGAATCTGTCCTAGGCGCATTGTCCTGTGGACACAGTCCGCCTCAGTGCGCTCGCTATCACACCTTGAGTCTTAACCTCAGGCTTCCAGGTCTCTAAACCTCATCCAATCATTTATTTGGATATATATAATGTAGCACTCTTGTGGCGGCCCTCTGCCAATGAACAAAGCCTTGAACACTGTGGCGGAGAGGTGGCCGTACAATGGTACAGGCCGTGGGACTAGTATACCAGCTGTCAAGATTCGGGGACGAGTATTGTAGAATGCTATTATCGCAAATAAATTCTGACTCCTTTAAGAAACCAGTGCTAGAAAAATGGCCAAAAACGCGCCGTCCTCTTATTCAATTTTCGAAGCCGCATGCTGTGTCATTTGTAGTATCTTGCTTCAAGCGCTCTTGCTCTGTATCTGACCCTGACTGCAGCTTGTCCGTACCTCTGAATGTGCACGCTCGGAAGCCTCAGCAGATGCATATAGTTTTCACTACACTCGTGACCATGTTGGCATCGGATGGTGGTGTCGATTCCCAGGAGACCAGATCGACGAACTCATCCACAGCAATTATGACTCGTGCAGCAAATGCGCATGTTGGCACTCCCTTGTCATCATGTTCGGTCTTGTCTGTGTTTTCTTCCCTTCTGAGAACGATGGCGACGCCAGGAAGTATCTCGCCAGTCGGCTGCTCACGGATCGCAATCATATCGCCCCAGACATTGTCCCTTGATCCATGGTCGTGACCGTCAGATGACTGCGGTTCCACATCCTCCAACACACGGAAACCTCGCTTCCCCTTGATGTCGAGCAGGCGGAGGGACCTATTCCTCGGCAAAACTAGTCTTTCATCGAATTCCAAGACTAGAAACTCCCCAACAAAGCCATTTTCCGTAATGCGTCCATAGTTGCGACCCAAATCGTTCAATCCTGTCCCATGCATGAGCGTCCTCGGCGCCCATCTGAACCCGCGAGTGGTCAGTCTCGGTGCACCTGAGAAGATCAAGCCACCTGGTACAGTCCCTAAGGCTTTCCAAAACGCTATCATTCTTGCTTCTCCTGAATACTGCATAATGATGCCAATATCGATGTGGAAAAGTGGAGCAATAGCCAACGTCTCATCATCGAGTCGGCTACTGGTCCGGTAGCACATCAGCCGCTGGATATGATTAATATGGGCGGGTTTTGTGGCATAAAGGTTACGGTTGAAGCCTGATAGCTCTGCGATCAGAGCGGCCGAAATAGGGCCTGTGAAGCCAGAGACGAAAATTTGTGAGAGCAAATGAGACATCGGCAAGAAAGCGTCACGCAAGCGGAAGACAAGGTTAGACGCTAGAATGCCTTCTTTAAGAGTCCAAAGACGGCGAAGCCAGACAGACGACAGGATACGGATGGCTATTTCTTCGGTAGCGCTCGAGCTGCTGGATTGACGAAGACCATAGTCAAGGACGAGTGTCGTAGGAGCTTTAGCGTAGGTTGCACTCATGAGTTGAATTGCAGTGTTGCGCATTATCGAGTCGTTAGGGACGCACAACCCATCAATCCAGAAGAGGGACGAGCCGGAAATTCTATGACAGAGATGTGCGAGTTGTACCACTTGACATCTCGGCAGGCCTTTCTCTGTCGTGCTCCCGAGTCCATCTGACCAAACATGAGAGATCACCACATACTCCATGTCTGGTTTATATCGTTTCACACTCAGCTCACCCCGTTCTCCGTCCATTATTATGGACTCTCCGTCCAACACTGGGAACGTCCCAGATTGCAAAATGTCGAATACATCTTTCAGAGGAGGGAGCACATGCTCGCATGAGCATCCTTGGTGCACATGCTGAGGCGAGTAGGTGGATACGTCGACATTATATGCTTTGCACTGTGTATTGCTGCAGTGAGTATGCCTCACGTGAGGCTGCTCGATTGGACGAAGAAGGGTCGCATACATTGCAGCTGAATGACCGTACCGATTTGTCATTATTCTCGAGCTCGACGGACACCACCCGCTCCGTCGCAGCCGGCCTTTTATTTCTCCCCCAGGATCTAAATCCATCTGATAATTGATCAAGCCAGCGTCCGGATATGCTTGAGGCACGGCTTTACCCAGTAGCTCCGTCAATAGAAGTGCATTGCGGATAGTCGCATTGAAAATATTAGACAGGGGATTGCTGTTGTAGGCTGGGATTCTAAGCCTCAGCTTGACTTCGAGATATAATGCCCAGTCGCGTGCACCAACCACCGAACGCCCGAAAGAGACCGAGAGACTCTTCTGCCTATCTTCTGGAAGATCGAGAAAGCCGAGGTGCCATTGCTGATAGAATGTGCGTAAATACTGGGTGTTAAGGACTCTGTGATGGCTTTTACCTGTTGTCTGTATGCCCTCGGATGAAGTCAGAAATGAAGAGCTTGAAAAGTGCTGCTGAAAGGCACTTTCAAGCACGCCAAAGAAAAGCCAGCCTTGTAACATCGCGAGAATGGAAACATAATCGGTGTTTTCCAAGAAGAGACCCTGGCGGAGCGCTCGCAGTCTTACAGCATTCCAGCCTCGCAGGAGGGGGTATTCCTCAAAAGACGCCAAAGGGAATCGTTGACTGCTATCGTGGTCAAATTCAAGCCATTGACTCTCAGGAATCGAAGGTCGCATTCTGTCAAGCTCTGTAGGACTGATAAGATGCTCCATATCGTAAACGCACAGAATCCTATGTCCTCATATGTTTCTGCGAGTTTGTAATTAGTTAATAGTGGTCAACAGTGGTGGAGCAGAAGTTTGCTACGATGAGACTTTGCTTGCCTTGCTTGCCACCAATGATAGTGTGGGGAGCGTGGCGCTATCCATCTGGCGCCATTCTTTTGACGGGTGCTTGACGGGTGACGGGACAGCCTAGAATCTTTCTCTGATTCGGCCCACCAAGGACGGCTTTGTTACCCATTGTGACTTGCTAGGCGGAGCGGGGTGAGAGATCACCAGGACGGCCGCGTCTCAGCGGACTTTTGGAGAAATGGCATTGAAAGGACTGGACAAATCCTCAATAGGTAGGTACGGTCGACCTTGCTGTTCGTATCAGGCTCACCGTTGCGTCAAGGTCTCTCCTTTCGGTTCTTCCTATCCTCTCATAGAATACGGGGGATGAGACCAACCAATCCACAGTACGGTAACACCCTTCTGGCAGCGACCTCAGCCCCATGAAAAGTAAAACAATAAGACTCAGCCTGGCAATGACATACACATACGCGCAAGCTCTCAGGAGCCAACTCCACGCAAACAAAGATCGCTGGGAATACTCCAGTTCTGGGCTTGTCATATACCAGTAGCTAATCCGTGTTACTCTCTCGACCTTCAACCTTCTCCCTGTCGTCTCCATAAACACTCGATAAAGGAGCAGTACATAACGCTGACAAGCCAGAAGAAAGGGATTGTCGTTGCAACCGCCAATGAACTCATTCGCCAGAGAAGCTGCTCTGTTAGTGTAGGGAAAGAGAAGTTCCATGCCGAACAATGGAGACCTCCGACGAAGAAGAACAAAAAGCTGACCAACACACCTCCTAGTGGACTTGGTGCGTAGGTGGCCCTCCCAATCGCCCTCCAACACTCTTTCGCCAGCCCGAACGATTGGTAATGGGCGGGCATGAACGGCACATATACGAAGGCGCTTATCTCCAATGACGTGATGGGCAAGTCCTGTGCTATATGGGTGGTACATTGTGTCGCAAGCCAAAGGGGCTGAAACGCCAGCAAGACTTTCACCAAGCTGTCGGCCTTGCCTTTGTCCCTCATTTCCGATTCGCTAACAAGGGTAGATAGGCTAATTGCGTCCAGTAATAGGTGCTCCTCGAGATCTAATGTGGTGAGATAGCCTTCTACCATCCGTTTTGAATAGTGGCCTTTGCTGACAGGAGTCTGCTTGATCTGCAATCCGCCCATCAACACGTAAAATGCCGTAACAATCCCCCTCTGCTCATAGCCAGGTCTTGTTTTGCCGGGTTCGTTTTCTTTCCGTTCAAAGCCTCACAGCATCTTGGCTGACCATCTGGCATCCAACCATTCCCTGACCGCAACCCCGAGGATCAACTCCGGCGCCAACGCCGCCAGTACCAATCCAATTGCTGGATCAATAACCTTATGCCACCACGGGGCTCCCGGTTGGGGGATGTTGGGGTGCACCACCGTCCAAGTGCAGATGAAGACGGTGAAGAGACAGGGCCAGAGGACATCGATGGTGCCTCGTTGGTTGGGCGAAGGAGTAAAGCCGATATGCTGGACTGAAGACGGAGAAGTCGCCATGTTGGAAGCACCAGGTCACTGATATATCCGGTGCCCCTCAATATTCTGATTAAATCAGGAACCAACCTAATCCACTGACAGACGAGCTGGGGAGGACAATATCTCGATCGAATCGCCTTTCTGTGAGATTTTTCATTGGCAAAACTCTGGCATTGGGTTGAATTGAGATACCATATATCCCAAAGAAGGGGAAGGGGCGCATTTACCCGTTCCTTCTTCCTGAAGCCGTAACCACGCACGCGCGGAGCAGAATACGAGAAGCCTCGCGTAGTCAAAAGGCACCCAGATTCAGCCTTGCCGACAATGACCCTTGTCTTTTCTCGCAGGTTTGCCCAATATGGGCCGTTACAATCACAAACCGGCACCATGTGACCAATTAAGATCCTATATTGTCGTATTGCATGTGGTGGCGAGTTTCAGGGGAGCCCTTTTCGACCCCTTCCAGTTGCATCGAAAGAGTCCGTGAGTACCGAGTACTGTACATAGAAGTCAACTTGGAATGGAGGCGTATCTCGATTTTAGTACGGTACTCCGCAGGCAAAAGAAACCTGTAATTGCTTCAACCTGCGATGGAGAAGCTATAGAGGAACCGAGAAGATCCCCATGGGACCTTACCAAGTAAGCATTAGGCAAATGCATTTTACATATCCGCCAATGACACCTGGTTCGAGGCCACCATCGGCAGCCAAACTTGTCCCCTTCTTTGGCACGCCCATAACCGTGGACGAGTTCAACATTACATTGACGTGGAATACTGCTGGGAAAAGCGCCGTTGTTCTGGTGCTTTGCGTCCACTGCCCTTCTGAGACGGGGAGGAATCCACTTTCAAACCCGCTGCATGGTTGGCAAGCACGGATTCTCTCCGCCCTTCGTCTAAATGCCGTCGCCAAATGTGTCCGTAGCTTAGAATACTTGACTCTTCCTGACCATTTACCCTTCTCTAAGAGCGCACAAAGGAAACGAGGGGGAACGGAAGGAGTAGATAGGGGGAGGGGGTCGGACAGGACGGTAGCGATACAGGTCTGCATCTTTGATCCCTTTTGATCTTGGCTTTATGCGTTGCTTGTTTCTGAAGCTTGTTCTTCTCTGTATATGCACCTCTCTTGTAGCCTCTGGCAGCAGCTCGAGCTGATGGCTCATTCGCCGTAGGGTACCATCGTTGGGCGGTCCCCTATGGATGCGCGAGTGTATGAGAGGAAGGGGCGTGTCAACTGTGAAGCTCGTTCGAGAACGAGGTTGCAAGATGGACAGCTTCAGCTAGGTGCGGGAAGGATGAATGTTTGTAAGAGAAAAGGCTCTTAACCTTTGTATACTGGGTAGGGAGGAAGGCCTCTTCTACGGATAGAGAGGATACTCGAAGGGATGGGAAAGAAAGTCGAATATTAGGGAAAGCGACCCGCTGGGAGAGTTGAAAACAGGGAACCTGTTCGCCCACTAATGCGGGACCCTGGTCTGGTGCAGACATAGAAGTCCTTGTCGATGGCTGACTGGGAGGTCAGCCGGCGAGCAGAGTCTAAAGCTGTGCAGGTTGTCGATTTACCTTCCCCTTTGTCGCCAAGAGGAAGGCAACTCGACTATTAGCTAAGCTTCTTTAGGCCAAATAGCTTAGTGCTTGAGTTCTGATACCCGGTAATGGAGTTTATGTTGACAATTATTGGAGCTCGAGCGTGGCACCCTGTAAATCAATGAGGGTGCCTTAAAGCGTCTCTTTGGTCTCAGGAGGAACTGGAAGATTAAAGTTAATCAAGAATCACAGCAGCAGCCGCCTGAGTCCCTTCTCTCAAACATTATACCTACCAGGGAAAGGCCATACTCATACTGAGGTTGTGAAGCGCAGAGTGTATTCGAGGAAGGACTTACAATAGAATTTAGGCTGCTAACGATCTACATATCGTCAGTTCAAGTACCCTGAAGGTCATTGTCAAATTCATATGCGATGGCGGTCATGGAGATGCAGACAGCTATCTGAAGTTCCGACCATCCTAACCAGTCTCCCTTCATTTACTCTTGTGCCTTGACGAAGTCGATGACGGCGACATTCGGACCCGGCCAATGCTTCCGCGCGCGTAGGAACCAAAGGCCGATGGCAAAGAAGAACACGAAGAGGAATATCGGCCCCGCATAGTTCATGTTCGCCGCGGTCACAGGGATCGTGCTTGGAATCGGCAAAAACACCATGATATACAGCGTATAAACGAGGGCGAAAGAGTTGATATAGACTCCGTATCGACCCAGATTCCATCCACCCAGCTCAAGGGGCTTACCACCATGCGAAGAGGTCCAACGAGCCAACAGCATGGCCGAGATCGCCGTGCCATAAGAAAAGTACAACGCTAAGGACGAAAGCGCTGTGATGGCTCCGAAAGCTGTGGTGGAGCCGATATTCAAAAGTGACAACAGCATGACAACGACAAGCGAGAGCCATATTGATCGGATCGGTACATGGTGGGTTGAGTCCACAAGTGCAAACCAGCGAGGTAAGCCCCCGTCCCGGGACCATGCCCAAGTCAGTCGCGATACTGAGGCAATAGACGCTATGTTGACGCAGAACGAAATAACAAATAGCCCACAGACCATCGCAGTGGTTGCTTTAACTGAGCCTGTGACCCGGAGGAGGATTGTGATAATGGGGAACCCAGAGCTGAGCACTTCGTCAATGGGACCCATAGCACTGAGGATGGCGATCACCATGGCATATGCCAGTACGCCATTCAAGGCAATGGACCAGAATGTTGCTCGCGGCACCGCCTGAGGAGCTTTCTTTGTTTCTTCGCTGAGATGGCAGGAATCATCAAATCCAGTGAAACTCCACGCACAAGTGAGCATGCCCAAATTCCAAGCAACATACGTATTGGACCAGCCCGACGAAATGGACTGTTCCAAGAAGATAAACTCGGCACTGTGGCGGCTGCCCATGACGACCAGGACGACAAGGAACAGGACGAAAAGACAGACGTGGAGTATTCCGGCCACAAGCTCAAGCCAGGGTACAATCGCGAACGTTTTACCGAAGGAGTTGATCAGGCCCTGGACAAACAAGATAGCGATCATGATGAGTGTGATGTGCCACGTCTTGGGGACGTAGCTCGGATGATTGAGCATTGCCAGCTGCTGCAGGATGATGGCGGTGATATTTGCAATGCCGGCGAGCAAAGAAACCCAGCCAAACCACGTCATCCAACCTTGCATCCAGGTGATGAATCTTTTCATATTTGACGGAGCCAGATTGTATGTCCAGTGGTATTGAGCGCCGGCGATAGGAATAGTCGATGCCATTTCAGCGATAGATGCAGCTTGTGCGATTGCCCCAAAGTAGACAATCAAGACGCTCCAGGCAAATGTCTGAGGGCCTCCGTTGTAGAGAGCGAAGAACATATTTCTGTCACTTGTCAGCTTTAATGCATTTCTCCAAGCGATATACACTCCTCACGTATTCATACCCTCCCACGTGCTCATAAAGGTGAGAGAAAAGGCAAAGATCTGGGAGAAGCTGAACAGTCTCCGAACTCTCGTCACACTCTCAATGCTGTGACTATTTGCGTCGACGTTTGAGGCAGCCACTTGGCCAGATTCCCCATGATCACCACTCCTATGGCTTGCGAAACGGTTGATAGTTAACTGCACATCTTTGTCCACTTTGTGCAGCTCGTAAACTTCGCTGTGGTCGGACATCGTATATATATATATATTTCTCCTATATTTATTGGGACAGGACGGACGCTGAGATGGGACGTTTCGGAGTGGAAGCGTCAAGTTGCAAAGACAGAAGAAGTGAAAAGAGAAGTGAAGGAAAAGAAATCGAGAGAAGAGATAGCTTGGTCCAATGAATTCAAGACCGACTTATCGAGAGCAACAGGATCCATCTTTTAGCGAAGCCTTAGTCTTTGATAGGTAGAAGCACATTCAACTGCAGCTGCTGAGTTGCCACGAGCACGGGGTACTGCCGACCAAACATTGGGAATGCATGGTGGAGGTCCCGCTCAAGAGGATGCAAGGAGGGCAGGAAGCAGGAGGGGGTCCCAATGCTGAAACAGTGATCAGGCACCACAGCATTATTGTCCAAAACGCCATTTGCCGAGGAGGGTGTTTCCTTGCCCGCACTGATGCACCTAGACAAATACTGTATGGTATATGCAATTACATTGGGCGGGATTTTGGTTTGCATCCGGGGGAAGTGGACTCGGTGGGGTGGGGGGGACAGTTCAAATGACAATATTCATTGACCCAAATCGCCAAAGACAACCAGATGTGGGAGAATGTGTTTCAAATGACGAGTGGCTGGCTCGGACCACTTCCCCGTCTGCCCGTCGACGACGGAAATGTCGACCCATGTACGTACAAGTCGTCAAGGCTTTTCAGCCTCTCCAGCGGGAATATTCCCTGGTCGATTGGATGTCCTAGTCCATCTCACGCCTAAGACCGAGTTAAGCGCAATATTGTCCCTAAGTACTATCGGGGAATATGCTTCCGGTCAGAAGGCTTCCAGCTAGATGCACGCTTGCAGGGGCACCCTTTCGCTGCCGTGTAGATCCTTCTGGCTTGCTCAACCTGCCTCGCTACTCAACCCGCTGGCAGCTTCGTTAGGGCAGTTGGCTCAAAATTCCCCATGCGTCTTGGGGGGCCACAGGTAAGCTAGAAGCTTGGAGAGATGTACTGGTCTCTCTACCGACGACCTATCTCATCCATTACATGTTCCCCAGATTGCTCAGCCATGGAGAGCATGCGTCCAGTTCTTACTAGAAAGAAACCCATGCCTCTAAATCAATCATCAATTATCTGGAGGCGAGTGTTGCTTGTACATACCATGGGTACTTCAAACTACTTAGTGACGGCTAACTAGTGAAGTTGTGGTGGCTTCGACTGTTGATCCCCTGAAGAATGCAGACGTCCTCGTATTCATGCCCTTGTAGCATTGACACCATACGAAGTCCTCAGCAACAACATGGATGTTGCGGACCCGCTCAAATTCGGTATAGGTATGGAACATCCAGCCCTTCAAGACCTGGTCAGGGCGATCACTACCTCGCCTGCCATCAAGGATAACAGAACCCAGACTCCCACTGTTGCCGGCCTTCAACTTCCAAATCCATTGGCACAGTTTAGCATTCCTCTTTGTCCTGCTTTTATACCTAGCTTAGTTATCAGGATGGCTGACAAAGAGGCTCCTGCTTTCTTTCAGATTTCATCAGACAATCATGCACCATGGGTCGTGGTAACAGCCTCGGTGTTTCTGATATATTCCATCATGGCCGTGGTTTCCAAAGTGGTTTCAAAGCTTCATCTCACGTTCATGAAACCATATGATTGGCTGATTATCGCATCAACAATCACCGCTTTCGTGCAAACCGCTTGCGTTATCGCTGCATGCGAGAATGGTCTAGGACAGCACCGTGAGACCATCTCCAAGGACACGTTTGCCGCCTTTTCACGAGTTATGTTGCACCGGGTTTCGATGTGGATGGATTTGCTGACAGAATGCAGTATGCGTACGCAGCCCAGATGCTTTTCGTTATCGCCTGTGCTTTCGCAAAAGCATCCGCAATCTCTTTTATTTTGGCTATAGCTCCACAAATACGGCTTCAACAGTCATCTTACGTGCTGCTCGGGGTCGTCTCTTGCTGGGCAGTGTCTGCAGTACTTGCTCTGGCTTTCCAGTGTCAACTACCTCACCCCTGGAGGTTTGAAGAGGGGAAATGCATTGATCAAGAGGCGCTCTCTCTCTTCATAGGCATTGTCAATATCCTGACAGATCTCGCCTTAGTCGCCATACCCTCTGCTATGATGTGGTGGGTGCAGACAAATACCGGTAGAAAATGGCAGGTCGTGGCTTTGTTTGCGTCTAGAATCATGTATGTATCAGATGTACATGCGGCTGAAGTACTCCGCTGATATGGCAATACAGAGTTCCAATTTTCGTCGTCTTTCAATTAGTGGAGTACCACAAATTCTATGAGTCCGACGACAGAAGTTGGAAAATGGTCGGCCCCGCCATATGGAATCAACTGGTCATGAACCTCTCCATCCTCACCGCATGCATACCAAGTTTGAAAACGGTGCTTGATATGTTCAAGTCCGGGACCTCATTCTTCACGGTGCCAGTCCAGTATCAGTCGGCAGTGGATAACAGTTCCCAAGGACTGAGATCGAAGTTAGCCACCGCCGTTTTTCAGAGAATCGCATTGAAGAGAAGTGCCAACAGGAGCCAGAACGACACGGCATATTCGTCGAGGGAGTGGCCCACGAAACAGATGAAAGCCGTCAGTGGCCAACATTCCGTGCAGATCTCGAGTAATGTCAGAAGCAACTCTGACCTGCAGGATATTCCCGTGCGCAGCGAGAGCCAGCGAAGTCTGACGGAGAACACGATCATGAGGACAGTAGCATACGAGGTCGGGTATGAGGAGATGATGGCGACACATCATGCCGCTGGCTCAGATGGTCAATCTCGAGTTTCGATCAACAGTGAGGCACAGCACTCATACTAGACCCACAATGCAGAGTTTCGGCCCTTGCCGGGGCTTGATTAGGGGGAACATGGCCCCCGATGAGCCTATTACTACTTCTTCGGGCGCCTGTGTAAAGGATGGCACTGCAGACGAAAAGTGAATCCTCCTCGAACTAATTCATTGATGAGAATGACAATATTTTCAATCGGCCACTGATAGGAGCGCCAAATCAGCAGGCTGTCTTCCAATCTCCCTTCCGCCGACGGGAGTTCTTGCATGGCCTAGAATGTGACCAAAGGCCTAAGGGAAGTCATCACACATGGAAAGTCTTGGGGAGTTTTAGCGAACACACTATTCATGCAGCTAAGTCATTCCCCGTGGCGTCCGTTGCGAGCCCCTGCGAGCCTCAACGGGAGAGAGGACCAGACTTTGCGTTTCCAACTAAACAGACGTCAACTAACCCCTACCTACCTAGGTACAAGTACGGGTACTAATACCTACTAGGGTAAGCTTCACTCGCCTGCCAGACTGGCACGGTAATTGGCTTCGGGGCCGATTGTAAAAGGGAGTCTACTGGTAAGAAAGAAACCAGTCTGGCTGTTTGGGAACAAAATCTCCACATTCCGCTGCGAAGGGCCTTGCCCTGGCAAGCTGCGTGATAACAGTAGCACACAATCCACCATTCACTCGACAAATCCTGCCAGGCTAGGCTGTCTCGGTCCAAGCATCATTTCATTAAACTGGGGAGGTCGACTTCCTGAAAATGTCAAAGCTACTCATCCCTGTTCAGAGTATACGAGTACTGCAATAATACGCCGCATTCCTACACCACTCGCGGACGAGTCGCTGAGTCAGCCAGCCTTTTGCCGCCCGCATTGTGAGATGCTTGAGACTTCACCGCTACTCGAACCAGATCGGGCCTTGTCAGAATATGGCGACGATGGCAGCGATGGCAACAGCAACCACCCCGAGCGAGCCACGACATGGAAAACCGAGACACGAATCATGATCGCCAACACAGCGCCCTTGGTTTTGACGTACTTGCTGCAATATTTCTACAGTTTGATCATTGTGTTAGTCGTCGGCCACATCGGAGAAGACGAGCTCGCTGCCGTGTCATTGGGGGTCACCACCATGAACATTGTCGGCTTCGCCATCTTCGAGGGCATCGCGACGAGTCTAGATACGTTATGCGCGCAGGCCTTTGGCTCCGGGAATCTGAAAGTCGTCGGTTTACATGTTCAACGAATGATATTGCTGCTGCTCCTTGTCGCTTGCCCAATTGGCATGCTATGGCTCTGCTCACCCTGGATCCTCGCAAGAATGATCCCTCAACCTCAACTGGCGATTGTGGCGGGGACGTTCCTGAGGACATCGCTCATCGGTGTACCCGGATACGTGGTGTTCGAAGCCGGTAAGCGGTTCCTGCAATCCCAGGGGAATTTCACTGCGTCCTTGGTCGTGCTTTTAATCTGTACGCCCATTAACCTTGTCCTCAACTGGGTGCTGGTGTTCAAGCTGGGCCTGGGAGTCATGGGATCTGCACTTGCAGCCGCTCTGAGCAACGATTTGCGAGCCATTCTGCTCATCCTGTATATCGCCCTCTATCTTCCGGAAACGCACCAGTGCTGGCCCGGGCTCCTCCCCAAGACCATCCTTCAAAACTGGATGCCTATGATCAAGCTCTCTGTCCCCGGCGCGGTCATGACACTGGGGGAGTGGTTTGCCTTCGAGCTACTCAACTTCAGCGCCGCGTACATCAAATCTGGTGGAAGCACCTTCACAGGCTCAGGGCCTTTGGCGGCCCAAGCGATCCTTTCGACGACCTCAGTGCTAGTATGGCATATCCCCTTCTCCGGGAGCGTGGTGGCAAGCACCAAAATCGGACATTTGATAGGGAGAGGCTCAGTCGACGCCGCCAAAAAAATATCCAAATTCTATGCCGCTTTCTTCTCCGGGACCGCCATATTCGACATGATACTAGCCCTCGCCGCTGGCAGTCTTATTGCGCGTTTCGGCACCGGGGATCCGTCTAGCGAGGTGCGAGATCTCGTTATGGGGACTCTTCCCTTCGTCGCGGTCTTTCAAATCTTTGACGCCGCCGTTTGCTGCATTCATGGCATAATGCGTGGCCTGGGTCGTCAGGCCATTGGCGGCTGGGCTACGTTCGCAGTCAACTATTGCATTGGAGTTCCTTTGGCATTGGTACTCTCTCTCGGTCCCCCGATGCTTGGGTTGGTAGGTCTCTGGTCGGGGCTGTCCATTGGGATGGCCGTGCTGGCGTCGGTGCAGGCAATAGTCTTGGGGATCATCGACTGGGAAACATGTGTACTGGATGCGAGAAAGCGGGAAGAGAGATGTGATTAGTGATTGGCCGCGGAGTCTTGGAGAGCAGCATCTTGACGGTGTTGCACGTGAGGTTATTGGGCCAGAGCCTGATGGAGGAATGTGAACGGAGTACATGTATCCAACAGACAACCAAGCCTGAGTCTCTCCGAATACGTGCCATGGCAGAGCTAATTTTGAGCTCTGAGGCATGTACTAAGTGACCGTCGACAAGGCTTCCAATTTCTGGATACCAATAGCTGAAGGGATATATCCCACTTCTGAAACCTCAGTTGCATTAGTTTTGACTGACGCCAATCACAACTCGCTAACATCATGGCCTGTGCCGATGTATGTGCAGTAAACGCGGTACGATATGACAAAAGCAACTCAGTGCTCGATCCCCATCGCTGACCCCACTGTGCTTGTCCTGGCCTATGGCTCTCTACAGGGCTTCGCCAATCCTGCCCGCATCTCAGACCCATTTGATCTCGGCTCTTTCAGCCTCAATTATCACTTCAGGATCACTTTCAGAGACACTTAACGACTGCATCCATGCTCTTCCATGACGGCTGTGCCCGGCATCATACCCCCAGCTGACTGACGTCGAAGAGATGCCTTCAAGGGCCATGTCCTAACCGGCTCAGGAGAGAGCAAGGTCGAAGTTCCCAAACATCACGAATAGGAGCATCTTTTCCGGCTCCGCTTGCGCATCCTCTCTGAGGCCAGAGCATACAAATTCACTGACACGGATTTCCGCAACTGGGCGTGATCGGGGCGTGATTATCATTGCTTGACTGACTCGGCTTGTGTCACAGCCGCATTCGCAAAAACTCTTTCCGCGTGCCCTTCGCTAGGTGTTGTCCATGAGGCGGCGGCCTTGATTGGCTTATAGCGACCAGGGTTGAGCGGATTCCCGCACCGTTAATGCAAGATATATCTCCACATTGAACTTTGTTTCCCTCTCGCGCCACAAACTTTGGCGGAAAAGAGAAAAACAAGGCACTTCGTGAGTATGAATGCTCATGTGTCGTGGTAGAAGATTGAAATCACACGAAGACTCCGTTGAGTGTGAGTGAGAGGCTTAAACAGGGCTATATAAAGGCTACTGCCTCAGGTCGAAGAGCTTCCACTTCTTTCATCTCAATTCTCATCGAAGCTCGCTCGAACCATTTACCTCGTGATCTTCGCATTTCACCTTTCTGCCCTCCCTTTTTCTTAAGTGCTATTCGCTTTAACCAGAAGTCAGCCAGCATGGACGGAGGTCATCTCTTCCAGGCAATCAATACGACCACCACCACTGGCATATGCATTCCTGAAGAGGCGTCATGGAACCTCAACAGTGACCTGCACCATCCAGATATTGTCAACTCCTATCCACCTACCATAGAGCTTGATGGCGGCCCGGTCCAAGTGGACTTCGACAGTCTGGCTACATTCCTGAATGATCATCGTTCCCTTGATGATAACCTGCACGATGATAGTGATGAACACCATTGTGTCTCGTGGGGGAGGTTGGGAGCTCTCGACGGCACAGAGAGAATTAGTCCAGTTGTCGCCAATCACGTCCCTTCAACTCAGTCACAGGCCCATCCGTCATTGATTCCTCCCCCGACTCTTAAAACTCGAAACCGCCCTCATCCTCAGGCTTCCCCTTCAACTAAGAGGTCAAAACCGTGTCTTGGCTGCAGAGTTGACAAGGGCAATCGTGCTTGTTCCGGATCACCGTGGTGTGAGAGATGCCAGCACAAAACCGGTCTGCAAGCACCACCCGCCAGTCCAAATATTATTCCCTATTTGGATTGGAGTCGATGGCATAACTTCTGCCAAGCAGTTCAGCAAAGTCTCCCCAAGCTGTCCGAAGACGTGACAATCATCTCCCGAGCTTCCGGACCCCAACCCCAGTCGATCATTCTAGAACTCGACCTCGAGGACAGATGTTCTAGGAGAAGCTTTCAATTGACACATGTCGTCGCGCTCGATCTCAGATTCGCCGACGGCACGTGGCCAAGGGCACCTGTAATCACCAAGGAACAATTTGACCTGTTCATCATGGAAGCCATGTGGGGGAGATTGTATACAGTCAGAGACGCCGAAAGTTTTTCCAACCAGGAGCAGGACTTATTCTCCAAGATCAAGCTCCTTTTGGGCTATTCCAAATTGCTTCGGAGCTTTAACTCTATCTGGATCATCAGTCGCGCCTTCGTTGACGACGCACTAAGCCTGTTTGTGGCAGCTGAGCTCGAATATTTTCTAGCATTCCGTGTCAACATGTTGTTCACAGAGTTATTGGGAATGTGGCCCGCTATCGATTCGGATGCTGTCACCGGACAACGTCAGGCCGTCCTTTTCTATGGCCTCGAAGCGGTTCTTCGTGGGTTAAGCTCCTTGGGGCAGACTCACTGGAAGTTAGCTCAGACACCTTCTTAGTATCTTCTTTGGTTGGAGAATGACCTCAACGAATGTTTCAAACGGGTGCACGATAATATTCTGGTGCAAACATGTGGCCTTCCCACACCGCAGAGAATACAGGTTGTACCACATCTCGTGGAATTTGCTCGCGCACGGGACAAGGATCTCTCGAAACACCTGCTGGTGAGCGTGCAAAGACACCCGAGTTCCATCGTTGGGTTCGTGCCGTTTCCGCTGATTCATTCAAGGGGCGAGGTGCGCTCTGCTTTGGATCTATTGGTAGAATCGCGTAGAGAAATTATCTCCGGAATCATCAAAGGCTCCGTTAAACCCAGAGAACGACACCCAAAATACTTGGTGACAGTGGACAACAAACTGGTCGAGTATAGGGATTTAACCGACCTTGGATACGGGACACACGATGGGACCAAGAACAGCAACAGCTCCACGGGTGGTCCAACGGAGACAGCACAGTTTCTAATCGAACAGCACCCGGATCCGCTGCAAGCTGTTCGACCTGGGGGCTCCACGTTCACCACTGTTGGCGACGATTTCATTTTGGAGTCAGAAACAGGGTCAGGCATCGGCCCTCAGGGGCCCAATGTCACTGTGAGTATGCTAAGCCCAGAAGAGCTGGCCAGGATCAGCGTTCCCATTCCTCCTCCAGGCTCAGTCGGTTTCTGCGACTCCTGGGGGCAGCCAATATCTGACTTACAGCTTTGGAACTTTCGGCCCTCCACCTCTGACCTCCCGGAGACCGCTAATGACAATGATGACGTCGATGAAAATCTGTCGGATACTTCCCGAGTGTCCCAGCAAGACGAGATCCCCCTGAAATTCAATGCAGTTCTGAACGCAATGATTGCGAGGGCCTATTCCAACGTCCTGTTAGCAGAACAACCTGAGCGGGATCATCATCAGCAGAATTGATATCGACGGATAGTGCGCTAATAGCTATCCCTAACCGTGGCGCGTACGTTGGCTGGGCTGGAGTTAAAGGAAAGGTTGGCTTCTTTGATTGCATTGGCGTCAGTCTTGAGTGAAAACATGATGGAGTGTCAGGATGGCTCTTTGGAAGCTGAAGAGGCAGTTGTGATGCCGGGAGCAATCGAACGGCAGGGAGATTTTGGTAACTAGTACCAAATAATGATAGTGTCTTGGCTTCCAAGACTTTATGAGGCTAGGCCAATAACGGAAATTGCGACACATTCAGTTTCACCTGTGCCTAGAATCTTCATCTCCATCCAATTCTTCCCTCCACAATCACAAACAATGTCAGGGCAGTCTCGGAGGAGGATATAAACTACGGATTCGCCCTTCAATTCCTCTCTCAGGTCCCTCTTCCAAGCTCACGAGTGTCGAGATCCAGGATGGAGAACCAAATTTCCCGCAAATCATCCTCTTCCCCTTCACAGAGTTACCTGGTAGCCTACAATGCCATCTGCCTGGCCCTGTGGTCTATCATAACCCTCCGAGCTGTTTTCCTCATACCCACCCTCTTTGCTCTTGGGAAACCCCAAGGTGTTCTCGACGCCCTCTTTCCTCTTCTTAAATGGACTCAGACAATAGCCCTCCTCGAAATCCTCCATGCCGCCGTCGGCCTCGTCCGAGCCAGCCCCATCACAACCGCAATGCAAGTCGCGTCGCGGATATTGCTTGTCTGGGTTGTGCTAGACATGTTTCCACAAGTCGTCTCGACGACGAACAGCTTTGGGAAGTCGGTGCCGGGTTCGACATTGGGGCCGATTGCCTTTGCGGGGATCTTGATGGCGTGGGGAACTACAGAAGTCATTCGATATGGGTTCTTCGTGTGGAAGGCAGCCATAAGTGAAAGAGTCCCCGCCGCCCTTACGTGGCTGCGGTACAACACCTTCTTCGTCCTATATCCCATTGGCATCTCGAGCGAATGTCTGCTTATGTACCTGGCATTGACCCCTGCAGCGAAGCAAGGACAGCGGCTCGATCTATTGTTGAAGATTGTTCTCCTCATTTACGTACCGGGCAGCTATATTCTCTACACTCACATGATGGCCCAGCGGCGCAAAGTCATGAAGGGGAAAGGAAAGTCTGCTTGAGAAATGCATTAGTTTCCGGGACATTTGGATGATGGCATACCCGGTCTTTGAGGGTATCTGGTGGACACAGACCTCAGGCAGTTCGAAGGATGACTGAGGCAAAGGAGACCAGTACACCATTGCCTCGAGTGGAAGGTGTTACTCCAGCTTGGCAGATGAACAGGATGCCAGAAGATTCTAAATGAATGCTGCAAAGCGCACCGCTACTTGGAGGAGTCGGACGAAAAGGCTGTCTCTGAAGACTAGCTTGAATCCCTGACTAAAGCCGGTAGGTCTCAGGTTGCCAGAGGGACATGAGAAGGACTGGATAGAATGTCAATGACGGTAGCCTCGGAATCGGAGGGCAAAGAGAACTACAGAAAAGCGCGGAAGGGTCTCAATTTTTATTGCTCTTCAGCCCATTTATTGTTCTGTCAGACTGCTGCGTTGTCCTTGTTGTATCGTGACGCAGGCATTCCCAGGCGACGTTCCTTATCTGGAAGCAGAGTGGAAACTGCTCAGAGATCACTATTAATACTCGCGACTCGCCCTCCTCTCACCTCCCCCCTCCTTTCACTCAACCAACAGGAGATGCATCTTTCCTGGATGAAACAACTTCCCGGGTACATACCCAACCCGGTTCTTTACGACTGACAACAGCGAAGCGGCCTTGTTGAGCAGGGTCAAAGCTACTCGAGGTGTCCTCCAGACACATGTCACGATTGTCAGCTTTATGACGCGCGTTCTTGGTGAGATCATCGGGACTGTCCTCTTTTTCGAAGAAGGAAGGCACATGGAAAGCAGAGGAGGCTTCTCAATAGTACAGGTCCATTCTCAGATGGTACCATTAAGTGGCTGCTCCCTTTCTTCGACAACAGGTCATAAGAACTGACATCTCTAATAAAGAAGATCGTGGACAAGGGATCTAATGATCTTTTCGAAGGTATCTTGCAGAGATGATGCACCAAAACTGTCCTCGGCGCTAAGCGGACACAGAGAGTTATGTGTTTTCGAAGACCACCCACGACACCATCGGTTTAGCGTGTTTTGGGATCCAAATGAGCAATCTATCCTCAGTCTCCGCGCTTGCACTAGCGTCCGAAAGGTTATTCGAGTATACGGCTTAGTCCACGACCACGAGCGCTCCCAGCATCTACTTTCCGGACGCAGAAGTTTGAAAGACCACGAAACCGCTGTGGAGACTCTCCCACCGACCTTGCATGTTCTACATTGTTCTTGCCCGCGATTGAGAGATCGAACCCTGGCATCCTAAAGAGGTTTTCGAGTACTACCGGCTAAGCACTCAATTGCTTATGGCGGATATAAAAAAAAACACTTACCTTACTGAGGCATTTCACAAACGAACTCCTTCGACGTCGCGCGCCAGCTAAGCGGAAATGGTCATTGGCGTTGGCCTGCCCTGTTCCCCTTCGCAGGCACTAGCGCCCACAGACACCCGGCAGAGGATATTATCATTGACAGCGTGCCTGTCCCTAAGGCTACTCTGGTTTACATTGTCCCCGGCGTCATTCACTATAACCCGGAAAATTTGGGACCAGCAGTCAAAGCCTTTAATCCTGATCAATGGTAAATCAGTGTCTTCAAGAGGCCCAAGATTCTTATGCCTCTCTCTCCTCGGATCGCTTATATCATATTAGGTAACGAAAACGTCTCATGCACTGCTCTATTAGAAGTTGAGCAGGTCCATGAAGTACGGAGTACCACATCTGTATCCACGACTTGGGCAGATTATTCCGGGCTTCAACAAAATCAGCGATCAGAAACCGGCAATGGGGGGACAAGTCGGATGTCCCAAAGGGTTCGGAATCACTTTCGGACCGAGACATTTGGTGTTCCGACAGGCTGATGGGTCTGCCATCTCGTAGTGATCCGCCTGGAGGAGATGGCAAAGAACTAACAAACTCTCTCCGAAGAGGCCAAATGCTGCTTCGTTAGCCGCAACATGCAAGTGACTGGTAGGTGGATGGACATCTGATCCTTTTCCACAGTTTCATGACTGGCAAGCCTTGGGCAACGTGTAGCAGCCGCATGACTCGGTCAGCCCAACTAGCCGCATGGGCAATTAGGTAGGAGAAACTCAACTGGCTGACTAGTACCGAATATGCCTAGGTGCATATATCGACGAGGTTGGTGAGCCATCTCCATGGCGCACTAGACCCACCCCCGCGTGCCCCCGCATCCCCGGATCCCGAGAGCGTTGAATACCTAGGTGTGCAACAGCTGCTGTCTTCCCTGGCTTCTCATTTTCTCCTACAGCTCTGATACTTGGTCCCAAATCTCTGGTATCGTTGAACTGGGCTGGCATATATTCCCTGGTATCTGTCGTTCCCCACATTGGCACGCCTCAGACGAAGAGACAACTCCCATGCATTTTGACGTCTTAACAATGAACCCTGAAAAGGACAATCCACTGCCGAAACCAGTGAGGGCAAAGCGCTCAATCGCCTGCAATTTCTGCAGGATGAAAAAGGTCCGCTGTGAGATACGATTGCCATGCTCGTCTTGTTCCCTTTGATCTCGCTAACTGCGCACAGGTAATGGCGGCAGCCCCTGCAGCAACTGCTTGGATCATGGAGAAGTGTGCGTTTCGGCCTCAAGAAGACGCCCTCGTCTCAGCAACAAGGATGCTGTGAGCGGAGACGTGGTCAGTCGGTTGGCGCGCGTCGAGGCATTACTTCAGGCAGCTGGATCCGATCCCTCCAACGCCCCGCAGATGCCCGATTTTCTGCGCCCACTCGATGTCGAGTTCCAGAGAACGGCCAACGCTGTTGAAGATTCCGGAAACCCTTTGAGTGACACGTCCATGGCGTCCTCCAATGATCAATTTTTGGCGCGAACTCTCAGGAAAGTAGGGGGAGAAGAGAGAGTCTCCATGCCCAATATGCCCCCTTCGACTAACACTGCTGGCTGTCTGGTTCCGAGTATTGAATGTGCAGACACCTCTGATACCCAGGTCTCTGTGTCTCGCCGTGGGACATCCATCTCTGATATGGGATACACGCAGAATGGCACTATCGAGTTACATTCAATGACCGTGGCCCAGGCTCCGAAGGCACTGGCCCCAGATCAGATAGGCAGCCTTGAGCTAGAGATGCCTCCGCCAGACTACCAAACCAATCCGATTGATCCATCCAACAGCAGTCCTAGCGAAAAACAGGAAATCAATAGCGTATATTCTTGTGAGAGTGTAAGTCGCTGCCAGCTGTTTTATTTCTGGCCTGAGCCTAAATTCAAGATTTTCGTTTAGTCAAACTGGGAGTATCATGGTGTGTCCCCGTGCAGACTCGACGTCACTCATACCTAACAGGAGATCAGGACCAAGATCGTATCTCTCAATTTGTTCCAAACCTGGTATTCAATGGGTGTCTCAAAAGATTGGAAATCCCGCTTTCCAAGAAGCCGCTGGTACCTTGACACGAGATGTCACTCGTCGGCTCAAGATCGAGAAAAAAATGTCAAAGGAACGAACGCCCGAGCCACCTGGGTCTATCGCATGGAAATACGCCCAAGGTAACCACACCGGATCTTTGACCTTCTGAGCATGTTACTGACATGTACGCTCAGCCTACTTTGAAAGGGCGCCCGACGCCGTCTTTGGGGTTGTTAACAAGAACTGGTTCAATGCCCGGCTTCAGAGCCAACTCAACAACCCCAACGTCGACGATGATCCGGCCTGGTATGCTCTACGAAATGCTGTCTATGCTGTTGGATGCCGCTTTGAGCTGTCCGGGCGCGCCAGTTTCCGTAAGGCCTATCGAACCGCATGGAGCTACTTCGAAAATGCCCTAGCGGTGCACACAGAGCTACTCTACTTCCGCACTTCCCTGTTCGCTGTACAAGCCCTGACTGTCATGGTATGCACCCCTTTTCGCAAGAGCTCTCTGATGGCCGTCTCACCACCTCCCCTAGGCGTACTATACAGAAACCATTGGAAGTCCTTGCCTCGAATACATGCTTATCACGAATGCGGCTCGTCTTGCATATTCAAAAGGTCTCCATCGTCAGCCTGTTCCCTCTTGGGACCTCAGCTCGTCAGAACAACGCCATAGAAATTGGCTTTTCTGGGCAATTTACTGTCTAGAGAAGAGTTGCTGCTCTCGTGCAGGGCGTCCTTCGGTTAGAAGATGCCCATGGCTTCCCTAGTTTCTTTTTGCGCATACGTTGACCATCATGCGCAGGCTATCAATGACGACGAGATCAGCTGCCAGATCCCAACGGCTGCCCCTGCGGGGGGTTCTGCAGGTGTTCAGTATCCTACCAATCTTGTGAAACTGGCCCAGATGAGTTCTCGAGTCGCAAGAGTGTTCTCAAATGTCCAAAACTGGAGTAAATCACCAGATACCCTGGCTGAGACAGTGGCAAAATTGCATGTGCAGCATGTCGAGATCGAAAATACTTTGCAGGGACTGGTCAACCCAGAAATACCGCTTGATAGCGTTAAACTTCCAGCACATATGAACCTTCAACAAGCCAACTTCATTCGGCTCACGTACTTCAACACCATTTTGGATATTCACACTGCTCTCACAAATCCATGGTCACACTTAAGACAACATCCTACCACCCATTCCCAGGTTCAGAAGTCGACGGAGATTGTAGCCCGAACGGTTCGGGCCGCGATTCTCACTACGCATTCTATCCGTATCGACGCCAGTACTCCCGTTCTGTAAGTCTACGATGCCGCTGGCCTCGTTGTCGGAGCAAGTCTGAGATCTGGGCGCTCCAGCACTGACAGTCAATGTAGGCTGGCATTCCAGACACCAATATATGCATTCATCAATCTTTTCATCCACATTCTGCAGAACCCCGATCTACCTACTGTCCAATCCGACCTCGCTTTGATGGATGTTGGAGCCGGGCACTTTGCCCGTTTAGAGTTCGCAACGGAGGCAGAAGTCCCGATTTTCTTTGCGAAGGAGGTCGCAGCTTTGGCGCGACAAGCTGTCAAAAACCACAAGAGCTTTCCACAACCGCCTCTGGGCCAACCCGGCGTGTATAGCGAATCTGGAGTTCTTCACGACAAAAGTGTCGTAGGGACGGAAGAAGCCGGTCCTGACGCGATGAGAAGTCCATTGAATAGCGTGAGTATCATTCTCTACTCCATGCACGCGAGCGATGAATCATAACATTCGGTGTCTTTCAGAGCTATCCCAATATTTTCGATTTTGAGCTGGATGACTGGACGGCCTTCTTGCCCCTCGGTGACCCTTGAGAGCCTCAGGCCTGGGTCAGTTTATCACTGAATATTCACCCTGTACGAAAACGGCTACGAAGCACTTTTGACCGGGAATTTAACGGTGGCGGAAATGTCACTGTCATGTACCCGAGATGGCAAAAAGTACTATGAGCATGATTTATGGGCCCGTGTAATCCAAGATTTGAGTATTTATAATTCCTTGACAGTCTGGAACACAACCTTGTGGATAACAAACACTTCGCGCCATACGGACTCGAGCGCTAGAGTGGAAGGTTCATTGTTACACTCGCAACCAGCATATCTCCCTTACATGGAGACCTCGGCAATGACATCTGAGAATTGTCCTCACGATTGTCCTGGCTCCCCGAAACGATATTTCTAACCAAGGACAGGAATGCCACGTGGACCAATCTCGACCCTTTTCTTCAGCTCTTTCTCGCTGGCGCCGCTTTTCAAGCGATCAATCATCTCCTCTGGGTCGAAGTCCGTGCCGATGGGGTTCTCGTCATAGTATTTTGACCGCATGAAGTTTGTGGCGTCGTCTGGAGACTCGAAGTTGTCTGTTTGCGTCTCAATCATGTTCCCATCCGGGTCGCGGTAGTAAATGGATGTTGTTGGCCCGTGGTTGACCGGCCACAGTGGCTCTATACCTCTTTGCTTGCGCTGGCGATACGCCAGGAGCAGATCCTCCAGCGTGTCGAAAGCGAATGCCGTGTGCTCCAGACCGCACGTTTCGGCATCCTTTGCCTTTGTCCCGGGGAAAGCCGCTATCGCTACCCGATGATGCTCCTCGTCATATGTTAGGAATGCCAGAAAGTCGTTCTTGTAGATCACTTCTGCACCGAGGAAGTCCTTGTAGAATTCCACCATGGTCTCGAAGTTGTTCGTTCGGAGAACAACGTGCGCCAGCTTGCTGGGCGATGTGACCTTGGCGGTCGGTTTGTCAAAGTCAGCCACCATCTCCGCTCACCGACGTTTTGTGTTGCTCAGAGAATGTCTGCATTCAGGTACTAATATTTGTGGAAAATCTTGCGTTATTGAATTCTGCCACCATCCATTTCGGCCTCACTCAGAAAGGTCGGGATTTGAGGAGCGACTGAGAAAGTACGGCAAGAAGCGGCCCGATTTTGCTGGGTTGATACAGATCAGAGGGGTTCCTGAAGCGACTCCTTTCCGGCGCTTTGCGCGCCGCAAACCCTGGGATCTCTTTACGGACGAGGGATTGTTTCCCAGTCGCCAACCCGCGCTCCGAAAGTTCGGCCCAATCAACCAGCATTTCCAATGATCACTGGCCTGAGTAACTTATGGCCGCGATACGTGCTTCTATTGACGGCCTTTAACCAAGTGCTGAACTGTACATTTACTTACAAGTAGCCACGTTTCTTCTTGTCTAACTTACTAAACAAGTGGTGTAGGTATGTACTGTCGATATGGCAACTAACGGAAATGAAATCAATGGCACTGGCTTCGGCTCCCGAGGCAAAATTCTCATCGTTGGTGCCGGCTATGGTGGATTAGCAACCGCGATCGAACTCAAAAGGAAGGGGTTTCATGTCGAGGTCGTGGAGGCTGCTAGGCAGCTGACCACTCAGGGTCAGCCAACTACCCCAATGTATTGAATGGCAGGGGAGGCCGGACGCGCACTGACTGCTCTCACAGGCGACATCATTCAGGTCGGATCTAATGCCTCGCGCGTCATGTCAAATTGGGGGAATTTGCTGGAACAGGCAGTTGCAGAGTCCGCCCAGCCAGCGCGCATGACGCTGTTTGACAAGTCGGGAAAGAAATTGCTAGAGGCACCTCTGCCAACAGAGTTCAGCGGATATCCGGTCTTGTACTCGAATCGTGGGCTCCTGCAGCGTTTAATTTTCGAAGAAGCGAAGACCTTAGGCATCGAGTTCCGGTTGGGCAAGCGTGTCAAGTCCTACTTCGAAGAGGACGACTGTGCTGGAGTCGAGATCGACGGCGAGCGTCTTGTCGCAGACGCAGTCATCGCAGCGGATGGAATACATAGCGCTGCGCGGAAACATGTCATCGGCATCCAACAACATCCTCGCAGCAGCGGGTTCGCAGTCTATCGCACCTGCTTCCCATTGGAATGCTTGGCCAAAGATCCATTGACGAAGCCGTTCACTGAGTTGAAAGAAGATCTCTTCCACGTTTGGCTTGGATCCGATGTGCATGCCATCTTGTTCATCACGGTCGCCACTCAATCGGCCGTCATTTTCTGCACTCATAAGGTAAGCTCGAAGCTGGCCGACGTCATCAAGGAAGTCAGTGTCGTTTCCATGGACGTGGCTAATGGTTCCGTAGGATACCTACGAGGTCGAAGAATCCTGGACGAATCCCGGCGACCTCCACGACATGCTAAACGTCGTCGAAGGCTGGGATCCAATCATTTGTGCCGCAATGAAGGCAATACCGCCAGAAAAACTGATCGATTGGAAGCTCCTCTGGCGCGACCCTATCCGGCAGTGGGTGTCCCGCACAGGTCGGATTACGTTGGTTGGCGACGCGGCGCATCCTCACCTACCCACCTCGGGGCAAGGAGCCGCCCAAGCAATTGAAGATGCAGCGACAATCGGAGCACTGCTCGATAAGTTAGGCAAAGACAATATCCCCGATGCTTTCCGTGCATTTGAAAAGCTCAGGTAGGTGTTGGCCCGTATTCGTAATATACCGCCCCATACTCACTCACCTCTCACTGTAGGTATGAGAGGACAAGTCTCACGCAGCGAATGGGCTGGGAGACCAGGCATCGCTGGCATCAAACCGACTGGGAGGCCGTTGCGGTGAACCCGGAGTTCTTGAAGATGCCTCAGCCCATGTGGTTGTACACATTTGACGCGGAGAAATACGCATATGACCGGTGCGACGAAGCGGTTGAGAGCGTGAGAAAGGGGACGCCATTCATTTCCACGAATACTCCAGAAGGCCATGTTCACGAGGATTGGACGGTGGAGATGATGATGGCGTTGGAGAAGGAGCAGGCAAAGGATCACTTTTATCGAGTCGCGAACAAATAGGTGGCGAGCCGTACCAGCATACATAACCCAGACCTGCCTGCGAGGTGAAATAGATATCCGAGTTTGGACACGGCTATGCCGTTGGCCGATCAGAGACGTCAAATATCGTCCCTGCTGAGCCACAACGGACATCTTACAGCATAGCAGTCTCAGAGCAGGTGTGAAAGAGAGCAATTTTCCACTTTAGACCACCGCTTCGCTTGATGCTATCCACAACATGCGTCACAAGATTGCTATTTTTCAGTTCAATGCATGACTCAAGATACGAGCCTCACTTTCAGCCTCATTCCGTTGAGTGGCCGCAAGCTCGGTCCACTCTTCTGGGGCTCAACCAACCCGGTATTCTCAAAGCTGAAGTTCCGAATGAGCTCCGTGAGGATAGCCTTGAATTCCAGAATAGCGAAAGATTTCCCGATGCACACTCTTGGGCCCGCAGAGAAAGCCAAGGAAACATATGGGTCATTGGCTGGCTCGGGAAGGTGGTCGTAGCGGTCGGGGTCGAACTGTTCGGCGTTCGGGCCCCAGATGTGGGTGTTGTATTGAGGTGCGGCCGGCGCGATCATGATCAACGTCCCTTGTGGTATCCTTACGCCTTCAATCTCGACGTCTTCGGCAGCCTGCCGGGGAAAGGTTGGTGCTTGTGGTCAGGTCAGCATGGCCAGTCTCTCTTTCAGGGGCTTTGAAAGAACCTACCAGGGGGGTAGTATCTGAGCACTTCCTTCATAACGTTGTTCAAAAAGCGCATGTTGTCGAGTTCCTCGTAACTTGGAGAAGACGATGTCACCGTCGACAAGACTTCTGCCCGTAGTCTGTCCTGAACCTTTGTATGGAGTGTAAGGGCGTATAATGTCCAGGTTAAAGCACCCGCGGTAGTCTCGTGGCCACTAGGAGAGACGTCAGCCGGCAGGGCAGTGACTTATCCGGATCCATTGCACTCACGCAGACATAAAATTCAGTAGCTGTAAAGTGTCAGCAAGAAGACACCTGTACCATCAGCTATTGAAGTTGAAACACCTACGTAGCCAAGCATTTCGTCCTCTGACCATGTATCCTTGCTTTCTTCGATCATCAATGTTAGAAGATCACGATTTGCCTTTTCGCCCTTGATGAGGCCTTCTCGAAATTCGCTTTTCCGCTTCTGGATGTGCTCTCGAAGTATCTTTCTTACAGTGGCGTTGGCTTCCACAAAGCTCTGATTCGTCTTCAGAGGAAGCCATTGTCGAATCGGTACAAACTGATGGACAACCGAGATGAGAATCTGCAAAGGAGTGGCGAACTCGAAAATTTTCCCATAGCTTGTTGCCAGTTGCGAAGGAGTTGACAGACTATTCAGCTCGTATCCAAGGGCAGCCAGGCCAACAACATCAAGAGTTGTCTTTGAGAGGAGCTCGGACACTGAGGGTTCAATCAGCCAAATTTAGGGGGCCATGCCTCGAAAGTTTACCTTCTAATACATTATAGCCGTCTGGGCCAAGTTGGCTCTTGATAATACCGGACATTTCTCTCGCTTTGACCTCGAAAAAGGGGAGAAGTCGCTTGATATTACTAAAGGAGAAAGGAGCTGCCGCGTCGACCGGGTTAGTCTCGCTTCACTAGAGTTCATATTATAAGTGCGCGCACCGAGGAGCAGCTTCCGCTGCTTTTTGTGCTCTTCACCTTCCATAAACAAGATTCCGTGGCCTGCAATTTCTCCCACAACGCGTTCGTAGTATTTGGGTTTGACAAAGGAGTAACACTTGGTCTGCAAGACTGCCTTGTGGGCACGGGCAGAGTTTACCATGAGCACCTCGGTGTTGAGAAAAGACAAGTATCTAATAAATGGGGCATCTTGGGCGTCCGCCATCCATTTCTTCTCAAGTTCACTGGGCAGAGCCTTGACCTGATTGAGGAGCTGCCCAAGCACAAGGTTGCCACCCTAGCGGACCGTAAGCACTCCTGCCTGGGGATGTAAAACGGAGGAAAGTATTCGTACCTTGGGCCCAGGCAAATGTCGTAAGGGAGATACCAGGAATGGCCATATGAGAACAAAATAAAGTTTGAATGCGATATACTGGCCCACAAAAAGTCCAAACGCCTGGTCAAGAAACCCGTGACGTCCTACACGGCCGAGTTTGAGCAAAAGGACTGTCTCAGCGACAGACACTATGGCACATTTTGCGACATCCATTTCTCGACGACACCTTTGAGTGGCAGATTGCTAACTCGAATTCCCGGTCGAAGATAAAATACCAAAGCAGATATGTATTAATAACACGATTCGCATTTCATGGGGCCCGAAACTCCCCAGCATTTGGGATTTCTTCTACGGTCGAGTAGACGAACAGCTTACTTGGAGTAGTTCAGCGTGGGCGAGCTGGCTAAAGCCAATGGAGAACGGATTCGGAGTAATCCTGAGACCATGCAGCGCGTTACTAAGCATACCTCCGCCGAACAAGATAGGAATAGCCCAAAATACGAAAAGCTGCTGTCCAACCGAACGAGAGCCCATGAAGTCGATGGTGATGGAGAAATCTTGATTAGAGACGGCAGTGTTGCTAGAAATCTCAGCCGACTTTGAAAATTCTATATGTAACCTCCAAGTCGCCATCGTCCCGTACAGAAATTCTACCCGTGGACAGAAAGACAGCTTTGTTCACCCAAGCTAGTTCCGGGCTTCTACTTTCAAGTAGTGGTTGCGTGTAGTAATATCCATCTCCATAGTTCGTGGAATGCTTCTCCCCTTTGAACACATCCAAAATGGGGCCGTGAAAGTGGAGTTTACCGAGGTATCGTATGTCGCAGTTTATCCGGTCTGGGGCTGTTTCCGGCGAGTGGCAAGATACGCGGGCATCGATATGCACATAGTCAGGGTGGACAGTCATCCAGTCGCTGCCAGCTCGAACTTCAAGGTTGATTGACTCGTCGGCCGACTTCAATGACCCCCGAAACACTGTGATGGGCTTAATCAGACGTTGGAAACAACCAAAAGAGTTGCATCATCAGAGGGGAAAGGGTGAGCTCAGGCGCAAGCAAGACGGGATGAGACATCTCGCTTACCGTGAGCAACGCTAAGAGAAGAATGCTCAGTGGCGGTAGCAGAAAAACCAGGAGGGCCGATGACTGTGAGGTCGAACGCGTGGGTTAACTTGGGCGCTGTATCGGTTGACATGATAGCAAATGTATGCACCACGAAGGTCCAGCTTCTGTCCAGCCAAGGGGGGTTGAGGGCACAAATATGTCATAAGCTCTCGCAGCGCTGAGCCTCCACACAACAACCAGTTACAATTATATGGGGGCAGAGTGACACTGTTTGATGGGGATCTTCGAGGGAGCGCCATGCTAACCTGGCGATCAAGGCCTCTTCTGAGCTACAATTGCCGCGGACCGGGAAGACCGGACAGAAGTCGATGCCGTTTCTAACAGCGGGGAAGTATATGTGCCGAAAAATGTGTTTCGCCGAGGCCACTTGCCCGTGCATTCATGAGTAAAGTAATTGAGTGAATATTCGGTATCTGTATTCCGATTAAAGTACGAAGTGAGGCAAGACGGAATGGGAAATGGTCGATTCACCCATAATAACGTTGAATCTCGAATAGGCTTCCCGCCGCACAAAAAAACACCCACAGAAATGTCCAAAGACCGGCGGTGGCAACGAGTCCAGTGAGGACGCCGTTTATTTCAAGACATGAACCGCTTTTGTCTGCTCTCGTAGGCTGCAGAAAAATCGCGAGCACCTCAAACCATGAAAAAGCTCAGGTAGAGGGGCTCGGTATGAAAATGGGAGTGTAATTGGTAGGACAATGGTGCGCAAAGTACAACACCGCCGATAATGGCTCACCCTTACTATTGGCATAGCTCTGGTATGAGAGACTCATAATTCTCTCATGTTCAGACCTCTGTAAGGTATAAGCATATACTTATAGGACTAATCACCCATAACACTATTGTCTTGTTGAACTAGGCATTCTTCGTTCATTGAATGAATTAGTCTTTCGATCTGCGTTCTCTCTAAGAGCGTTCCTCCTCGTTTATATGTGATTTCGCCTTTGAACAGAAGAGGCCGAGGCGGATCTTGGGCGGCGTGCCTTTTCTGTTTTGATATAGCATGGGCATACATTTACCCCAGTCGAGACTGGGACCATGTCATCCTGGTGGTCAAGACATTCTCCCTTGCTCTGAGTCTGGAGTCCAATTGTCACGTCTCAATACTGCATTGCCCCCATCTTCTCTAACTTGTAGTCCTCTAGCTGGGTGGTCAACTTTTCAGTGGCAGCAAACTGATGCACCTCGCGTTGCCTTGGAGTCTGACTGACGTCTCTTTTTTGAGCCGCCACCTTCCGCCCAGTAACAAGAGTCAATATTTCTTCTGCTTTCTTGATGTTGGGAGCCTCATCACCACGCCACGCTACGTGCCCGTCTGGTCGGACCAGTACAAAGGGCTTTTGCCAGACAGTGCGAGCGTTCTCTTCATCTCGGAGAACCACATGTTTCACGGGCACGTTCATAGCATCTGCGGCTGCCAGAAGAGTGCTCGGGTCTCCCTTGTCTTCGATGTTTGAATAGCTGAACTGGAAAAGTGTCCAATATTTTCCATATAGATCGAATATGGAGGTCCCGTCGCGGAGAAAGACATGGGGTGCCCGCGAGCCGATAAATGTGCTGGGGACATACCGCTCTGGACTCCATTCTGGTTCCACTGCGTCGGCCTCGTCTCTGCAGGGATACACACACGACTGATGTCGAACGTCCATCTCAATACCCCAGTCTGTATTCTCACCCTTATTCGTTTGGTAATGGTCAGATATCTTCTTCCTGATTTCGCGACCTCTGTCGGAGTCCTCAAGTACTTCTCTAGGCTTGGGCCCAAGCAGGTCAGGAAGAGCGAGGTGTGTTTCCATATGTATTCCGGATCTTTGTATGCTTCTCAAGGCCACTGGACGCCGTTCTTCTTCGTAGGAGTCGAGAAGAGCCGGTCCTGCTTGCCCATTTATGACAGCAGCCAATTTCCAACCAATGTCAAAAGCATCGCCAACACCCTGGTGAGGAAGTTAGGTTCCAGTTACGACGGAGCTTACTCAACTATGACAGAGCTCACCATGTTCATGCCATAACCGCCCATGGGAATGTTCTGATGTACTGCATCTCCAGCAAGGAAGATCTTGCCCTTCTGGCTGCGATACTGCCTCGCGATTGCGATACTGTGTCGATAAGTCGAACTGACAAGTATCTCATCAATTTTGAATTCGTAGGAGTCCCCCATGCCAGCAAGTGCTCTATATGCAGCCTCGTGTGCACCGATTTTGGCATGGTCTGCGTCCAGTGGTAACATTAAATGCGTTGTAAAGATGTACTCATCATCTTGGCAGATCGCTGCACCACTTAAACCCTCTTCACCGTAGATGAAGAGGTGCCAAAATCGGCCGTACTTCTGCAACTTCTCAAGGTCCTGTGATCGGAAGTGGACTAAGAGCACGTAACCGGGACTTGGTAGTGTCAGTAGGAAAGCCCATTCAACCGCGGTCGAGAATCAAACCTACACTGGCCCTCCGTCAAGAGCGATACCCATGTCTCGTCGGACACGACTCGATGCCCCATCACATCCAACTAGGTATTTTGTGAAAATCCTAACCTTCTTGCCACTTTCGGCATGAACAGCGTCGACGTATGCGCCATCCTCTGTCTCAGAAGCCTTTTCGACTTTCCAACCGAATCGGCAATCTACAAGGGCGTTTCTGTCGCAGCGCTGCTTCAGGTAGCTTTCAAATATGGCTTGCGAAATCCTTTGCCATGGCTCTTGAGGCATACTGCCGTCATTTTGTTCTTTGTATTGTGCCCTCAACTCCACGTTGGAGGGAAATTCCCAAGACGTTGTTGGGGCTGATTCACCCAGTCCGGGCGTGAAGTACACGTTGTAGGGCGTTGTCTGGGGTACGCCTTGTAATCCGGAACATCGTCAGTCTTTGAACGAGCAGCAGGAGCATTGGTCATTCATACCAAGATTTCGGACATCGTCGGAGATTCCAAGCCGCTTTAACAACTCCATCGATCGCACGTTGGTAAGATCCATCTTGGGCCATCTACACCATAATCAGTATAATTTGGAACCCGATCCGTGAGAGCTGACTTTGTGGTTGTCTCGTTCCGTTCCAACACAATGCTTTTCAAGCCATAATGCGCTAGGACAGTTGCCACCAGAAGACCGACAGGCCCTCCTCCAACGATCAAGATAGTCCTGTTGTCAAGTCTTTCCACAGCTTCTTGTCTGTCGACGTAAGCATGGCTCGGGTCTAAACCCTGGGCGTTCTTCATGTCGGTCTGAGCCGTCTAGAATGAACCTAGCTGAGATGTCGACGATTTTGAGGCTCTACGCGAGACAAGAGGCAGATGATTGACTAGGATGAAACTTAACTTCCAGTGGGCGCACATTCTCCTATTTGGGCAAATGTCACTAGGCATAAAGAACCAGTAATGAGAGTCTACAGGTTTTCGGGCCGGTCGATTTTGGATATCCTCTAAAGGGCCGAGAATTCGAGTGAGATATCCACCTGCCGGAATCGAGGTAAGCTCCTCTGCAGCTTTGGTCATCTCCGATAGCGCATCCATAGGATAAACGCGACATCTGGCTCATAAATTAACGTTAGAGTGCTTTTGCCTATTATGCTGCGAGGAGCGATATAGCTATTTCGAACTTAAGGTCACGCAAACGGAGATGTCTCTGGCAAATACCATCTGGTCGTCCGATATCCCGGTGCCAACTGCACTGAGAGACTGGCTTGAGCAACTTTTCACAACGGTTGACTCGAAGAGCTCGGATTCTGGAGAACGTTTAGCTGCACTGTACACCCCTAATGCCACTGTCTTTGGCTTGCATGGAAAAGCTGAAGGATCTGAAGGTCAGAAGCTTTTTGCGTCAAAAGGTATCGTCCAACGGACTAACATTTCGGCTCAAAGCCATCAAACAGAGTCGTAAGACAGCTTGGGACACCATCAGTTCCCGTAAGCACGAGGTGCTGCAGGTTTATCCAGGGCAGAAGGACTACAGCGATCTCATGCTAATCGGTCGGCTCACTGCGGGACTGAAGAATGGCAATGAGGTGGTGACAGATTTCATCGCGCAAATTCATTTTCAAGGAGATACATCGAAGGATCCAAAAGGTACCCTGTACAAGGTCTGGGGAGTAAGTAAATAATTCTCTCTCCCAAGAAAGGAATACCTCAGAGGAATACTAATAGCATTCGAAGGATAGTGCACCTTGGATAAAAGCAATGCAGACCTGAACCAACTTAAGCGTATTGGTCAGGCCCAAGAACTGGAACGTAGAGCAACTTCAAACACCATCACTTAGTGAAGGGGGGTTTTTGAGTGTAGAGATCTCTATTGCCAATACATCACGTTACGATGTTGCTTCCATTGAACTGATCGCATAAGTGGATTATGGACATTAGAAGTGCACCTCTTAGATCTCTTTTTCGCCGCCGAGCTCTTCTCTCGTCTTGTTGTCCTCATTTTTCATCATTAAATGTTCTCCGGCGTCTTGACTGCAGGTAAAATCGGCTTTTTGGGTAGCGATGTTGGCGGGAAATGAGACGTGTTCCTGGATCCATTTCCAGACACCATCCTTCTTCCGCAGAAGACCGGTATAGCGGAATTTGAAGTTAAAGTCATGTCCGTCAGTGCTTACACCATAGTAATGCTGAAAAGATGGGTCAGTAAGAGCATCCACACACTAATGCCGATTAGACCAACCTGTTCCATATTGCAGAAACCAAAGTCTGGAGCGGTCGCAATGATTTCCATATCTTTATATCCAATGTGAGACTTCGCAAAGTATGCTAAAATGGTATTAAGCGAATCAAAACTTGTCCTCGCCTTCAGAGTGATAATGAAGTTACTCACGGCCGATATGGTAAAAATGGTCCACGAAGGCCCCGCCTTAGACAGTCAGCAACATACCTAGAGCAATAGTTGGAAAACCTGTAGGAAAACGTACGTGGAATGAGGCCCATCAAGTCATAGTACAAGACTTGCTCACCATCGTAGAATCCGGCACCTTCCTCTGGATTTGTCGCAAATCTATTGTCATTGAACTCCATCCAGTTTCGATAATGCTCAAAGATTTCTTCCTCTTCCTTCTTGAGCTCGGGTTTGTGATAGGCACTAATGGGAAAAGGTAATGTCGAGTGCATATTTTCAAGGGTTGTTAAATCACCCTTTATAGGCATAAAGCCGCAAGATTAGCTCACGATCTTGTATCGAACATACTTTCGTACCAAATAATGCCACTCCGAGTGGCCCTTCTTGCTTTGCACGTGCTCAGACATTTCTGCGCGTGCTGTTGAGAGCGACGATGATAGCAATTACCCAGTAGGGTTCCCAGCTAGGATCTTGGTGTTTGTTGTTTGTAGATGCCAAAACCACTGAGTTGTGTTAAGTAAGGGCATGATATTTAGTTTCGGGTCTCGGAGAAAACCCCGTGCGAGAGTCCCGGGAAAAAGCGCTAATGATCTAGTGACCCTTAACAAGACCATACTGCTCCGCTCGGATGATAAACAGCGGTACCGTTGGCCCAGCGGCTGGTTCACTAACATAATCCGAGCTCCCAGTGGCATCGGTGCCTTGATGAAGCCACCGGCATGACTCAAAGACACCGTGACGATTGATATTGCAGGGATTGAGACAATCACCAACATACTGAAGTTGCTTTGAGACGATCTTATTCTACAGCGACGCACAATGTTGGGAGGCGGCCTACTATGGCCCGTATCATCAGTCTGGACTTAGATGTCTACAGTAGCCTGGGAACTGAACTGCAAATGTCTGCAGTGTAGAGGTTTGCCAAGCCAATGCAAATACATTCAATGTTCCTTGAAAAATGGCCGATATTGCCTTTGCCCCCCCTCCACGACCCAGATCAGTGCCGCATTCAGGGCCAAAATGGTGAACGCAGATAACGCAGGCCCTCGCGAAATCTCCCCAGTACCGCCACGTAACTTGATCCTACTTGCAGAGCAAATGCCGAGGTCTGCGCCTACTAGGGCAAGTTTCCGGAATCCGGAGCCCCTTCTTCCCTTGGATATGTTACTAGCCTAATCAGGCAGGGTCTCTCGATATGGAGGTTTACCGCCTTTAACCCGATATCGTTATTTCCATCCCCGTTGACAATGAAGTATTGTGGACGGAAATCTTACAAACAAAAACGCACAGTTTGTCTCTTTCCAATTGTGAACCGCGAGCACCGCCGTCAAGGTGTGCGTACAACCAATCCTTTCAAGCCGGGAAAAGCCAGCCGCTCCGGCCAGACATTTAAATACAGCCGAAATAAGGATAAGTACCGGATATTGCGGCTCGAGCTCGTTTCGTAGCCTTGAATAGAGTCTACGGCTGATGTCCAGTGGCTATCACAAGGAGAACCGTCAGGTCTAGAAACTCAACATCATCGTAAATGGGCAGGTTCGAAGGAAAAGTTCCTTCCGTCACCGACGGTGCATTTGGCATGGGCCTTGCCGCCGTGGAGCTGCTGGCCCAAGAAAGCGCAAAAGTTGCTTTGGCGGATATCCAATGGGAGCTTGCACAGAAGAATGCAAAGTCGCTAAGTGATTCTGTCCTCCCATTTCACTTGAACGAGGGAGATGCAAATCTGCCAACGAAGCCATAATGTTTACAGAAGAGAAATTCGGCGGCCTTGATTTGGCAGCGAACGCAGCTGGAATCGAGGGCCGTTTGGGTAACTCGAAGACCAGGAGCCTCAGGACTTCCAGAATGTTATCGCAATAAATTTGACTGGGATTGCATATTGTCTAAAGCACTGAAATTAGCGGCCGTGAAGAAGTGAGGAGGAGGCGCGATCGTCAACATCTCCTGCAATTGTGGGCGACGAGAAAAGCCTTATCTGGGCATCTATTCAGCGTCGAAAGTAGGGTGCATCAGTCTGACCTCGGTCGCAGCTGTGGAGGCTGGACCTTATCCTACCCATGTCAACGCCATCTGCCTAGGTTACGTGGACACACCTCTGTTGGACGCCAGAATTGATCGAGAATGAGTAAGAGCCAATGGCAACTCGTATCGTAACTACTACCTTTGGCTCTTCGAGAAAGACTGCAAAATATCTGCGGCAAGGTTCTACCTCGACACGCTATTCGCAAAGAGTGCAATTGACTGGATGGAAGAATTGGCGACAGGAGGAAACAAGCGATGAATCACCCACTGGGTTTGTCTTGGTCTGATGGAAGAGGCAGAGGCATGTTATAGCCATGAAAAGGACTCGGAAACCTTTTTTATATGACAAGCAAAAGGGTTAGAATGGGAGACAGGCAACATCTAGTAGACCTGCTGTCGTAGACGTCACAGATAGAGATCTCCATTGGATATGGATATCTATTTCCCTCACGGATATCTCGAGTAGTGGCACACGAGCTGCTGGCTCATTTGACGACAACTTTTCGAATGTCGTTCATACCAAGCTCCATCACACGGGGAGCGAAAACGAGTTGAATCATCAAGTATCGTATGTCGTCGCTCAACCCCAACTGCAGGTCCAGAATCTTGCGTATCAACGCGAGAAGAATCCGAAGCGTGTTATAGCGAGCGCAGAACTTCATCCAATCTAGGTCAATCATACGACCTCCGCACTTGTTGTAGTGTTCCACAAAGTCGTCCCACTCCATGTGGCGAGATACATGCGATTGAAAATAGGCCAAGTCCTGCTCGGGAGCCCCAAACTCTGCACATTCCCAATCGAGCACTCCAGTAACGCTGTCATCGTCCCCTATGAGAACATTGTGGAAGTTGAAGTCCCCATGGCAGAGAACAGGGCTGTTAGTGCATTTCGGGATATTGTTCTCGAGCCATCGGAAGAGCCAGGTCACATATGGGGACGGCAAATGCTCAACTTTTCCGGTATATTCTCGCAACTCTTTCATTTTGCGATGATAACACTGTTCCACTGTCTCGTTCAGGACAGACTCCACCCCGCAATCTTTGATAAAGTCCCGATAACTTTCCAACGGTGTGTTATGAAGCTTAGCCAGCACGTCGGCGAGCCGCAGCAATACTTCTGTTTGCAGGGTTACGTGTTCAAAATAGCTTCCTGGAATACGACCAGGTAGCCGCTCCATCGTATAGAATGTATCATCTAGGCCTCCTGGTGATACCGCCAGATCGATTGGGCGAGGGCATGGAAATCCTGCTGCCTGTAGGCAATGCAGGAGGGTGAATTCGTGAGGCAACTCAAGAAAAGGGGCGGCCACTGTTGGATTGCTCTTGCGTACGACAAGTTGCTCAGAGCGTCCATTCTCATGCTGCATCGTGCAGAAAAAGACTTCGTTGGAGTACCCGCCCGCTACTGCGGCGAACTCTGTAATTTTCACACCCTCTTGCCGCCGATCGCGAGAAAAGCCTGTAGATACTCTTTGTTCAACTTCTGCGGCTGATTCTCTTTCGAGGATTTTTGATCACCGCAATTGAATTTGTTGACTGGCTCAACCTCTGAATTTTGTGTTGCTAACATGTAGTCCACCTCCCACTCTGCGGCCGTCCTCATTAGCGACTCGACTTGGGGATCAGTCCTTGGAGAAAGCCGGGCCAGCAGTAGGTCTAGATCTTGCGACAATCGGGCATAGATCTCGGCAAGAGGATCAAAGCCAGCAGCATAGTCAATGGGGCCAGAATCTCCAGGGGGTTCAACGTCACCCAGCGCCTCTGCAATTTGCGAGTAGAGTTGTCTTCCGGTGTTGATTGTCTCGATAAGCTGGTCAATGGCAGGCCCTTCTCGTTTGAGCACTTCAGTCAAAGCCATGCGCACAAGACTGAGGCTCTCCTTAGCCTTCTGAGAACTGATTTCTGGCAGAATATCTTCGTTGAGAGCTTGTAACGCCAAGCTCACATATCGAGCCGTGGAGTTAATCTTCATTTTAGCGTCCTGTTTGTGCTTGTAAACCCAAGGCTGATAATGCTGGTTGCATTGAGTTTGGCAAAGTTTTGTGGGGTGATATAAATATTTGGGCCTCCTGAGTCCGGGCAAAGGTCACACGACAGAAGCCGAGATGGTGCCGGTCAGTGCTGCAAGGGCCGATAGATCCAGGTCTGCAAAATCTGTATTTCAGCACCTAGTCACAGCAATGAAAAATCTTGCTAAGAGTCGGAACTCGATTCGCCATGGGATGATGATTGCCGACCACATCTAAGCGGAATGTCTGAGTGTAGTGCATTGACAGGTGCTTGGCTACATATTCTAAATGAGGCAGTCTTCTCAGATGAGGATTTCAGAGGGAAGACACACGAGCGAAGGCATTATAAGGGAAACCTCTCCTGTACTCTGACAAATATTTCACTCCAGTGTGACCTCCAGAGCCCTGTCTTCTCCTGTCTCTTCCAGCGTGGCCGCATCAGTCTGTCAAACTCGGAAGTTGAAAAATTCATTTCTCTCGATGAAATGGTTGCGATGGATGCGGTGTCTCAAGCACATAGTAAGGTCTTCTTTTAGGAGGCAGAGAATGCCCAGTGAGCCAACGTTATCAGCTCTGTCCATCAATTCACCGGCTTACCCCTGCTGAACCGCTGGAACTTCGCATACCACGCTTCTTGGTAGGCACAATACGCCAGTCTTCCTGCCTCGTCCCTCCACTTATAGACGGCATCGACGAATATGTTGTTCGCCCACGAAGGGATATGTGCCATTGCAATAGCTTCCCCCCAATAGCGGTAAACTTTCCCCTCGCTATCTTCAGCCTCAATCTCTTGTTCGGTAGCGGCAAATAATTTTGGATGAAATTTCGTGACTTTTCGCTTGATCTTGACAATGTTGCGTATAGATCCGTTGTCGTCCACCATCCATGCAAAGTAGAATGATGGCTTCTTCTGGTCCACGGTAAACACGTCCTTCCATCGAGGGTTGGTTTCAGGCGCTTCGTAACCTATTTGGCAAAACGAAAACTTGCCATCGAAGCACATCGGTGACCAGCCCACTGGAGGATAATCGACCTCCTCCTCTGTGCGGATCTGTCTCCAAGACCTGTCTCGCACAGGGTAACAGTCAACGTCGTAGTCTGTCCCGTTTAGAGTCAACTTTCCTATGCAGTGCATGAACTGTTCGCTGCCGCCTGGTTTCTTGTCTGCCTCGGTGTCTCTATCCTCTCCAGGCATGACGTGGCCTCGAGGCAGGAGGGGGGTTACTGCCGTTTGGATGACGTCGAACTGTGTCTTGCCATCTTTGCTCTTGTAAGATAGCCGAAATTTCTCTCCTGGTTTGAGAACCTCCATTTTGAGGCCCAGGTAGGTCGTGAGAATATTATCCTTAAAGCTCGACCAAGGCATTGTGTTCATAAAGTTCAGATGCTCGATATCCAATGGTTTCTCATTGTCCAGGCCTTGGAAAAGACCAACACCCCCGGCGCATAGCGGGAAAGCTGGCTGATAACGGAAGTAGACAAAGGCGCCTATGGCTGCCTCCGGCACGCTGAATCCGAAATAATGAGTGTGAACAGTGTGCGGATGCCAGGTTTCCTCTTTTGAAGGCAATGGTAGCCACAGATCTGATTCTGGGGGTGGCAGATTCGACATCTTGCTGCGTTTCGAAAGTATCGCGGCCTCCCAAATAGATGTCTGTAATCAACAACCCCTCTCATCGCAACTGCAATCGGATACGGCCCTTATCTGTTAGTGGAAGCTCCATCATCGCCGAACACTGAATAAAATCTCATGATAAGTAATAACCAGAAGGTAACTCATCGTTCGCTCACGATCAAGCAAATCCGGATGATAGCAGGAGCGCCGGCGAGTAGAAGATCGGACCCATTCTGTTCGTCAGTACTGGCTCTTCCTGGTGGCATTGCTGGGCCGTGATTGTGGCAGGCCGGATGGAATAGGCTTAGCCGAATCCTTCTCATTCCGACGACCTGCCCGCAAGACCATCCACATTCATCACAGAAGGGCACAAGGTAAATGTGGGTGTCAATGTCATCTGAGTTTCAACATCATTTAGCTAAAGTTCATCGGGGTCGTTCTAAATACAAGTTGGAAATAATTTATTTCTTTCACATAGCGTCTATGAAGAAAGGTCGCCGACTGCGATGCCACTAGTTATTGGATCAAGAAGCTCAAAATGGCAAACTTGTCGACGGATCTGGGTAGATCTGGAATAAACGGCTGGGATCAGAAGAGACTTTGAGTGTGGTGATCATTGACTTGTAAAACCCCTGCATCTGAGTTTAGCCATTGAATGAGACAACACCAGAGAGCGCGTTTAACACCTACCCATCCACAACCAAATTGGCTCCAGACATATAGCTACTCATCGGGGACACTAGGAATGAAATAGCCTCAGCTATCTCTGATGGCTCCGCAAATCGCCCCATTGGAACCTTCTTCAACTCATCCTGCATGACGCCTTGTTGAACGGCAGCCTTGAAGGCCGGAGTGTTTACAAATCTTTCGAATTTCATCATTTAAAATTAGCTGCCATTCGAATGGTTCAAAGAGCGCGGAGCTGGCCTACCCTGGGCAAATGGCATTGATGCGTATACCATCTTTCGCATAGGAGTTTGCGTCCTGGTATGTGTCAGTTGAGTGATGCGTACGAGGTTGGACATCAACTTACCATTTTCGTCATACCCAACACTCCATGCTTACTAAGTAGTATGAACACAAGTACGAGGTAAGCGACGGCCCATCGCGCCCTGATGCATAACTCGTAGAAGGAGCAAGAGAAGTAGCTGAGGAGTACTGACTCACCAGGCGATATAAGGCGGAGCCGGTGTTGTCCCAGACGGGGCAACATGTCCATAAGTGGAGGATAAATTGACAATCACACCTCGGCTTCGGGTTTCAGGGCTACAAGAGAGCTTCAGATTCTGTAGAGCAATTCAAGGACCTGTGATTACCTTTGCCCTCGTGGCTCCTGTCGCAACATTTGCCTAATCTCCTCTCTCTGTGCTATCCAGAGACCAATAAGATCAAGATCGACAACTTTGCGATAGTCCTCCACGCCCATCTCAGATGTGGCACAAATTGGTCCGCCGATCCCGACGTTGTTCACGGCGATGTTGATCTGCCCAAATGTTTTGGTGACTTTTTGGACGGCGTCCACGATCGCCTTCTCGTTGGAGAGGTCAGCCTGTATTTCAAGCACTTCTACATTGTCGTTTAGTTCGAAAATCAGCTTTCTGGTTGCTGCCATTCCGGCAGTGTCGATGTCCAGGAGTGCAAGTTGCTTGATACCATGACGGACAAACGCGAGGCTTGTTGCTCTTCCGATACCTTTGATTTCGGATGTCAGCAATTTTCACGCGCCTCATGAATGAGCATACCGGAGCCTGCTCCAGATACTAGGGCAACGCCCTCTAAAAGATCTGACATGATAGATAGAAGTTGGTTTAAGTATTACACCTATAGAATGTCGTCTTACTTTTCTCAGGACGACTTGTTCAAATTTGAACTTGGCATGTGTTTGCCGTGACTACACGGCAAACGCATTTCTAGAGAGTGGAGATTGCCGAGTACTCACAGACTGGAGGCCCGGATTGTTACGAAAGTTCGGCCCCTAATCCACTAGGCTTCGGAGAAGACTCAGTAATGATCTCCGGCGCAAGGTGGTCACCTTGTCAATATCTCCAGGTTTGTCGTAACCAAGTCAAACCTTAAGAATCGCCATACCATTCTAGCCTTATTTTGTCGACCGAGGAAAGTCCCCCGCCATCACCTCTGTCAATCAAGTGTCAGCCAGCAACGCTTATCTCGTGTGTAACCAAAGTCAATAAAACAAAAGAAGAGATTACATATTCTGGCATACCCCAAAGGTTTTCAGGCCAATCCTACGTATCAGACCGACATGGCACGGACTGTGATTCGGATCGAGGAAGACATTTTGGACCACCCAGTGGAACAAGTCTGGAGCCTAGTCTCCAGCTTCGGCGCGATACAAGCCTGGATGCGGTCTATCAAATGGTGCACAATCAGTGGCCAGGGTGTCGGAACTGTTCGCACTGTAATGTCCATGGCTGGAGTGCAAGAAGAGATCCTTGAAGTACTCGATAATGACGCTCACTGTATTTCCTATCGCATAAAGGACAACCCGTTCCTTCCCATGAAGGGTGGCTTTGGCAATTGGAAACTGGAAAGCATCGGAGGAGGAAAAACAAAAGTTACTTGGATTGCAGATGCAGAAGAGATCAACACTGATGGAGTGGCCGCAATAGCCCCAATCTATGAAGGATTCATGAAGGAAAGCATAGCTGGCTTGAAGAAAGCACTGAGTTAGACGGCAACGGGGAACTATACTTTGTATATCAGCTTCAACGCCTGAGGCCGGTCTTTGCTGGCCCAAGTTTAAACACTTCCTCATCGTGCAAAGCGGACAGTTCTTGAAATTATGGACAGCGTTATCAGCTTCATGCAACATCCATTGTTGCTCCGTCTCGAATAACTGTGTAAACCTTGAAAGAGATGTCACTACGAATTCAGTGGTATGGATATCAGGCAATTCTCCTCACAGAAGACTCTTAATTTCATTGAAACTGACTCATCGATCTTATCACTAAATGATCACCTCGTTGTTGAGTTAGCTCTTGAGTATCTGGAAAAACTCCTCCTGCTGAGGGAATATATCCCTATACACACAAAGCCTTTCTCCAAGATGTTGCACTGGTACGCGTAGCAACCGGGCCACCATGCACAGTTCGATTCCTCATATGCAATGCCAGATTAATTTGTGTTACCTTCCCCTGGTGCTTTACGGCTCTGAACGTGATATAGTGGTTTCTTTGCTGTGATGGCCCACATGTTGCAGCTTGCGAGCGACATCAGGCGTCATGCGCTCTGCCAATTTTTTCGAGTCAAGCAACAAGGCTGCCACTGTTGCGCAACATCCAAAAGCAATGCTCACCAAGTAGATAAGTTGAAATGCGTTCTCGTATGAGCGAAGTGCAGCGGTGGTAGCTGCTTCTATAACTGCTGGCGTCACGCCGGAGATTTTCTCGAGTGCAGGAAGATTGCCACCCGAAAGGGCTGTTAGGAAACCGACGACAGACTTTGGCGGGAGGCCTGCTTCCAGAATGGCCGGAACAACCCATTTTTTGACGTTAGATGCTACTCTATTTTGTAACTACGATCTGTCAGCTTCATAGGCTCTCATGGGATTCTCAATTCCGATACTCACAATTGTCACAAAGACCGAATCTACATATAGTCTCCGTCAGCTATGCCAGTCATGATCAAAATAGCTCACCAAGTTGAAACTTACCTGCAAGGACCGAACAACCACTTCTCAAGGTATATTCCACTCCATTGGCTAAGCCAATATCCTCGGGCTTAACCATAAGAGGGGCGCCGGCTAGAGTAAGCACCTCCATGTATCCAATCATGGTGCTAGAGATCAAGCTGAACACGATAGCGCGGTCCTGGTTCTCCTTCGTAACAGCACTCATACCGCCAGTAAATGTTGTAAACAACACACAGACAATGACTAGCTGCCATTTCAAGGATACCCACTTTTGGGTCCATTTCGAAAGAGATCCAACAAACTGGCCGAAGATGGCGCCTGCCGTTAAAGTACACTTTTCAGCCGTCAGCTCCAGTAGTGGCCCATGTCTAGAGGCTTACTTACACTCATCCAGCCGGTGGTTTGAACGGACTTCCCATAGACGGCGGAAATTTGTTGCGGATATACAATATTTAGAGCGTAAAATATCATGGATCCAACACTGGCGACGATCGACAAAGCCACATAGTTCCTGTTTCGGAAGAGGTAGAGGGGCATCAAAGGTTCTTTCAATGGAGCGAACCGTTCTGATCAATCGTCAGGCAACCTCTCCGTACCAAAAGAACGAAGACAAAGCATGGACCTACCGAACAATACAAAGACGATAAGGCCAATTCCTCCCACGACCATAGTCGAGATTACCTCACCAGAATGCCACGCTGGTTGAAAAGTGTCAATATTGTTCGCGGAATGCACAGGTTGTCGAACTTACGATATTTCTGCCCACCCCACGAGATCCCGAGAATGATCGACGTCACACTGCCAGTAAATATTATAACACCTCCAAAATCAAGGTTTATCACAGTCGTGCGTTTTGATAAAGTAGTATGTAGCTGGTGGAAATTTGGCGGGAAGTAGAAAAACAGCTGCAGGAGGCCGGCTGTGCCAGACATCATGGCACTAAAATAGTACACCCAGCGCCACGAGGCATTGTCCACCATCACTCGAGCTAGAAGAAAACCCCGTTAACTCGTGTGCCGCAGGCCGTGAGCGATTCTACATACCTAGGCCTGGCCCAATGGTAGCGAGCGGAGCCAGTAGTGCGAATGTGAGCCCGAGTGCCGTATTTCTATTCTGATTTGATACCATCTCACCAAAGATGACAGGCATAGTCTGCTGGATACCAGTTCCAACACCCGCTATCGCGCTCTGCAAAAAGAAGAGATCCATGGTCAGCAAATTGAATTCCCACACACACGAGGCACAAACTTACACCCGCAATCAAAGTATCAATCTTCTTAGCTCGACCATTGACGATATACCCGACGAAGGCGAGAGCATTGGCTCCAATGAAAATCCAGCGGCGACCAAATATGTCCCCAAATCGGCCAGCTAGAGTGAACGTCACCGTCTGGCATAGAACAAAGATGAGAAGGATCCATATGTAGCCTGGAGTCGGACCTGCGTTGGTGAAGAATGTTAATTATTACATGTGCATCTCGGAGATCTCGTAGGGTCTAATACCTAGATCTTCATTAATGATGGTAATAACATTTGCCGCCATGACATAGCCAAGAAATGCTCCTTGGAACGAGATGGCCATCGACTGTGGTAGGCGAGTCAGCTACTGTCTGGTACTGAGAAGGGCCGGCCCAGAGGCGACGTACGAGGAAAGACCCAATAAATTGCGGGCTTCTGTAGTAATTTTTGGGTAGATTGTCTCCGCGTGCTGCAGGTGACACTTTGTCCATGAACTCTTCGGCTTCAATGTGTTCGTGGGTGTTCTGCAGGTCATCCTTCTCAATTGTATCCATCGTGTTTGCCAAACCTGTCGCCTTCTCCGTTTGTTGCTATAGGGTTCAAGGTCTGACTTTGGCCGGGCAGGGCGCCCATATCGTGTAATGTATATGTCAACGAGACATGCGCGAAATTTTAATCAAGCAGTTCGCCTCCGTTCCATCCCAAAGTAGTCGGGGTTCAGTTCTCACACGCCGTGAGTGGCTGCAAACGACCCCAGTGTCCCGAAGTTTGCATCAGATATTCCGGGGCATGCCCGATCAGGAAGACACAGCAAGTTCCGGGAATTTTCGAGGGAGTTGGGTTTTACCAAGACTGGAGATTGGACCCCTGGGTTCCAATTATCGGTCAACATAATCCGTTAGCCCTGCACCCTTTCAAATTTCAATCATCTTCTCTTTCAGACCGGAGATTGACATGATGGGACAACTCCAGATTAGAACATGTTGACTGAGCGCCTCAAGGCTGCCGCTTCCAACCGGCTCCTCACTCTACCAGATGCCTATTTCTAAGGAAGAAGATGTGCAAGCGATATCGTAGCCATTGTTGTGTGAACAGAACATAAAAGCTGAATCGCCCATTCAAAGTGTCTTGCTGTTGTGCAATGGCTCTAGGACACAGACAGCATAACTGTGACCATTGCGACAGCCATGGATTTCCTCAGAATGGCGCGGGAGTCGACATTCGTGTCCGGGCCCCAGCTACTCCGGAAACCTTATTCAGCCTGCTCGGTAAAAAGGGTCTCCGCAGCTCTGACCAGATGAAGTTAGTTGTTTATAGAGCCGGCCTAATTAGGCTTAGGCGACTTAGTCTTGGCACTGTGGTAACTTGCCAGCCGTTTAAACCCTCTTTGCTGCTCCAGATACTCCCGTAGATCTTTTCAATCAAACAACCTTTTCATTGCCCCAATCAATTCAACAATTTTAAATGCTCTATAACTGGTCTTTCTTCCAGGTGGCCCTCTGCGAAGGAGGCAAACAGAATTTCTGACTACTTTTTTGCTCGGAAATGTAGATGCTGCGCCTCGGCTAACTGAATTATTCAAAGTCGAGCAAAATTCCATACGACATCGAAAATGGCCGAGGCAACTCGAGGTCTCTCATTCGAGAACCGAACAGTCATCGTTACTGGTGCTGGTGGCAGTATAGGCAGGCCACTCTGCCTCGCTTTTGCTAAAGCCGGTGCCAACGTGATCGCTAACGATTACGGCTGTTCTGCAGCAGGGCAAGGCTCGTCGGGAGCTTCGGCGGAGCAGTTAGTAGCTGAAATTGCGGCACAAGGACTATCGGCCGTGGCGGATACCCACAACGTTGCTACAGATGCTGATAAAATCGTTGAGTTGGCAATTGAAAGATTTCAACGCCTTGATATTATTGTCAATAATGCGGGGATCATCACATATGGCCCAGTAGAGGCCCAAGAGCCCGGGGATATCAAACGAGTGCTTGAGGTCAATGCACTCGGCGCGATGGCGCTTTGTCATTACGCCTGGCCACATATGCAGAAGCAGAAATACGGGCGGATCATCAACTTTACCTCCGACTCCGTCTTTGGAATGCCTTCCAGTGCTGGATATGTGCTGTCCCGCGGCGCCATGCTTGGGGTTACCAAGACGCTAGCTTTAGAGGGACAGCCACACAACATACTTGTGAACACAATCGGTCCTTCAGCCTATTCACGCATGGTTTCAGATGTGATCCAAGATCTACCACCGGATCAGCAGGAGGGGTTCAAGCGCGCCTTTACTGGTGAATCCAATATTCCGCCGCTTCTCGCTCTAGCAAGTGAAGAGAACACATACACGGGCCAGATCTGGACCTCCGGGAACTACGCTATGGGTCGCACAATCCTTGGAACTGTGAAGGAAGTTAAACGACTTCGTACAGCGCGCGACTGTCTATCAGCGATGACAGAACTGATGGATAAGAGCAGGGCATGGATAGAACCTCAAAGCATTCAGGAGTTTCTGAACTTCAGAGCTTGAACTAGGTGGCCGACATGTAGTGGTGCAAATGTACACTCGTTATCCATTGATTATCACATACTCGCCAACTCACTTCTTACCTCTTGTGCCAAGCCTCTCAAGAGTTGGCGTAGAAGTCGCCGAGATCACTTCCTGTGTCCCGAATTTCGCCTTCAGGCAGGCGGGAGACTGTCGGGTAACGGGCTTAAGAAGAAATCTGTGATTCAGAGAGCACTTCCGAAATGCATCGCCTAAGTAAAAGCCCCAAAAAATGCGGAGTTTCGGATTTCGGAGTTGGACGGTAGTCACAGCTTTGTTGTTTCATTTCTACAGCCCTCCCTTGCAATTACCACCAGGGTTTTGTTAGGGCTCATACCTATTATTACCACGATTTCAACTTGCGAAGTGATTGACTATTAACTCATAACGGAATTCGCGCGCAATGGGGCTTTACTGGATGGTGTTCGCCATGGTTGGCGTTATTTCGATTTTCAGAGTGCTCTGGTATGGTAGGCGGCCTAAAGGGTATCCTCCTGGTACAGCTCCTGTCTAATACCTAATGTGGCAAACCTCTTATTGACTGGGATTGAAAAACAGGCCCTCCTACCTTGCCAATTATTGGAAATCTTCATCTGTTCCCCCGGAACGGTGTTCTTCATGAGAAGTTCAAAGAATGGGCAGACCAATGTCAGGATCCGTTCAGTGCTCTCACCCAATATCACTACTTACGGGTTTAGATGGACCAATCGTTAGCCTTAAGCTTGGTACCCAAACACTGATCCTTTTGAACGATGAAATGGCGGTCAAGGAACTCTTGGACAAACGAAGTCAAAATACGTCGGCGAGGATGGATATGTTCCTGAGTGAGTTTGGAGGCCATAACCAGATTTTGATGCGCAGGTAGGTTTCCCTTGCGAACCCGTCAGCCTCACAGTTGACACATACTTTAGCAACGACGAAACCTGGAGACGTCAGCGAAGAATGTATCATCAAAATCTCAACAGCCAACAAGCAGACATCTATGTGCCATATCAGGTAACGCACGTCTTAGACAATTTCAATAACGGCCTTCCACCCATGAGCTAACCTACGTGAGGACAGTCTTTTGAGACGACACAGCTCCTACGAGACATTTTGAACAGCCCGGAAAAATTCGAAGACCACATCAAGCGCTACACAACTAGTGTTGGATATACAATTGCGTATGGGATGCGCGTAAGATCTATTGAAGAGAAAAAAGCAGCTAGAACAATGTTCGAGGTGAGGACAGAAAACATCGCTTGCTCTGCTGCCTCGTTAACTAATGAACACGGAAGTGGACAACAGGCCAGGTTCGAGCTGGGATGGGATTAGCTATTACTGACTGGTGGCCGTTCCTTCGCCCAGTATTCCGAATGCTACCCAACAGTGTTATACCTTTCTTGAAAGAGATTGAGAGATTGAACCGTGTGGAGTCCGATTTGTGGGACGAGCAATACCAGATCTGCCGACGCAGAATTGAATCCGGCCATGTTAGACCTAGTATGTTGTTTCACAGCGATTACTTCGGATTATAATTCCAGTCACAAAGCGCTTTCTAATGCCCATGGTAGGCTTTTGCAGAGATATGATCGTCACAAATACTGTGAAAGCCGACTACCTGTCCGAGAGAGAGCTTAAATTCAATGCCGGTCACGCATGGGCTGGCGCAAGGTACTCATTGTGAACCTATCTCTCGAATCTGGTAACGCTGACAAGGAGATAGTGACACTCAATTCAACACGCTTTGGTTTTTTGTCAAGGTCTGAGTCTCACGAGCGTTGCCGTAGAGCTATGCTAATCGCTGAAGCAGGCCATGATTCTGTACCCAGAATGTCAGAAAAGAGCGCAAGAAGAGATTGACAGCGTAGTGGGAGCCAGCACCCTCCCCCAATGGTCCGACTGGACTGCTCTTAGGTACACGCGCAGTATATTGAAGGAGACTTTGCGATGTATGCTTAAACTTTGCGGAAGACTTTTACCGGTAACTCTACTTACAATTGTGTCCAGTCTATCCGGCTACCATTACCGGAGGTATGCCTCATGCAGTGACCAAAGACGACACATATCTAGGATATCTTATCCCAGCAGGAGCGGGGCTGGTCAATAATGTCCGTTGACCTCATTCATTCCATTTCTGACAGAAATAACCCAAGATAGGTCTGGACCTTGAACAATCGTGTCGAGAACCCTCGAAAATTCGATCCCAGTCGCCATATCGACGATTCTCGGAGTACGATGGAATCAGCTATTCAAGCAGATGCTACCAAGCGTGACCACTTCACCTTTGGAGCTGGTCGTCGTATCTGTCCGGGCACCCATGTCGCAGACCGCGGATTGTTCATTGCCATTTCGAGACTCCTGTGGGCGTTCAACTTCGAAAGAATCCTTGGTGAGGCTCTTGAACAAGACGATTTCGAACCAGGTTTCATCACCTCGCCGAGGCCCTTTAGGTAAGCAAGCTCTCCGCAGCATGAGGGGGTCTATGAGATTGTGGCCTTTGACAAACAGACCTGAGCTAATCATACATTTAGATGCAAGATAACGCCTCGTAACGAGGCTAAACGGACTAAGATTAGTGAGATCTGGGAGCAATCCGAGAACTTCCTCGACGAGAATGGCGACTACATCCAAGAGTTCTACGATCGCATGGTTCGTGGTCAAGCTGTTACTGCCTAACTAAAACTTTGAACGGGTTGCTAGGAATCAGAATCTTCTTTAGCTTTTGACATTCACATCTCTTTATCCGACAGGTATAGCCTCGTCTGGCCAGAACGGCGATCGGGCAGTAATTCTTGAATCCGGCATTGACCGTCGCCTCAGCAAAGAGCGCAAAGAGCAAGAAGGGATTTAGAGGTTCTCTGGGAGCCTTGGGATTAATCAAGTCGGTTCTCGCATTTTCGGTCAGATTAGGACAATATATTACTGTGTGACCGGAACTGTTCTGCGATGTCATGTGGGATGAAACGTCCAAGAATGATTGATTACTAACAGAGTTTTCCGTATTTGGTAAAGTGGGGGCCATCCTTTTGTGGGGTATGCCGCTTTTTAGCTAGGGTAGTTTATAATCGGCTAACTTTCCTAGCCGGAAGCGGGGCGAGCTGCAAGCAGTTTTTTACTCTGTTTGGCAAGTGCGCCGAACATTGTTAGGCTCCTCGGGCTGCACTGTGCGTCATACCCTCCATTCTCTGTGCGTCTCTCAGCGCTGAAGGCAGAATCCCACAGCGCCTGGACCATCCACACGATCCTAAGAGTAAGGGACCAAGGGTATTGATTTTGTTCGCAGTCGCAGCTTTGATCTTCTTATTTGGTCTCTTCTAGCAGGCCATAGAAAAATGCCCCCGATCCCACCGTCGCGCCTGGTCGCGCTTCAAGCCAACCCACAGAACATCCGCAACATCTGCATTCTCGCGCACGTTGATCATGGCAAAACATCTCTTACGGACTCACTGATCGCTACCAATGGGATCATCTCGCCGAAGATGGCGGGGAAGGTCCGCTACCTGGACTCGAGACCTGACGAGCAAATACGTGGAATTACCATGGAGAGCAGTGCCATCAGCCTGTACTTCAGTATGATACGCAGACAAAAGGAAGACCAAAAGCCAAAACAGGAGGAATACCTGATAAATCTGATAGACAGTCCTGGACACATCGACTTTTCGTCAGAGGTCAGCACGGCCTCAAGGTTGTGTGATGCCGCAGTTGTTCTGGTTGATGCTGTCGAAGGTGTGTGTTCACAGACCGTCACAGTGCTTCGACAGGTATGGATAGAGAAACTGAAACCTTTACTCGTCATCAACAAGATTGACAGACTCGTAACTGAACTGAAAATGACTCCATCCGAAGCATACTCACACCTTGAGAGAGTCTTAGAGGGGGTAAATGCCGTCATAGGAGGCTTCTTTCAAGGCGAGCGCATGGAAGAACATCTCATGTGGAGAGAAAAACTTGACCAGGAAAGGGCGGCTAAAGAGCAACAGAAACAGGATGCCATGAGCGAGACCGTCTCGGAGGCTGACTTGGATCAACAGTTCGAAGAGCGAGATGACGAGGATCTATATTTTGCTCCCGAGAAGAACAATGTCATCTTCGCCAGCGCAATAGATGGATGGGCTTTCACTGTCCGCCAATTTGCGAGCATTTATGAGAAGAAGCTAGGTATCAAAAGATCCCTTCTTGAAAAAGTCCTCTGGGGTGATTTCTATTTGGATCCAAAGACCAAAAAGGTGCTCGGTCAGAAACATCTGAAAGGAAGGAATCTGAAACCGATCTTTGTGCAACTTGTTTTGGAGCCTATATGGCAAGCCTACGATGCCACGGTTGGCATAAACGGAGGCCGGGGTGATCCGGCTTTATTGGAGAAGATAACGAGGTCGTTGTCTATCAATTTGCCCGCCCATATCACAAGGTCGAGGGATTCCAAAGCCATCTTACAAGCTGTCTTCTCCTCATGGCTACCACTGTCAACAGCCCTTCTTGTCTCTGTCATTGAATACTTACCAAGCCCTCCCAGCGCCCAGGCAAGTCGGTTACCCGAAATGATCGAGGATCTGGTCAGTTCAAAGAGCATCGACCAGTCTCTGAAAGATTCCATGATCAATTTCGACACCTCTGACTCTGCACCTGTTGTCGCGTACGTGAGTAAGATGGTAGCGATTCCCGAGAGTGAACTCCCCTCCAAGAGACGGAAACTCGGCGCCACCTTGACAGCAGATGAAGCCAGGGAGCTCGCCCGACAGAAGCGTGCGGAAATCGCCAAAGCACAGGCTGAAGCGGAAGGCGCGACCAATGTGGACAGCATAACCAATGGGCTAAACGCGACAAGGATCGGAGACGGTAATGGGGAGAGGACCGCGCCTGAGCAACCAGAAGACCCGGAACATTTAATTGGCTTTGCCAGACTTTATTCTGGGTCACTCTCTGTCGGAGACGAAGTCTACGTTTTGCCACCCAAGTTCAATCCAGCTTTCCCTCATGCTTCTCCAGAACCGAAAAAGGTGCCCATCACGGCTCTTTATCTCCTCATGGGCCGATCGTTAGAGTCACTGGACAAGGTACCAGCAGGGGTGGTCTTTGGCATCGAAGGGCTGGAAGGCCACATTCTCAAGACCGGCACATTATGCTCGCAGATAGAAGGAGCTATCAATCTGGCCGGTGCTTCAACGCTCAGTCAGCCCATCGTCAGGGTCGCTCTGGAACCCACGAACCCAATGGATCTGAACAAGATGATCAAGGGACTGAAACTGCTCGAACAAAGCGACCCGTGTGCCGTCTACGAGCAGATGGAGAGTGGAGAACATGTCATCTTGACCGCGGGGGAGCTGCATCTCGAAAGGTGCCTCAAGGATTTACGAGAGCGATTTGCAAAATGTGACATTCAGCCTGGTGAACCGATCGTACCATATCGAGAAACAATCGTGAAAGCGGAAGAAATGGAACCTCCGAAGAACAAAGATCTCCCGAGGGGAACAGCAATCGCGGTCACTGCGTCAAAGACTGTATCTGTCAGATTGAGAGTTCGACCTCTGCCACAAAATGTAACAGAGTTTCTTATCAACCATGGAGCGTCTATCAGGAGGCTCTACGCAGAAAAGCAGGCTCAGGAGGAAGAGACAACGAAAGACGTCGACAGAGCGGACGAAGCCGGCCTTGTCAACGACACTGGTAGCAATGAAAGAAGCAACCTCTCCCTCCAAGAATTTCGAAAACAACTGAAAGCAGAATTCGACGATGTCAAAGAGGACAAAGAAGTCTGGGCAAAAGTTGTACCAAGGATATGCAGTTTTGGTCCTCGAAGAGTTGGTCCGAATCTTTTCATCGACGCCACGGGAGAACAAACTTGTAAGCGATTTTTGTTTGAGCAGCATGAAATCACGGAAGGCGGAGAAGATACAAATGGGACGAAGAGCAGCACCGACGGCGTTGAAAACTCGACACCAAAGCAAGATTTCTCGGACACAATAGCATACGCGTTCCAGCTCGCAACGTCCCAAGGCCCGCTCTGTCGTGAATCGATGCAAGGTGTCGCCGTCTTCCTTGAAGAGATCAGCCAGCAGCAACAGCAACAACAGCCCACCGCCAGCGCCGAGCCTTCGTCCAATGGCGACACTGCATCATCCGCGGCAGTTGAATCAGGCCGCCTCACCGGCGAACTCATAACGTCCGCGCGTGAAGCGATCCGCTCCGCCTTCCTGGACTGGTCCCCGCGCATCCTGCTGGCAATGTACAGCTGCACCATCCAAGCCACCCCCGAAGTGCTAGGCCGCGTCTACTCCGTCCTCACGCGCCGCCGTGGATCAATCCTCTCCGAGGCCCTCCTCGAAGGCACCCCGTACTTCACTATCAGCGCGAAATTACCCGTTGCCGAATCTTTCGGGTTCAGCGAGGAAATACGCAAGAGAACATCTGGCCTCGCACAGCCGATGTTACAATTTGTCGGGTTTGAATTGGTCGACGACGTCGATCCGTTCTGGGTACCGAGAAGCGAAGAAGAGCTGGAAGACTTGGGTGTCCACGGGGAGAGGGAGAATGTGGCAAAACGGTATGTGGACGGGGTGCGGAGGAGAAAGGGACTGCTCGTCAGGGGAACGAGGGGTGTAGGAAGAGACGCAGAGAAGCAAAAGACTCTGAAGACGAATTAGACAATTGATGAATGATATTTGTTGGTATGTCAGACAGAGATAGAGAGAACTGAGAAGGCTCCGACTAGAAATAGATGCAACTTCGGCGAAGTATCTTGTCTCGAAACGCAGATCATGGGTCCCAATGTCCCGCTTCTGTAATTTTCATCTGTGTTGCAACTCCATTATTCCCTTCAGAGGCGAGGCCCTGGATCATGATGACGCCGATACCTATTTCTGCTTGATCACTCATATCCTCTCGTCCAAATACCCAAATGTCCAACCACAAAAGCACAAACGTTCGTGAACTTTGGGCGAAGTAGTAGGCGAGGCTGTTTGCTTTTTGCCGATAGCGAGCATCTTGACGCAACGCTGCTTCCCGCTTCTCTCGCACCGTTCGGAAGACTGCATCTTGAGCTCCGTCATTAGATGGGGGGTTCTTGCGTTTACAGGCGGGTTCTACCGGCGTCAGAACGCAGAATCGGCTACTATGTATGCACCAAGTCTTTTGGCTATCATACGGCTCTTGACATCTCTACAGACAACAGAAGGATGCAAATTTGAGAAATACCTTGCACCACCAACACCACCAAGATTGAGGAATTCATGAGAAAGTACCAATTTGTCGGACAGAGACTGGAAATCTTATTTTCCTGGTCTGTGGAGCGTCGCATATTCAACTCAGCCTCGCTTGGAATAGAGAACTGGAGCGGGTAACAGCGCCAAAGCAATACGTATAACTGTCCGCTGTTTTCCCGGGGCTTTATCGATGCGCATTTGGCTTTGGATGAGATCTGAGATCCCCTATTCACGGGTCCAAGAAGGCGGGCGGTGAATATGATGGAATTAGAAAACGGTTCGGCCGGATATTGCCTGGATACTTGCAACTGGGGTGTCAGCTTCGGTCCCGTCAAGCAACACTGGCTTATGCGCCGCGTGCTTGCAAAGGTCATGTTCCTCATCTTCAACGAGTATGGTGTGGTGGTTTTGCCGACTGCGGCGTGTTCAAAAGATAACGCCAGCGGGAAAGGCATAGCTGGATTTCGACATATCGCATCGACAACCGCCATCGAGGTCAATTGCATGCTGTTCAAAACGGAATATCGAGTTCCACCGCTTGCAGGGCGCTGGCATCTTCAAAAGCTACCCTCTGAAGCCTTCAGCAGGATCGGTTGCCGGTCGTCGACCACGACCTAGAGTTCTTCCATGAAGGCACTGGACAAGTCATCACAGCGGGATGTCCATACCATATCACAATATTCGACATTCCACGATCGACCTCGTTTCGGAAGACGGAAACGCATGAGAAAGACGCGATTAAACCGCGAGATGTTTGAGCAGAGCAGGGGCGTCCGTCAGCATGACTCTTTTTGTTCTTTGCGTGCTAGACAGCCTAGTTTTCGTGTTCCATCCGCGTTCCGTTGCTGGCTCGAGATGGTGTCAAGCGACCTTTTTGCTCAACATGGCGCGTTGACAGGTATTCATGCCAATGGGTGCACTTCAGTGTGTCTGGATGCTCCTTCCCGAGAACCTTCTCCATCGCCGGCAACACTTCCTCCCACTTCTTCTTTGCCTCGTCGTACAGCTCGAGCTTGTATAGTGCCACAGCTAAATCATAGATGCATCTCAGTGTAGCTGAATACTCCTTCCCCAACGTCTTCTCCATCGTTGGCAACACCTCCTCGAACATCTCCTTCGCCTCGTTATACTGCTCGAGGTTATATAACGCTGTGGCTAGATTTGTCGTAGTTATCAGTGTGAGTAGATGCTCCTTCCCAAGAACCTTCTCCATCGTTGCAAACGCTTCCTGAAACATCACCATCGCCTCTTCGTTCTGCCCTAATTCGAGGAGTACTGCGGCTAGGTTATGCATACTTCTCAATGTGTCTGGATGTTCCTTCCCAAGGACTCTCTGCTGTGCCTGTAGTACCTCTTGAAGCATTTTGACTGCCGCCTCCTCCTTTCCTAGTCTGCTTAGTACGGCGGCTAAGTTGCTAATACAAAATAACGTATCGGGGTCATCTTTTCCTTGTAGCTTCTCCCTTAGCATCAATACCTCCCGTAACATCTTCTCTGCCTCTTCAATTTTTCCGAGACCATTAAGCGTCATAGCCAGGTTGTCCATACTGCTCAATTTGAAGGGATGATTCGCTCCTGGCGCTTTCTCTCTTGCTTGTAACACATCTCGATGTATCTTTTCTGCCTCTTCATACTTACCTAGGCTGTTTAATGTGTGGCCCAAGTTGTGCATGCTGTTCAGTGTGAAGGCATGCTCTGCTCCTAGCACCCTCTTGGTCGTCTCCACCACTTGCCGTTCCAGCTCCTCTGCCTTCTGGCTATGGCCTTGGGCGCTGAGCACGGCCCCAAGCTCTCCCCCCAGCAACGCGGTACTTATTTCATCCGCGTGCATTTCCTGAACTAAATTTCTGTAGTCGATGTTCATCTCTAACAAATGCGCGATCAAATGTCGCCGGAAGGAAGGGCGTCCCATCTCGCGATTAGTCTGGTACACCGCTGCCAGGAGAAACAACAACGTCCATCGTCTCCAGGCCGCCTTGCTGTCTTCTCCAGCCTTCCTCGCACGCCATTGCACCAGACTGTGCATTGTCGTTGCCTTCCACTCGCCCCCTGACTGTCGAAGCAACCCATAACGCATCAGCGGTTGTGTTGCTTGTCGGTAGTAAAAGTCGTCCCTCCCGTTATCGTGGTTTATCATTTGTTGAAGCCAGTCGGGCATACCGTTGTCAGAAAACCGTACCTGGCTGATTATGTCGCGCCACCCACCACTAGCAAGTCGAAACATCTCCTCCTCCATCTGTCCTCGGTCAAATTGAGCAAGAAAAGTTAGCATTTGGTTCGCGTGACTTTGCGGGACTTGTTTCTCAATCGCCGCCAAGCTTGTATCCCATACAGTCCACACCGTCATCTGATAAAATGAGAGACGCAGGAACGGCTTCCCTCGTAGAAGTTCATCCTGATGACGCTCGAAGTCAGGCAGATATTGTCGGAAGACGCTGCACAGCGCTTCAGATCTCATCACATTCGTGTCGTTGCGGTCATGTTGCTGCAGCTGGTCACTGAGATAGAGTCCGGCTAGTTCTACCGCCAGGGCCAGGCATCCAAGCCGATCAGCAACCTCGTTACAAAGACCATCCACTTCGTCCAACTCTTGCTCATTCTCGACCCCCGCGGCTAGGCGTATCTGCTGCTTCAGCAGGGTCCGAGCTTCTTCCCTGCTCATCTCTCTTGCCTCGACGAATTTGCAGGATCCTCCGAGAAAACTTGGAGTCTGCCGATGCTGACTCGTCACAATCACATGCCCCCGAGTGCCTCGTGGGATAATTTCATCAATTCGCCACGAAGTGTCATCCGCATTGTCAATGATCACCAGCCATCGAGGGTCCCCTTCATCCCGCTCAGAGAACCAGCGGCACATGCCAGCCACAACAGGAAGGGTCTGTATTTCTATGTCGGAGGTCGGGGAATTGAGGAATGTCAATCCCAGTGCGGCTGCTATTCGTTGAAAACTCATCTGAACTGTCTCCTCTGTTCGAGCATCGATCCAAAAAGCGGGGTTATAACATCCACGAGTCTCTTCGGCGTAATTCAGTGCCAGCTGCGTTTTGCTCACCGCTCCCATTCCGCGAACGACAACTGCTTGGAAACCATCAACAAGCTTGTCGACTTCTGCACCCCTGTCATCAAAAGACACTTGTAATGCTTCATGAATTTGCTGGGAAAGTTCTTCCCGAGCTGTATATGTTCGTACCCGACCTGGGGGTACGGAATATATCTGTTGGAGTGGAGGTGGGAGGATATTCACTGGAGTGTCACAAATGAGCACGTATTCCGCTGTCCGCGTCCCAAACTTTTTCAGGCCAGAATGATCGGCGGGTCCAGACCGATGTTGTGGACATTTTGAGAGGTCTCGTAGTACTTTGCTGACTGCTCATTGACACACTATAGGTTTGTCCAATTAGCACTGGCCACCACTACCCTCAGAATCTCTCACGCTTACAAACTTGCTCCATTGAAAGAATCCGACATCAACCAGGCGGGTAGGACGCTCTTCGAAGAAATTGTATACCCGAACATTCCGTCCGGTCATACACGTAACATGAAGGTCTTGGAGGTGTAACGAGTCATACGTTATCTCATCGGGAAGCGATTGGTTCGATCCTAGAGGGCGTAGAAACCATGCAACCCACAATCCTAGCTGAGTAAAACTGGATCCTCGATGTGGTGTCCCGAGAAAAACGATTCCTCTGGTCCGATAACGATGTCTTGATAATGAGGGGCATTCTTCGCCCGTATGAGAGCCTACCACAATAAGCACCGCGGGCAATTAAACAGGAGTTACGACATGATAGAAAGTAAGGAAAGGAGGTTTGGTCTTTCCTGCCTGTTTCACGAGCAGGCCGCCGTAGCTGTATGCCACAAAAACCAGACCGCGTGCGTTTTCCTGTTGGGCCGGTGTTAGCATCTGTCACACCAATCTAGAATGGGATCAAAGATCCCGCATCATGTGCACTCCCTCATATTTCGCCATACCTCCTCGCTGTGATGAATTCGGCCTCGAAGGTGGTGGAGCATATTTCCCGCCAGATTCCACAGCCTTGTCTGGACCGCGCCGCATTGCCAGTATGAATCGTGATTGTAGAAGAAGATCCGTGTTTTGCGGCGCACTGTCGGAGGGAGATCATCGATCAGGAGGTCCATGACCCAACACACTAAATCATCGGTGACATCCTCTGAGCGATGCTGCTCTCCGGCATCGCATGAGCGTCGTGCTTGCCATGTGCTGTCTGGGTTTGATCCCAATCCATGAACGAAGATGATACTGAAGGAATGAGATCGTCAATCTCAATTTCGCCTGTCATAGCATCCTGTCTAAGACTTTTCCTACTCACTCGACTCCATCCCTCCGCAGCTGCATTCCCAGTTGTTGCCCAGAACCATCCACTTGGACCACCCCGAACTTGGACCCCGGGGCTTGACCAGGTTGTTGTCGAGACGGGATACCTCTTGTTAGCTGGTAATAGACTAGAAGAGTGACTAGTAAGATGACGGCGGCCCATCCCGCCGCGGATGCTGTGGGCCACGACATTGGCAGTGAAGAGAGAAATATTAACTCAATGGGTCCCCTGGCAAACGCATCTTTGGGTTCGTTGCCAAGCCCACTAGCCTCACTAGCCCAAGGCTGCAGCCTCGCTGTTCCTCGCCAGCCACATCCCTTGCCAGGCCGTGCAAATTCTTCTGCCACGTTCAATTGATCAGTTTGTGCGGAACAGAAAATGAAAACCTAGACAACCAGCAACTCCTCATCTCTAAATGACCACGGCCTCCGGGGTCAGTTCCTTGAGAATGTCGAGGACCGACTGGACACCTTCCCGTGAAGTCCTGGCTAGACCACAGACCGGTGCAACACCAAACTCCCCCAACTGCTTCCTTGCCGCAGCGACCCTTTCCTTCGCACCTTTCAGGTCGTCTGGATAGACGAGGCCCAGATAAACGGCGATGTTTTTGTCCTCTAGCTTAGTGAGCGCTGCGTACGGCGTCTCGTCCTTCCAATCGGCCAGACATCCGAAGTGAATCCACTGCAAGGGCCTGCTAGCCTTTGCCTTGGATACGATCCGGTTCGCCAGTGTGACCATGATGGACATGTCCCGTGGCGCCAGGACGGGCTTGTTGTTGATGTTTCCCATGCAGATGTGCAGACCCGTATAGGCTTCGGAGGGAACCTTCCCAATCAATCCTGCGTACTGGTTGGCGTACCGCTCCATGGCGTCCTCCGCCGGTGGGTGAAAATCCTCCCGCAGCGCGCCTAGATACGACGACGGATCCTGTTGGGCCTCGTTCTTGATGTAGTCACTGGCAATGTCGAATTGGATGGCGAGATCCTCCGCTGGGATGGCCGCCGCGATCGCCTCAGTCTCCTGCAGCATGGCCTGGTACGCGAGATCCTCTACTAGATATTGGAATGTGGGCTTGACAAAAATGGCCATACTCGACACTCCCGGCAAACAGACTTGGAAACGGACGTGCTTTTCGATTATCCCCTCCTCCCGCAGCTTGCAGAAGATCTTGTAAGACTCGACGGCGTCCTCGGCATACCCGAGCTTCCACGACGTCGACTTGATAGCGTCACGGAGCTGCTTAACTTCCTCGGCCGGCATCTCCTTGACCGGTAAAGGATCGTATTTCTCGTCATATTCACGCCAGATTTTGCCGATCGCCGGGTTCTCGGTGGCTTTTTTCTGCACCAGGCCAATGGTGAAGTTCCAACGCCACCCCGGTTCCCCGTCGGGGATGGACTTGATGCGTCCTTTCAGCGCTGCCGAGCATGTTGAAAATGCTGTTGTAGCATCCGGAGCTCGGAAACTGCCCACGAGATGCACGGGAGCCGCTTTGTATGCTGACATGGTGAACAAGGACTAGTAGCTGCTTCTCTGCTTCTATGACCGATTAAAGATTGGACGCGCAGTCTGACAAGGAACAGGATATGCCTATTAAGTGGGTGCGATTCGACTTCCGTCGGTGTGAAAGAAACAAGAAATGGAAGTGTTCAAGGGGCAAGGAAACCAGGAGCGCGAAAGCTATCTAATGGTGGTTAGTACCGAGACCAATGGTGCTTGGACGCTGGCTTGCATACCCGAACCCGGGACTATGCATGTGCTGGTCCAGTCATGCGTCGAAGTGCTCCGAAGATGACCTGGTACATCTAAGCGATGTGCTGCAGATTTGTACTGGGCTAAAGAGAGCCTGGTGACCTCCGTTCAGGGAACTGAAACCCGCCAACTAGCGGTCATCGCTGCAGCATGCAGATCAATCACATTTATGCAGATCTCTGCTGTCACAGCCGGGTTGCCTGGGTCGTTCTACGGTATGCCACTCCGCATCCTCTGTTCGGGGGAGCGGCCTCGAATTCAAAGAAACGGCCCATATTCAATCTCATCGTTTCAAAGAAGTTTGATCTTACTCGTTCATCTAGCATTATGCCCACGTCGACGAGGAATCACTCCGTATCGGCTTTCGCCTCTGGCTCTTGCCCTCTCGGATGGCCTCCACGCTGCATGATGGGCGACTTCGCCATCCGCTCCCAATCGTGAAGCATTTCTGTGTTTTCCTTGGACAGGCGGACTTCCTCGCCCGCGCGATCCACCAACTCGGCTTGATATGCAGCCGCGGCTTCTTCAAAGGTCGTTATTCCAGCCAGGGCATCCTTGTACTTGAGAACCAGACTTCTGGCATCTGCTATGCCGTGGTTCAGACCTTGGCCGCGCTGGAAGGTCATGGGATGAGCAGCATCGCCGGCAAGGAGGATCCTGCCTTTACGGGTGTCCCAAGGCCGAGGAATCCAGTATGACAAGTTATTGCTGTGAACCGTTGTTCCTTCCGGGATCCACAGGTTAGCGGAGCGGAATGGCTCACCCATGGTTTCAGCCTTGGCCTTCAAATTGGCTAGGGAAGCCACTTCTTCCCCTTCCTTCTTGTGCCATGTGGTCTGTAGCTGGAAGACCCAGGTGGCGGGATCATTAGGGTCTGGCACTTCTTGGACTAGTCATGGAGGTTAGTTTTCACGGTGTTCCTGTAACCGCACATCATCGCGAAAGACAAATGCTTACTCGAAATCCATTGCCAATAGCCGTTGGGGTGCATGCCCATAGCCATAATGGGGTGAGCCTGGCGGACGAACTTGGCTTTTTCGGCATCATTATAGCAGACATGCAGATTAACAGCAGAATAAGGGACAGTGCAGGGCTGGCCGTCGTCTCCAAATAGGGCGTTTCTGACCAGGGATTGGGCGCCATCAGCTCCAATCAACATTGTCCCCGTGGCCTCTGTCCCATCCTCAAAGACCGCGGTCACCGTCGACTCATCATCATCGTAGGTGATATCGACGAACTTTTTATTATACTTTGGAAATTATGAAGGCAGGGTTAGCTTGGTGATGGTGCAGGACAAGGATGAGCCATGAATTCACAATGATTTACCTGGACGTCAATACCTTCCGTGCACAATTTCCTAAACCGTCGACGGGAAACGCGATACATGCGCAGCAAAGGAATATTTTTCATCACTTCACCGGTTTGGCCATTGATGGCGGGGAGATAACCGGGATCGGGAGGGACAAAGGTAGGGTCGACAGCGGCGGTGTAGACTCGCTCGAAGAGTTCTTGGGGCAGACAGTCGGCGAGCATTGGCAGCCCCCATTGTACTGACATGCCCCATTCTCGAGGTCGGTAGGTGGTGGCAGAGAGCTCAGACTCATAGATGGCAAAGGAGATGCCTATCTACTAGGAGAGATGTGCATCATTGCCAGTTAGCGGATTGCCTTGGCTGCCCCGCGCTCCACTTGGATTATCCATACCTTTTTCAAGCCCTGGGCAATGAGAAGGCCGACGATGCCTATTTATGAGACTCTGTTAGCTTGTTTCATGGTTGATGATACTGTGGGCGACAGGCATATAAGCGAGCCGAATACAGGAGCATGTGAAGCCAGCCCAGCCATACCCGACCCTATGATGAGAACATGAACCGGATTTCGCTGCTCGGTCATCCTGCAGACGCACTCTCCTCTATCAACAGATCGGCCCTAGAGCAAGGAAGGTGGGGGGAAAGGGCGACGTAAAGGATGGCCGCCGAACAACAGGGAAGAGCGGTCTGATTCGAGGAAAGGCAGGCTTTTTAATGGAAGAGAGCCGGTGACAGAGAGTTGGAATCCGTCATTTGAGAGCAGCTGAGTCGTCCAGGGTTGTGGACTTGGTTATTGGACACGAGAAGGAGCTGAGCATCATCCACAGGAGTGGGTGAGTTGGCAGCAATAGAAAGCGAGGAGGTTCGTGGGATGGGCATCTTGATAGCGGGCAAGGCCATGATTGGTCTTGGATCAACAGCTGAATGACACATCAGCGGTAGGACGTTTGTAGAGATGGATGGGCAAGGAAGACTAGAGAGAGATTGGGATCCCAAGTCAATGGAAAAGTCTAGCTGCAGATGTTGGTGGTGTACCTCGTACCGTGGTCTGGTAATGGGAGGAGCCTCGAAGCCTCACCCGCCTGAGTGCAACATCCTTCTGTCACTAACTTTTGCCAGCTAATTGGCCGGGTAGTGACCCCTAACTGTGGGGCTGGTGGGCTGGTAGGCTTAGAACCATCGCCCAGAGCACCCGTTGTTGGTTAACTACCGACAAACTAGCGAGTACCAGTACATCCTACAAGCAGTAGTTGCTTAATCATAGCGCTCACACTGCCGGAACGGACCACCGCGGACCGCCTGGACGGTGTTAACCTCGCAACGTCTGTCAGAGCCTTATAGGTGCCGAAGTTGGTTAAGCTTTAACCGATCAGTTAGGCAAGCCGCCATTGGGAAGTGCCCACCAGTCAACACCAGTCACTTCGCCTGGACTGCTCCGTAATATTCTCTGTCCGCTTGTGTCTGTTTGGAGGGAAAATCTTCCATTTTCAAGATCCCAATGGACCTTGCAGCTGTTTTGTTTCCGTCTCTTCTATTCTCCACATTTTGTTCGCCTAATTGTTGTTGGCTCTGTGCCCGTTGGTTGCTGCACCGTAGCAAACTTCACATCACTCCATTGGATCTCTTCCAATGGTTCTCTCCATGGCTGGCACCTGCTTCGTGAGGAGCTAATTTTTGGAAGTACATTACACTTGAAACGCCACCTTGGCTTTGGCCGAAGATGTTGTCCGTCACATTGACCCTTTGCTTGCTTGGGAGTCAAATGGTGGCTGTCAGGATATGGCATCACAAGCACATCCCGCTGATGATCCAACTGATTCTACAGTTATACCCGCCTCGGGGTCATCGCTCCCGGAACCACAGCCCGCAGAAGATGCTGGACCAGGCCCGAGTTCACAACTTGAACCATCTACTGAATCGGATCCGAACCAGACTATCGAAGTTGATGTAGGCCTAAATTTCATTTTGCCTTTCGTCCACATCTTGTCCGCTTGCTGATTAGCCGCTTCTATATCATATCAGAGACTCTCAGATTTGGATTCTGCCTATGGTGAATCAATGTACGCAGTTTGGGATACAGTTAAGATTCGAGACCGTTGACGGGAACAGACACAGTGATTTGACATCATTAGCATCCAGCATTACTCGAGGTGTTTGGGAACATGGTCGCCGATATCATTCCTATGGTAGATCCCGTAGGTACCGCCGTGCCAATGCAAGTGCGTGGTAGGGACATCATGACTGATCGACATGGCAGAGTACGCCTTTCCAAACGACGAGGCCGAGGCCGAAAGACTGGACATGCAACATGCCATGCAGACACATCTGCTGGGCGATCGACTGTTCTGGGCGCCCATCAACCCCAATCCGGCTAGAGTCCTGGATCTAGGAACGGGCACTGGCATCTGGGCCATTGAGTTCGCTGACATGTTCCCTTCCGCTGTGGTCACAGGCACCGACCTGAGTCCCATCCAACCTCAGTGGGTGCCTCCGAACTGCAGCTTTGAGATTGACGACGCAGAAGCTGAGTGGACTTGGGATGAGGGTACATTTGACTACATTCATAACCGCAATTTCGTCTGCGCAATCCGAGACTGGCCGAAGCTCATTCGCCAATGCTACCAGTATGAGAATGAGAATTTCATTGCGATATGTCTGCTTTGCCGATCACTTGCTGACAAATTGGGATGTGTAGATTTGTTAAGCCCGGTGGCTGGGTAGAATGGCATGAGAAACACCCCTATCTGCTCAGCGATGACGGGTCGCTGCCGAAAGATTCTGCTCTGTTTCGATGGGGCGCGAAATTCTTCGAGGCCAGTAAGTCAACAAGTTTCCGCTTAGTCCTCTCCATCTGGTGCGAAACACTCCAGGCACTTCACACTTACAAACGATATAGGCGTTCATTTCGGAAAAGACGCCCGATCACCTCAGAATCTCAAACGATGGATGGAGGAGGCCGGATTCGTCGACGTGGAAGAGCACATCCTCAAACTCCCCGTCGGGCCGTGGGCAAAAGACCAGAGACTTAAAGAGGTGGGCCTGTTCGAGAGCGTCAACATGACCGAGGGAATCCAAGGCTTAACCATCATGCTTTTCACCCGCTGTCTGCAATGGACTCCTGCCGAGGTCGAGTCATTCCTCTTGGACGTCCGAAAAGATGTCAAGAACAGGGCTATTCATAGCTATTACCATTTGTAAGTCCATATTCCCAAACGGCGCCTAGTTCGCGGTAGCAGAAATTGACCCTGATGGACAGTTATGTGGTCTTTGGGCGAAGACCGAAGTAATCAAGCCTTCAAGTGCTTACATCGACACTGCATCCCCAAATAGCAGGACTGAGCGAGCAGCAACGCGGTCAAAAGAAGAGGGATGGAAACGTGTAAGAGTAGAGAGAGGGAAGGAGAATCGAGCATATCGGTGTGTCCTACAAATACGAGCAATATGTACCGCAGTATCTCCAGATTTCAGTGCCGAGTTCAGTGCGCTCGAAACCTTTCCGCCGAGGAACTTGATTTCTCACGGGAAAAGAGCCATTGCAAGGCAAGACGGGGCTATTCACATAGCGACGACTCGAGGCTGGGCGTTTAGTGTTATCGCCAGTCGATCCAAGCACCTGGCGAGCTGGCAAGACAACCTTCAGATTTCCAGCATCTATTCGAGCGCGCGACCTTGGTGTGGCAAACCCACAACTGATCTTCCATCTTGCCCACCTCCTCGATTTCCTGCCTGATGGGCTTCAAAATCGGTGGCAGAATGCAGGAAAAGGGTCTGAAGGTCCGGCACTAGTCTGCAATTTGGAACTTACCGTCTGGCGCTGTTGTTTTTATCGGCCCTCTGCAAATCATATTCGTTATTAGTCCATGAAATTTATTTCAGACAAGCAGTTTTCTCACTTCAATCAGTGTTGTGATACCAAGATCATCAGCCGATGGGATCCTGCGACGGTAGGCGATCGCGGATGCGACTCAAGTATCATAGCGTACCAAGTGGCCTCAACATTCTGTGAGATTGCTAGCATTTCCGAGAGAACCTCTATGTTTTCGAGCTTCTGCTTTGTATGTCGAAACAAAATATTTTCACAATATCAATGACCCGTATAGAGAGTAAAAGGCCTCTGGGCATCTGAACAGCGGGCGGACCTGATATGGGATATAGCTGTTGGCTTATCGGGTGTTGAGGCGTGTCGCTTGCAATTATTTAGGTGTTTTCTCCAGATGTCATCGTTGCTAAGATTTCAATATCAGGGCAAGCTCGATCAAAACGGAGAAGGGGGCCTTCTTACACAGGGACCTCAAGATAAGCCCTAGTTATTCTATGTGGCTGCCATCGAAAGAGTCCGAAGCATCTCCCGGACCACGTCAACTAGCAAGTATCAGATTCACATCAGAATGTGAAAAGAACCCACCATATTCAAGGAGCCATAATCCAATTTACCTGCAGAAGGCTGGCAAACTATCTGCATGCGAAAGCAAATATTCTACCTTCAGATTTCCGGACAACTGGCATTGCTTTATTGTGAGTGAAATTCCCTGCTAAGCATTACCGGCCCTTGCCTTCAAAATGCTGATAACAAAGAGTGTTGTCGCGCGCCTTGTCAACTTGCATTGATTTGACTTTCCCATTTAAGATTGATTGAAAATGTTGACTAGCCCGATTAGGCTATTTCCTGAACCTCTTGGCACTACGCCATCCCCTAATGTTCATGCCTCTTCCAGCACAGATAGATCTTCTCTTCCTTCTCAATACCGATCAACTATGAACCCATAGATTGGTCCAACAGAAAACATGCACACTTGTTCGACATAATCCGCACTCGACGCACTCCATCCACCTTTTTGCTGCTTACCGAATAATTGCGGAGGATTGGCTTTTAGGTTGCCAGTCCAATCTAGGTCAAGGGTTAGCGCGCGATAACGTACACCGTCAGAGTCAAGGGAGTCTATACCAGCCTTTCCAACAAAGGCGAAGATCTTCTCCTTGTCCAGAGTGTCGAGAGCCGTAATGACTACCTCGACGCAGTCATCTTGTCGACGGTTTGCTTTGGCAATAGCAGTAAACTGGTTGGACTTTCCCTTCGCTATCCTGGAGATTTCAGTCCCCGCCTCTTTGGATATTCTTCGACTGAAGATAGCATTCACCTGGAATTGGATATCATATGGGGGTTTCACATGGCGAACAAGAATTCTGGAATTGCTGAGAATGCCGTTGCGATAATGAGCAGGCGACATCGACGATGTTGTAACCGTCGTGGAATCTTGGGACAGGTTAGACCGGGGTGATTCAGCTCTTGTCTCCTTTGCATCACCTTTTCCACCTCGAGTGGTTGAGATCGCGCCTATTCTGACAGACGTACTATCAAGCTGGCTTTGGAGCTTCTCTCAGTTTTCTTCAGAGAGCCTGAGCCCTGGCAAACGTTGTCGTCGTTGCTTCTTGGAGTGCCCGCCTGGGTAACAGTCTGATTGTTGGTCTCCCCGACTCTGTGAGGTGTCAATCTGCTCTACAGAGGCTGTAGTGAGTATGGACGGGGCTGATGAGTCTCTCCGTGGTTGCTTTTTCAGGTCCTTGTCTTCAATAATGTAATTCGTCTTCAGGGCTCTAGTCACTGGACGGTTGGTCAGCGTTGGGGAAGTGGAGAACGGTCTTGGATGACCTTGAACGGAGTAGGTTTAGCGTAGCTGGAATAGAAGAGCGTATTTGTCGCGGTGAGAGACTTTTGGCGGGGAAAGCCAAGTTTCTGTTCTTTGGTGTACTCTTTGAATGGCTACCTTAGAGCTGTTAATATCGGTGGTCTGTTTAAAAAATGGGGGGAGCACCTTTAGCACATTATCGCTGACTCTCACAGATTTGTCTACGAGCCATTTGTGGGTGGCGGATAGAGGACACAATGACGCAGCTCGTAGTGATAATGGCGCTGAGTCTGTAGTAGCATGAATGAGGATGTTTGAGATGTCAGGTACAAGGGAAGTTGGGTTCGCAATTGAGGGTGAAGCCGGCCATGGTGGGGGTTCTATCTATCTCGTGAAACAGATCCATTTTTTGGGACTCCAAAGGGTGGTCACCAAACTATTTAATGTTTCGGATGGGCTCTTATTCGGGGTTTGTCGTCTCTCGGTCGACAAATGTTTCGTGGAAACCAAAATTGGAAAGTCACCGCGAAGGTCCTCTCTCATCAACTCTAAGTCATTGTGTCATCTAAGAGACACTCGGCTCGTCATTGCGGCTGTCGCAAGGATAACAATGAGTTTAGTTCCGGTCACTGTATGGTTCAGTATGTGAGCAACTTCATGCCACGCTCAGGAACAGTTATGTGCATCATAACCGCCAAGGCGCTAGACTAAAACCAAGCATCACAGTGGGAAATAAGCTTCCGGAAATGCCTGGAGTTAAGGTGAGAGGGCCGACAAGGCTGTGAAAAAGGGGGATCGCTGCAGGCAACTACGAGCATGGAGTTCCTCCACTCATTTGCTCCATCCAATTCGTAGGCATCACCGTCATATCATTTCCAATTGCCACTTCAAACGCGATATTCTAATCATCATGTACCACGCCCTAGTCGCCGATCATTTCAGGCTTCATCTGCTGCTCGAACCTGCACTAATTGTCCAGCCCAGCGTAGATGGTGGGGACTCGCACCGTCCTAACGGAATCTAGGAAGGATGGAGCCACAGATAGAAGGACGCTGCAAAGGACAAGCAATCTTTCAACACGACCCTACCCGGGTATCAGGCACAACTTGGTTACCGTCAGCCCCGGCCAGGACACCAATGAAGTCCCGACAAGGACTGACAGCCGTTCATCAGTTGGCACTCTGGACTGCTAGATTTCGTCCTCAGGCACATCTTCAGCACCCGCCATTTTCGCTGGAGCCCAGATCCTCGATCCCCTCCTGCCGTTCTTGAGGATACTCAAATTCTCAGTATCCGAGTCCAAACTCTACATAGGAGAAGCGATTCTCCGCAAGCTTGAGGGATCCCAGTCCGATATTCCGTTTGGCCTAAGCCTTCTCATGCTCATGGCTATGGTCAGCGCTGGGATGTCGGGAAGGCTGAGCAAGATCACCAGATATCCCTCGAAAAGCTACTCTATCTCACACAGTCCGAATTCTCTGGAAACTTGTCCGCCTTTGACGTTGGTCGGTTTCGAGACTACGCCTGGATCCATGATCTGAGCGCATCCGAACTTGGGCCCTGTATCCAGAAATCCAGGGCTAGGTCATTGAAGAGGTTGACTCATACTACATGAGCACTGCAGACTACCACGAGACGTTCCCTAGCTTGTGCATTGTGTAGCTCTCATGTAAGAGACGCTGCGCTTCGCGGGACTTGCATCTCAGCTGACCCGTGCGCTCACGGTGTCCACGTCGCTCCCAGCCTCTGCCTGAGCGCAAGGCTCGTGAAGCGCCGACAGCAAATAGGGCCTTCTCCGCCGCGATCTCTATGCTAGTCTAATGTGTCTTGTCATCGGCCTGGCTTCGACCCAAGCTTGTCGATGGATTCGCGCCACCGATATTCTTTCCGCGACTTCGTCGAACCATTCAATCAACATCAAATTCACGAGACCACTTCCTTTCCCCTTCCACGGAAATTGCCCCTCATCAAAGGGACGCAATCTGGTATCTGTCGTCTGGAACCCGGACCTTCTGTCTCTCGACTCGCCGAAGCTTGAAATCAGAATGAACTGAAGATTGCCGTTCCGCTTCTGCCGGCGCCTCCTTTTTGCCGTTTGCTTGAAAATAAGGCCACAGTATCGGTTCTTGGAGTCAAATAACTTGGACACAGTCTGTTTGGTAGTAATATTAGCGTGCTCATTGTCGGTGAGCGATGGCCCTGTGATTTGTCCTACTGAAAACCAGCTGGCGTCCACCGCTTCGGTCCAGAACTGGAGAACGTTAGGACCAAAATCAGGCCCCGAGACGCCATGAAGGAAGCAATCAGAATATGGAACGTATTTTGGGAATCTCTCTTCTTGAGGCATTGTTGACGATCCAAGATTCCGCGGTTCAGTAGTTTCTGTTTCCTCGGCACTTTTATGAATGTGCAGAATGGTGCCTTGGTGATGAAGGGAGAATTCTCGTATTTCAGTCCTGGCATATTCGTGGTGCAGTGATCGATACGTCCTTTTGCCGTCCTCCATAATGACGTACTGCTTGGCTCCAGTCCAGCCAGCCCAAGACCAGCTTGGGAACATACTGCCTCCGGCACCCACCGCCGTCCGCCTATCAGCAGGCTCCGTTGGAGCCCACAGGAAACTGAGGTCAAGATACCTTGTAGGGCAGCCAGCAATCAGTTGACCCCCAACTCGATCTTGAATCACTGCCAGAATACCTGCCAACGCGTTTAGGATGTCAGCCGAATATGACAGCTCTTTCTTCGTATACATCTCTATTACATCTTTGTAGACGTCAAAATCTTGCTTTGCTACGATTCCCATGTCTTCAAATCTGCTCAGATTCTCCTGGGGTCGAAATTCGATAGGATTTTGGGGAGGCGGAAACCTGAAATGGAGAAGAGGATTTGTCTCTCGTGATCTTATCAGCTCAGTTGCGTTTCCTGACTCGGGACTAGTCGTGATGTCGGACCAAGTAACAATATTTCCTCCAGTCTCACATTGGGTATGCTTCCAGCACTGAAAATAGACATAGTCGGAGCTGAAATAGATACCACGCCTGGAAAGCAGCCTTTCTTGGAATGTCCAACCCCTATTATGCCAAACCGAGGACTCTAGAGCGTATTTCAAAGGAGGTGGGTGTGAGACCACAGCAAGGATACCTTGCGAAGGCGGCTTGTCTGGGGCTGCTTTGTGCTCTGAAGTATTATCAGGTCCTCCTGAGTCTTCGGATTGTTCGGGAATACGATAATCCAATGCGCAGAACCAATTTTCCATTTCAGTGGATATGGTTCGACAGACAGTGAGCAACTCATGCTTTTGCTTGTCGCTCCTTGAAAATCCATCATACTCCCGAATCCAAGCTGGATCTGGCTGGAACGGTTCCTTGCTTGAATGTCTTGTTTCGATGTTCTGAGGTTTCCGAGACGCTGGTCGCACACCAGGTAATCCCGCATTTGCATCCTTGCCGTTCAGACAGACTATTGTTGCGAGCGCGTTACTGTAGACTTTGTCCATGCGTTGAATGTTGGAATGCTTTGTTTTGATGTCGTCTTGAACAATACACAATGCATCCACCCAGAGATACTTTTCTTGCATCTTCATTGTCAACATAATTGCGTCCTCGATGGTTTGAGGTAACGCAGGAGGCAGGCCAGAAGGCTTCAATCGAGATTCCAGATTGCTTCTCATTGTCTCTGCAGTGTCAGCCTGGCCCCAGACGTAGCTGAGAGCTAAATACCGCGAGGCCGCTGTAGACCAAACCAAACATCGTAGGTTGACATCGATCAGGAGGATTGGATACTCTATTTCGGCACTGCTGCTGCTCAATGTAAGTGAACCACATGTATCGCCATGCTCTCGCTCGCATACATCGATCCAAATTTTGATTTGGTCAATTGAGATTGTTTGATCAGTCTGGTCGCGGAATGGGCTGTCCTGACGCCCTAGAACTTCTCTTGCGGATGTTCCCGAGAATTGAAACACTTGTCGAATGGTTTCCCGGAAGTTTTCCTGGGTGACAATTCGCAAGATACCGATTCTTCTCAATGAGTATTCAATAGCCATGCAAGTCTCGCCAGAAGGTAAGACAATTGGAATAACTTGTGCCCCTTGAAGTTCCGGGTCAACCTTGGCCAGAAAGGGATGAAGTCGTAGTGGGACCGAACCGTCCGATAGAGAGAACACAATAAGACGGCATATCATGCATTTGGATCTGCATAATAATTGTGCCCAAGTCCCAAATGATCGGTACGATATCGAGATGTCGTCGGTGAAGTGGCCGTTCCTTACAATTTTCATCTTTCGGCACATGCGACATAACGTCGGATCAGCCCGTTCCTTATTTTGCCTCATGGCCTGGACATGGACTTGCTCCCACCAGGATTCTCTTTCTCGAAAACGACTCCATGGTATTGGTCCTGCATACTTTTCATCTGAGGAAAGGAGGTTCTCGGCGACTTCAAGCGGAAGCTTTCCTGATGCACCATCCAAAGGCAGTTGTCTAACCCCACGACGACTTGAATGATCACCTTCCCGTGGATGTTTTAGTGACCTATTAGCCGAATTGACTGTGCAGGCCACCTGGTTCAACGTTTCGTTTGATTCTTCGGGTATGTAACTATATATTGTGTCTGTTGAATAGAAGCCGCAGTTGCCTTGCGGTATCCGCAAGAACCTCCGAAGGTCTTCCAAGTTGAATTTAAGTGTCATGACAGCTTGATGGCCAGATTGACACTGAGTATTTGCTGCTAGGGTGAAGTTCGAGCACGACTTTGACTTGTTTTGAGAGAGTCGGGGCACATCTTCTGTTTGTCAGGCTGAGACGACTCAGCCCCAACTTGGCAAACGTCTTGGAGCCCCTGAGGGAGGGTTTGAGCTACATCGACCCCTACGCGGGTAATTTGACCAATCCCTTCGACAACAGTAACTAACGCAGGACGACTGAAACTTTGCCCAGAAGTTGCACTGAACAAGTAACGATATCCTGATAAACCACGTTGGTCTCCTGAAACTTGAACAGCGCCGGGAAGCGACGCAGTTCTCGGCAAGACGCTCTGGTGAGTTCTCAGTTGCTAGCAGGGTTCAAGTTCATGTGTCGGTTACCCAGCCTCGTATTCCAATTTTATCAAATGCGTCTTCTATTCGTAGGAGTTTCCCTGTCAAGGGGCGGCGTGTCACGTTTTCAATCCCATAGAATGGTGGCCTGAACCCCTTTATAAGGAGGATTATTTATCAGCCTTGTCTTCCTCAGGGTAGTTTCCTTCCCTTGACTGCTCTATTCTACCAGCTTCGTACTCAGCCAGGAATGCCTTTCAGAGCAAGCAAGATGCCAAGCATCGATGATTTTGTCTATGGAGGTCTTGAAAGGGGAGGGTCATCAGATTCCCCGGATGAGGTTGGGTCTACAACCAAGGAGCCGGACATCGTCGTCGACGAAGTCTCGGCAGACGGAGAATACGAATCCGATTCTGCCGAGGACATCTTCGAAGTTGGAATGAAATGTGAATCAAAGCGACTATATCCGCGGCACGACGGTTCTCTCTATGTCGAATGGGTTGACGAAATTCCGACGAGAATCATGGATCAGGCCTGCGGCTACGGCAATGCATGGAAAGAATATGCCCTCCTCCTTCGCACCAACCTCGAGCAGGGAGAGCAACGAATACAATCAATTCTCATTCAGAGTCCCCTGCTGAAGTCGAAACTCAATTCGATCTTCCAGGATTATCCTGGCTTTTTCATGGACGAGAATAAGGCATCCATCGATGCTCCATTCAAACCATTCGTCCACTGCTGGGATGCTTTCGAAGGCGCTTGTCAAGACCAATCCGAAACCGGCAAACACATGCAACTTCTGAGATCTGCACTGAAGCCTGAACTTCAGGAAGCGTTTTCGGTGATAAGAGACTTCCAGACTCACGGCATGATTCGATTCGACCGACTTTGGATGATCTTCAAGCCCGGCTCCTTTATCTTTTCAGAACACAAAGGCATCGAACGAATATACAAGCTCAGCCGGACCGAGCTTCGCAAGGCGCCAGAAACCTCCAGCATGTACTTCCTGCTCCATTGCTATTCTATCGACTGGGACGGAAAAGTGTTCGGTCACACTCTCGAAGTCGAGGGAATCAAGGACTTCGAGGGAAGCAGAAGGTGTACTGACCTGGGGGTATTTCCATTGGATGCCCACCCAGCAAAACGTTCTGTCGTTGAACGGTTAGTCGACAGAGGTAGAAAATTCTCCTCTTACACTGGTGTCCACTATCGCGCGTATAATGGTCCGGCCACGAGCTGTGTCCTGGGTGGAGCATTCGCAGAAGAACAGGTACATCATTCCCACGGCCTTACACAGGCGCGGAAACTAACTTTTCCATCAGGTTTCTGGACGTGTAGTGGTAGACACGGGTATGTTACCTGCTTCGAGACTGATATAGTGATTGAACCAGAAGTCAGAAACCTTCATGCACTTCTATCCTTACAGCCGCGACCTTATTCAACGTCTCGGAACGAACGAAACCAAGGGGAAAGATTCGAACGAAGATTCTGATCAGATCGACTCTTCTTACACAAACCGAAACATGTATATCAACATTCCGCATCTGAGAGATCAAGCTATTCTGAGTGCCAACAATAAGAGCTCAGAAATGGAGCAGACCAAGTTGACAGATGATCAATTGATGATTTGTTGTCCAACTGTGAGAGGATATTCTCTCGACTTGAATGGGTGGAGTGGGTTCTTCGCCCTTTTCTGCATAAAAAGTGGTCGCTGATTATTATTCCAGTGCATTTTAGGATTGACTCTCTCCGGGAAATTCAGTGGAATGGAAATGCATTTGAGAGTTTGGCGCTGCCCGGAAACTACAAGAGGCTTCTGTTGGCATTTGCTGAGACTCAACGGGATTCAGCTGCCCAGTTCGACGATGTCATTGAAGGCAAAGGTAAAGTCCCAGAGTGCGATTCATTCATTAGAAGATATACTCAAGTCAATATAGGCAAAGGAATGGTCGTGTTGCTAGAGGGGCCTCCTGGTCTTGGAAAGACCCTGACCGTTGAATCCCGTATGTTGCACGCATTCAAAGAAACATGTGATACTGACCAGGCTTCCTCAGTGGCTGAAAAGATGAAAGTCCCGATCTTCAAAATTGCGTCTGGCCAGATGAAGTCAGACCCGGGAACCATCAAGGCGGTCCTTCAAGATGCCTTCTTGATGACTAAAGCCTGGAAAGGGATCATCCTTTTGGATGAAGCTGACATATTCCTTGAAAGGCGGTCAGTAAATGATTTGGACAGGAATCAACTGGTTTCTGGTATTGCCATGGCTATACCTAAAAAGATGTTGAATTTCGCTGACCAGTATTGCATGCAGTCTTTCTTCAACACCTTGAATACTTTGAAGGGACAATCTTCCTTACCACAAATCGAGTTGAGTGCATCGATCCAGCGTTTGAGTCTCGAATCCACCTGTCACTTTCATACCCCGAATTGACCCAGGAACTCCGCCACAAGATTTGGAAAAACTTTGTTCAAACGATGAAAGTCGATACAACCCAAATTACCGACGCGCACTTGGACAAGTTTGCTGCCCTTGACCTCAACGGCCGTCAAATCAAGAATACAGTGAAGATGGCCGGACTGCTTGCCGCGCAGGCAGAAGATCATTGTTTGACCGCCGAGCATGTGGAGACGATGTTGACCATCGTCCAGTCGAAGTGAGTATATTATGTTCTGAGGTGGCTCAATTATCATGTATTGTAACCCTTTGGTATAGGTCTGGCTTTACGGACCCCCCTAGCCTTACGAGTTCCCAGGGGCTCAGGATAGGGCCCAGAGCTCGTCGAATCAAGCGGGGGGGTGCGACAGAAATGGATTATGCGAGATGGCAGGCGAAAGGACTATACCTTGTTTGAATGGCACCCTCATAACTTTAGCACCCTGTGATCAGGCTTTTTGGATTTTAGCTCGACTTCAAGACTCTGTAAGACGAAAGATCCGAACATTGATTGACCGGTTCGGGTTCAGGGCGTGAGGGTCAAGTATTGACGCAGCCACAGTGGCTCGCACATCGTGTTGTGGCTTGCCAAGAATGTGGCTCTTCGCTTGGATATTGGTCACGTGATATTCATCCTCTTGGAAATTTTGCCCTCATCCTTTCTTCTTTCTTCAAGCTCTCTCCTCTACTCGGTACAACCCCGTGTAATTGCACTCCAAGAGACGTGGAATGATTCTTCTTCTAGCCTCTGTGCGTCACTGTTTATTTTGACAATCCAGTTATAACACCCATGGCCAGTCTTACGTGACCGTCGACGTGGATTTGCCCTTGTTAAACATCCCCTCCAGCTCTCCCAAAGGCGTTCTTTTGCTTCTTTAAATCTACTTGCACGTAGTGAGGAAACAGCCTGCTTTTTCAATACTCCAAGTACAGCTCGACAACCATGACTTCTTCGCCAGTCGTACCTGGCCAGATTCTGGCCAGCACATCTTCATACATTCCCGGTCCAGGCACTCACGTGTATGAGAACAATATCCTCGCTTCGATCCTTGGGCAGTCACTCATCTCACCAGCGCCAAATAAATCGAGCAAGCCAACCATCTCGGTGCCCCGTCGAGCCACAGCTATAGCTTCAATCAGCTCCCTACCCAGAGTTGGCTCCGCCGTTCTCTGCCGCGTCACGAGGGTCCGACAAAGAGAACTTTCGGCCTCAATCCTGTCCATCATCGACCCATCCTCGTCAGTGTCAATATCCGCCAACGAAATCATCTCTTACTCCCAGGTAACAGACGACGAGCTCCAATTCCAATGCATCCTCCGGCGCGAAGACATCCGCACGCACGAAAAGGACAAGATCGTCATCAACGAAATGTACCGCGTCGGCGACATCATCCGTGCCACAGTGATCAGCCTAGGGGATGAGAGGAACTACTACATTAGCACGGCCGGGAACGAGTTTGGCGTCGTGGTAGCGACAAGTGAGGCCGGCAATGCAATGGTCCCCGCGAGTTGGAAGGAGATGAAGGATGCTGTGACTGGGAAGGGCGAGAGTCGAAAAGTCGCCAAACCTTCATGAAATCAATTCAAGCGCTAGGGATGTTACTCGTAACGACCTAGGCCATTTTCGCTACATTACCCAAATGCCTGCATAGGCGGTCACTCAGCAAACACTGCCAGCGTCGAGACCTACTCAAAGCACAATTCCCGGACCTGAGACAAGACACCACTGCATCAAAGCACCCTGCCAGCTTCCTCTGGAAACAGAAGAGGATGGGATTTCGACATCTGCCCTGCCAGAAGGTGCAAGTGCAGACGAAGGCAAGACCCAGCGTGTCTAAAACAAAAGCTCAAAGAGCATGTTTGAGACCTGTCTCGCTCTACTGCTCATACCCAGGCACCAGCAAGACTCTGGAAGCCGCGTGAGCCATCCACGATGATGAAGCTCAATATCCCTCGCCTCAAATTGGAGACTATGATCTCAGAAATGCCATCACTCTGCCTGTCACTGCCTCCATCTTGCCCAGCGCAGACCAGATTGCGTAGGAGCCAAGGACACATGGAATGAGATGGAAGTGCGAGGACATTGGCCACTCTGTGTCCTGCGATCTCGACCTTGACCTCGACCGAAACTCGAACTCGGATTTGAACTTCAAGTCGAATGGGCCCATGCCTGCGATCACGTTTCTCTTTCCATGTCGCCCCATCGGGCGCTTCGCAGATGTAAATATGTATGTGTGGGGTGACAAGTGAGCGAGCAAAGCTCACCGCCGGGACAAGATACATGAAGCTCTCCCTTCTCTTCGAAGACCTTGTCATCGACCATCTCCTTTCTGTCTTCCCCTCTCGCGCGCGCGCCCTCGCTCGGTCCGGCGCTCGGGATACCATCAATCATCCCCTGTCTCTCTCCCTTTCATCTCCGACCACATCAACATGCGCGCACCCGGAATCCCATCAACACTCACAGCCACACTTCTCACCCACTCCCCTTCCTTCTGCCTTCTTTCTCTCTCACATAACCCAGACCTACTTTTTACCCAGGTATCTCAACGAGCCTTACGCTTATCCCGTCATGTCTTAAATTTCCCCTCCCCACCTGCCCCAAAGAAATCAACCCTCTCCAGTATCCATGGTCACGACTCCCAACCTCAATGTCAGACTGTGTTCGTCACGGGAGGAATATCAAGTAACCCACCAGTCCAACCCAACCCGACTCTCCTCTGCTCTTCAGAGCAGAGACGGGATGGGCGAGGACGGGAAACTCCTCCTATCATCCAGGTCTGCCATCCTTGATGCCTGATGGGTTTTTATGGATGCTTCGGAAAGAATATCAAGGGAGGAGACATCGATGAATCAATAAAAATGACTTTTGTGTAAACATGCCTATTACAGTCCAGGTTCCCAAACGGAATAGAAAAATGTGCTTGCAAATTGCAAAGGCATATAATTAATGCATTGAGGCTGGAATGAAATGGTGCAACCTGCCCTCGCTTTCGTCTGTACCTGCTCCCGCGAGGACAGACAACCAAGGTCATACAGAATCTCCTACAAAAAGATAAGTAAAAGGTATTGGTGTTGCAATACCTACAGTGTTCCCATTCCCATTGGAGCCCCCAATTCCCTCTCTGCCTCGAGCAGTCACAATCAAATCCTTAACGCCTCGCTATGCTCGCCGCACACTGTGATACACAGCTTCCCCTGCCCATTCGCAGTGGCGGCCCTTTTTCGTTGCAATTCCGTGTAAAGGGGGTATATGATAATGTCAAGAGGCTCCAAACAAAGAACAACCCTCCACGTGCTCGCTTTCAACCTTCCACCAAGGTCTGCTTGGGCCCCTTACCAAGCAATTCCAAGGATCTTTGAGCAAGCGCAATCACCTCGCCCTCCCCCTCTTCACCTTCCTCGTCATCGGATTCAACATGCTTGTCGGCAATTGTCTTAACCATCTGAATGATGTCTTCGGATTTGGCGACCAGGCTGACGAGTTTCTTATCCTCCGATTCCAATAGCTGCAGCAATGTCCAGATTGCAATATGTTGAAAGGTCGGATCACCGCTGCACAAGAAACGCTTGAGATACCCGTGAATGCCACCATTTGGCTCCATCCAATCACGAACAAAAATCGAATAATCGCCGACCTTGGAAGACAAATTGCCCAGTGCAGCGGCACTATTGCCCTGAACCTCAATGCTTTCCGAGTCAGTAAGAGGAATCAGCACATCGAAAATTCCCATGTTGAGCAGATGGGTCTTGAGCTCGTCACTCAGCGCCAACACGGCGATACAAGCCGTCATCTCAGACTGTACACTCAGTGGCACATGCAGCAGAAGCTCCTTGCATTTCTCCACCGCTCCAGCCTCCAAGACGAGTTGCTTGTTTCGGTCCGAACTTGCAGCAAGGTTCCGCAGAGTCGAGATTGCATGGCATTGGATCTCCTCGTTCTCCATTGAGCCGAGAAGATCGACCAGCGGTTTGAGAAAGCCGGCTTCTATGATGGGCGCTTCGTTCAGGGGGTGAATCGAAATATTGCGGATGCAGGCGACAGCAGAGAGAATAAGTGGGAGGTACGAAGATTGAAGGAGACGGAGAAGTGGTTGCAAGCCTCTAGCCCGAACAATCTCCAGTTGGTACTTTTCATCTGATGCTAAATTTCGGAGAGCCAATGCGGCCTGGCACTGAACCTTGGGGGTTCCCGAATCCATCAATTGGACCAGGGATTGGACAAGCCGTGGTTCGGTCTGGGCGAGTTTCTTTCTGTTGGAGGGGTCGACCGCAATGTTGCTCAAAGCTGTGGTGCAGTAATATTCCACATCCATATCAGGCGACTGAAGCAATTGAACGAGCACTGGAATGGCTCCGGCATTGACGAGTTGTTGTCTGTTATCATCTGGGTACAGTTAGAGCGCCAACTTCTAGGTGAAACGACTTCTTTTCATTCTTACCGGAATGCGTCATGTTGAGCAACGCGCCGGTTGCATTCCTCTGAACTCGCATATCTTTGGACTTTGCCAGCCTTGTCAACGGACCTAATGCTCCTGACCTAGCGATTTTGGCCTTGTTGTCTTCATGGGTAGCAAGATTGGTAATGCAGCCGACAGCATTGCATTGAACCTCGACATTGGGAGACATCATCTGTCGAATGAGGGGAGGCAATCCGCCGAGTTGGACAATCGCGACCTTGTTCTCCGCTATGACATGTCAATGAGGACTGATCAATGGGAACTATGGCAGTACGTACGATTCACGGCCAGATTGCCCAAGGCTGCACTGGCAGCTCGTTGTACTTCAATGTCGGGATTTTGCAGAAGAAATAGGATAGGTTCTAGGGTGTCTCGGTCGACTTCCCTCACGTCTGCATCCACAATTAGTTTGGAGTTGAAATGCGTGTCTCTTGTCCATATACCTCGCTCCGTGATCTCGGCAAATGTTAGGCTGGCGCTTCGTTGTAGGTCAACATTGTCTGAATAGACGAGAGTGCTCAAAGCCCGTAACGGTTCTCCGGAAAAGAAATCTGTTTCTCCTCGCTGTGGTCTGTCAGGGTTCAACTCTTTACAGTAAAGGGGGACTTTGCACGCACATTCTCGAGGTATTGTAGGAGATCTGCAACGGCTTCTCGTTCGCTGTCTGCGAGAGCGGGCTCATAGAGGTTATCTTTGTTCCGACCTGCAAAGGCCGAGGTCAGCAATCAGGTATGTTCGAGCAATGTAGCTAAGACGGACCTTGGCAGCTTTTGCAGCAGGCCGAGAGTACGTTGCCCATCTCGAGGCGTTGGGCCCCGGAGGGGACGCAGTGGTCGAGAGTGGTTCTGTTGATCAAAGGAACTGCGCGGAGGAGGGAATGTGTGCTGATGTCGCAGGTGGTAATGGAGAGGTTGACGGTGAAAGACTCATCTGATGGTCATGCTGATGCCGATTGTGATGCAATCTTCGAACGATGCTGGCGAGGCTCCCGATACTGGTTTATTGAGATGAGAAAGCTTGAGGGGCTCGTGTCGGATTCGCTGACTCTGGTAATCCTGCAGCGACAGGCACGGCTGCGTGGCTGCGTGACCTGCAGTTGCAGTTGCAGTTGAAGTTGTCGTTGTAGAGCGGCAGAGCGTACGCGTGCAGGCAAGAACAATGAGATTGCCGGGGAGGAGGAAGTGTGTGGCGTGTGACCCGGTCTCAAGGAGCGAGCAGTAGACTTCGCAGGCGGAATGGCAATTGCAGTGGTGTGAAGGTGGTCAACATGGAGTTTTGGCCGAAGTTGCACGAGTTGAGGAAGCTGCAGAAGCACCGTGCGGGTGGTTGACGCAGGCTGGATGATTATTGGTGCTGGCGGCTCCCTGGAGGGTTAGGCGATGCTAGGCCCAGTTGGCCAGGCTGATGGGCTAATGGGTCGGCTTTGCAGGCTCCCAGAGGCTCCCTAAGCCCAACGGCGGATGTTGTTAGGCTGGTCCCGTCCATGTGGATGCCCCCCCCCCCCCGAACCCAGAACTGGAGGAGAACCAACCGCTTATTGCCTCGTACAGCTCCCTCTGGTCTCGCCCTACAAGCACATTCTCGTGATAAACTTCAATTTCCCACTCACAGGACTACATTTATTAAACAGCACCTATCGTCGCTGAACCTCTTCGAATTGACCTGGGCTGCCCGTGCTCTGTCACGCCTTGCACATCCATGGTCCCTCAAGCAAAAACACCGAAAACATTTCCAGATGCCCGCGAATATTGAACATCTCACCGCCGGTAAGCCCTTTCACATACTTTCGACGTCATCGATCAGACAAAGAGCCAAAAAGATTCTGAAGATTGGAATAGAGCAGAAGACTATCAAAGAAGAGAGACAGCATTAGACATTAATTTGGTGTATTCTATGCCTTTCTTTTCGCCGTCCAGGCTATCTCTCTGGCCCAGGTTATGCTATATGCAATGCCATTTTCTTCCCCCTTCCTGTTCGCACAATGCAACGGCAATACCCATCCGGCCAAAAATGCTATCCCCATAACTCCAATCATGGCTTCCGCTATGCCGATTATTGTAATCGCAATATTAAGGAGATTCGTCCCTGGTCTGGCGTCTATGCTTTCGGCATCTCGACTCTGACCTCAGCCTGACTATGTTTGCGGCCGAAGAGCGCGCCTTGCTTGATGACGGGCGAGTAGATGCCCGCCGGCGTCAACGTCTCGGTGGTAGGTCGAAGCTGATCAAGGGCGTTTTTGATGGAGGACTTGATCTTCTGCGACGTCTTGGAGGACTCGCTGGAAGTGGATTCTTTGGAGACCCGACGGGATGACACAGCCGAGCTGTTCTTCTCTGCTTGAGTGAGGTTGTAGTATCCCGCGTAGAGCATGTTGCTGGACGTATGGAGGATGGTTTGGATTGTTTGGCGGTTGATGTAGGTGGTTCACTGGTAAGATAATGTAGTCTTTTGCTCGGTTGTTGAATAGACGGGAGTGGCAAGGAGGGGAATACTTCTTATTCTTTGATACTGCTTGATGCGGAACGAATAACTCACACCTGAAGCAGTCGCGACACGGGTTTATATAGATCCATCAAGTCCCATAAAACCTCCTGCCGGCAATATAAAATTTCTCATCTGCTCACCCCTTGTCCGTCGGTGATAAGGACGCCCTGTGGGATTTCATCATTTGCCCACCGCGGTTCCAAAAAAAAGACCCAACAATTGTCTGAGAAATGAAAACAGTCATAACGCACTCACCAATCACGATGGAAGTGAGACTGCGCCTTTACGAAACATGCTGCCCCAGGGCGTGTGCAATTGTCGTTAGCGGATATCCATGTGTCAAGTACATGAAAGGCGCGTGTGAACCTGCTCTTAGCGGATTTCGGTTTGTCATAACGCCACATGGCTGCCCCAGCCAGTTACAGACCTGAAATCTTCTCTGCAGTTGTCTATAAAAATTTTGCTTAACTAAGAACTTAGAGGTAAAGCGTCTGTGGGCCAGTCGGAGGGCGTGGAGAGGGCGGTTGGTATCGACGTGTTCAAGTGGTTCGAGGCTGATGTGAGGTGGCATTTGCGTCCTTCGCCTTGTCCCGTCCCATTACGAAAGAGTATACGACCATGGGGCGCCGAGCTTGCGGTATGCTGCCACGGCAATGAGCACATACTTCCAAACCGGTCCCTATGTCGACTGCCTTCTCAGGGGATCATTCACCTCTTCACGCGGTGGAAGAAGACTTCTAGAATCTGGGGGCTTCTCAGCAATGGATCGAAGCTGACCTCAATCAACTTCAAGACGCCCTGCTGCTATGTGTTTCATAAGAACTATGTTACAACAATGTCTCCCTTACCCGACCTGACCACTGCCAGGAGGAATGCTGATGATAAAACAATTTCCAGAAGGAGGACATTCGCCGTTGAAATGGACACGAACTGCATTAAGCCTCGTTGATCCATCTGGGGTGCCCCAGGTTTCAGATCCAAGATTTCCGGGGCTCGCGCTGCATCTCACCACCAGTTGGCTACGACTCTGGCCAACGGTGATTGATGGGCTGCGGAGAGTCGACATTTTGATGGAGTGTCACTTTTGCTTTTCCTCATCTGACCGAGGTCGAAATGCGCGAGGCCCGAAGAATAAGTGGCTCCTTACCATGGCCATGCGAATGCGAAACGACAAGAGCTGGCCGAAAGTCCATAATTTGTTCAAAGGCGTTGAAGCATCAAGATACCCACCCACGACCAGCCATGAGGTGATGAAGAGGTTGCACACAACATAAATCACAGGGCGACGAGGTTCAATACCTTCTGCGTTGTCTGGGATCATCGTACCCGTCATTCTCGTGGTATCGTTTTCTCGAGCCATGGTCGTCTTCACGTCTACTGCTTCCATATCGGTCACGGTCTCGGTCTCGATCGCGATCCCGGTCTCGGTCACGGTCTCGGTTATCGTATCCACGGTCTCGTCCTCCAAGAGGGTCGGTATTGCTGCCAGTGGCGCCGCGTTGGTCTCTTCCTCCGCCATATCCGTTTCGCCGGTCGTCATAACCTCCGCCGTGGCCGCCTCTGCCGCCGGGTCCGCTGGGTGCGTTGGGGGGGGGCGGTCCGTTCTGGTAGCCTTGTCGTCCACCGAAGCCTCCTCCTCCTTGGTAGCCAATGCCGCCTCGCCCACCGTAGCCTCCTCGGTCGCCGCGGAAACCGCCGCGGAAGCCTCCACGACCACCAAAGCCACCTCTAAATCCACCACCATAGCCACCTGAGCCACCTAAGCCACCGGGGGGACCGAATGTAGGCTTTGCAGGAGCTTGTTTGGTATATCCTCGTCCACCAAGGCCTCCGCCAAATCTTCTCGGCCTCCAGCCAGGGACCATGCGACCACGTTCGACATCGACAATGACTCTTCGGTCCTTTATTCGTAGGCCGTCTGTCTCTTTGTACGCAGCTGTAAAAGAGTAAGGAATTTCGAGGTCAGTTCCTTGAAATCTTACCATTTGATCTTTGGTATGGAAAGAAGGGTCAGGGCAAAGGGGTTTGCGTAGAAGAAAGTACCTCTCATATCCTTTTCTCTTTCGTAGACAATGAAGGCATAACCTTTATGTGGCTTTTTGGGTTTGGGGGTTGTCTCATCCTTGACAATCCTGATTCTCTCGATGGGACCAAACCTGCCGAACTCACGCTCCAGATCTCCCTCTTTCGCATCATAACTTAGACGGCCCACGAACAGAGTCTTGACGGCATCGCCCTTGATCTTGGGGTCCTCGTTGGGTTTGTAGCCCTGGAAGTCAGGCCTCTCAATCTCTTGCTGGCGCAATTTCTTTTCGAGTCTTTTCCGATCGCGCTGTTGCAGCCAGGATTCGGTGGGCTCGTACACATCAATCGCCATGTACTCCCGAAGCTGCGGAAGAAACGCGGCGACGCCAGACAGCTGTGATTGCTTGAGAGCTCTTTCGTCCGGAGCGGTGTCTTGAGGGGGAATGTAGCGGAGCGGCGGTCGGGGTTGGAATAGAGCAAGGAGATTGGGAGGGAGTTTGTCCGTCATCTTGATGCTACGCCGCAAGAAGCTTGTCGCGAGAGAAACGCGATCGTCATCAATGCGCAAAGGGAAGTAAGAGAGAAGAAAGCAAATGCGCGGTATTAAGTAAAATTACAGGGAGAGTTGAAGGCAACGATGGAGATGCAGTCCAAGAGTTGAAGGAAGCTGGATTCATGGCGCGTTGGATGCGGAAAATGAAATTGTTGTTCCTGAACTGCCTAGGGGAAGCTGCTAGACCCAAGAACGGTTTAGTGTCATATCGATGATCAAGCAGCCCACGTCGACAGCACTGAGTGGAGTACTCACTCCAATCCTCATTATGATACGGAGTATCTCGCATCAAACAGGATACTGTTAAGGTCTAGGGCCTCCTTATTGCCAGAATGTCTTGATATCAATGCAGGACCTTACATGGATGACCCAGCGGTCCAACAACTCCCTGCGATGCCCCTAACTGTGTCCCCTGATATCGACGACGCCCTGTCGCCCATCTACCCACCGCCTGCGAGTCTGAAATAGTCATGAGGTAGGTCTAAGACGCATGCAGACATCTCTGCTATCGATCGATTGATTCCCACCGTTGGTCCATCCGGCAGCAACGATTTCACGGCTGTGCCGTGGTTTGACATCGACGGCGAGTGGACCAGTGCAACCGCCATAACCACGTGAGATGATTTTTCTTGGTGCGCCACAGACACCAGCCTCCCATCGTGTTCGCTATTTCTCCAACCAAACTAGAAGGAAACAACGTATTCGTATTTTGGGCCTGACCCATCGCGGAACCGTCGCTTCTTCTCGTCGATCATCCGTGATAAACTCTACCGCAACAAGCATAAAAACAGCCTTGTGGACTGCCTCGCGGATCTCGGCAGACATCGTATTGGGATGTTTCCTGACCTCGTCCAAGAAATTTCTGTATCAGAGATGGGCCGCTACTATTTTCAACAGAATCTTCCGGATCGAGATTAACTCGACGACTTTGACCTAACCTGATATGCTTGACAAAAGATCATTGGCCTGCATTTCAGAGTATGTGGATGCTTCTCAGGCAGCTTCTTTGCGTGTGGAGGAGGGATAGAGCTCGACGAAATTTATATTGAGGTCATTTCCTTGCCCTGGTGCCAGTACAGTATTCATCATCTCATATGGTTCCGCACATCTCAAATATCAAACAATCTGGTACGATGATGAGCAAACTATCCTTCGCCATCCTCTGCTACTTCCTCTCCCTTGCTCGCGCGACGCCTGCAGCCCCTCAGCAATACTGCAAACCCGTTGTGGGTTCCCCAGGTTGGCCCTCAGTCTCTGACTGGCAAGCTTTGAACAACTCGGTCTCAGGCCGCCTCATCGCACCTGTACCTCCAGGTCTGGTCTGCCAGACCAACAGTTCGGTATACAGCGCACAAGCCTGTGGCCAGTTAGTCACCCAATGGAGCAATTCGTCCTTTCATGCCGAGGACCCTTTCACAACCGACTACAACGATGATTCTTGCCTCCCTGACCCTCGAGCGCCATGCTCTACGACACTCCTGCCTGCATATGTGGTCAATGCCACCAACGCAGCTGAGGTTCAAGCTGCTTGCCGATTCGCGTATAGGACTGGGGTCAGGCTAATAGTCAAAGGGACGGGCCATGACTTTTTAGGACGGTATACACTTGAGGATCTATCAGTGAAGGCCTTACCACACTGACATAGCGAACAGATCGTCCGGCCGAAGCTCACTCTCCATCTGGACGCATAACATTCGCGGCGTCAACGTCACGATGGGAGATTCTCAAGCGAAGCGGTATGGCGGCATTGCTTCCGTCAAGATCGCAGCTGGTATGCGCTTTGGCGAAATCTACCAAGCAATTGCCTCGTACAACCTTACCATAGTCGGTGGAGCGGATCCCAATGTCGGTATTGGTGGCTGGATTACTGGGGCTGGACACTCTCCGATCAGCAGCGCCTACGGCCTGGGTGCAGATCAAGTCCTCGAGATGGATGTTGTCACTGCCAATGGGACACAGTTGACTACAAACGAGAACGCTTACCCTGGCCTCTTCTGGGCAATGAGAGGTGTAAGTTCTCTTCGGCATGTCTCGGCTACCTAAATGACAGAACTCCTGATTTCCAATGTTCGTGTCTAGGGCGGCGGTTCCACCTTCGCGGTGCTCATCTCAGTCACAATTCGAGCCTATCCAGCCCTACCTATGGCTGTGTATTCATTCAGTTACAACACCACCGCGAACAGCGACACGTTCTGGTCTCTAGTAGCGTACTTCCACAATCAGCTGCCTGAGCTCTCCGACGCCGGTGCCATGGGCTACTACTTCATTTTCCCCAACAACAATGCGTCACAGTCTGAATCCGCCTATCTAGGCTCAGTCGCCGGCGTGTGGCTCGTCCCGAACAAGACCGTCGAAGAAGCCCGCCTAATCTTCATGCCGATGGAACAGACTCTGCAGAATAACACATTCAATTGGACTGACAGGATCTTTCTCCAAAACGCATCTGTGCCCACGCTGGACTTCACCAAATTCTGGATGGCAACCGTTCCGGGTGGAAATGTTGGATCAGAAGTCCGACTGGGGTCTCGCCTTCTCGACCGGGCCGCTCTCAAGAGTGACCCGGGAAAGTTGAAAAGGCTCTTCAAGCAAACCACGCCTATCCCGCAGTATCCGATCCTGGGCCACGTCGTGGCGGGCAAGGGTGTCAGGACCGTCAAGAACGGGATCCCGGGGGGAAGTAACTCTGTCTTGCCCGCATGGCGCGAAGCATACACGCACATCGTGCTCCCTCGATCTTGGCCATTTCTGAACGATACGGCAAAGATCGCGACGACAACACTCCTCCGTGATGTTGAGACCGCAGCCCTCCGCCAACTGGCGCCCGACATGGGAGCGTACGTTAACGAAGCAGACCCGACAGAGCCCAACTGGCAAAAGACGTTCTGGGGGTCGAATTACCCCAGGCTGCGGCAGTTGAAGAGGCAATGGGATCCCAAGAGCGTGTTTTGGTGCGTCCCCTGTGTGGGCCATACGGATGGCTGGGAGGTCGTTAGTGACTCTGGTGTCGAGGGCGCAGTGGGGGAGAGTCCGGGGAAGATCTGCCGGACAACATAAGTAATCAGAGCTATTGTTGGAGGGAAGCTCTGATGTATGCCTGAGAAAGATGGACTCTGAGAAGGGATGGAGACGACGATCTGTGCGATGATATTGAATATCATGATGAGGGTGCGAGAAGGCTGTGGAACGGGCCTGTACCCAGTACACATAGTTTGATGCTTCGCAGTGTCTTTTCATAATGCTCTCATAATCCGATTCCTGGAAAGTAATCTCTGCACCTGTATTATCGCATAAAGCTGACTGTTCCTTTTACTACTGCAAACTTGCCTCTCCTCTTTCAAGCCTTTGCGCCCCTTGCGCCAGTTGGCCTATTCATTCGCTGGGTCGGGTGACGGAGCGACGAGGCTGTATCACTCCGGATCCAGCTAGCGTCGAAGCCTTGTGCTCTCATATTCCGTAGATACTCCGAACCTGCGGTTTCAATTGCGCTTCTGCAGCAAAAAAGCTCCCTCCTCCAATTGGAAACCCTACCGCTACGTATTATTGTGAACATTCGATTCCAGCCACGACCACGCTTTGCGCCCGTGTGCCATCCTCCATCTCCTCCTTATACCTTCGGTCATGGGCGTGCAAGGACTCAAGACCGTGTCGACGGCACAGGTAAGCTTCGCACTCGGTTTCTTTTTCTTTTCTCACGACCCTATCCATCTCTCCATCCATTCAGCTGCCCCCCAAAGCACCTACCCTGACCGCTTGCTCTCACACTCGCATTTTGCGTTTCCCCCGATCCAAAAGAGAAAAAAAACACACAAAAACCTAATGATTTCACAGAACGGCCTAGGCGCCTACATCCTGCAGTGCACGCGCCTACACCTGACGTACTCGGACCACTGGGCGTCGTCCTCGGGTTTAAAATCACTTCTCAGTTCACCGGCGTTCTCGTCACTAACACATCGCTACCCGAGCGTCGAGTTCCGGATCTCGCCGCGCCCGAACCGCCACCCGGTCGTCAAGGCAGTGTACTGCAACGGGCGGTCCAAGGCCGTCTGCGTCAAGAACCTGGCCCGCGAGCAGGTGCTCGAGAGGGTCGAGTTCCTGATCGGGAATTCTGGAGAGAGGAATACCCTCGTAAAGGGCAGGAAAGTCATCAGTCGGAATGAGAGTGTCAGGGGCGTGTGGAGTCCTATGCATGGCGGGATTAAGAAGATCTGAGTGAGGCTCTGTGCTTGGGCGTGGAGCATAAAGTATTGAGCATTGAGACCTGCGCTGGGCCGTGGCGGGGCGGATTGACGGGGAATGCGACTGATTCCCCTGATTCGCTCTCGTGGGATGAGAGGCAAGGGTGCTGCAAGGAGAACCCGAGGGATGTTCAAGAGATTGAAGAAACAAGAAGCAGAGAGCATCCGGATACAGAATCATGCGCACGAGGAACGTCTGGGGTTGAGGAGAAGGCTGACGAGAGCCGTATATTGACAGAGCAGTCGGACAGGCTCTTGCTCTACACCTGGTCGAAGAGCGAGGAGACAGGTGTCGAACAGCTACACAAGCGCGTGTTTGGGAAAAGAAACCAGATTGTTCTAGGTCTGTGACACTAGGACACTCGCGATGAAGAGTAAAAATCCCAAACCAAAATCAAGCGATCGAAAGACAATGAGATCTACTTCAAAGATGGAATTCGACGAAGTCACGCATCCAAGTCACTGATATTCGGCTGACGGCGCCAAACGACCTCCTCAGAAACTTCGAACAACTGAAACAAATCATGATTTCAATAAAGCTGGTTTCAAGTTGAGTAGGGCAATGATTTACAATTGAAGGACCCGGGGCAAACCATGGGACGCGGCTCATTGCTATAACCTTGCGTTGCAACATATGTACAATAGTTACAAAAGGATTTAAAACATGATCGGAAGCGTGCTCTGGCTGATTCAACTCGATGTCCATGTATCAACCTCCCATCGTGACAAATTGAATTGTCCGTGGAAACATAAACGCCTGGAGCCCTTCATCAAAAGTTTCATCTCGTTTTCAGCTGGGCCGATGCCTGTGTGCACTTGCGACTAAGTTGCTGAATCAATCCAATTCTTGATATCCGATCATAGGTAGATGGGGAACATGGCAGTCTTGCTGACGACTTTGGTGTTACAGCCATCGACGTTGCATACCGTAAACGGGACCGATCTGGGCGATTCCAGCTTCTTTTCAGGCTCTTGCTCTTTGGCTTTGCCTTTGCCCTTCCTCGTGGCTCTTGTTTTGGAACGGTTTACCGCACATTCGCCGCAATAGACCTGAAAACGTCGTTAGAACAAATTCAACGCCTGGATGGGATCCAATTCACTCACGTGTCCACAAGTTTTCACTACCCAGACCTGCTTCTTGACATCTCCCTTTCCAACTGCCAATTCATCGCCACACATCGGACAGAGTATGACATCGTCTTCTCCAAAGGTCCTGATGAACCCCTCTTGGGCGGTCGGGGGCGCTTTGTAAGGTTCAGGCACCACTTGGGGTGTTTCAGAGCTGCGATCAAAGACATCAAAACGACCGAGAGCAAACGCAGGTTGTCTGTAGTCCATGTTGACGATGAAAGCGTCTTCAACATCATTCCCATGCCGCGCGTCCTGGCCACGGGGCGGAACTCCATCTAGGCGATCCAGAAAGCCTTCATTGTAGCCCGGAGCGGCGATATTCTGCACATTCCCAAACATAAATTGCGTCCCCCTCCTCAATATCTCTGGGAAATATCCGAAGGTACCTCTGTCCATGCGAGGAGGAGCGCTGGCACCGACATTTGCCTGGACTGCTGCCTCCTGACGCTGGGGCTGTAGAACAGGTCTCTCCGATACGAATTCGACTTCAGAACTTGCCGGAGGCGAGCCGACGGATTCGGACTCAAGGGTTTCGGTGTCGGCAGACATTTCAAACTCATCCATCTCGAAATCCGAATCGTCTGTGTCTGAGAGATCAATTACCTCGGGTAGTTCATCATGCAACCCTCGACCAAAGGGCGGGGCACGGACATGATGTGCTTGTTCTTGTTGTCTCTGAACGGCTTCTAGTTGCCTCTGAGCTGCTTCTCGTCGCTGCGCGGCTGCAATCCAGGTCCTGATAAGGTGTTGTCGTGAGACTCGTGGAGGGGGCTCGCCAGACATCTGCCCTGAGGGCTGTGTAGATGTCTGGCTTGAGGGCCGTATAGACGTCTGCCTCGAGGGCTGTGGTAGAAGAGAGGATCCCGAGGCAGGGGAAGTGTCATCGCTGTCAGTGTCTGCCGTGAGATCGATCGTGACATCTTGTGGGGTAGGGGTTGCAGTTGCTCGAGGAACCCGTGCAGACATAGCCGGCCTTCGGTAGTCGAAGCCGTCGCCCTGAGACCGTACTCTTGATAATGGGTACTGCGGTGTCGAGTCTCGAGAAGACTCGGGTGTTGGATGATGGGTGATGCGTCGGCGCTTGGACGGTAGTTGATCGGGGGTAACACTTCGACTTAACGATCGGGTTATTTCTGCATGAGATCTCTGTAGCTGAAGTCAGAATATTACTTTTCAGATATAATTCACATGATGCTGGGGTGGGTGAAGGGTGAGGGTTCAGCTGAGAGGGAGCCGAGGGCGTACCTTTCGACTCGATGAACCCGACGCCGAATTCAGGAAGTTGCTCAAGGCAAGAGTGCCTGCAGAAGGCATGATCAAGGGCGCCTGCAAGGGCAGATTATAGCTCTCGGGTCGAATATTTCATGGGGTGCAGAAGATGATATGAAGGCGTCGCCAAGGGGGGTGGGAGTTGTCGTTGAGAAGGCGACTGAGGGTCGAGGGTCAGGTACAATTTGGATGTCGTCCGGGCACAGAGCCAAAGCCAAGAAGCCAGAAGTGGGAACAACGAACCAAACAAAGATGAAAGCCGGATAGGAGCCGGTGTCACAGGCGAGTGTGACCAAATAGGAAAGGGAAGAAGACGGTAGAAACGGGCAAAATGCCAACTTGAAATGGCCACCTGCGGATGGAAGATGGCGGTTGGTAACGACGAGCTCGAGTTCTTAGTAGTGGTTGCAGCGGTTGCAGTGGTGGTGGCCAGCCAAAATGGAGGGATGGTGTTTTGGCGGCGGTAATACCGAGTGCTCAGTACTGTGGTGTGTGGTGCGTGGTGCGTAGTACGTGGTGCGAGGTGGAGGGTCTTTTTTCGCTGTCATTTGCCACCTCTCCCTCGTATTCACCATGACTTTTCACTCAATTAACCGTTGACAGACTCTCCAGCCCGCTGATAAATCAAACTGAACCAACAACAACAACAACAACAACAACAACAACAACATCATCATCATCATCATCATCATCATCACCATCAACAGCAATACCAATACCAATACCATGCTACCTGCTCCATTTTATTGTGTTTTGTACATACCATCCCCAGGGGACAGAGACACCATCCGTCGACGCCGACTCCATTCCCTTTGGCATGGCCCTCCCCTTACTTTTCTTTTCTCAACAATCGCCCAATATTCAGAAGAAGAAGAAGAGAGAGAAGAAAAAAAAACCCCTCCTTCTCGATCTCGTATCAATTATGGGTATCAATGCTACCTTCCCTGCCTCCCTGTTTGTATACAAGTGTTTTTGAACCACCAAGGCACTTATGCATCTGTTGCCGCCGCCGCTGCCAGGGTCGTGATCACCCCATCCTCATCGACAGTGACCAGACTCTGAGCTTGCGTGCCCCATGCAATTCTTGTCGCCGGTGTCTCTCGCTTAAGAATCTCCGACCATTCCTTAGACGTCTTGGAATAATGTTCGACCGTAACTCCACCCTGTCCTGCGGCAGCCAAGAATTGTCCAGTGTAGTCCCAGCTGATGGAATCGATCTGGCCGGCAGTCTTGAGAGTGGTAATTTCCGTCGCTTTTCTCAAATCCCAGATCGAGATTGTCGACGACTTCTCTGTCACGCCTGCCAACCATGTGCCGTTTTCCGAGAAGAAGATACATTGCACAGGGCCACCGAGGTCAAACGTGGCGGCTTCCGCACCAGACTTGACGTCGAATATCTTGATTTGACCATCAGCCCCGCCGGCCGCCAGTAAGTGACCGTCAGGGTGGAATTGAGCACAGCGGAGACCTGAATGGGATAAGCGCACAAGCCAGGTAGGGGGATGCAGGAGGACATACTGGAGTTACTTAGGACCTGAGTCAGGACACGGTTGGATTCAAGGTCAAAGACGATGTATGTCTTGTCCTCCCCAACCGAAGCCAGAATGGTGCCGCTGGGGTGTAAAGCGACGGCATTGGCCCGTCCAGCGTGGACCGAGAACGACGAGACCTCTTGATCCTTGTCAAATACTTTGACCGCGCCTGCTGAGGTTGCAACAACCGCCCTGTCATGAGCCCAGAGACCGTTTGTGACTGTTCCTTCGCCGACGTCGAGAGCATATGATAACGTGTGCTCTGATAGCGAGTAGACACCCGCTTTGTTGCCTGCAACAAGGACCATATCTCCTGCCTCGTGTACAGCAAGCACAGTTCCACCGGGAAACAATGGTTTCGAGGTTGACGTCGACGTGTATGCTGATATTGAGTCTGGAGTGGCCCAGTCTTCTGGCACTGGTCGTTTCCGCCGGGTCTTGGACAAACTGGATTCACCCATCAGTGTCGGGACGACTTGTATAGAGGGCAGTCATACCTTTGTTGTACGCTTTCTATCTTCTCCACGATCACCTGTGGTAACGGGGCGCTGTCCACTTGCATCGCATCACCATTCGTGCTGGCAGCAGCAGCTCTACCGACATTTATCTGGGCCAATGTCGCTCGCGCCTCATCTCTCTCTTTTGTAAGCTGCGCAATGACCCGAACCGCCGCGTCATTTTCGTACAGTGCAGTACTGAGCTCCTGCCGAGCCTGGTGAAGATTCTGTTGCAGTGTGTATGTCTGAAGCGCCAAAGCATCCCACTCATTCTGAAAGAAAGATAACATGGCTGGTATCGAAGTCATCTGCGGGGGTCGGGGATAGACGACATTGGGGCTCTTGAGATCGATGAGGTCTTCCACCGAGAGGCTCTCTCCGGTCGTGGGTTCTGTGCCATTCTCGCTGATGTATGCTTCGATCAGACGCTTTTCGTAGACATTCCCTGCGGATATTAGACCAGTGAGACCTAGCACAAACACATATTGTACCCACCACTCTTGCGTGAAGCCACTGGAACCTGCGGTGCCTCCCCGGAAACTGTCATACTATTAGTCGGATCCAATTTGCGCAAGAGGCAGAGCACTTACTTGCACACAGCATTGTCACAAAGGCTGCTCCAGCACAGAGCGTAGGACTTTTCGGGGAGGTAGGACACAGATCTCCCCTGAGAATTGCTTCCACAAGTACTCACAATCCGTGACAAATGACTTGTAAGAAATTCACTTGGTCGTGCCTTTTACTTGGGATTTTGCAACCTCGAACCTCAGCCAAATTGTTGCGCTCGGCAAATCTTCCGCTTTAGGCCACGGCCTCGCCAGATTTTTTGTCCCGCCAGCCTGACAGCGAGTGCACGAGTTCCGGAGGGCCTTCTTTACCACCCACATCGCGGATCAGTTCAACATTGGCAAAAGCGCAAGACCAAAAGCTCGGCTCTGAAATCCGTGTTCCAAGTGGCATGGAGTATCGTCTCGATCTCTTCATCATTTCGCTCCTGTCTGCCCATCATGGCGGACGCCGCCCTCCCATATCATGAGCCTGGGATCATCACAATCCTGATTCAATCATCTTTCCTTCTGATCTTGAACATTCTAGGCTTTGCCCTGGATCATTTTTTCTATTGCGGGCTTGTAGGCCAGGTCCTCATTGGAATGGCATATGGAACGCCGGGTGTGAAATTGTTGTCCCATGCATTTGAGGATGTGGCAACCCAGCTTGGATACCTGGGCTTGATCGCTATTGTCTTCGAGGGCGGCTTGGCGACTTCAGCTGAATCACTTGGGAAATCCCTTATACTGTCTATCTGTGTGGCTCTCACTGGAATATGTCTCCCAATGGCCCTATCCTTCTCCCTCATGGGGATCTCGAATGCAACAAGGCTGCAAGCCTTCGCAGCCGGAGCTGCGCTATGTTCAACGAGCCTAGGCACCACCTTCAGCCTCCTAAAGACGACAAGCCTAACGACGAGTCGCTTAGGAACGGTCTTGACCAGCGCCGCGATGCTGGATGATGTCGTTGGGCTGATCATGGTTCAAGTCATAACCAATCTGGGATCCGGTCAAACGTCTATTTCAGCCGCTACGGTTATACGTCCTGTTTTCGTATCTCTTGGTTTCGCAATCGCCCTCCCGCTGTTCTGCAAATTCCTGGTGAAGCCAATGCTACCTTACTGCTCAGTCGCTTCAGATAAATTGAAAAGGAAATTCTCCGCGAACACGTTGGACCTAGAGGCGAAGCTTCCCTTCCTTTTTCGGACGGCTTTTTTGGTGGCCTTGGTTACTGCGGCGAGCTATGCAGGCACATCAAACCTGTTTGCTGCCTATCTGGCAGGAGCTGCAATCTCCTGGATAGACGAAACTAGTCGACAGCGAATAGATACCGGATTCCAGAGGGCATCTCAAGAGACGCCAAAAGATCAGGTGAATCCGGCAAATGCGACTTCTAGCACCTCGTCTACAAATTTCGTCGCCGCTCAGAATGCCAGCGAAGTTCCTAGTTCACCGATTGAGAAACTACAAAGCAACAAGCCACAAGCATCGAGACCGTCCTTGGAACTCACTCCGCCTCCAGAGGAACCAAAAGTGACAAGTACCACCGAACAAAATGCAGAATCAGCCGATATCCCAGACACACTGAACGTGGAGAACCACAGCCTCCAGATGTACAATCATTACTATGCACCTGCGGTAGAGCGCATTTTGAAACCATTTTTCTTCGTAAGTTACTTATTCCCTCCCCAGCTTTCCGTTCGTCATAGTGTTTTTTTCAATTTTTTTTTTCAATTTTTTTTTTTTTCAAGCGACTCACAACCTTACCGCCAGGCTTCCATTGGCTTCTCTATTCCGATCACCAAGATGTTCCGGGGCTCTGTCATCTGGCGGGGCCTTGTCTACGCAACATTCATGGCCGTCGGCAAGCTCTTCTGCGGCATGTGGCTCATCCGCTTCTTCAACTCCTCGTCCACAACATCGCCATCTCCTCGTCCACAACCTGCCACGAAATCCGACAAACAGGACAAGAACACGAAGCTGGCTAAGACCAAGACCGCCCCGCGTAGAAGATCCCTCCCCCGTCCGAAGTCTCTGTACCCGGCGTCCATCCTGGGCTGTGCAATGGTCGCGCGAGGCGAGATTGGATTCCTCATCTCCGCCCTAGCGGCGACAAACGGTATCTTCACCAGCAAAAGCGCGACCGGGAACGCGGCAGCACCAGCAGCAGCAGGAGATGCTGCCGGTCTCGTCTCAGATCTATCCTTGATTGTCACGTGGGCGATTCTCCTCTGCACAATCGTCGGACCACTGGCTCTGGGGTTTCTGGCGAAGCGGGTCAAGAGGCTTCAGGATGAGAGGGCTCGAGATGGCGGCCATGGGACAAAGGAGGATCCACTGGGCATCTGGGGCGTGAATTAATCAGTTGCCGTCAATGTTGCGTTGAGGGGGGAGGGGAAGTTGGAGGGGCATGTACTCAGAGATCTGGTCGTGCTCGAGTTTGGCAAGATGGAGACGTTTGGAACGGGCAATCTGGCTTTTTGGGAGGATTCAACGCTCCGCACATTCTCTCATTTCTTATACATAAGCTCACATAAAAAATCTCGAACGAAACGCCCGCCTAACGCAATGCACAACCGCAGGTTGATCGAGGATTAAATCACCACCCTTCCGGCCCATCAGAGACCGGTTCTTTGCCTGCATTTGCAAACTTGCCAGTTTTGATTTCATTCATGGCATGCGCCTCAAAGTCATCTGGACAGGAATTTACCAACAAGATCCTTCCCCTTGCCATCCTTCATGTTCATGGCCTGCTGAGCCAGTGTATCGAACAGCCCCGTCCCCGCGGCATTCCCACCTCTGCTCGCTGCGTCGGAGTGTGAGTTGGACACCTCGTCTGGCTCCACGAAGCCCTGTTGGCGCTGTTGGCGCCACTTCTGGTAGTCTGACGGCTGTGCGCTGCCAGCGTACATGCTCGCAGGGGCCGGTGCAGCTCGTCGGTCCATCTCGTAATTGTATTCACCCTGGTGGTTATACCCCGAGGGGAAGGGCGCGTGAGCGTTGTTATTGGTCACCAGTACCTGACGTTGGTCCTGTTGCTGCTGGTGTGAGCCTCGCCGCTCGGTGAATTCCATTGGCAAGACCTTTTCTTGCGGCTGATAGTGTTGTTGTTGTTGTTTCGCTTGTCCTTGCTGGTACGGATCTGGGTAGTAACACGGAGGTGCGTCGAGGTATTGTTGGCGCGTGCTGTGGTCCTGTGCGGCATCTGGCGCGGGATTTGTGCGACGGTTTTCAGCAGTTTTGGTGATCTTTTTCACGGCGTAGATGCCGACACCGGCGATCATTGCGGTCTTGATTATACCCATTGTTGGACGGTGTGAAGATCGGGTCTCGGGATGGGTGTATCTGGCCTTGAGAAGTTCAAGTTTTGTTGTGCAGCCTAGTACCAAGAGGTCTTTCCGTTTCGTTTCTGCTGTCTATATAATCTGAAAGCCTGCTTTTAACTCCGATTGTGAGATACTTTCCCAATAACAGGATATCGGGGCATTTTTATAGATTGCACATCCAGGTTGACAAGCAGAATGCCAGAAGACTACGATCTCCAGGTCGTTGAGCCAGGCAGGCAAGCACATCGCAAAGAGCGACCCTATGTAGTTAGCGCAAAGCAGCACGACAACATGCACGCACAGGACGAGCACAAAATCGAACTCGGGGGGATTCTAGAAAGCGTATGCCGTTCATTCGAGGGGCCGGTGAGGCTGTGTGAAAAGGGCTTGGGCCTGGGATCGACGCGGTCTTGGGGCAGAATTTCGCCATGGCATCAGGCAGCTGGCAAAAGAGCCGATCCAGCTCGGTCCGGCTGTAACACTGAGCGTGAATTTCGGGCGTGCGAAGAGTTCCCCCTGCAGAGGCAAAGGCACCCATTTCTTCTGCAGGTATTCGGCTCGTCGGGTTGACTCCAAGACTGAGGCTGAGACGCGAGTACGTTACACTGAATGGCTGAGTTCGTCGAAGTTTGCTTGGGGCCTTGCATTCACAAAATAAGTGGGCAGAGTCTGACAAGAGTACGAGGTGCCCGAGTACCCGGTAGAGTGATTCACTGTTAAATCGAAGGTGCCCTTCATTCACAATAAGTATGTTGTTTACCTTTGGGGAGTAGTGGCCCTCTGCAATTCATCCCATACTCTCAATCATATTCGTTATATCGGCCGCTTTGACGTTATCGAGCACTCTCGAGGTACATGTTCCGTGCAAGTCCGTGACAGACTGTGCCACTTGTTTTTGAGTCCGGCTGGTCGGCGAGCCGGGTTAATCCGGGGTTACGGCGTAAAGATTTTCCGCCTCTGATGACAAATCGGCGCTAATCTCATTCTGGACACCACGTCGGACCTGAACATCTCGACACCAAACTGGACTGTGCTTCGACAAGTCTCAAATATTGTCATTCGAGGACTGGATGACTGGATGCCATGTCGGTTCCCCAATGTACCTGCAGACCCCACAGGCACCATTTCAGCCACCTCTGTCATTGTGTGAAGGTCCTGTCTAAAGCATGGCTGGCGCGAAATTCGACCTGGTTGATACGAGGTCCGCATCCGGAAAGTCAACTCCTGAAACGTCAACGAGAAGGTGACGGAACACACGAGATTGCCTCCTATGTAACACTGTCGAAATTAGCCGGTATCTTTCTTACGTCAAAATTAAGCATTGATCAAGCTGGTCTAAGCTCAAGATGGCATTCTTCTCGAGCGTCGCCAACTGTTCAGCCTTGATCCGGGGCCACCGCAATATTCTGCGTTGGCTGTACCTCTCAGTTCCCATATAAAAGATCCAACTATTCTCCTTGTCGCAATGGCTTGGAGGAAACGCTTGTACTGCTTCTGCGTCTTATTCATGGGCATCAACAATCTTGAAGTCCGTGTTGCAGAGGATCTCTTTGGATGACAATGTCACAAATCACCTACGCCGATAGTGTCGTCATCTACAAGCTCATCTAGTATGTATGTACTCACCAGCGCTCCTTATCTCCATCCACGTGTCCAAAAAACACGGTTTCCAGAGAGGCTCGGGTTGGGGGGTTTTTTAACAATATTCTGTGCCATCAGAGTCATTGGAGCCGCAGCGCAACTGGCTGCCATCGGTGATTCTCATCCTCGCACTGCCGAGACCATCGCATTGGTGACTGCTGTCTTGGGTCTTTCGCCTCTGCTGCTGGCCACATTGGGTGTACTTGCACGAGTGTAAGTTTCTCCCTGCCGTCTACACTGAGCATCGCCAATGTCCAATCTTTACTGCGCAGCTACCACTCCATCCTCAAGCAACCGTGGGGTACCGTATTTTCCCTCGTCCTTCTCAAGATGATCCAAACACCCGCTGCCATTGCTTTGATCCTCTGCATCGTGGGGGCAACCAACGCCAATGATCCGGCAGAGATTGACTCAGAATCCACTGTTCATGTTGGCATCATCCTCTACACTTTAGTCTTTGCAGCACTTGTTTGCCCTCACCGGCGGGGCTATATTTGGGAGACGAGTTACCGGACAAGGCGAGGTGTCGCTGCTCTTCGCCGTGTCCCTAGCGCTACCTTTCCTGGCGATTCGAATTCTCTACGCACTCTTTGCCGCGTTTTCTAACGACAAACGATTCGACCCAGCCACAGGTTCAAATACGATTGCATTGTTCATGGACACCGTGCACGAAATGGTCGTGGTCCTGATATATCTGGTGGCAGCGATCAACACCCCAGCTATCCCTCGGTCAACCAAGGGAGAGACTCGCTCAGCAGGCTCGACTTTGATGTACCGAGCAGGGAGAGGTGATTTCAGTTTTGGTAAGCTGGGGCTATTGTCTTTGGCCGCCGCCGCAGGTCAAGCTTTTAGCGGCAACCAGGACGAGCATCATAGCACTGCGCAGAGCAGGTATCGAAACCAACAATGCCAGCATCACCCCGGATGTCCTCAGTCCGGGCCCGCAGGTCGAGAGGCGTCGTCTGTCTGAGCCAGAAAACTGATGCGAACCGTGCCGGGGAGGGTTTTGTTCGTGCACTATATGGTTGGGCTCTCATTCATTTTGATATTGGCGGTCATTACGTGTTTTCCTTGCCTGTAGGGTATTCGAGAACAGCATGCAGCTCAAGAGTTGTTAGGATTAGTTTGTCTATTATTCCCGCTATTGAGAAGCTGGATGTGAGCAAAGGATATCAGCTTGGCTGACCTTCAGCAACAGAGTTATGTGCGTATGTTGACCCAATGCTTCCCTACGTTGGAGCCTGCTGCAGGATAGCCAGGAACACAGTGCCACTGCACCATGACCAACCAATAACAGTCTCTGTCGAGCCTTGCCAGGCAGAAACAATTCAATCTTCTTCAACGTCAGCATCACGCCTTGTGTGGATCGTCACACACCAGAACCTCCCGAAAGTGCAAATATCTCTTAGAGCAAGGCCCTATCAAATCACAAACCATATGCTGTCGTCAACGGGCGGCCTAACGGAACCTCGCTTGTATTATTTCGTGTCTCCACTCCACGAGCAGCATACTGGATTCGGCCTAGTCGAGGATGCCTCATCTGCAGATTATTCAGAGCTGACTCCTGCAACGAGCTTGACCCATATCGGATCTTCGAGAATTCGGCTGTGCCTGCCAATTGCTCGCGTCGATCGTTTCCTGAGTAGAACGGGACTTTAGTGTTCGAAGATGGGAGCCGCTACGGCTGTTGCAACAGAGCCATCCACGGGCCGAAGTTCACCGCAAAGACAAGCGAGGCTGAGCTGTACTTGGTCCTTTTAATTGCGCACTTGCCGAATCGACTCAGGATCAGGTGTCCTGGGCCCCGTTTCATAGCGATCTTCTACTCTGACAAAAGGATGCTGAGAGGATCGCTGGGACTTGAAGACTGGTTCTTGAAAAGCAGAGAGATATCTCGCTTCTTCGCCTCGGCCAAGAGTGCCAAACACCAGGTGCATACTCATTTTTCACTCTGGTTCCGAGTACGAGAATAATGGGGTACTGCGGGAAGCCGTCAAAAGGCTGCGACTATTGCCGCAAAAAGCGACTGAAGGTGATGTTCTCTGTGGTGCCCTGGCGGCAGATCCAAGGCACTAGTTGTCCAGCGGGTTGTGCTAATAAGGAAAGCAGTGCGATCAAAAGCGGCCAGGATGTGGACAGTGTCGAAATGCTTCTCGAGCCTGCCCGGGCTACCGCAACCAACTAGATCTCATGTTCCGTGATGAGAGCGATCGAGTGCAACAGAAATATCGAACCAATTCGGTACAGGATGCAGATGCAGATGCAGCCGCTGCCGCTGGTGTGCAAAGGGCCAGCGAGTCCAGCAGACACGATGCCATCGCAACTAGACCGTCCCTGGATCTTCAAACCAATGAGAGAGACTTGTCGCCAATTGTGGCTGACAACGAATGCAGCCAGATCTTGAAGCTTGGAAAACAGACCTCGCCGGACTGCCCTTACCGAGCACTGAGTCAAGCTCTTCCCGAGATCGCCACAGCCTTCTTCCTGACGCAATATATCCCTGGGAGCCATTTCGATTACCTCCCTCTTCTTTGCAGCACTGCAACTCCCACCTCCCTGCTTACAGGCGTTGTTGAGGCCGTTTCCATCGCAAGTCTTAGCCATGTGACCAGGAAACCCGCGTTGATGGCTCTAGCCCGACAAAGATATTCGCGGAGTCTTGTTGAAACAAACAAGGCACTGCAGGATCCGCATGCTTGCCGCGAGGATGGGACGCTAGCGTCGATACTGCTCCTTGCTCACTTCGAAACTCTTGCGAGCGACGACTCGATTGGGGTCGAAGATGTTGCATCAGCACACGCCAACACAAGACATTCGCCATCAGCGAGCTGGGACCGACATATCCAGGGCGCGGTATCACTCGTTGCCCTTCGCCCCAAACCTGATCTCGACTGCCCTCTGAGTGTCCGAATCCACCAACATGTCAACGCAACGGCCCGGTACAGCAGCATCCAACGATGCATCCGGTTGCCCGCCGAGATTTCGTCCTGGGGCTTTTCAATGGGCTTGCGCAGAGACCGAGAAGACCCGAATCGACGGTTTATGGTGGTCGTTGACGACTTCACAGAACTTCGCGCAAGCATCCGTGAAGGTTCTCTGACTGATCCCTTTGAAATCATCGAGCATGCGAAGTCCATCGACGCGCACACAGCGTTGGTCGCCAGAGGGTTCCCTTCGGCTTGGACGTATGATGTGGTGGTCTCCAACCGCCAGATGGACGGAGTTTACAAGAACAAATATCATCTCTACCCGAGTCATTACTCCGCGCAGCTGTGGAACGAGGTTCGGATGACCAGGTTAGCCCTCAATGAGATCATGTTCGCCTATGCCGAAAAAGCCTGTCGGCTTGACTCCCTCGACGGCAACATGGACGAGTTACTCACCGCATTACGTGCGCGGTGTGTCCGCGTCATTGAACAGATGGCGACCGAGATATGCCAGTCGACGACCGCGTTTCTGCAGAAGCCAGACTGTCTCTTTCCCTTTTCAGGAGCCCAGTCGTCGTCCAAGAGGTCGATTGCGAGCGCCTATTTCCTCATTTGGCCCCTGTTCAGCGCGGCTCGTGCTTCCAGGGTGGCGTCCGGGTCATTCAGAGAGTTTGTGATTGATAGACTGAATTTCATCGCGAGGGACATAAATATTCCCCAGGCGCGAAAGGCGTCGCTGATGTTGGAACGGGGTATTGTTCACGAGGACTGGCTGCACATGCTGCATTTATTTTGATCTGCGTCTCGAAAAGCGTCTCGTCCTTCACACCGCCCCAACGAGTCACCATTGGATTTAGAGGTCGTCGCAATCAAGTTTCATTGTGAATTATTTTTTGCACACACGCACCACGTCAACTCTTCTCAGGATTTCGAGGCGCCGGTTGCCAGCGTTGAACAACGCCCCCCTCTCACGAGCCACCTTCCACATGAGCGAGGATGGAGTTCGTCCCTACAACTAGGAGTACGGAGCCCACAGTAGGTGCTCCATATGTGCTTCCGTCCGAGCCGGATAGGTGGGAAATGGCAAATGGCAAACGACACATGGCACATGGAACATGTCTCACGTCACCCGCCAACGGTCGTGAAGGCCACTCATCCCTACCCGGAGTCATCGTCGTTAGTGGTGGGGTGTACGAAGTACCGAGAATGGATTCATTTCGCTACGTAGGGGACACCTCCGACACTCCCAAAGGAAGACAAAAATGAAAAATAAATGCCCCAGCCAGGACGGCTAGTCATGCGAGTACGAGGTACGGAGCACTGGGGACAGGAGTACGGAGTGCAGGACCACGTACCTAGCCTTGCCCCTTCGGTTACGAGAACGAGAACGAGGACGTGTCCGAGTGCGGGTATGGAGTGGGAGAGCCTCGTGTACCTTCTTGTTACACAGGAGTAGCGCGGTCCGATGAATATTAGCACACCCCCTACGGAGCCTTATGTGGAGCATCTAACAGTTTTGACTACCCGGTAATACAGTACTTGTACATACCCAGGGCACGAGCCGGGGGCGTTTTCATTTCTGGGAAAATCGGGTCTCTACCAATGGTGGTGGTGTCATGTATCATGCCATGTATCAACTATTTCGTGGCTGACTGCCGCGTCTTTATTCTCGGTCCTATCCCGTCTACCCTCGTAGAGCACGGCCCGTTACCGGCACATGGGATCTCGTGCCGAGTAAAGAGGACGAGGTCAGTAAGTAAGTGAATGTGTCAGTGAGCCGAAGAGTGAGTGAGGTCGGTGGTGATGTGATCTCGCATCGCTTCGCGTCCGCTTGGCTTCGCTACCATGAGTAGGTACCCAACCCGCTAAGGACCTAAATAGCTCAATAAGTACTTCTTAGGCTGCGTGCTGTACTGGCTAGGGGTACTTGGACAGGAAGGCCCCTTGCATGAAATTTCCATTAGGTAGAGCAGTAAAGATGATTGATCTCCCCTGGCGCCGGGACTACTTCCTTTGCGCCTCCTATCTACCTAGGTACATAATATGTATGTGCTTGTGTGCATGTACGCTGAACTTAGAATCGCGTTGGTGTTGAGTAGTACATGGAGACGAAGGGATTCTCAAAAAGGCCAAATGGGATGGGGGAAAGGAAGGGCGATGTAGCGGCGTTGGTGCGCTTGCTGTCGTGTGTGTATATATATATATATATATACACATGAAATAGACATGGAAAGATTGATAGAGGGACGTGATTTGCTGTGGTGATTCTATCACTGCTACTGTATACATATATATACACAAATATACATACATATTCTTGCACTGGTGCGGTGGATGGGTGTCGAGGCCGCTGGTCGAATTTGGTACCCCCCGGCAATATTCTCGAGTTTAAGGCTGTGGTCGAGCTGACTGTTTGCGCGGAACGCTCCAGGCGTCAAAGGTCGTGCTCCTTGTATGCGTCTCGCTCTCCCTTCGGGGATGTGATGGGGATGATGTCGTCCAATAAAGCACTGGGACTTCTTGATCGGTCGTCGATCATTCGTCCAGGGGCGTGAACATGTCATTGCTTCCCGTCTTCGTCCGCCAAGTGAGTCCACAGGACCGAGCCGCCCGTGATGCCTCGCAGTTTCAGCGGATTGGTCTTGTCCAGCCTGGCGACCTTTTTGCAGTCATCATCATCGTCGATCTCAGCCGTCGACACGTTGCCCACGATGTGCAGGAACCCACAGCGCTGGTAGAACGGCTCCGTGCCCTTGGCTCCGATTACCACTGCCGGCAGGCTGTCTCGCCTGGCCCGCTCCAGACCCCAGGCAACCAGTTCCTGGCCAATGCCCCGGCGTTGGTAGGCCGGGTCGACGGCCAGCGTCGACAGTTCCCAGTGGTTGGCACGAGAGGGGGGGTCGGTGAAGAACCGAGCTGAAAACGGTTCGATGCGACGTGCAAAGTTCCATTTGTTCAGCGGGTTAGGGTCGGAGAGTGACGACACGGGTACGGCGCGGTTGGGGATGAGAAGGCGGTAGAAAGTATAGAAGATTCCAATGGATGGAGAGACCAATCTCCCTAGTCGTATATTATCGCATCGGTCAGCGCGGTTCCGCATCAGACGAATACATACACATAGACGCATGATCTGCCCTGGACATGATGAATATCATCTTTGAGGGGCCAGCCTTGCACGGGATTCACTTCGCAAGATGGCTTGTCTCACATTTGTATATGGTCTCTTTTGTCCTCGAAAAGAGCGAGAGGAGTCACGAGCCGTTGTTCGGCTGATGATTTGAAGCAAGAAATGAAAGGCTTTCAGAAGCATGAGCACTCACTTGGATCCCACCATCTCACCAGACCCCAGAGTCGATCTGACCCTTTGCCCTCACGAGCCCATTCCGCAGTGCCGGTAATGACCTCCCCGGACTTTTGCGCCGGGTCCTTATCATAACTGACGACCCATATTTTGTTGTAATCCCACCAGCTCTTGATGACTTTCTGCTTCCACACAAAGACATAGTCGTCCGGGAATTGTTTGCGGTAGGGAAAGATGCGATCGTTCAGTTCCTCATTGTAAAAACTGGCGGCCAGGATCTTGGAGATGGCATCCAAATCCGAGAACGTGGCTAGGCGGAGAGGCATGTCGGTTGGGGGCCCTTTACTCTCCCTTCGGCAGAATGACACAGCAAAAATAGTGGAAGCAAAGACAGATGATCAGTCCCCCTGTGAGCAGCGGCACGGCTAAACAGTTCTCGAGTGGCAAGTATTGTACTCGGTACCGAATGCAACGACGATCCTTGTATCCAAGCGAAGATATTCAGGGCGAGTGATCGGTTGGAAAGCCGTGGTACTCCGTAACGTACTTGGTATGCTGTAACCTGTCTGCTGGTTCCTGTAGATCTGCAACGTGGGAGTAAGCACTCAAAAGCGCCCCTCGAGTGTCGGTTCCGTTTCTGTGGTTCCCTACGTAGGACTTTGGCCCCTTGGATCGTGGATAGCACATGCACGTGGGAAAGGATTTACCCTGAAGATGAATTTCAAAAAGAAAAAAAAAAAGGGGGCCAAGGGAAAGATCCTGCTGACAACGTGGGACACGAACTACGGAGTCAGGTACCGAGTCCCTCGTACTGGGTACAGGAATTAACTAAGTACTTAAGTACATAGTCAGGTTAGCGTAGCGCGAGATAGGGGGAAAACCAGGTACTGGGTACCCACTACTCGGTCCCTGGATCGGGATGATCTTCAAGTCAAGCAATTTGTGTGCTATGGCATTAACTTTCCGTGCCGGTGGCAACAATTAGGACTGTAATAGAGGATCCGGCCTTATGAGGCAGGCAGGTTCGCTTGGACGAAAGAGTCGAGACCAAACCCACTTATCCACGGCAAAGAGCAAAGTACGAGACTTCGTGGACGGGTATAATATTTAGGGAATACTTAATTGTAGACGGGCTCGGGTTCAGCATTGATCGGGAAAAGCGTCAGGCACAACATGGCACGTTCGAGAGCCGATGAGCACGGTGGAAGTTGGGGCAAAGCACAGACTGCAGGCTACAGGGCCATGGGAAAGAAGAAAAAAAAAAACACGTAAGCGAGGTGAATAGTTCGAGGCAATTATCGTAGGCGAAGGACAACGTTGCTTGCGCAAGAGAGCAAGGGGGAAAAAAAAACGTGCGGGAAGGAAGCCAGGTTGGACCCAACTGGTGTTCGCCAACACCAGACAGTCCGAGTCAGAGAAATGTCGGGTTGTGCAACGTTGGTGTGCTCCGGAAAAAGATGCTGGACGCCTTGATAAGAAATGATCAGCACAAGAAGTGAGCACATTGGCCCGTGGGCTGTGGATAGACCAGAATGAGGAGACCATACAAGGTACCCAGTACCCAGTACCTCGTACATACCTAGGTGGGCATGAGGAGAAGGGAGAAGGAGGAGGTGGAGGCTTAGAAAGAGCTTCAACCGGGGGGATGAGCACAGACCCAGCAGGGACCCGGCACTCATCCACGCCCTGATGGAGGACCCAGACTCCCAGAAAGGACTCGGTAGGAGGCGATCCCTACGGCTTACTCCCGAAATTGCATGAATTTCAATCAATATCAATACCTGGGCCAACCATTGTTCCCGTTGAAAGGCGGTTTCCAAGTGTCTGTCCACATCGACGAGGTCGACAATTCATGGTTCGCCCAATCAAGAACAGAAAACGAGCGAGCAGATTTGGTCTAGTTCTGGTCGAAGAAGCGGTGTGAGGTGGCGTGCCAGTGCATTTTCGTGTTTCGCGGGATTCTCGACAAAAACTCAGATGGTGGTGTGAAGATGGATGTCATCCGTCCTGATTTGTCGCCGGTAGCGTAGGTGCGCATCTCGACTTGTAAGCAAGCGACTGGAAAGAGAAACAAGAGGCACAGATGGTGGCTTGACACTAGCCATTGCAAGCTTTTTGGCTGCGAAAACCCAGCCCCGCTGAGCCGCTGAAGTGCCGGGTCCTTGGGAGGAGGGGGGGAACCCGGTTGGGACAGCGCTAGTGAGGCTTGCAGCTTGCATGACTAGATGCAGCATTAGGTGCAGGGCGATGGAAGCAGCGTGGTGGGATGAAGAGATGAAGAGGCCTGAGGCCTGAGACCTGAGGCCCGAGGGTGGCCTGTACAAAGCCCTTGTACTGGGTAAGTACTCGGTAAGCTGTAGCGAAAGCAGTTCATCCCGGTGGTGTGGACAGGCCGAGGAAGGATCATCATCAGCCCAGCACAATCAATGATGGAGGGGGGTGTTTTGAGCGATAGGAAGCCCCTGCGTAACGGGCTCCTACTGTACACAATTCTATTCTCTAGAGAAAGATACTCTCACACACCCATAGCAGTTGTATAGAACTAGCACATTCTTTTCATGCATTTCGTGGCAAAGAACAGAACACGCCGCAACCGCCACAAAGGACCCAGTCAACCCAACCCCGGGGGTATCCGATCCATCGAATTTATCCTGATCAGGCCCAATGTGTATCCAAAAGTGTCCCTTGATAGCCCATAGCCAAAGCTGATTGATATAAACATTCCCAATGGGTCCCCTTTTAAATCTTGCAATACTTTGTACTGGCGTCTGTGATCCGCGTTGGCGTTGACATGTCAATCGATCCAATTGAAACAACGCCCCCCCCCTCCATCAGAGCAAGAGCAAGAGCAAAGCGTATCCAGCAGTGACTGCTTACGAGGGGCCTTGATTCTCGTAATGGACCCGCCACTGCATATCCTTGCGGATGATTTTGGCCTCGCTGTTCTGGCTCTCTTGAGACTGTCCAGATCGCGCATCAGGATCAACCGCCTTGCCCCAGTACGCCGTCGTGTTGTGCTGCACCTTGTCAGGCCGGAAGTTGGGGTTTTGGTCGGGACGGTCAATCTCATCCCCATCCATAGACCTCCTCTTGCTTCGGTTCATGCTGCTCTTGTTGGTCTTCAATGACTTGAGGGGGATGGTGGGTTGTTGCCCTGTGCCGCGTCCGCTCGTCTGCGAGAGGGTCGTGTCCATCCATGTACTGCCCATGCTCGTATTGAATTTTCGAAGCCCACGGTTCAGGGCCGGCAACGCCGCCGAAGCGATTGCGAACAGGACCAACACCTGCCGGTAAATGGTCGGGGTCACGATCTCGACTCCCGGGTTGGAGGAATGCACCGTGACGTCGATGTAATGGGCATGCAGGCCGACCAGGGCAATGACTCTGGTTTAGACGTGAGCGCGGGCCAGTGTCAGGCCACTGTGAGTCTCAACTTACGCCAATCTGGGTGCAAAAGTAAGGAGGACAGATACTTTGCGATCCGTGCTCATGTGAAGCGGCAATACCACGGCCAACGACAACAAGAAGATGAGGACTTCGGTGACTCCGTCGACGACGGCGACGGCGCTCCATCGCTTGGTCTGAGTGAATTAGTGGGCCAAAGTTCAAGGACCGATATACAAAGGCGGAGAGAGGACCTACCAGGGTTGGGCAAAAGTCGGTACGATATCCAAGCTGTTGGAGCGAGTCGCAATCGATGGTCACTGCCAGGATGGCCCCCAAGCACCACAGACCACAAACCACCGTCATGGTATCGCAGAGCGTCCGATGCCTTTTCATGTTGATGCTGAACAATTTTCGACACAGGAGAATCACACAACTTTTGGTGAGGAAGAGCGTAACCAAGAACAAAACGACCGAGGCGAGCAACAGCTGTCATTCCGGTCAGCGGATTCTCACCTGGGACAAGAGCCATCGCAACATACTCTTCCCATTGAACTGGCATCGGATGCCCCAACATCCACATATGACTTTCCCAGCCCGTGGGACACGGCAATCCAGACTAGAACACTATGTATCAATCCCACCACCTGGGGACGTTGTCAGTACTCGATTCGCCCTTCGAACAAGACCCCACAGCCTGTACATACTGACACGGCCACAGCCAAGCCATCATCCAGCCCGATGTTCTTGTTGGTAAAGGTGCCGCGAAGGGCCAGAAGCATAGGGATATAGGCGGCGCATATGATGGACACGACAAGAATGACACCACGATGATCCTCGTCCGTTATAAGAAAGTACCGGTTGCCCGCTACGGTCGGGTCGGCGGTGGAGGAGCCTGAGTCTGCCATGGTTGCCGCTGGGCTGGCAAGAGAAGTTCTAGAGAAGCGGCATCGACGACATTCAAAAAGGCGCCGCACCAGAGGGATCCCTTTTCGGGGGCAAGAACTTGATCCGGGACCTTTAAATCACGCCGTTCCTCCTTAGGATAAGGGACAAGCAACGGCAACGCAAGCCTGAGGGGGGATTGAAACGGCAAAAAACTCTGTTTGCGCACTTGCAGGACTCTACTTTACGCGATACGGGAGTGGTTTTGGACCAGGGTACCGTGTAGGGCAATTGGGACCACTGGGCTCCCGAGGACGAACTTAGTGTTCTTTCTTCTTCACCCAACTTTGGGAAGCGATGCCATGGGCCTGGGAGACTTCGCTTTGGATCGCTAAGGCGTGCCCAAGAGATGTGAGGAGTAGACGGATGACCGGGCAGAAGGTTATTGGCAGGTGGAAATGGCCTCTGACAAGCTAGAGGCAAGAGTGGACGTCGAATGAGCGCTACTGGGTAGATGAGCGCTGAATGGCCATCGGGGAGGAGGAAGTGTCAGTGGGCGTCGATGTGGCCCGGATGGAGACCACTTGCTGGGTGGCTTGATGACTTTAGGTGGTTCTGGCTGCGAGTGGATGGCTTCGGGCGCCATTAAACCACTTGCCGTAGTGATCGGCGCACCGGCCCGACACTAAGGACGCCCCCAGCCTGTCTAAAACAGCAAGGATGGGCACTGCTCCACCTCGTGCCTTGGGAGCTTTAAGGTGCTTTAGGTGCTTCAAGGCGTGTTTTGGTGGTGTCTGTTCCCCCCCAATCCCCCCCCTTTGCTCCGTCTATTCGCTCCCCTTCGCCCTCCCTCTTCCACGTATGCCGTCTCGTACCAACTTCCCCCCACTTCTTTATCTAACCACATCGTCAATGTACCAGCTACTCGGCCTGTCCCTAACTTGGTATCCCTTCCCAATACCCACTGCCACCGTCGATAAGCATCGTTGCTCGATAGCTTCCATCATCGGGCCACTTTCCATCCAAGGTTCCCACTTTCTTCGTCTCCAGGGGGGGTCGCTTCATGGCATGCGAGCACCCTAAGGACCCTACATGCCACTTATGTACGTAGTCTCTGGCGACTTCTTCCCATGTGCAATAGGATGGGTCCAGGCTACAAGGACTTATTTACTGACTTACTGGACACTACTACTAGCGAGCAGTCAGAGGCAAGACCTTACCTACCTCGACCGTCGGCTTGCCACATGGGCTGTTAGCTGGAGCAGCTAGGAACTTCCCCAGTGCTTCTCGCTCTTCTTCCGATCCTGGAGTTTAAACCTCCAACCCAAAACTTGCAGACTCCCTTTCGTTTTCTTTCTCTGCTCACCTTTTCTTCTACATTATCCCCCCCCCCTTCAATCGCCTCAGTCTTTCTTCTTCCGGGGGTTCCTGTCTTTTTTGGTTGATTTGCTCTGCTTGACCCTGTGTTTGGTTGCTCGATTGCCAACATGAGCAAGAACGCTGAAGTTGCGGCCCTCGGCGAGGTGGTCCCAGAGAGCGCGAGCGACGATGTTGTCCTCGGCGAGAAGCAGGGGACCTCGAGGGATGTGGAGGACATGAAGCGTATGGGCAAAGAACAACTGTTCAAGGTAACTCCCTCTTTGCGCCACCCAGTCGCCAGAGAAATGTGTTAACAACCGCCTTTTACAGCGTAACTTTGGTTTTTTGTCCATCTTCGGCTTCGCCATGATTCTGATGAACACCTGGCAAGCGCTGCTCGGGTCAGTCTGCAACAATGTCGCTATGAACTTCTTGTCGAACGTCAAGCTGACTGCGACTCCTATAGAACCATTGCCTTTGGTCTCGGTAATGGTGGAACAGCGGGTCTGATATATCTGTACATCGTCGTCGTGATTTTCTTCACTCTGGTCAACATTTCCATGGCTGAAATGGCCTCTATGGCTCCGACAGCTGGTAGGCTCAGACCTTCGCAGCCGCGCTTCCACTGTCCATGCTAACCCATCTGGATAGGTGGTCAATATCATTGGATTTCCGAGTTTGCGCCTCGAAGCCAGCAGAGGCTCCTGTCCTTCATCGTTGGCTGGCTTTGTACTCTTGGCTGGCAGAGCGGTGTTGCAATTGGATGCTTTTTGGCGGCCACCGAAATCCAAGGCCTCATTGTCCTCAACAACGACAGTTACGTCTACGAGCGATGGCACGGAACTCTGCTCACCATTGCTATTGTGCTCTTTATCGCTTTTTTCAACACTTTCCTCGCCAAGCATCTGCCCCTGGTCGAGGGTATGGTTCTCTGCCTGCACATTGGCGGCTTCATCTGCATCCTTGTTCCGCTGTGGGTTCTTGGCCCTCGTGGCAACTCACATGAGATCTGGACTGTGTTCCAGGATGGCGGGGGTTGGGGTTCAAGTATGATCCAAATTCCTACGTATTTATAGGCAATCATTGACAAACCTCCCCAGCTGGTCTCGCAACCCTCGTCGGTATTATCACCCCCGCCACTGCTTTCCTTGGTGCCGATGCAGCCGTGCACATGGCCGAGGAGTTGAGGAACGCTTCCAAGACTCTTCCGAGGGTTATGCTATGGACTTCTATCGTCAATGGTGCCCTCGGTTTCATTATGCTTATGTAAGCCCTGTGCAATCCATCAAGTCTGCGTTAATCTCTTACTAACATGCATCATAGTACTTTTTGCTGTAAGAAACCACTCTCCAGCCTAGCTTGTGATATGAAGCTCTGGCTTTATTTTCTGCAGTTCTTGTCACTAACATGATTTTAGATACCCTTGGCGACTTGAACAGTGTACTCTCGACGCCGACCGGCTACCCCTTTATTCAAGTCTTTTACAATGCCACCGGGTCCAAAGGCGGTGCCACGGCCATGTCGTGCATCCTGGTTCTGTCGGCTGTTGCCAACGGTATGACCAACATGGCCACCGCATCCCGCCAACTCTTCGCTTTCGCTCGCGACAAGGGTTTACCTTTCCATACCTGGTTCGCTAAGGTCGGAAGCCGGTTTGAAATTCCAATCAACGGTGAGTTTTGGCCGTCCCTCCCTCTTTCTCACAACAACTAATACATGCTTCAGCCGTTCTTTTCACCGTCTGCTTCTCGGTCCTCTTCTCCCTCGTCAACATCGGCTCGACCGTCGCCTTCAACCAAATCCTGTCGCTCGGTGTCGCAGCTCTGTTGTCCTCGTATTTCATCTCCATCGCCTGCGTTACCTGGCGTCGGGTCTGCAATCAACCGCTCCTCGACCGCGTCTTTGACTTGGGGCGATTCGGCATTCCCATCAACTTGGCTGCTCTGGCATTCCTCGCCTTGGCCTTTACCATGAGTTTCTTCCCTGGGGCCGCCCATCCGACCCCGCAAACCATGAACTGGTCTTCTCTGGCATACGGATCGGTGATCATCATCGGAGGAGTCTACTACGTGTTCTGGGCACGACACCAATACGTCGGACCTGTGGAATACGTTCGCAAGAGCGCTTAAAAATTGCTTGGTTTTTTGGTTTTTTGGTTTTTTTGGTTTTTTTGGTTTTTCTTCTAGAAATGGTGAAATATGGTTGGCCATCTGAGTGTCCCATATTTTTCCGCAAGGTTGGGACTACTTGTATAGTTGACTATTTCTCTCTCACCTGCCCAAAGAAAAAAAACCAATCCGAAAAACCCACTTTGTTCATGGGAAAACTGGATGGAGTCCGGCAGCCTTTTTCGCATGGGGTTTTGTTTCCCCAGCAGTTACACCAAACCACAGCCCTATTACCTACCTAGGTTACCTAAACTAGAGACGATCATCGAACTTGGAACGAGGTGTACAGTACTCTCTCACACACACACATCTCACGTGCGCGCACTTACAGGACTCTGCGGACGGCGAAAAGTTTACACGCGAGACCAGTTGTGTGTCATGTCATGTCATGTGTCATACGATATATGAAATATGTCAAATATGCGAGAAAGTGTCACACACCACCAGACACAATTCAACCCTATGAATTGATCGATGAGCTATAAGTAGTTACTGGCTTGTTCTGTTTATACTGTCCAGTCATCTCCTCCCTTTCCGTGCTCTTCCTTTCTCCCGCCCCCGTGTACTTGATGCAGGACGATCATTTCGCCCTCACCTCTTGCATTTGGGTTTGCGTTTCCGTGTGCATGTATTCTGCAGTGGGGTGCTGTTGTTAGTGCTGACTGTTGGTCATTAGTCGCCCGGAAGGAAAGGGACTCGGGACTATACATAATTGCGATTGCGTTACCGGTACCAACTCACTCACCCACTAGCGAACTACACCCATGGGTATCTATACGCAGCTTGATGTAGAGGAGGACACAGGGATGGTGCCGTCGCCGCCACCTTGGCCGTCCACGGATGATATTGAGACCGGGCGTATGAGGAAGGGCCAGATGGGTCAGGACGTGCTGTCAAGGTTACGGATGAGGGTGGGAAAGGTTCCGTGGAAAGAGGTGCGGGTCCTTGAGTTCTGACCATGAGATTTGAGTCCTGGTGATCCATACAGTTCATGTGCGATGAAATGTATCGGTTTGGAACAGAGATACTCGGTAGAGTTTCGTATATGCGTGTTCAGACCCTCATCACGCCCGAACCTCAGCTCAGTCTGGAGAAATTTGCTTTTTGATCCACCTCAAGAACTTCCCTGCTATGCGCATTGTCTCTGGCATTTCCACAGGATATGGTTGCGACCGACGATAGTTGCTCTCAATGGAACCAAACCCTTGACTCGTCATCACGAGGTAGACAGGGTGCACCAGGTTTGAACAGGCGACCACTGGGCAATTGTGGGCTCACCAAGTTAATCCCTGCTAGCATGGTGATCGAGAGCGCATTTGCAAGAGGCATTCATTCGAATAGGCAAGATTCAAGACTAGGGCCGTCGGCCACAGCACAAACGCGTGAGTTCCAACTCTGACCTCGACATTCAGCTGCGATTGGATTCGACATGCAATGCTCCCACATGCGGAACAGATGGAAAGCGACCCGGGTGGCAGGACATTCTGGCGTCACCCCCAGACGAATCTTGTCTGGTAGGTGCCGTGAAGCGGCCCACCCCAATGCGATCTTGATCGACAGATCAACTCTGTTTGTAGTGTCTTCGACCGCTTGAAGAGGGATGTTTGAAGCCATGGCCACAACCAGCATCCCCAGGGCTCCAATAGCGAAGCGTCTTTGAAGATGGCAAGATCGTGTAGGGGGGGGTTGCAGCACGGGTTTGGTACCATGTCCTCTAGTCTATGGCCACGGCCACGGTGCGCACCTTCTCTGCCATGCAAGCATGCATGTTTTGGTCCTGTCTCTACCGATGTTTGACCGGAAAGGAGCGTCGACTAATATGTGGAGCATCCTGCATCGATTTTTCTTTTCCTCCAGTGATGTGTGTCTATTGGGTGCAGATTGGCGCAACAATGGCAGCGTTCTAGGTACCCAGTAAGGGGCTTGGGGACGTGCAAGGATGTGGAACAACTCTTGTTAGGCGTGTCTGTCCCTCGTAAAGGCTGGTGGGCGAGGATTTTGGCGCACCACTGCTCAGATTGCCGGTGATATGTAGTCGGTTCTCCAGTCAGCAATGCTCGCTTAGGTTCTAGGTTCGCTTTCTTACTTCATTCTCGTCTGCCCCTTCCCAACCGCATAGCTGTCCTCATGTCACTGTCCATGTACAATGCCCCCTGTGGATCGCACCTGATGAAGCCGAATTCATTGCCACAGTTGTTCAGATGAACGGGATCGAACTGTCTCGAGGGGCAGGCCTGCAGAGCAGGGAAGAGGGTGCGCACCAACAAGGAGAAATTTCAACTGACCAGGTTGGCCAACAAAGATGGAAAGGAATACGAAGCCGAGCGGAGACCAGAAACTAGGAGCTGCGGCACCAGCATCTCGTCGGGTCTTTTACGTCACGACAATGTTTGCTCGTTGCAGTCTTGGATCAACTTGGATCAACCTGGATCAACCTGGACGCGGCCAAAGTGGCCAAAGCAGCCCCGACGACAGTAGCGCAGTTTGCGCAGTTGAAGGGCCTGCCGAAATGCCTGCGACTCCTGTCATCGACTGGCGCCGATTGGGTTCCCTCGACGACTTCGTATTCTCATGCATCTGTCAAGTGTCAAGCCAGACCACTTGGCACTTTGAGCCTTTCAGCTCGCAGAAGCACCGTGAAACGACTGGAGCAACTCTCCAGGCTCTCTTTCACTTCCCCACTATCGTCCAGATTGATCGACTTCGCCCGCGATCAGCTCTCAGTTTTCTCGGATTTCTTGTGATGGAGCGACGGCCTACTGTGTGCTGCATCCAGCACCCCTCTCCAGCCATACCTCTGTACGGTGTGCATTGCTGGACCGCTGAAGAGAATGAAATGGTGGTCTGCACAGGCCACACACCCCAGAAACCCACCGCTGGGACGGTATATGGCCCTTGTATGTGACTATGACTGGCATCCTGCACACATGCAAGGTGACCAGGATCCCTATGCACCCCCCCGCCTTTGCCTCCTCCTCTCTGCCAGCCTCATATTTCGCACCACGTTCGTATCGTGCGTTCTCCTTCCTCTTTCTCTTTCTTCCAGCAATCAAAACTTCTCTGATGTTGACTTTCCCACAATCGTCTCCATGTTGAAGCAACAGCAGCAGACGGAAGTCGTGATACTGAGACGAGCTCGTCACCATGGCGAATATGACCTTTGCAATGCCCAGCATTCCTACCTTGAACCAAGACTTTGACGATGCCAGGGACGAGTTCCTAGACCAGCTCGCGGACGAGGACCGGAATGCCTTTCGTGGCGTGGACACACGTGAACAGCTACACAACTATACAGCGCAGCTCGCCGAAGCGTCTCAATTCAAGAAGAGACCCGCTGTGAAGATACTACGGATAGTAGTGTTGCTAACTGAGGCCCTTGCGCCTTGTTTCGAGGCGCTTGAGCTTGTCACACAGGGCGTCTCAGCGTGTGCCTCTATGGTCTGGGGATCTATATCCCTAATTCTCAAGGTTAGAAGGTCCATTTCCCCCCTGTGTGACCAAGTGTTGAACCATGAAAGATGGCAAGCCCCTTTCCCGCTTTCTTCGCCAAGCTGGGTGATCTCTTGCAAGAAGTGTCGGCACATATTCCTCCTTACCGAAAACTTCTCGAACTCACCAAATCGGACGCTTCTCCATGTGAACGGCCACCGTGGAATGATGCACTGAGCTTGTCTCTTCACGGGTTATGCGCTGATCTTTTCGATCTTTTCGGCAACCTGGGTAAAGTCTTTACCCAAAAAGACGCACGTATGTTACCCTCCTCTCTCCTCAGGAAGTATATAACAGGATATAGGACTGAAGAAAGCATCTTTGGTTGTTCCTAATCTACTTTGGCATCCTTTCGAAGCTCGGTTCGAAAACTTCCTGAAGAAACTCGCCGTCCACACCGAAATTTTGGACTCAGAGATGCTTGTACTGGCCCAGAAGCCTATGCAAGCTGTGCGTCCCATTCATGAGATGCTGTTGATCCATTCACAATTGTCTTTGGAACGAATGCCCGAACACAATGATATCCTTAGGGAGGTGAATCAAGGAATGGGAGTAGCCCCCAAAAGTAAGTTCCTCATTCAAGGCGATATGGGGACCATTACCAAGTCTTCTAGGTGAGCTAATTGACCGCATCTGGAGGTGGTTGTGCCCACCATCATTTGCCGATGCTTTGAGGGGGGTGTGTTCTCTTCGTCAAGAGGGCACGGCAAATTGGCTATTCAAGCTCCCAGAATACAACTCCTGGTTGACAACCTCTCAGGGCATGGACGGGCCATACGAGTGGCCTGCCCCTTGGCTCTGGGTTAGAGGTCAGCGTTCCCTATTCCTTGCTAGCACTCGACACTGATGTTGACCCTGAGCATAGGGGTGCCCGGAACCGGCAAGACCGTTCTTGCCTGCGCAACGATTTCTAAGCTCTCAGAGTTAGCCTATCAGAAAGCTAATGGCTCGAAAGTCATCTCGTACTTCTTTTTCGACCACGATAACCCGGCGCGGAACTCGATTCGCTCTGCGTACGCGTCTCTGCTGGCCCAGGTCCTCGACCAATGCTCCACGTCCCCCGATATCCTTGATTTGTTCAGCTATGCTATGACTCGAAGGACTCGAGGACAAGACCTTGCGACAAAAGATGACATGGCTGACATACTTAAACTCTTGACACCCCTGTTGCAAGATTGGTACATCGTCATAGACGCTGTAGACGAGTGCGCCGCGTCAGAATCGTTCCTGAGAAACCTCTTAGACCTGAGGTCTGCTGGGAGGCCCAGGATTCTGCTATTCAGCAGACCAAATGTCAGCTACCTTCACCGAAACGTACCTGCTGCTGACACGATCACCGTAACGCCCGAGCTTGTGAACGCCGATCTGCGCTGCTTTCTCTCAGTCCATCTCGAGGAAATGCAAAACTTGGATCTCTTCCCCCGTGGTGCAGACCGTGACGAACTGATCTGTTTTCTTCTCACGGGTGCTGATGGCGTGTTCAAATGGGCGCAACTCATGATTATCTATTTGAAGTCAGACGTTCTGGACATTTCGTCCCGGATGAGACTAATCAGAGACCTCAAAAGACCCGAAAAGCTTGAAAATATGTACATGCGCATACTTGAGGTGATCGCACGGAAGCCTCGAGTTGAGCAAATCTTTGCAAGGCGCCTATTCGTGTGGCTTGTCTTCGGCAAAGGCGTCGGTCGTCTAGACCAACTCCAGGACCTCCTTCAGACACTGAAAGGGAAGGTAGCCTCAGATCTCACTTTGGAAGAACAGAGAAGCTACGCATCCAAGTTTGCCAATTTTGAGGACAGCATAGTTGCGATCTGTTCGAGCCTGGTTGAGCTGAGGTGGTCCGAACAAGAGCCTCGACGCAGGGTTTGCCGTTTCGATCATTACTCCGCCCATGAATTTCTCAGGCTGAGGTGTTCCCAAACTTGCGTTGACGCTGATATCGGAGTGGCAGGCACCAAATACCTCCATCCCCCGAGGTTTGAGGCGGAATCCGAGTTGCTAATGGCCTGCTTTCAGTATCGCCAGATGCAGCAGTTTCACCGGCCGTCTTCCAGGAGCTCTTTCCAAGCAGTGTCCTATACTATCTTAGACAATACTCGACCGTTCCTGAGATACGCCACCTTATTGTGGGTGGCACACCTAAAACAACCATCGAATGCTACTGGAAAAACACTTGACGCCCTCATACAAACGTTGCGTACGTTCCTCGCTGATGGCGCGGGCATGCTGGCCTGGGTCGAAGCACTTTACATCTACCAAGCAGACACCAAGAGGATATTTGACGACTTAGGTCGATGGGCGTCCAAGCTACCCACCGGTCCCACCTCGTCCTCCGGCCCATTTTCACAGAAGCTCAACGAAATTGCCCACCTTGTACATGCTTTGGTTAGAGACCTCCATCAGCTGGACAAGGCGGGGAAGGCTAAACTCTTGAGAAATCCGGGTCAGCTCTGGACTGAAATCACGGCGTTCAGCAATAGTCCATTCTTCGCCCGACCGTCAGCGACTACTGCCCCGCAAGCAGCGCCGGAGGGAAACAGGCTATCAAGAGGTAGCTCAGCTCCTTTTGCCCAAATATCTCGTGAGAAGGCTGACGAAGACATCTTCGCTATTCTGAAAATTTGGCCTTCTGCGGTATTCGACAGTGCAACAAAGAACGGCTACTCGCCCAATGCTGGTGAATCCAGCGGAATGTATCAGGGATGGATTGCTCAATATCAGCTATGGAGCATACGGCCCGCCAACCCCGTTCTTAATGAAGAATGGGATTTCCCCCTTGGCGTGCAGGAGATCTCATCCTATGTCGCTATTGCCCAGAGTGGATCTACCACTAATTGCCTGGGATTCTTCAATTCTGCTTCCGCCGAGGCTGATACTGTTCCCATCAACCGGCAATTCCCTATCAGTATCGGCCAGAATCTCGACATGTTCACCGTCCTGCACAAAGTTTATGCTAGTCACAGAAATCATTTGTTTTCCCCTGAAACTTGTCGGACGAATCCATGTAATTGGTATTGCAAGCGACTCCCGATTATCTATGACGCCAGGTCTGTTTCGGTGTTCCAGCCTCTGGATCGCTGCGTCCAAGACTCTCGCAGTAGTGGAGTTGCTTCAAGGGAGAGTCGTACCGTGTTCAAAGCTGGGAGGCCAGCAGCCTCCCGGATCTTCGTGCACAATGACCTGGTCATTTACCAAGGTGTGGCAAGCAGCAATTATGATAGAGGACTAGACCACTACAGCGGCGGCTTCGTGAACGAGAGTTCCTTCATGGCAATTTTCAAGGTGGAAGCTTATGGCCGCGGTTGCAGCGTCAAAGTGATCGCCGTTCTGGACGGCCTGGACTTTGCAAATGTCTTCAACAGTTGCACTTTCCATCCGACCCTGCCGTTAGTCGGACTCATTTGGCACACTGGGATATTCTACCACTGTGCTGCGCTCTGGAGCTTTGCAACCCCAAGTCGGGAAAGGAAATTTGGAGCTAGCTATGTTACGCCAAAAGATTTCCAGATTGATACCATCTACACCTCCACAGTGCTTGTCGATTGCGGCCCGGTTGCCAGAGTCCAGTTTTCCGGACGCGGTAGCGAACTGCTTGTCGAATTCCTCTTTCACTATCTTCCGGGCGTCTTCGAGCTCGAAGAAAGCGCTGCATATCACGCTGCGGTGGCTGCGCGCGAAAGGTCGATGAAACATAGAATCGAACAGATATCAGGGTTCTCTCGCCGAGGTTGCGGTCTAGACGGAACTCAGACTCGTTTCCCAGGTCCCCTTGGTGCTCGGCAGCAGCAGGACGGACTTGTTGTCCATAGGGACGGGGCCATTTCTCTCCACGTCTCGAAACTCGATCTGGCTCGACGGAGCGTTGTTAAGCCAACCCGAAACGTGGATTCTCGCAAGGAACAGACAGCATCGTCTCGGGCAGTGTCCAGTGATGTCGACCATCTCCGGGTTAGTGTTCGCTCACCGACAAGGACCAGACAGGACAAGATCGCGCTGATTCTGAAGCAAGCGAAAAGACCAGATCATGAATTCAGCGGGTTGATCAGAGATCCTCGGCCAACGGCTAGCACGGGGGACGTCCGAGCTATGGCGCCTTGCAGATGGATGCACATTGGCTCTCTGCACCATCAAGTACAAGATGAGACGCAAGCTCTCCAAGTGAGCAGCAGTACAACTGTGGATGCTTCCTCCTTCTCCTCTTCGTCGTCGTCGTCGTCGTCGCCGTCTTCTTCGTCTTCTTCGTCTTCTTCTTCTCCTTCCTCGCCCCCTTCTTCTCTTCTCCAAGACTTGAACCAACAACAACATGCGACCAATAGTCTGTTCTCACATCAGAAACGACTTCGATCAGCTTTAGGACACGAGCCACCCGAGGAAGCCGGACCATCCAAGAAACCCCGTTTTTGATTTGAGCTGGCTGCTGTTTTTTTTTGCACGGCGTACGGAGCACGGAGTTACGCAAGTATGTTATCACGAGGGCGTGTCTGCAATGACCGTCCTGGATAGAACTCACGAATTACATATTTGTTCGATCAGGGTACCCATATACTCATCGAGGAGATGGAAAAGGAAAAGGAAAAGGAAAAAGAAAAGTCGAAAGGGAAAGGGGACATCGGAAGGAAAAGTACATGCACACAATACAAGGACGGAGTACAGGGTTGGGGGGACATGAGGCAAACACAAATACATATCAGGTACAGACAGAAGACGAAGTTGGAACGAACCATCTTTCAAGTCAATTAATCAATCACCACCCAGGTAATATTAGTTGAACCGTTCAATTTCCGGTTCTGGCGGCCATCTCGTCTCATCTCCTCCCACCCCCATCTCACCCAATCTCTATACTCCCTGTACTCGGTTCATGTGGGGTCTTCGTGACACGTTTAATCTTGCGTGCAAATTTCCTGTCAAGCTTGTACCTTGTCGAAGGAATAGTCTAGAGCCTAGAACCTATAGACACAGCTCAGCAATCAATAGGGTGTAGCAATTAGTTTTGAAACAGAATCAACCCGGGGTTTCAAACACAAAAAAGCAACTTGGTTGAAAATTTCCCACCATATTAATGGGGCGCTCTGCACTGCATGCTAGGAATATAAGTAGATCAACCACCACCGCTGCTATCACCACACCATCATCATCACCTCCTGCTTCACATCCTCTCCCCCTCCCTCCTTTCTGTATATTCGTCTCGAGCGACGAGGCTCTCCTCCTCGCACTCTCTTGCTCTCACTGCCACGCCCTCAACGACACACTCCCCAACTAAAGCACCACCATATGCTTGCCAGGTCCCGCCGCAGCTTTCTAAGGTCGACATCTCCATCTTTTGGGTCAACGCCATCCATCCATCCATCCGCCCGCCGCCCATTGGACCCGAAACCCCCCGGCCTCTCCAAGTTGTGATGGATCAAATGCTTCCAATCTTTCACAAACTGACAGAAAAGCCAGATTTGTGCCCCATACCAAAAAAAGTACCTTGGGAATCATGTTGGATATATGTGAGAAAAATTAATTCGCCCTGTGCATCTTGTTCGGACTCGAGGGACTCTCTGATTTCCTTTTCGGCCCAAGCACAAGAAAACTTCTCGCCATGCATTGGTCGCAAGGTGGCAGAGACAGTATTCAGGATCAACAACCTGAAATATCTCTTTCTGGCTGAAGTTTCCTAGTTCATGCTTTTTTTTACTTCCCACAAAAATGACCCCCCCAAAAACCGACAGAGTGCAACCATGTCCCAAACCCAAATTGAAGAAAGAAGCAAAAAGTCGTTGCTGACACATAACCACATGACTAGACAATTTTGAAAGAAACAGAACGAGGTTGCATGAAGATCAAGAACCGAATAGACAGCAATCCACGCTATCAGACAGCTGGCAGCAGCCGTGGCCGCGCACATACTAACAAGAGATATCCATATGTAACAGGTGGTAGAAAAATAAATGATATGAGCGCCGTCCCGACAGTGCTGAGAAGTATTGTACCCAATTTGTGCGAAAAAGCGTGTTTCCAAGAGTTAAGATTCTAGGGGAGGCATCAAGGTCATTTCAAACTGATACAGGGAAGGTCGTTCGGTTTTAGTGATGGAGACCAGCTTGTAGCGCGTGAGGGTCCACGGTGCCGAAGGGTGTCATCGGCATGTCCATGTGCTCTCGAGGGTTGTGGAACTCCGACATGTCGTTCATCAACAGCATGCCATTCTCATCCAGCCCAGGACTCGGCATGGGCATATTGAGATTTTGTTTCGAATACATCTCACCCAACATCAACGTGTCATCCATAATCCCATGGTGGTTGAACATGTCTGCCGAAGCGCTTCTGTGCAACGCCGACAAAGGTGGCGAGTGGTCGGCGATGACGGGATCCGGATGACCCATGTGCGGCATGGGAGACACCGAACTGGGCATCATGGTATGGTCAACCATGGGAGAAGGCGACAAGAATGGCCCGCTGAATTGCTGTGGGGTGCCAAACTCAGATGCCGGCATAGGTGGTTGAGCTGGGTTTGATGGGAAGAAGCCTGGGCTGGCGAATTCCGAGGGTGAGGTGGCTGTGGCAGACATGGGCATTTGACGGAAGTCCATGCCGTACCCAGCAGAAGTATCGATCTGCAAGCTTGGCCCCAGTGGGGCCTGGACAGGATGCTGTGGCATGGGTTGGAAGAGGTTGTGCTGGTCAGGGGCCAGTTGAGGCGAAGGCTGTTGTATATGGAACGTTGGCATCGGTCCGTGGAGCATTGAAAAGTCAATGGCAATGGGGACAGACCGACTCCTCTGTCGCTTGTGACCCGGATGCATCCGTCCAGGATGAAGGTGATGCTGTACGCCGAACTGTTCTTGAAACATTCCGACATGAGGAGGTTGAGGCCGTGCGAATTGGACATTAGGTTGAGACGCAGGCCGCACAATTCCCATATTCGGGGAGACTGGCGCCGATGCAGGCATGGCATTAATGTCGAACGGGTTCAGCCGGTTCTGGAACGATTCGAGCGAGACCAATTTGGCAAGCTGACCGCTCAGCACCTTGGGATGCCCTCCTAGATGGTGAACCAAGATCTGAGAGGCTTGTTGGTCTTCGGTGAAGTCACCACACTGGTAAAACCCCCCAGAGTTGGATGAATCCATGAAGAAGTTTGGCGGCCTGTTCAACTCAATGACAAGCCCACTTGGTCTCGGCGGAGCCCCATTTGCGGTTGGCGCCGTATCCCCGGGTTCTAACTGGATGGACTTGATAAAGGCAAAGGGAAATTCGATCTTGTAACCGGCCGAGTCGTTGTTGATGTAGTAGGTGATGCATGCCTTGTCGGGGGAGTAGAAAATAACCAGATCCATGGCGTTCTGGCCCACTCGACGCCAAGTACCGATGCTCAAAGACCGACAGGTAAAATGTTGAATGACTGCGTCCTTTGGGTTAGACAGAACGGTTCTCTGGTTCGATCGGGGCCATAACATACCAACTTTGCCTTGGCCGGTCGGATCACCATTCATCAGCATGCCGCCACCACCATACTGTGCCATTGGCCCACCAGGCCGCAGAAGCTGGCGAGGAAATGGTCTTCCAGATTCCATGGCCTGCATGGCCAGCAGCTGCCTCAAGGACTCTGGGATGTTATCCAAATCGTCGCCATTTTCTAAGCTTTTTTTCGCCAGCATCTTGATCTTTGCGCGTCGGCGACTACATCAGGCCGTCAGCACTAGACACGTCTCCGTTGCCATGAACCATCTGCTTACCTGTTCTGGAACCAAATCTGGACGGATCGTTCGGTCATGTTGATCTCTTGAGCGATACGTTCACGAGTGGCAGCCGTGGGAGTGGGATTCTTGTTGAATTCCATCTCCAAGGTCACCAATTGCTCTTGTGTCGCCCTCTGTCTCTTTTGGTTTTTCTGTTGCTGGGTCAGAGTGCTCTTGCGAGGAGGACGGCGAGGCGCCGACGCGGACCCTTGAGTCGTGGAACTACTCGAGGCCGGCGTGGTTTGCGTGGGTTGACTGGCGTTGGGAGAAGGAGTGGATTCGACCGAAAGGTCGAGGTCTAGGTCAGTCGGGTCCGAGGACATCAAGTCCATTGGATCGACTTTGATGTCGGGGTTACCCATGGTGGAATGTTTTCGTGTCTCTCTGGTTTGGGGCCGTTGGGAAAAGGATTGAAATGCTCGTAGGCAAGGTGGGTAGGGAGGTTGGCGTTGCTTCGTTAGGTGGGAAAGGGTTTCCGATGGCTGATCCGAGCAGCGAGATGGGAAATGACTTCGTAGCCCAGCAAGTTCGACGTCTCCAATGCTCGCGCTGTTGAAAGGGGTGGGGGGGGGTTTGTGGGTAAAGACTGTATTGGAGCGAATGGAAAAATAGAAGCAAAGAGCTTAATGAATGTGGTTCGAGGGCCTTGAAGGAGTGAAAGGCGCACTCGAGGGTTGATGATTGAACAACAAGAGAATGAAAGAACGTGATACAGAGAGATAGAAGAACGGTAGAGAATGGGTCAAAAGCGACGGTGAGGATGGGAAGGGGAAAAAAAAGAGAGGGAAAGACGAGACGACAAGAGCAAGACATTAAGGGAGGCCGCGAGCCCAGTCAGGCGAAGGGTAGAGGAAGCGGTAAAGAAAGGCAAGCGGTGCCAGCGGTGTCAGCGGTGCCAGCGGCGGCTGCTGAGTGGTCATCCCAGGGCCACCAGGGCCTTCTGGGCCTCTCGGACAGCCAGGAGTCAGGAACCACGCCCCCCCCTTCCCTCTCCAAAACCCTTTAAGCCGAGCACCAATGCAGGTACAAGAAGGCCCCAAAAACTCAAAAGCCGCACGGGCCCCTGGTCGTGTTGGCGGGGCGGCTCCTGGACGGGCTTAGTACCTCATTCTAGCTAGAAAGGGCGTCATTAGCGGCCCTGATGCCTCGTTATCCTCCCAGAATCTGACATGGCGCTTTTCTAAGCGTCCCAGGCAGCAGGACCACTATCCTCCAGCTGGCCTAGCCGCTCCTGCTAAAGGCCCAATGGTCAACCTGGTTTGTCCTGAGCGCCCAGGCGTCGCACTCGCTCCCCTGGAGGAGCTCGCCAGGGCCTCGTCTGACGCGCCCAAGGGAAGCACCACAGGATCAGTCAAAACACCCCATGTCACAACATGGATTCATGCTGTCCGTCTCACCCACCTGGTCATGCTGGCCGGGCTGTTGAAAACCGCGCCCAGGCATCCTGATTGGCTTCAACTGGCTATTGTTCCGAGTGCTTGCCACAAAAAGGGAGGTTGCACACAACGCAACCAGCTCGTGACTACTTGATACTTGGGACGCCAGGAAGAAGCCTTTGATACAGGTATCCCGTGAGAGCGAATATTTCTGGTGCTAAGGGAACCGTTGCATTTCAATCCGACACCCACTGTAACTCGGCTGGCACGCGTCCGAGACACCATACTCACGCTTAACTGCAGCCGCCGGCACAGAAACCGCTGCCAACTTAGGATATCCCCCGGCCTTTTCGACAGCAGAGCGCCCACCATCATTCGAGAAGCTGGGACGCCGGCCGCCTTTGTTGTCCTGAGTACCGAGTAGAGAGCCCTGCCACCCTATCGAGCTCCCTTCTCGTATTCCATAGGCAAAGCCGTAGCCATGGTCGATTTCGATCGACCATTCAAACCAGGTCATGAGATGCTTCTCGAAACAATTCGTGCGGAGCCCATCTCGTCTGTGTCCCATGCTGATCACGTTTGATTCGTATAGTCAGTGCACCGTTACGACGGCACCAATAATGCAGACAAACGAACTCGGGTTCTTCGAGCGTGTGTGCAAGAGCCACGAGAAGATCCATGATTGGCCACTCCGGCCAAGGCCTTCATCTCTGGTGAGCACCATGACGGCGGCTATGATTCGCCACAGAACAATCGCAAATGCTTCTACAAGTACTTGTTAGGCTGCACGAGGTCGTCATGAACAAGTCTGTGCTGCTCGGGCCAGCAGTGGCGCCTCGTCCAGCATCGACGCGCCAGCTGTCTCACACATTGCATTGGACAGCCTGGTGAGCCTAACCGTCGACAGACAAGTCAGTGGGATGCACGAGAGGCGACAAGATGCCTACGCCGAAGATGGTCTCACACTCATATGCGTTGTAACCCTGGGCAAAGTGCATCTTGTCGTTGAAGGATTGGTGTATTTGGTCAGACGGGCTCGGGAGAAGACATGAGGTGTTGCACATGCCAGGAGCTATGGGCTGATTCTCCCTAGCATCCGCCAGTCCATGGATTTTTTGTCACTGCCAGTAAAATGTGCTCTACTCGGGTCTCAAAGGCCCGACTTCGCCACAGTGCTTTGGTTTGTTTTTTTTTGGGGGGGGGGGAGAACGGGCGGGTGGTGGAAGCCTCGTTGGCCACGAAGAATCCTCTAGTCTGAACCTGGTTGATGATAGATATATACACCCATGTACGTCCATATATTTCTCACAGATCATGTTGCTTGAACACATCATACTGTGCTCCGTATAGAGCACGAAGGAAAGGTCAAACCGAGCAAGGCGTAGGAACCTTCGATAAGAACAGATAGGGGACGGAGGTTTGCGCAATTGAGACCAAACCAGTTGAGGCAGGAGAGCTGGAGCTGAGCAGTGGTCTGACGAGGCTAACTCTTGGGCGTGGCAAGTGCTCCAGATACGAGATGGCTATTCCGTAGAGGGCTGTTGGCACGATGCTAGAGCTTTCTTTTCTTCGACGGTTGACTGTGGCACCACGCTGCCGAATCGCCCGCATTGAACAGCCCAAGTGCCCAAATCGATGAAGATCTAGTGCTGCATGAGAACTGTGTGGCTTGTTTCCCCTTTACTCCGCATTATTGCAGTGACGCCTCCTTGGACTAATGTCAGGTACCCGGTCGCGGTCATTGGAGGACATGCTCGCCAGGTCCCCGAGCAAAGTGGTCCGTCCAGCGGAAATGCCAGGATCCAGGATGGAGGATGTCTGAAATGCTGATGAATTGACAACGGAGAGTGGAAAGAAAAACTCTTCACCACGCGTGAAAAGTAGACTGTATCCTTCTGCTGTCATGAGACACATACTCCGTATCTTTTCCGTGACGACTGAGGCTTCGCAAGAGTGGAAGAAAAAGATGGTCCTTGTCTGGTATCCCAGGCGGATATAAGCCCACGGGAACTCACCACCGTCAGTCCTTGATATTCCGTACAAGTACATCATCCGACCCCCCCGGCCAAATGGGCGGCAACTGAAGCAATGGAGAAGCAAGGCAACAAAGACAGTGCGTGGTGTGAAACGACACGGCACAGAAAGAATTCTCTCTCGAGGGGCAGATGCTAAGTACAAATGGTGTCACGTTGGAGCGACTTCTTGGCAAGGGGCTTCGGATGCACCAGTGGCGGTGTGTTTCCATCAAAACAACTTGAATCTTTTGTCTTTCTCATACCTGTTGGAGACCCGTGCACTTCTCCGTGCTGTACCTAGTCTTAAACAAGTTTCTTCAGAGCTATAGCATGACTAGCGATCTTCGCTGAAGCGTCGCATGGGAGTCGACTGCCACCGCGTACAAGTAGCAAAGTACAAGGGTGGCGGATTCTTGCCCCCTTACTTAGGTATAGGTACTTGTACGCTTGTCTCACCTGAAGCCCCATCTTATACCTAAAGCAGGCACTCCACTTGACCATACGGAGTATCATCATGCACGGAATCGATAGCACGGATCCCCCTGCCTGTAGCAGCTGAAGTCGACGCATAAGAAAACCCGAGGCGGCAATTGCGCACTAGGCAAATATCGACAAGGTGGAAGCGGACAGTATGTCCTCTGGAGTGTATTCAATTCTAGCTGCTCGCTATATGCATGCCCTGCAAGTCCATCCATGTCCCAAAGACCCTGTCCCATTTTCTGTCATAATTCAGTGCTCGTACTCCGTACATATTCATACTCATTCTTCGTTCAGAAAAAGAAACAAAAAACAAAACAAAACAAAAACCAAAGCGTCTCAGGGGTATTTTTTTTAGTCGTCGCCCATATCTCTATCGTAGCAACTCCTGGCTCCTGCGCACCGCGCCAAAGCCCCTGCTGAACAATTCGCCAATATCGATAGACTTGCGCTGCTGCGACAGCTGTACTTCGCTCATTTCGTGACTGCTCCCGTCTGTTGGATTCTGTGGTCTCTTCGTACTGGGGCCTGCCCTGGTGCTGACCCCCGAGTCGTTCCTCTTCATCTTCGGCTTTCGCCCATCCGTCATGTCGCGAGGCTTGTTGAGTAATTCCTCCACTTGTGCCTCCCGTTCAGCTTGTTCGGCGGCTTCCCGGGTCAGCTCCAGACTTGACTTTTTAGTCCCTCTGTCCCAACCCTGTTGCAAGAGATCTGCCGCAGCCTCCTCGAAGCGCTTGCGAACCTCTCTATCTCGCTCAAACCCCTGAAAGATGTCCACGTCGCTGGGCCAGACAACCGTGCTGATTGCTTTGATGGTCACTTCAAGCAGACAAACGGCCGAGATGGTCCACAGCAATGTGATCCACCAGAGAAGATTGCGCCCGAACCGATCCAGCAGGGCGTGGTTGACGCTGTACACAGGGTTGAATGGGTAAATGCTCGACAGGATGAGGTTCCACAGCCACCACCCGCCCACTGACAGAAAGATCGCTACCGCTGCCATCACCGACTTGTTGTGCAATTCAATAAACTGCAGTTTCAAAGAGATGATGACGATACAGGCAGTGAAGACGAGTGACCCGAAAGCGTACAGGTCCTGGTCTCGAGTAAACCAGGCAAGCCCATATATGCCGTAGATCATGAAGTAGACAAGAACTGCTTCACAAACCGCCAGTGTAGCCCACCTCAGATAAACCCAGAAGCTGAATCCACGATCTTGTTGGCCATAGTTGTAAAGTTCCGGGACCGCCAGCAACGTGGATGCCGCCAAATCCTTCTCGAAGACGCCCAGAAAGATCACTGGAAGAGACGTAAACAGTGTGTTGAACATGGACAGACTCCAGGGCTCGTACAAGCTGGTGCCGGTGTAGCCGTTCCATCGCTGATACAGGGCTTGGGCACTGTAGAACATCATTTCCTTCCACAAAGTGCCGAGAAGATACTTGCAGATTCGAACATAATTCCATCGCCCATGCACGAGCAGCAACTTCAACAAGAAGCGGAATTGCGCAATCGAATAATCTGAAGTTCGCGCAGCTTGGAGGCCTTCCTTACCGGCAATGCCGATGCCCAGATGCGCCTCTTGGATCATGGCAATATCGTTAGCTCCATCCCCAATAGCCAATGTTACAGAGCCCTTGACTTTGGTCCTGATGGTTCGGACAAGGGAAGCCTTCTGACTTGGGGACGCTCGGCAACAAATTACAGAGTCAGCACGGATTGCGACATCTGTGAACAGCGCCCTCGTCGCGCGGTCTGCGTGGATAATGGTCAGAGTTTGTCCATCAACAACCAGTACCGAATGCGCCGTCTTCTCGTTGCAAATCTGGGCAAAAGCCTGGGCCATTCGATTGTGCAAGTCTCCGAGCTCGTGATCAAGGACAATGACGGTAGAATAATCCTTAATCAATCGGCACGAGTGGCCAATGTTAATGGCGGTCTCGCGTTTATCTCCAGTAAGCATCCACATCTTGATGCCGGCTCTGCGGAATCGATCAATAGCATCAGGAACCCCCTGCTGAAGTTTGTCTTCGATTGCGGTGGCTCCAAGCAATTCCAATTTCGCCTCGAGCAGTTCTGCTGCATGTTCAATCTTTTCCTGTCTATCCACGATGCTTGTTGTAGCAGACGAATAGACCTCCTTCCAAGTTTTGTATTCATCATCGGTGAGGTAACGATATGCATACAGGAGAGTTCTAAGGCCTTCAGTCGCGAAGTCATCAATGTGCTGGAAACAGCGTTCGAACACAGCATTCTCGTCTAGAATGAGGCTTTCGTCAACAAGATCTTCTGTACCATCGGCTTGCATGGAAGCACGAGGTGTCGGCTGAGGCGAGTATTGCGCTCTCCCACCGTAGCTTTCTGATTTGCGGGATGAAAGTTGCATGGAGGGTCGCGATGAGTAAAATTGAGAGCTTTTACGTCGTTGGGAAGTGCTTGCATCCTTTTCGCGCTCTTTTAACCAAAGATCAATGCTGTCTCGCGCAGTCCGAGAACGGTCGAAGGAGAAGCCACTGGGTCGTGGAGAAGCTACATAGCCGGAGCTTGAGCGCCGACTTAATTGAGTGCTGCGCCTCCTCAATGCTTCTTGCGCTTCAACGCTTTTCCGCTGACTGGCTCTCCTTTGCACAGCTTGCACATTCGAAGCTGCCAGATCTGCCAAACGCAGGAGCTTCCGAATAGTGCTATCCGCGCCCTTGCTGATCAGGCATATGCGTTGGTCGGGGAAGCGAACAACGACTGACATTCGCTTCCTAGAGCTAGAAAATTCAATAACGTCCAGCACTTCGTACTTTTCATAGACAGGAGAGTCCTCGTCCCCATCAGAATAAGTCTTGATCGTCACTGTATTAGAGTGTCGGTCAGTCACGATGTAGCCTAAGTCTTGCGCTGCTGTCACCAATGCCAGTTCATCCGGTGAAGCAGCCTGATAATCAATATTGCCTTCATCATCTTTCTCCGGAATACAAGTGTGACATAGAGCCAATGAAAGAAGAAAAAATCGAGCATTGCGGGCAAAGACAGTATAAGGCCGCCGGTAGATGTATTCGAGGAGATCTTGTGTCTTGCCTGATTCCATGGTCATGTCGAGGCCGTTTGAGGCTTTCCACTGTGCCTCTTCAGTGGCATAGGCTGGTTTGGTATGGTTGACAGTCCCAGTCCTAGTTGATGCAGTTGATTTCCGAAGAGCCCTAGAGAAAGACATCCTCTGCTTCTTCTCCGAACGAGGTTCCTTCCCTTTGCCGCCCCGCTTTTTGTGCCAGAGCTTCTCACGACCGGCCCCATCTGCAGCTTCGTCTTGCAGGTCGAGATCATGCAACCACGAAGTGCCACCAATGCTCATTTTCCGAAACTTCATCGAGTTATTCGTGAGCGTTCCAGTTTTGTCGGAGAAGATGTAGCTGACCTGCCCTAACTCTTCGTTGATTGTCGATGTATGTGGTTCCATTGGAGTGTCTGATTCGGGATCGTACATATCCACATCATTCATCAAGAACATCTGGGCCAATTTGACGATTTCAAGTGACACGTACAAGCTCAGAGGGAGCATTGTGTTCAACATGATGATGAAGGAGGTTAAAACATGGCCAAAAGGCACCTTCGCGTTTTGAAGATACCACGATTTCTCCTCGGTCGTCTGACGCCAGATCTGATAAGCCACGGTTAGGATTATAGCCATGAAGATGACGAGCGATGCCACAAAAATGACAACTCTATTGACCTTAGCCTGCAAGGTCGGTGCCTTTGTGCGTGGAGTCTTGTTGGCGTTCATGCGTATCTTACATTCCTCGCCAGAATAGATGGCCAGACCGACTGCAGATGGAGTGTTGCGCAGCACGCTGCCACGATACAGGATCTCCGAGTTGGTCAGCGGGAGTGTCGTTCCGTTGATCGTTACCCTGCCATCGAATTTGTAGAGGTCAAGGTTTGGGTCCTCCACCACAAAGTCGGCGGGCAGCCTGGCGATGGCATCTGGATCTCGACAAGCTGCACTCACTTCGGCCACAGGTTTCTTGGACTTAAGATTTGTTTCTCCATCGAGGCTTTTTGTTTCGACGTAAGCTGTGTCTGTGGCCTCATCCGTATGAAGTAGTATCAGGTCGGCAGGAATACCAGCATCTCGATTTAACAGTACAATGTCGCCAACTCGTACTTCGCTCCATGTCTTTTCCTGCCACACTGTATTAGCGGAGCCAGATGGAGCAATCCTGAGGACCTGAGTGACTCTTTCATTTTCCTCTTTGTCCAGGCGGCGTCTCCTGATATCGTCATATCCTTCTTTGGCCATGGACAGAGCGACAAAGATAAGCAGAGGGATGATGGTGGTGTATGTGCCAGTTGTACTCAGACCGGGTATCATCTGGAGAATAGAAACGCACAGAAAATAAAAATTGGCAAGTTTTCCAAATTGGGCGACGAGCTGTTTGGGGACAAAGTTCCAGGGTGTGTAGCGACATGAGCGAATGACGTTGCTGATGTAGGGCTTCCCAGTCCTTTCGTCGAGGGCGTGGTCGGCTTCTACTACATTCACCCTGATATGTCTTCCATCAACACTGGGCAGAATATTGTGTGCTCGAATAATGCTATCCCGAAACTGCTGGTAGTTTTCTGTGAGCCGTTTGAGCAGGGTCATTCGAGAATGATGTTTGGACATCCACCGTCGATACAATGGGAGCTCTAGATCGGAATCCGACAGCCGCACAGGTTTGGTCGAGCGCGCATCAGTTTCTTCTTCTGCTTCCTCGACGGTGATTGTGGTCGAAGGTGAATCAGTCTTCTGTGCGTCGGCGGCAGCCTTTGCAGGGTCCATCTCAAATGTACCTCCATTGTCCGAAGCCTGCTTCTGGATGTTCTGCGTGAAAAGCGAGCGTCTGAGGGAATAACCCCGATTGCGACCAACAGAAGAACTCTTGAGTATGCCAGCAGGGGGACGAGCGGAAGTTTTCAGCTCTTTCGCTTGTATATCTTGATCTTTATCCGGAGGAAATTCAATCGAGAAGCGGACTTTGGATGTATCGTTGGCAGGAGGGGTCTCCAAAGGTAGGTCCGCCGTGCTTTGCACAGAGTTTCTTTCTGAAGAATGATCTCTACCAGCCCGGAATGAGTCCTGCTCATTGCTTTCGTGGGTTTGACCGCCTGGGTCTTTTGATCGGTTTACTGCCATAGCGAACGTCTCGAAGGATCTCTGGTAGAAGGCGCGAAGGGCTAGGAAGGCTTGAATGTTTCATTGGCGCAGTTCTCCCCGGGAGTCGAATCTCATTGTTGGGGCAAAGCGTGGGAGACGAAAAAGCTCCTTTGTAAAAGATTGGGTTCGACGAAGGTCAACTTCACATTCTAGAAACAAAGACATAGCTCACAAGAGGATTGCGACGCAGAAAGGAAGTGTCTCAGATTGCGCGGATGAATCTTGCGAGACAGCTGCGACCGTTTCGTGGAGAGGCGGTGGCAGTGCATAGAAATGTTGCGCAAGCAGCAAATTACCCAGTATTATTCAACGGATCTCCGTTCGGGTGAGTTTTGCCAGGGCAAGCCAGGGCCAGGGCAGCCCACCAGCCAGGAACCCTTAAGGAACCCTCCGACAGCGTGCGCGGCGGGAGCACCCTGGTGCCCCTCTGGTACGTCAAAAATGTGGGCAAATGGTGGGGGTCAAGAGGGCAGGATTGGGCCAGAATGACCGTCACTGGGTAGCACTGCGCACAAGGTGGGCGTTGATGTCACGCCCAGACGGCCTGTTACCGAGTCCACCACTCACCTCCCTCGCAGCGACATTTCCAAGCACCAGCAACCACGTTCCCCGACCGCTTCTGCGAGCAATTGCCCAAACGAGTCTGGTTCACCCTGCTGGGTCAGATCCTATTCCAACAATCAACTTCAATCGATGACGGAATTCGAGAGAACTCCGCCTCGGTACATGTGTTCGAATCAGACGTTCACAATGCACCACCCACGCGCGAGAACCTACGAGAGAGACGATGAGATCTCCATCCAACATCCTGTTTGGCGCAGTCGACGGCACGCTCCTGTCACAGCAAAATCGAAACCTCGAACACGACTCGCACACGTCCTTAAACTACTATCATGCGTTCAACCCTCGTGTCCAGCCATGGATGAACCTGTTGGGAGAGATTCAGGTTACCCATCTCTTGTATATGAAGTATGGCCCCAACTCAACCCACCTTTGACGATCGCCAACTCGGTCTCTTTGGCGAAAATAACATGGTGTTGTGCTGTAATCATTGGTCTAAGAGCGCTACTGCCACTCAGGAACTCCGGCGGAATGAAGAAATGTCGTTCAATCTTGGGCAGAACCTCCTTCTTTGGATCCTGCAGCTTTACAGAGCATATCCACAGATCACGGTCGAGGAAGATGATTAGGTCCGAGCAAAGACCAACAATCTCTTTGATATCCCGAGCTGGAAGTTCCAGTGAGAAGGAGCGTGGATTTTGAGACTTAACAGCTTCTGAATTGATGGACGAAACCGCCCAGCCCAGCACACGGATCTTAGACGAGCCACGTTGACTGAAAGCACAAGCAACGACATTTGGTTCGGAATCCTGTGCTAGGATCTGTGGAATAAGGTTCGCCGCAATAGACGCATCGAAACTAGGCGGCATATCCAGTGGAAGAGTAACCACATGCTGCATGGTATCCCAGTCATGCAGCTGAAGCGAATGGTCGGTATTCAGTACCCCTAAGTTGGGTCCTAATCTGACCCAGTGTCCCCCTCGAGTTGAGCCTTTCAGGCATTTCTGGCGAGCCTGCAGATTCCAGATAACGTGCTGGTTTTCGGTTGCTCCCAAGAGGTAGCGCCCACCATGACTGAAAAGCAGTTGCCGCAGCGGTCCAACCATATTGCGTTGTAACACGACCTCGCCTCTATTCTGCTCAGTCTGACCGCAGACATCAGTGAGTCTTCGAACTATGACGCTACCTCCTCCATCAGCACTTGCAATCAGACCGTTTTGAAAGGCGATTCTAGAGATGAAATGTCCATGCCCATGGGAGTGGATCTCGGAATGGAACAGCCCGGTGCTGACCTCATATGCCACAACGGATCCATCATCGCGCCCGGCAAAAATGAGATCTCCTGCCTCGTCAGGGCACATGGTCGTGATTGAGATAATATCGCCGTTGGTGCCAACCACAGGAGCGCCTAGGGCCCCGACGCTGCCCGTACTGGCGTCAGCTTTTGTCGGTTGGCGTACAAGGGCGCTTGGCTCCCAGACTTTTGTTCTCGAACAACGGATATCGACAATAAGAAGCCCATCTCCAGTGAAAGCCAATTCTCTAACATCATCCAGGCCACTTTTTATCGAATATAGCAAGCAAAGAGTGTCGAACTCCCACACATGGATCGTGCCACGGTAGTTTCCAGACCCTAGAGTCCGGCCATCGGGCGTTGCAGCAAGTGAATATGCATCGCCCTCAACTCTCACTAGCTCTTTCTGCGCCCAAGCGTCGTAAATCGCAAGCTCTCCGTCTTGGTATGTCACGGCCAGGAGATTCAGTTCTGGATTGGGATTGAACAGCGCTGTCTGCACCGAAATATTCCGCGCTTTTGACCCTACGTCTCTGCCGCAAAGGCCGAGAACAGTATTGTCCTCGAGGCTGCATAGATATATTGGCCTCCCTCGGTACAACAATGCGACCATTGACTGGTCAGGGGAGATGGCAGCCGCCAAAGGTGCTTGATGACGTAATGCGAGTTCTTGATGCTCTGTATTTCGAGCAGTCAGAGGTCTGCGACAATGTCCAAGAACATCGGGCACATCTGCCTCTTCTGAAGACCTCCAACGAACAATTTGGCTCGACGTTGTCACGCCAAGGAGCTCTTTCTGGTCTACCGAAAATTTCAGTGAGACGCATGGTATCTGTAAAGGTAAGATGTTCAGCAGCTCACCACCCATTGACCAGACACAAATAGAACGAGAGCTGGCAGAAGCGAACCTCGTGTCAGAGGAAGCAAAGGCCAACAGTCTCACTGCCGTGGGTGGCTTTGCCGTCACACCCGGCACACTTGGGGTAGACTCTTCCCAGTTCTTATGCTGCACCGACAATCGCTCTTGACAAGTGGACTGGTCGTACACAGTGACCACACCACTCTTCATACCGATCGCAAAAACGTTCGCGCCAGTCGTTAGGGAAATGGCCCAGCTGTCTCTATATTCGATGGTAGAAATGCAATCATCCCAAGTCTCAGAAGCCGAGCCGACACATTCGAGCCATTTAGGACCCCTTTGGACAGTTTGGAAGAGACGCGATTGTTTAGGTGCTATGGATGGTATTAGAGAATGGATGGAGCTTGGATGACTCCGCAGGTTATGACCGAATTTGGTGACCACTCTCATTATATCCGTGGCCCAATCGTCTAGAGTTTTGGAATACTCGCAAAGCTGCGTCTTACGTTCTCCTCGACTCTTGAGGAAGCCCTTGAAGTTCTTGGCTGCTCGCATCAGGGGATATAGCGAAGGTTGCTCCATGGCAATATGTTCAATCCAGGTCAAGGCTTTGGTGGATAAAAAGTTGGACACGTCCTTGAGCAACCGGTCTGACGTCGATGGAGAAGCAGCAAAATGCTCCGAGAATGCACTGCTGGCGTAGTTGGCAAACACGCTTCGACTTCGCAGCCGTCGATATTCACTGCCTCCGAGATATCGGCCGCGAGACGCCGACATCTCCTTTCCAAGGCATTCGAGACACGTTATTGCGAGTCGCTCGTGCCCAGCGCGGTGCGTGACTTCGAACAAGGATTCCAAAACCTCAAGGAGATACTCACGTGCCGTTGCGTGCACTAGTTGCACACGGCCGTCATTGTCAATAAAAAGCAAACCGTTGCAAGGACCTTCAATGACCGCTCTCAGATTTGGAACTCTGCACCCCTCATACTCATTCAAGGCAACCATGAGTTCTTCCAACTTGAGAGGCCGCATGGCGCATGTTGACCAAATCAGAACTGCTTTTGCAACCTCACGTTCGCCCTGTCGCTTCGACCGGAGCAGAGATTGAACGGATCTTTCGTAAAAGGCCGACATCCCGAGAGGAACCTCTTCGAAGATCTGGGCTATGGAGGTTTCCGAATAGACCACTTCAAGCTCTGGGGTGACCAAAGTCAGCCACAGAAAGGAGTCATTGGCTTTTGCCAGTAATCTCTCAACCAGAGCATTCCGCTTGGCGTGATCATCCACCGGGAAATAATCGAGGCGAGAGTTGAGATAAAGCCTCATGTCGGACTGCGTATTGACTGACTGGATCGAATCCATAGTTTTGTGGATACTGCTGTTCAACCGTTTGAAGAGAGCTTCGAGTATTGGGGTTTGACGGCCAGTCATAAAGATCCGGAGATCAAACAAGCAGTCAATCGTATCAAGCTTCAGGAACAACTTCTCCACCTCCGCGCATTCGTCTACTCCATCAATAACCCAATATTGAGGCCGCCGGATCTCGGACTTCAGTATGAGATTGACGAAAAACTTTCTCCAAACGGCACCATCATCGTCCTCGTCGAAGGTATCCCTCGACTCCTGCATCGTTATAAGCGCCTCCCTTATGTTTGGAGCAATTTCAGCCATTTGAAAGGCCAATGAAAGCAACATCGGGCTGATCCCAGTGTTTGCTCTCTCGCCTGTCCGAAAGAAATGGTATGAACAATCGCGCTTTTGAGACTGCAGATGTGTGATAACGTGGGCGGCGCACACAGATTTTCCTGCTCCAGCTTTCCCACTTAACCAAAATATACTGCAACGACCGTTCATGGACGTTACCCGCCGGTTCTGCACTGTATGCGAGCGAGACGATCCTTCTGCCACAGGAGGACTCTCTCGTGTACCATCCCTCCAAATTTCGAATACACGCCGAGCCTCTAACCATGTGCAAGACTCCTCTGCTTGTTTGTCTCGGTGCTGGTCGAGGTCAGATTGCGGTGGATGGCCGATGTTCAGATATGTTGCAATGGACTCCATCTGTCCTGCCTTGTATTGCAACGCGTCCTGCCAGGATCCTGATGTCAAACTGTCCGTTATCGTCAGGAATGTGTTTCGAAGGGTTAGGTAATTCTCATCTTGTGGACTGTCGAATTTGCAGATCTCCCGGTGGTCTGCAAAAATCATATTGACTTCTTCGCCGTCGTAGCCGAGGACCGCCGAATCTTGCTTTACGATCAAATGCGACCTGATCATCCCTCGAGTCTCATAGAAGCTCCACAAGCGCAGCTTGCCCGGGTGAGCTACACTTCTGAAATCGTCATTGATCGCCTGCAAAGAACTGGAATTTCGACAGAGGTCTTCAACGTAACCTTTCTCGCAACCCACAAGGTCAAGAAACCCGTTGAGCCGCTCTGCCGCGATAGACCCTCGATGAGGTGTTGCCAGAAAAACGATGCATTTGATGCGGTTTACGATCGACTTTCCTTGATGATGCGCCAGCAGGTAAGCCTTTTTGATGACCAATCCACCCATAGAATGGCCGATAAGGACGATGGGGGTCTGCTGTTCTCTCCTCAGATATGGTGAGTTCTCAAGTTGATGAAGGAGGTCTCGTCCAAAGTCATGCAAAGTGAGTTGGCTCGCTTTGGAGGTCATCCAGTCGTTTGCGTAACCAAATGAAGACGTCCGCACTCGGTCTTTCAAGTCGACGTCAGCGGCGATCCATTCCTTTGGCCAGAACAATCTTAAGTTCTCGTTTTTGCACCATGTTTTGACTGAGCCGCCTCTTAGACCATGGACGAACACAAAATCGACTTGAGGCTCTGCAGGGGAGTATAAAGGCGTCAATCCTCGTGGATTGCTCCCCGCGCTTTGCCTCACTTGTTTGACCTCAGAAGATCTGTATGGCAGCATCCCAAAGAGCTTTTTCGGAGATGAGGCTACTGCCCATTGTAAGTCGCCTTTGTTGCGGCTTCTTCCATGCGATGCCTGCCCGGAGTCCATCGAGGATGGAAGCAGAGCGAAAGAAGCGAAAATGTAAGCGAGAGCTAAAGATTCAAACCACTAAAACACATGACTATGATACACGATGCATATGATTTTGAGCACGTCGAGAACATGGGGGAAACAGAAGAGCACTTTGAGAAATGCCTGATTCTTTCAAAGACAGCGGATGACGCCTTCCTCTATGGTCGATAGCAAGACGACCAGGCGCGTGCGAACCATTTCTTCGGACTCATAAGTCCACCAGCCATGGCCGTTCGATCAATGGGGTACGCAGCACTGCCGCCCCCATGTAGCGCTTACCGTTAATAGTGCCTGGCCGAAATACAGAGACTACCACGGACAAGGTTCCAATCACGTAGCCTGTCAATGGCAGCTATCGAGCACTCGATGAGACAACAAATGAACGCAAGCGAAGTGGTTCAACGGACGCGTGTGAATCTTGAGGTCCTTATGGTGATTTACCTCGTAAATGTCTAGGTAATTCGAATCGAGAGAGAATTATGTATGTCAACCGCCCGGGGAAGTCCCTAAACCGTCACCCCACTAGCCATGCAAGGAGGATCCACTAGGCAACTGGTTGGTATGTGACTGGGTGCGATGCCCCAACTAACAAGGACCCTGCAGAAAATCGACGATAGCGGCACAATCTTTGGGCGCCAACTCCAGCAACAAGTTTCAGGCACTGGGGTTCCACAAGGCAGGCATCTAGCCCCGAAAGCCTTGCAGCTGAGGATGGGTATATCAAGAGAGAACCAACTTCGGTAAAGAGTCAAGGGCTAAGTCTACTTTTGGTATTGCGTGAACTGACCGTGCATAGCTTGATAATTCTATCTTGTTGCCAGAGTTTGAACCCTCTTCTATACTCAAGGAGGAAAAGTACGAAGGGACAGAGGTAGATCCAAATGTCCTGTCAGGTAGCTTCCGCACCATGGAGCTGCCTGAAAACCTAATGGCTAAATCATAGCACTCCCCAAAGCAAGCCGAGTTATTTGGTCAACAACGTACAGAGCCTCGTTCTGGGCTATCTGCACGAAAATCGACACTGAAGACCCAAATGGCCACAAGAAATCCTACTTTGTGAAGGTAAGGCAAGCGGAACACTTACACGAGTCAGCTCGCGCCTCATATGCTAATTCGGAGGGCGGTGAGGTCTATACAACGGCTAAGTCCCAAGCACAGGCAATGGGAGAATACTTGTCCACGAAGGCCTTGCACGCTGTCATCCCAGACAATGTGCCACGGCCCATTGCATTGGGCGTCCTCGCGCAAGCCAAAAGCAAGTATTTCTTCATCGCCGAGTTCAAAGACCTAAAAGAAGACTCGGAAGTGCCACCCACACAAGCTCTGGCTTCTGTTATCGCCAACTTGCACAACAACTCGGTCTCCCCGAACGGCAAATTTGGTTTCCAGGTGCCGACCTCCCAATCGCTGCAGCTAGGGAATACCTGGTGTAAAACATGGGAAGAGTTCTTCGTCCGAGCCTTTCGCAACACGGTCAAACTCGAGCAAGAGGTTCAGGGGGCAAACGAGGATCTGCAACTGCTGGCAGACGAAATGTGCGCCAAGGTAATCCCAAGACTGCTTCGCCCAATGGAGACAGCAGGGCGGAAGCTAAAGCCTACTCTCCTGCACGGGGACCTGTGGCATGGCAATATCGGAATCGACCTTGTGACCGACCAGGTGGTGCTGTACGATTGCTGTGCTTTCTACGGCCATCATGAATGTGAGTGGACTCCCGGCAAAAGATTCTGGCGGCCTCTCCAAGTTGCCATCTATCTTCACAGTTACGCTACCCCGACATATAGTACTCCCGACATATCATATCTTAACATACATTTATGCTCCTTCACTTATATACACACATATCTGCGCCCTCGCTGACTTAGTTCCTTGGCCAGACGACCTGGGCATGTTCCGCGCGTCGCGCTACCGGACGTCACGAGCGCATATACGCGCGTACAACCAACTCGTCGGATTCTCCGACCCGAGTGAAGATTTCGACGACCGGAACGCTCTGTATGCGCTCCGGGTCGACCTCGAGGTGTCGTGCGGGTGGCCCGCGAACAAGAGGATGAGGCAGCTCGCGATGCAGGAGATGAAGCGGCTGGTGGAGAAGTATCCCGCGGGGTTTGAGGGGTGGCAAGAGGAGGAGAAGGGGAGTTAGATCTACCATCAATGATTGGGATCAACGCAGAACGAGATATAGGATTACGATATCCCGAGAATAAGAGAGAAAGCTTGGAACGACGCATTCAGATCCGTTGTGAGGCCGGTGATCAGGAATCTTGTCGACATGGCTTGTCATGATTGGGTTTTCTGAGTATCACAGCCATGGTGTATAGCATCAGTCCCAAAGGCCAACATTCACAAGGAGGAACGGATTATGGTCATTAGTAGCCAGGGCGTGACTCGTCTAATATGTAAATAGATGACACCCTCAGACTCGAGACATTGGCAAGTGCTTCTATACTGGCACTGTCCAGCCCGCTGAGTTAGACGAATGATGCTGGTGCCATCTCCGGTCCTCTTTCGATCCGAATCTCTGACCCGTCAAAGTCATTTGGAATAAAAATATCCTCGCTATCGACCTGATCGGCCGACGAATATGTGCTCCGTATGTCGTGATCGACGGGCACAGGGGGGAGGCGACATGTGTCTCGGCCGACAGAATCTGCGCCCCCTATTCAACGGACCGGACGCCGAGGGGCGGACGTCCTCCTTATCACGCCTTCGGACGAGGAACGATGGTTAGGAAACCCCGGAGGTAAATACCGTAGTCGTCCGCAGAAGGAACAAGACATTGGAAACTTAAGGGCAGGCTTGGTGGTTCGACATGAGAGAGGCGAAAGGATGCCAACTTACCTACTCCCTAGCCTCGCTGGATAGCTTTGTACGAGGTAATATTACCGAGCACACAGCGAAGCCGAGATTCGGACGAAGGATCGGGCGGAGATTCTCCACTTCGACTATTACTCCGTACGAGAGAGATACCGAGCAAGAACATACCTACACTGCAATCGAACTGACAGGCACCACAGGGGCAAGTAAGGGGCAAGAAGGTAAGCGGCCTGCATCATAATCATCATCGTCATCATCTCCTTCACAGCCTTGTTGTTCCTGACGGTTTCCCAACACAATGAGCGAGCTAGCTAGCTGCCTCCCGTCCCACTCTTGCTGACAGATGAGACGGTCAATGTCCTGGCGCGCTGGTCACCGCTGGTCTGATGTTTTCGACCAGAGCAGCGGGCTCACCTCGCACGAGTTCGCATGGATCTCGTCCTAGAGCCTCGCCCTCAGAATCGAATATAAGGACGGAGATAGTGTCTCGCAAATACATAGCGACAGGTGCACCACCACGCACTGGATCGTATCCCAAACAAGAAAAAAAAAAAGCGGAATAAAGCGAGTCAGGAGGACGAGGACGAGGATAGAATGGCCATCCCCGACCAAACGACCACCATAAACCCGAATTCCTCCTCTTCACTGCATGGGAAAGTCGCTTTGATCACGGGCGGTTCTCGAGGGGTGAGTTGAGTATCTATCTATCCCATCCCATCCCATCCCATCCTCTCATCGTCTTGCCAGCTGGTGAGAGGCTCCTCCTGTTCCCTGGACCAGGGTTTCTTTGCACACCCAACCAAATCTTCGAGCCAACCACTCCGAGATTGTTTTTTTTTTTTTTTTTTTTTTTTTTTGACAAGAATAGATCGGTGCGGCAATCGCACTCCAATTCGCCCGCAAAGGCATCGCCGCCGTCGCAATAACATACATCTCTAACGCCAAAGCGGCCGAGGAGACCTTGTCCAGATGCCGCTCCGTTTCCCCCGATCTAAAAACGGTGGCTGTTCAAGCCGACATCCTTGATCCGTCCATCGGTCCGAATCTCATTCCAAAAGTGCTCAAAGAGCTGAAGACGGACCGGATCGACATCGTCGTCAACAATGCCGCCCTCATCAACGACCTGGGTCTGATTCAGCCTTTTGCCGACACCACCGCCGAGGTCTTCGGAAAGACAATGCAGGGCAACGTCTTCGCGCCCATTAGCATCATCAATTCCGCATTACCTCATTTCCCGCCCAAGGGGGGTAGGGTGATAAACATCTCAAGTGTTTCAAGCAAGCTGGCGAATCCTGATCCGGTCTTGACGTACGGAGCGTCCAAAGCCGCGTTGGATAGCATCACACGATCACTGGCAAGTCTCTTGGGCATGAAGACCGGCGCGACGTACAACAGTGTGTCTGTGGGACCAACTAGCACGGATACGGTGCAGGGCATCATCAAGGAGTTCGGGGAGTCGTGGATCGAGGAGACAACCAAGCTAATCACGGCCGAGAAAAGACTGGCTGAGCCCGAGGATATCGCCTTCGTGGTTGGCTTTCTCGCAAGTGACGAAGCAAGGTGGATCAATGGGGCCCATATCATGGCAAATGGAGGAAACAAGGAATTGCTGGCTCTGCAGGGATAGAGAAACCTCTTGGAAACCTGCAAAGGAAAGCTCAAATCTCCATGACAGCTAGATAGAAGAGCACACCAGACCATAAATGTACAGCTCTCAGCATAGACCTCTGATCCTTCTTGCTTCCTCGCAATCAAGCAATGTCACAGGGACCCAGGACCTGCTCTGTCCCGAGCCGCTGCGTGCTTCGTCATGTCGAGAATTTCAGATGAGCACGCGGCGAGTGTTGCAGGACACGACACTAGGATGCTTCTGAAATGTTCAAGCAGCAGCAGGAGATTCCGACGAGTTCCGGCCGCAGGGAGATCATCAAGCCTACGTGTCTTCGCGAGCTCTTTGGACACCTTGCCATGCATTTTCTTCAGTGCAAGAGAGTAGTGTCTCTTGCGTTGTAGCCGCCCAAAGATGACGGCCCTCGGGCTTTGCGATGTCTCGGCAATTGAGCTTGGACTGACATCTTGTCGCTGGTCAGTCCCGGAAATGGGCGTGGCCGGATCATCTTCACTGCAAGGCATCGACTGGCCGAGAGTTCCGATTGCAGCATGGAGTCTACGCCTTGGGCAACTCTTGCACGGTGGTGCAATCTCAATCTCCGAAGCATTTGCCCATCGCCTTGCATCTCTGGCAGGCAACACTCCCCTGGACAATAGCATATCACAAAGCGGGGTCTTGGTGTCCCTTTCGTTAGAGTACCAATCCCAGTTCTTCTGGTCCTCTGTCGTTTCGGTGGCACAGATCAGATCGACCCACTCATATAAGGGAAGGACTGAGGCAAGGGTGGAAGCCCCCATTGCAGCCGCTGAGTTATGACTCGAGGATAGTGATGGGCGAAGGATCAATAGGTCACGATATCACAGGGTGCTGGCGTCGCAGTCAATGTAGGTGTGTGGCAGGAGATGGCGTTCTGACAGCGAAAGTGGTGAGCGTTGTTGTTGAGTATGTGGTTTGCTAGTGGTTAGGATGAGTGATCGATATAGCGTAAAGGCGTGCAACGAACAGAAATGTAGTGAACATGAAACAACTGATGTTGGAAAAGTACAATGCTGAGCTGGCCAGAGAGAAGAAGTTTGAGGGAAATTAGGAAGCAGAAGCATATTTGCTGTAAAGAAAGATTTTGTTTGCAGCACCGAACCGTGAAGAGGCAAGAGCTGCCAGACCAAGAAAAACAGGAAGGGCAGTCGAAGATGAGAGTCTCTTGGTCAATAGGAGTTGCCGCCGAATACTCCTGTGCCGAGTCGGGACATTTCCAACTTAACGTCCCTGTGTTGTGAAGTCGGAGAGTATAAATACAAAGAGTCCTGAAGCATACCTACCTTTGACGTGGAGCCAGAAAACCTACAATCGTCCCAGTTTCCATCTTGCAATCCGGGACTGGACATCTTCCCATGGTATTTGCCTGACCTTTTTCCCAGTCAAGTCTTCCCCCTCTTGGATGACCACCGTCGGTGCGCCGGTACCATGGCCCCTATTGTCTACCTTCCCCGTGAAGATTTGCGTGGCGACCCGTCTCAAATCGGCTACTGTCAGAGCATCTATTTTTTCGCACATTTCCTTGACGCCGACTTTTCGACCATGAACCTGAACTTGTCGGCCCAGGTCCTCCAATTCAACCAGCCTCGACTCGAGGTTCATCAGAAGGCTAAATCGCAGTTGGTTTTTGGCTCGGTTGACTTCCGCAATGTTCAAACTGGAGAAGCCGGAGTCCAATGTGAGCGCTTGGAGTTCGCGGCAAATTACGTCCACCATGTGACCGACTCGACCGGGCTCACAAGCTCCGGCGATCCCGAAGAGACCGCTGTCTGTATAGCTGTGGTTGAAAGCCACGCAGCTCTCGACCCATCCGTGCTGATTGAGAACGTTTGTGTAGAGTCGAGAATACATTCCTTTACCAGGACCGCCGGCAGAAAACGACCCACCACCTCCTAGCAGAGTCTGTAGCGTCGCTTGGGCGTAGATATCTTCGGAAGAAATGGGCACACCTTCAAATGCAACATGGACGTAAGACAGAGGGATCGTAAATTTGTTTGGTGGCGGGGGTAGCGTGGGCAGCGCTAGATAGCCTCCCGTGTAGTGAGACGGCATTGTTAGAAGAGATTCAGGAGGAGGTTGGATTAGAGAGGGATCAAGTGGCGATACGGTTGCTTGATGCGGTGCGGAGGTGGAGAAGCTGTTGAACCCGGGAATCTTCGACAAAAGCCTGCTTGTGGGAGATTGTGGTGGTGGAGGCTGCTGTTGTGTATTTGTCTGCGGTGGGTTTGGTTCGGTCGATTGCGATGTATTTTGTGATAGTGAGGGTGTTTCCGATTTTGCCATATCCCCAAAATATTTCTCGGTCAGGCGAACAGCTTCGTCGTGCTGAATGCCGGCAAAAGCGACCACTATCCGCTCCGGCTTGTAGAAGGTATTTCGATACTTCTCAATCAGGCCCTTTGTGATGTAAGGCAGCCTCTCCCGGGGGCACAAAAGAGGGTGTCCCAACGTGTTATCCTTGTATGCGGCCATGTGCAATAGTTCGGGAATGATCAAATCTGGTTTGGCCCAGATTTCCTGGATCTCATACTCGGCGGTTTCCAGCTGCTGTGCCACCTCTTCATCTGTAATTAAAGGATCTCGAATGGTTTCTGCGAGCAGCGCGATCGTGTCGGGGACGCTGGTATTGAAAGTGGCGGACTGATACATCAAAGCTTCTCTGGAGGATGCACACTGAATGTTTCCGCCCAGCGATTCCAAGGCCTCCAACATCTGGTCTGCAGTCCTCGACTTTGTCGACTTGAAGGCCAGACGGTCCACGATATGACTGACACCCCGTAGAGATTCATCCTCATATCGAGAACCGGCATCAAGGTAGACGCCCACGCCTGAGAAGGGACCCGGTAGTGATTCGGTAGCGACTCGAACGCCATTAGGTAACTGCGTGATGTGATCTAATTCAACAGGATCCTGAGAGGATGCGGTGGTCAGACAACTGTCGCCTGCTTATCAGCGGAGGGAGATGCGGACGTACTTTGTGCAGAGGATCTCTGATGGTGGCATAGTTCCTCGCCACGGACCTTGAGGCCTGGGTGGATACTAGCCTCGCATTGCGCAGAGCTCTTACCGCTGCAGTGCGCATGCTGGGGCGGTGTGCGAGGGTGCGGAGGGAGGAAGAAGAAGAAGGATAGATTGAGGTGGCTATTGTCAAGGTTCAAAGCGACCGAGAAAATGAATGTCCGCAGGCAAATTGAGCAGGATGATCGCGCGGCGAGCCACCAGCTGTGTGGAGGGTTTTGTGGAGATAGGGCCACTAGGCTAGACCGGGCAGACCAGGCGGCCCAACAAGCAACATGGCTACGGGTAAGGCTGTCACCCAGTCTGACCATAGCAGAGGATGAGGATGGACAAGGGGACTAACTGATTGAGATGGAGATGGAGAGGCGATCACGGGTGAGCTGGGTGTTGGTGGTTCTGGTGGTGGTGCTGGTGGTTCTGGCGGTTCTCGTGGTCAGCCGCAGGGACCCCCAAGTGACTGCAGGCGACTTGATACATATGCCCACCAGCCCGATGACATCGACGGCCGCCCGCCTCGATCAAGCGAACTGCCTGTGCTCCCTGTGCTCCCTCCCAAGTACAGAGTCCAGAGTCTAGACTGTACCCAGTATTACTACTTCCTCTTGTCTCCCTGCGCCTGGAGATCTCTCTCAATCACCTCTTGTGTCTCGAGTATCTGTGAGGACCATATCCGTTTCATCCATTTGAATTCAATTCTTGCGTTGTTCCCTTATAGGCGTCGTTCCACCAATTGACGCCGCTCTGAATTGGGGCCACCAGACCTGCGCGACGACACGCCCGCCCCCCCCCCCTAAAAGTGCTTGGGTCCAACAACATCCCTGCTCAACTGCTGTGCCTTTGCTGCTGACTTGCGGCCTGGCTGTCGAACTGTGGGCGCAGCCTACATCATATTACTCCGTACAGTCCCCCATTTGTTTACCAAAGTTAGCAGGATCTTCGCCCTGTCTCTTGCTTGAGCCTCGAGCTCGGAGCCTGCGCCTCAGCGAAGGCGCATGTTACAGATTCAACTGAAAAAGATCTCGACACGAAAGACCGACAGACTTGTGTTGTTGTTGCCGTTGCCGTTGCCGTTGTTGCTCACTGCCGCCGTTGCCGCCTGTTCCTGTAGCGCAGCGTTCCTGCCCTCAGTTACTTGGCCTCACCTTGCCCTGTCTGGGAACGCAGTCTCGATCAGTGCTCTCTACCTTCACCTCCTTTCCCATGATCTCGCCGTCTGCCGCTGTGAGCTCACCAGCGGCAGCCGATCCGATTGTCAACAGAACCACATCTGCAAGGCGCCGAGGTCTGAGTTACCTGCGTGCTCTTTCGCACAATCGTTCATCGGGTGGAACAAGTCCGAACGAGCCCTCCCGCTCGCCTAGGCACTATTTCCAGAGATCCCTCAGTTACAACGACAATCGACCTGATCTTACCACGAGTCGACGACGGAGCACTTCTCGACCTAACGAACCTACAACCTTCCTTTCCTCAGACCCGCGTCAGGTCGGCACCAGGAGTCCATCCCCTCAGGTCCACCAGGAACCGCCTACAGACCAATCCGCACCCACGAAGACGGAGGATATGGCGAGACATCGGTCATCCACGTCAAGGAGGACAGCGAGCAATAACCCTCGGGCCGACCCCTCGACAGCAGAGGCGTCAGATTCTGTCTCGAGACCTACCCAAGCAAGAACCGGTCACACGACTACTTCGGGCACAAAAGGAGAGTCACAGGAAGGAGAGACGAAGCAACATTTACCGACCATTCGTTTCTTTCCTCACCAGGAGGTCAGAAATGGGAGACCGTCCCTCCACTTCTCGCCAATCACGAGGACCTTGCCCAGCGAGCATTCTATCATAAGAGTCGGCCGCTATTCCGAGCGTGAAGGTGTTCCTTCGACCAACCCTACTGGTCCCTCCGATGCCCCTGTTGGCTTCAAGTCAAAAGTCGTCAGTCGAAAACATTGCGAGTTCAGTTTTCTAGATGGTCAATGGCAGATCAAAGATGCCGCATCTTCTTCCGGCACCTTCCTCAATCACATCAGGTTGAGCCAGCCCAATACCGAGTCTCGGTTATTTCCAATCAAAGATGGAGATATCGTCCAATTGGGCATTGATTTCCGTGGCGGAGAGGAAATGATCTTTCGCTGTGTCAAAATCCGCATCGAATGCAACCGCGCGTGGCAAAAGAAGCCCAACAATTTCAAGTATGTCACCTCCTCTCGAGGACTTGGTAGCAGAAGCTGACGTGTTTAAACAGCAAAAGCAGGCACCAACAACTGCAGAGTCTGGCAAAGGACCAACCCTCGGCAGACACCAATAGTGGTGAATGTTCGATTTGTCTAGGCTCTGTCCTCGTATGTCTCACGAGACCCCGCGTACTTACTCTTCGCTAACATCCTTCTCAGCCCTGTCAAGCGTTGTTTGTCGCTCCATGCGCCCATGTCTGGCATTACAAATGTATTCGGCCTTTGCTCGAAGGCAAAAACAGTGTCTACCCACAGTTTCAATGTCCAAATTGCAGAGCGTATTCAGACCTGACTGCAGATGTTGACCTTGCTCAATCTGACATAGACGAGTGGCTGGAGAATACTGATGATCAAGAGAACCAGACCGCGGAGGCGGGTACCGAGGCCGCCATCGAAGCAAATCATTCGTCAGATGCAAAAACTAACGGCCAAGTAACAGGCGAGCCAGAATCTGCCAGTGCGGCCGTGCCCAACCCAAGCGTGAATGGCGACGACGTTCAAGTGGAACGACCCTCTGACCATCCTCCCGTCACTATATCCCAGTCCGAAATCAATGGCGATGAAAATACTTCTCCGGCATCTGCGAGAGCCTCGGGACTTTTGGCACGCAGGCAAGCTACTAACCTGCGGTCGTCCGAGCTTTCAATGAACGGCAGTATCGACATGCCTGAGCAACCGGTGGAGGACGAGATGCATGGGCAGCTCGAACAGCAACGTACCCACACACAAACCCCGGATCCCGACCATGTCGTCGTTGTAGAAGGACCATTAACACCCAGAAATAATGCAGGACCATTTGTTTTTGACGGTAGTGCCGGAAGGTCGGATGCGAGACAGTTGACGGTACCTATCAGGACAAATGTTACTGATGGAAATCGTTCGTCTTGAATTTGTTGAGGTCCAATTCTGAAAGACCTCCCGGAGGTTCTTGTCGGAGTAGGGTAGAGAAGCATGGAGGGGATGGCATCAAATCGATGCCCCGGCGACCATGGATGGAACATGAAGACAGGGTCATGACACCAAAGACATGCATCGTGGGGGAAAAAAGGAGGCGGATCAGTGGTCGGGATCATTGTTTTCGGAAAATATGGTTATAGCGATATTTCTGAGCGGTTTATCTGTAGCATCTAACACGAAGTATTCTCAGTGCTGCTGATACTGTCGTTTGATGAGAATGCTGCATGGTGTAAGGGAGCGGTTCATGATTTGTATCAGGTATATCTAATTTCATATGTAAGTAGTAGAACTACAGTACACCCAACTTCAGCTTGAGGGACGTATTACACAGAACCAAGCCCACTTGACAAGAGGTTAGTGGACACTCACTCATTGCCACAGTTCTCCGCACTTGAATGTATAGATATCTGGGGTCTTGGGATCGGTCAGTCTACGCCGTACTCTAGATTCTCTAGATTCGTAATACCTAGTACAACTGCGACCTGATGCCCTCGAGCCTGAACTTGACGTCCTTCAACACTTTGGTTTTCGGTTCCCAATCGTCAAACTGCTCGAGCAGCTGTCTCGCTTCATCTCGCAGTTCCTTCTTCACGATGTCTTCTTCGAGAATTCCGCGCATCGCGAACGGGAGGATGTATGGATTCGTGGTCGCGCTGCTACTACTACTACCGCCGCCGCCGCCGCCGCCGCCGCTGCTCCCACTGGTCGTCGAGAGGGCCTGTCGCTTCGAGCTGGATATAGGCACGTCTTTGGTGGAGGTTGTCTCCAGGGTAAAGGCAATGGCGAGATGGTACACGGCGTCGTCTTCATACAGTCTTGAATGACCTTCTCCAGTGTACAAAGACCCTGCCAGCGGCGAGGACAGCTCTCTGATCAATCCGTGGTCCGGCACACCCACATTCCTCAACTTCAACACAAATCCCACGAGATTACTCAGAAAGTTGGGAGCGTGGATTCTCGAATCGATCGAGACCGCCCGGTAGATGTGGGGGTGTGTCAGTGGTGCAAAGATTGATGACTCCATGGATACCAATTGGTCGTCGATGCTCCCCACAAAGGTGACTTTAACTCCAAATTTCAGACAGTCGGAGATGGCGGCCATGTAGTCTTTGGACACCTTGGAGGCAGGGTCTGTGAATTCGAACAACTCTCCAGCGGAACCCATTATCCAGGGGGATTTGTAGTCCTGAAACGGACCCATATTCACACCGGCCATGGCGCAGACCCCCACACTGGCAGTCGACGAGAGACAGCCGAAATGTATAAGTTTGGCCACCAGCATTAACGCCACAGGGACACCCTGAGAATGTGCTGCGATCATGACGAAGTCGGATCTTCGAATCTCGTCGATCCAGTTTAGGAGGAGTTTCCATAACAATTCGACACGTTCGGCAATCCGTCCTTCGCCTTCCAATGCTGCTGTTTTGACTTCACATTCGTAACCCTGAGATTTTGTGTATTTTCGAATGTTTTGTGCCGCCTTTTCGGCGAATTTGATGCTGGTGCCGGTGGGCTGGCCTATAAGTGATCGAACCATGGGACCAGGAAAATAGCCGTGAACGCCTATTGCCAGAGCGTTGTTTATTCGAGGTAACTCCCTTACTAGGGAGAGGTGTTTTAGCTGAGTAGATTCTCTGGTGTAGTAGAGGAGGCGCGCCAGTTGCTGGAGCAGCGAGGGTTGTTCTTCGAAGGTGAGCGTGCTCTTGAGGAGAGGAAGGAGCAAATTCTTGTCTTCCCTTTCTTTTTTCGACGGTGCTGGGGACTCTGGACGAGGCGTTGGGGCTTTGGCGGGTTCTCGTGCAATGGCCGTTGCATTGGATGATTCAGCTTTGGTGGTCAAGGGTTCCTGTTTCGCCGGGACAGCTTTCTTCTGGGTCTTTGGGGTGCCCTTCTCCTCCGTCACTGGCTGTTGCTTAGTTTCGATGGTTTTCTGTCCCGCGGTCTTATTTGACTGTCCCTGTGGAGATGGCTTTACCACGGGTTTCGCAGCGTCGTCATGTAGACTAATGGAGGCTCGTTTCGGCCGGGTCTGCGAAGGTGTATTTGATATTGCAATTTCGCCGACATGAGGCTCATTCTCTAATTTCGTAGACTCGGGGCGTTTCTTTTCTCGAGACCAAAACACCCATCCTGAAGACTTGGATCCGTCGCCCGGAAGTTGTGGTGGTGGTGAGGTTTCGAGGGACGAAGCTTGAGACCCCGATTTTGTCTTGGGCGTCTTTGGCGGTGGGATGTCGAGATTCCCTGTCTGTTTCTTTGCAACTTCTGAATTCTCAGCCGTTCCCACGGTACTGGGCTGTGGTGGCTCGGATGGAAGTTCTGGCTGCTTTGTTGATCCGCTAGTGGGTTGATCACCGCTGCTCCACATTTGATACCAGCTCCTTTTGTTGCTGGTGTTTGTAGAAATTGCGTTTGCTTGCTCTGGCACTTCCTGTGGAGGATTCACGGGTCCCGAAGATGTGTCGACCACTGGAGAGATTTCAGGGTCCTCTACAGGCTTGGGAGGAGGAGGTTGTGATGGTAGTTGTACTTCTGCGGGCTTCGCTGAATTGCCGTCTCTTCTACCTAGCCAGCTCAACCACATACTTTGAGGTTCTGGCGCTTGCTGGGGAGGTTCAGGGGGTTTTGAAGTCTCTGATGTTGGCTCAGACGCTACTCCTGGCAGGGCTGGACTACCATCCATCTTTTCTGGTCGCTGTTCCTCATCTCCTGCCGGCTGAGGCGCATTTCCGGTATTCTTGGTCTTAGTGGGCAAATCTGGTTGTGATTCCCTTTTGCCTAAAGAGCTGGCAGCTTCTGGAGTGGCATAGACAAGAGTAGTGGTGGCATCGATAGGAAGGGAGCGGTTTGAGCTTGATTTCCCCAGTGTCATTGCTAACGAGGGCGATCTCTGCGACTTTATTTTCTCCTTTTGTGGCAAGGTCATCTCCTGAGCTGTCGGCGTAGTGATAGATGGCGCCGCATTTGAGGACGTGGAGGTGGATGAGACACTCTCACGATGCGTCTGGGTTAGAGGAGGAGCCTTGCGAGGCCAGGTTCGAGCGAGCCATGACTGGATCAGTATATCAGCAATCCGGAAATCCAATTGACAAAGGAGTCAGATTACCGATCTTTGATCTTGTTTTGGAGTCGAAGGGCTTGAGGCGGGAGGAGTATCTGGGGGAAGAGGGACGCTGGCGGCCTGCTGTGCCTGCTGAGCCTGTTGAGCCTGCTGTTGAGGCGTCGTCTCTGGGCGCAGTTCCTGAGTTGGGTTGGTCTTTTGGCGCTTCAATGGTCTGGCGGGCGCCATTACGGTGGACTCGGGTGGCAGCTACGTGTTCAGCATGAGGCAAGCAGGATGAAAACGTCGTTCAGCAGGCTACTCGAGGTCATATGTAGGTACTTGGGTGGTGCGAACAAAGGCTGATGTTGGAGATGTGGAGGAGGCTGCGCTACGTCACATGTCGCTCATTCTGGCCATCGCCTAATCCAATCAGACCAACCAGTCGTTGTCCCTCGTGCTCTGCTTCTGCTTCATGGTCGATTCGAGCACAACGCTGGTTGACAAAGTTCAGCTGTGTGTGTGGAATCAAAGGACTAAGTAGAGCGCCACGCCTTCAAGAGGTGTGCAAGATGCCCGAACAGTAACCTGGTCAGATACCACAGCATGAGCGACCTTTGGCGCCTTCGGATCCATTCTGAAAGAATCGAAATAGTAAACACAGATGGACTCGGACTTTTTTTTTTCACTCACGATTCACTCCCAGTTGACTCTCGAAGTCCAAAAACTGGTTTCAACATCGATTCGTTAAGAGTCACCACCTTCTCAGCCCCTGCTACTGTTGCAGTTCTGGCGAACACCGTCGAGATATATGCCAAATGCTCATTGAGATTGCGGGCCTAGTGCTAGGGGCTCTACCGCTGTTCATCTCGGCAGCGGAACATTACCGGGATAGTTTTGCACTTGTCAAAAGGGCCTTGAAGAAGAAGCAGTTCCCGCAACAGTACAAGGATGAGCTAGCTCTGCAGCGAACTCTGTTGTGCCTCTATATCAAGGCCGTAGTGGGGAAAACGTCCCTGCTACTTGCAACTCAAGCAGAGTTGGTCGACGACTTTCAGGGTGATGCATGGCGAAGACCGGAAGTGGTCAAAGAGTTGTCCAACGAACTTGGGAAGGCCTCTCAGCCTTTCATCACGCTTCTGACCAGCATCTTGCGACTCTGGCGAAGCAACTCCGGTCTGATGGTGGCAGCGGTGGTACGACAGATGACGATGTCGCAAGTTCCATACCTTTTCCGAGTCCCTGCTCAACAGCTAACGTTCGATAAGGTGCATAAACCGCAACAGCTTTACCTTGAGGCTGTAACAGACACATCTGAATCTGCACGAGAGCACATCTGGAGCAGAACTAAGTTCAGCTGGAAACACGCTGATAGGTTAAACTTGTTGGCCGAGTTGAAATCCTACAATTCAGCGTTGAAGAAGTTAGGCACCGCTGTGAACCACGCGAAACCCTACGAACGGAAACAGCAGACGCGGAGGGCGAATACGACTTTCAGGCTTCCCGCTGACACCGAGAGGCTGTATGAAGTCATTTGCAAGGCCTGCAGCTGCCAGCCTCTCAAGTAAAGGAATGTAGGCCTCGGACTTGCTGTTCGTAATCACGATGGTTCGACCAAGGATGACCTGTGCTTTCAGTTGCTGCTGTTTGACGCCAACGACAAGGCGTGCGTCATGACCGTAAAGATGATTAAAGCCTTAGGACCGTTGAACCCGCCTAAGAAGAAGATACGGTTCAGCCTTTTAGACAGTCAAGCCACTGGCAGCGCCTGTGTCAAGATGAAGCAGCTTCAAGGCTTTTGCCTGGAAACCCGACTGGCCCAGCAGGCTAAGGCCGGTCTGCACCTCGTTGTGGATGAAAAGGGATAAATGTTTACCACTCACACTGGTCAACCCGACACCGTGCCGGACAAAGACCGAATGCTTTCGCTATGCGAGATTATATCGAATTTCAAGCTCTACGACCACAAGCGCTGGCTGCATCGGGAGAAGGCCATTACTGACAGTCACCCTCGCATACCCGTTGCTCCAGTTACACGAGAGCTCGTGGTGGCAATCCTTGTGGAATTCTCAAAGTATTTCCTTCATGGACCTTGGTCATTCCAATCTCGCCACTTGCACCCACCCCGATCAGCGCGTCAGGTTAAGGAGACCATTCACACACTCAATGGTCGCTGGAAAGAACCCGCCACAGTCCCCAGGTCCAGCGCCACGGAGAAACGCTCATTTACACGCTAATGGGGTTGTTCTGCTCGAGCTCTATTGAAACCGATCCATCAAAGAAGTGGTCGATGCACAAGGTGAGAGTGATTGTCGAGGCGTCGCACAAGACCTGCTGGAAGGACACTCGGATGACATCAATATGAGAGCAGAGTATCTTCGGGCTGTGCGATTTTGTCTGAGCCCTCACCCAAATCCCTAGTCGGGCTCGTTCAGTTTTGAAGACGAGGGATTCCGCGCGATCTTCTACAGCGAAGTTATCTCCATACTGGAAGACAACCTGATGTCGAGGTTCGAAGTAGACAACAGCATCTGGAGGGACGAAAGAATTGATTCAATGAGCACTCATCGAATATGCGGAAGTCCATGAAAACAGGACGCTATTTTCCACCACGAGAGATCTTCATCAAGAATATGTAGAATGTTTCTTAATAGATACCGTAACAGGGTCTTCATGCACAAAAGAAGCGAAAAAATACGTTGGCCTTGCTCTATACCAATTATGCTCGTCGAATGGCAGAAACATAAAGTATCTGTAGCGCCATCTTTCTTGTCCGCCAAATGTCGGTCAACTCAACGCCCCACAGCCTTGTGCGCCCTGAAAAAGTTATTGTGCGTCACCAAAGAACGCACCGCAACACCGCATTTCAACCCACATCTTGACCTACTCCAGAGAATAAGATACCGGAGCAACAGTCTTCCAAGGACTATAGATAACCATGGCCAAAACTTCAAAGATCAAGAAAGATCCCACGGGTAAGTGCCCAAAATTTCTTTCCGCCAACAGTCCCCCGCCCCAGACTTCTTGGGCGATTTTTCATATAAAACTAACAAAATAGCGAACCCCCGATCCCGCGCCTCAAAGCGAGCCACCTCCCCTTCAATCGACGTCGACAAGTCCCTCAAAGACGCCCCGCGCGCCTCGGACGCGACGCCTATCCTATCCGCTCGCCCAAATAGCGGGATCACCAAGGCGAAGCGGAAACAGAAGCCCCTCTCACGCGGGCAGCGGCGCAGACACGAGCGAGGGCTTGCCCGGGCAGAGATGGTCCAGGATCAGTTCGCACGCAAGATCGAGGACGCCTCGCACCGGCTGAGGAAGAGGCGCGAGAGGAAGGGCATATGGGAGGAAGTCAACGGTACGGACAAGTTTGATAAACTCACGGCGATTCTTGGTCAGCAGGATGGGTGGGTGGATGAGGACATGAAGGAGGTCAAGAGTGACGGCGGCCATGTCAAGGATGTTGAAAATTTGCACACCGTCTCTGAGACGAAACTCCTCGTGGTGGACCGCACGGCGCCTACGGCGGCACTAGCACTGACAACGACCGCTACGACACAGGAAGAAGAGGACGAAGCCGACAAGATAACATGATGGCTCCAAAATTCTCCATCGTCGACGTCTACCAACTGCCAGTATGATTATTTCTTCGGCCGCAAATGCGTGATCATCCTCTCAATCTCGACCAACTGCTGCCCGTTGGCCTTGTCCCGGAGCAACTCCAGCGAATTCACATCCTTGGCCTTCAAAGCCTCCTCACCAGCTTTCACGATCATGCCGCACTTGACCCACATCTCGATCCTCTCAGAAGGCTGGAGGTTGGTACATTTGGGAATGAACGACGAGGCAAGGCGAGTGTTGCCCGCTCCCAGGACTTCGTTGTAGAAGGGCTAACCGCAGAGGATCAGTATCGGAAAAGCCCAACAAACTCTTTCAAAGGACGAAAATATAAACTCACCTCCCATCCGATCGGTGACTTCTTGCTCTTAGCAATTTCCTCAACCTCACCCCACAGACGGGCTGCGGTCAAAGCCCGAAGCCGAATCCACCACCATGTCTTCTCAGGAACCCGAAAATCACCCTGGACCTTGGCAGCTCGTTTGCTGTACCCAGATTGGATCAGGCGGAACATGGTCTCGTTGACGCTCAAGCCCACATAGCTTCCGCTGCCGTCAGTGATGTCCTTATCAAAAGCCTCTTGCATTTTGAGAAGCTGCGCGGCCTCCGTGAGCGCTTTGGTGTGGAATTGACCGGTGGAATCTTTTGCGTCAGTGAGCAATCTGCCAGCGAGCTTGAGCTTGTCGACCACTGCCTGAACCTGCGTCTGTTGCATGGCTTCTCCTAGCAACAAGTTCGATCCCTCGATGGGCCGATCGTCTTGATAGTACAAATCCTTCAGCAGTTCTCTGTCTGACACTCTGAATGAACTCTCCACCAGTGCCGATGCCACAGGTTTGTCGCTGATGGTGCGGAGGAAAGTCGCCAGTGGCAGTTTCTTTTTCAACTCCAACAACACGAAGAAAACCAAGTCGGTGTCCCCAGACTCGATTGCCTTGTTGAGTGCGATTTCGTCCTCCTCCATGTTGAGCAGGAGAGGCACTTGTTTTCCCGCTCTAGGTTCATGATTTAGCAAGGTCGTTGCAAGGTGGCCTCGTCCTTCGTCATAGGCTGCTCGCGCAATAGCTTCAAAGGAGATGCCATGTTTGCCGCGCAACCGCTCCACCACAATCTCTCGAACAGCATCGTCATCTGCAGGTGATCCTCGAACTTTCTGGCTAGCCCAGTGAACATAGATCTTGCTGGGTGGAAGATGCAAGAACTCCGACAGCTTGATCGCAAGGAGGTATTCTCGTCTATTGACGAGACGTGCTATGAGTCGTTCCGGTGTCAGTCTGACGTACTGTTCATATGACATGTATAGGCCGATGCGGTAGTCCCGGACAGCATTCAACACTCTCAAGTCTTCGCACATGTCGACGAACTCGTCACTGCTGTACAGTTCCAATACCGATTTGCCGAACGAAGCGGCGCGTAGCAGCTGTTTCTGGAGAGTCTGGTTGAATTCATTCCCAGCGGCCCGAATGCACGTTTCTACTGCGTCTGGTAGACTGGGTTTGATCCGCTGTATATTCTCATCTGCCTTGGGCGACTTCTTCTCCAAGAGCTCGATCGAATCAAGAAGCACCGAGGCCGCTGACGTTGAACCAAGCTTGAACACTTCTTCCAGTGGATCGGGAACCTTGTGCAAGAATTCACACACTTCGTTTGTAATCAGCCGGACACCGTCAATATCGGGAACGACATGGACCTGGTCGTCGTAGTAGTACTTGACGGCAGCACCATTAGGCCCAACCATGTGGATTTCGTCTTCCCAAGCTAGGATGACTGAATCGTTTCCACACCAGTAAATCTGCCTTGGAGTAGTTTTCGCTTTCGAGTCGTATTCGCTGTATTTGTTTTGGAAGTCACTGCCGACGACCCACACTTTGCCGTCCTCGGTGAACAATGCTGCAAATCGCCCATTGGGAGAGACGCTGACGTGCTTGAACGGGCCATCTGAGAGTCCTCGATCTTCGGCTTCGGTGACATCCACCACATAGATTGTCTTATCTATTGCGAGTAGCACCTCGACAGACCTAGAAAGTGTATATACCGGTGGAATGAGGGACCAGGAATGGACTTCTCCTTCTGGTGCTTGAGCAAGCAGCCTTGGTCTGGGTTCTTCAAAGGAGGAAACAGCTATCAATGAGTTGTTGGAAAGTAGAGCGACGAACCCGTGCGACCAAAACCGGCAAGACACAACACCGAATTCCTCTGCACCGTGTCCAAGCGAGAAAGGTTGAAAATCGCCATGGAGCTCGAAGTAGCAGTGGACAGTGCCGTCTTCGGTCACGACCAAGAGCTTCTCATCGTCCGACCAGCCCAGACCTCTGATTACGCCTTTCTCCCAGTTGATGGTGCTGATGAGCTTGCCTGACGAGGAATAAATGTCGATGGTTGGCTTAGTTGACTGCCCGGTTCGATACCGTGCAATCTTGGTCGTGTCTCGCCACAGTGCTGTGGCAGTCAGCTCAGAAAGGTTGAAGCAATGATGGAGGCTTACCTAGCGCGCCACCATATGGTGCCCCTGCTACTAGGTAGTTCTCAAGTTCGAGATCCTGATCAAAGATTGACTCGTACAAGGGTACTTTTCGGTAGAATTGATCGCCAACTTTCTCCCAGCCAGCCCTGGGATTGTTAGCTGTCATGAGGTCAGATGATCCATGAAAATACTGGACAATCTGATATTAATAAACTGGATGAGAGACTGTAGAGAGGGAGATGGAGGCCTCTACTGGATATTGTTGTCGGTTACTGGCCAATAGAACGAGGGCTTGGCTCGGCTAAGTTTCCATATTCTGGAGCTCCGGAGTCAACGTCAACTGCCACCACTGCCGTCTTCTCATGCTGGCCCATTGCCACTATCACCTTTTGCCAGAAAAACCAGGAATCTATCAAATAGCGGGCGGTTCAGGGACTGGGTCGCAAGAACGAGAATGCATATTTTGCTACAAAGCTAGGCTCGACAGACTTGGATAAACATGGATACGGCACAGGTGTTCTTGGATCATGTCAACGACCTTACAGACCTCGAGCTGGCTGTCCTCCTCAGCCTCGTTGCCCAGCATCACTGCATGGTAGTAGGCAGAGATGATCTACTCGATGATCTGGCATCCGAAATTGCATTGGTAGGTTCCGATACAAACCTTTTAATCTCGACTAATGCTCGTGCAGATAGTCAGAGACATGTTCGGCCTCTCGTACATAATACTTGATCGAGATGACCTGCAGTCTATCAATACCTTTGGTGCTGCCATTCTGGATGATGATAACAATGAATTCGATGATATGCCGTACGAATCTGATGTTGGTGTGGAGAGCGTCTGTCCCAGTCTTCGCTCTAAACCTACTTGCTCTCTGACTGACTTCTAGTCGCGCATGCTCCATTCAAAATTAGCCTCTGTAAATTTCCGCGCAGGATCTTCAAGCCTCATGGATCGCCCGGATTTGGACACAAGACAGGTTGTGAACGTCATCATCGCCAAGGACTTCAACCTCGCTCATGAAGACGTGCAGATCCAGGCTCTCGAGGTGCGCTATTTTCCCCAGCCACACTTCTTAAGCTAACCAAGTGCGTAGCTTATTAGGAAGCGGAGAATATACAGTCGAACGACGGTGCATCTCGCGCCCACGGTATTCCTGCTGCTTCCACTTGTTGCCGCCTCTTCCAAGCATATCCGATTGAACAAACACCTTGTAAGTTCAACCCATTCATGTCACGCCTAAGCTCAACTTAGCAGAACGACCGCATATTCATGTCCCACTCTCACTCGCCAGAAGATGGTTTTCCCAATCTTGAGGAGTTAGATGACGCAGTCAATTCCGAAGACCACGACTCCAGTTATTCCTATTCTCGCTCTCCGAGTGCGAGAAGGCAGCAAACGATTGCGAATCGTCGAATCGGCGCAGAGGTGGGATCTGTCACCCGGTTGGTCTGTTGAGTTTCTGACGGCGGCCTTCAGTTGATCGAACAGCTTCGTGCCCAAGGCCATGCTGCGGCAATTACCCCGGATATTCGAAGATATCTTCAGGATGTTGTGGCATTTCTTCGGATGGAGAGAGGGGTTGACGGCGGTATATCGCCGTATGCGACAACGCTTTTTCTCGCCCTGGCAAAGTCAGTGCCTTGAACTAAACTGCATAGTCATGATTCTGATTTGGCTAGCAGGTACCTCGCTCCATTCCACGGGATTGACTATGTTACGCCATCGTTAGTCGCATTGGCGGCAAAGAAGATATATGCGCATCGAATCATCATGGCCACTTCCAGTCGCGAGCGCAGCACTCAATACGGGACTGACCTTGTGTCTGCACAAGACCTTTTGAATGACTTGGATCCAGACATTGTGATCCAAAATGTCCTCGATACGATTGAGCGTCCTACATGATCCAACCCTTCTCCGAAAAGGTAAGTTACAGCGATGAAAGCTTCGCCTAGGCTAGAGCACAGCTTAGTGGTCACAGCTTGTCGAGATCACTGCAACGGCCCCTCTTCAAGATGACTCGCTCGGTCCCAGTAGGTTCTCTTGTACAAGGGTTTGCCCTCGGAAATACGGTCGCATTGTTGCTATCTGCTGCCCCTTTGTTTATCAATATCAGCTCTGGGGGCATTGCTCAGTCAAACAATGAAGCAACAGGTCGCTGTGAATCGCTACCCTTTCTCTTGAACGACCGCTCCTTCTCTCGACATGAACAAGTCCTGAGACCATCTGCCTGAATGCGCACCCACACATGCTGGACATAAATAGCTGCATCTAATAGATTAATGCAAATGCGGGTTGGTAAGCGGCACTTCTTCTTCTTCTAGCATTATTGATTCTCTGACTGTCCAGCGCAGATTATCGAGATCATTGATTCCCCTGTGCCCACCACCTCATGTTCTGCGGGTTTCTGAATGCCTCGAAGTACTCTGGTGCAATGCAGGCTCGGCAGGTTCTGGAAGACTGTAACCCTCGAGGTGAACTGGCTCAAATCGACCAGTCTCGCTGCCTTTCGAGAGTGCACTGAAGATCCGTCCTGTATCCATCTAAGAAGAGCACAGGAAACCTAAAGTATAGCCACCCGTTCTACGCTGGGAGAATTTCGTTGTTATGTAATGTGGATGCGTTGGCGGCGACCCACTGCCACGATCTGGAATGGAGGTTGTCCCTGCAGTGTCGGGGAGAGTTTGTGGGTTGAGCAACTGAAATGGTTTCCGGGGTTCATTGGTCTGCTGCAGGGGAAGAAGAACGGATGAACGTGGGACGAAGATTGAAAGGAGATAGAGTTTCACGGAAGACAACGTGATAAGTGGATGATATTTGCTTTCGCTTCCTCTATGGACCCATTGCTTTGGCGATCGAGAAGGATGAATGGAGATAACTCCCATTCCTGGTCGTTCCACTCTAAAGGCTTCAGAATGCGCTCTTTCAGGTGGTCTCCTCTCGAATATGCAGCATCTGTTTAAGTCTATCGATGTGGTTTTCATATGCATGGACGCACCAAGTCTTTTCTCCCGGTTAGCCATCCAGGTTACCGTCGAAGGCATGATTGAGCCCTCAGCGCCACTGCATTCATTGCGAAGAAGAACTAAAAGCTCATCATGGCCTTCAATCTGTGCTCCCACGCTCGCTTCGTGACGGTCGCGTTTGGCGCAATTATTTCAAAGGCATGCGGCACCCCGGGATACAGATGGAACTCGACCTCAATATCCTCCATGGCGATTCTCTTCGCATATTCGATGTCCTCATCTCGGAAAATATCCAAGCCGCCAATGTCGATGTAGGTGGGCGGTAAGTTCGCGACCGATTTTGCACGGGCAGGCGCGCAGTACTCGGACACGTCGACGTCATGCTTGCCCGCTTTGTCGGCGCCCAGCAGCGCAGTCCAGCCCGTGATGTTGTCTTCGGCCTTCCAGAAGGCGAAGGGCTCGAGCTGCTCGTTGGGGATGAGGTTGCGGTCGTCGATCATGGGGTAGATGAGGATTTGCTTTGCGAGGGGTGGAGAGAGGCCTTTGTCGCGGGCCATGAGGGCCACTCCTGCGGCGATGCCTCCGCCCGCAGATTCTCCAAAGACGGCGATGCGGGCAGGATCGACGTTGAACTTTGACGCATTTTGCGACAGCCACACCAGACTGGCGTAGCAGTCTTCGACCAGATTCTGGCCCCGTGACTCCGGCGCCAAGCGGTACTCGACGCTAAAAATCGGCACGCCAGTCTGCTGGACTTGCCATGCTATGCCCTGGGCCACCATCGCTACTGAGCCCAAAATCATCCCACCGCCATGGCAATGCAGGATGGCCGGGCCTGGCATTTCAGAGGGCGCTCCCTTCTGAATGAAGCTGTATACGGGCAGTGTCACACCCGCAGGTGTGGTGATGCTGTGTTCCTTCTGCTCCACGTCTGGGGACTCGGGCAAGCTCCCTGTGAAGAGCGCAATGGCGGCCTCAAAGCCCTTGCGGCGGCCTTCAATGTCGTGGACGGCTGGCTTGGGCCGAGCGGCGAGCATTGGGATTATGGGCTCAAAGGCCTTGAAGTATTCGGCGTCGTACTTGAGAGCCATACCTTGACCTGTCTATATGTCACCAATTGATCTGCGTAAACGCGTTCCTCGTATATGGCACAGGTTTCTGAGATGGAAGATCTATCTCCGTACCGTCTTGCTGGCCAGGAGAAACTTAATCTTCCAGAAGAAAGAGATAGAGGCTTGGTTGCCTGATACTGTAGCCTCGGTCACTGATTACTACCCGGCCCGTTCTTGCTCCTAGGGTAGTCCGTTGGGCAGTACTAGGGAGTAGCGGCTCAGGAACCGGGTCATTTCCCCTGTACCCCCACAACTCAGGTCGTGTCATTATTCGCATCAGAGTTGGCTGTTGGTTCAATCGAGGTTGAAGGATGACACCGAGGTTTCGGCCGGACCCTTGACCCATAATGCAGAGTACGAGTCCGGAGAGCCGAGTATACCATCTCGTATGCACAAATCAAGCACATCTCCTAGTCCTCTCTGTGCACATCCTACCTGTACTTTCACCCGCTTTGGAGGCATGTTTGCTGACAAAGAAAGAGGAGCTTTTCCGGTCTCAGGGATCAGCCTTGTTGCTATTTTGAGGTGGAGGTGGAGTCTATCCGAACTTCCTTCAACCTACAATCAATTGCAGTAGATTCCGCAAGCAAATCCATTGACAGCGGCTGCTTCTCTCCCATGGTATGTACTCCGTATTGCTCACAGATTGTCTGATGGCGTTTCAGGTGTCTTGACTCTTCGCCTTTCTGAGGTATGACCAGCGTTGCCGAGGTATAAGCCTTACTGGCCCGTGCTTGGCAGAGCCCCGTATCTCTATCAATACTTCCTGTGATGCTTGATTTCTATCATTTCCATTCTGCTGCTTGGTGGTGATTTAACAGCCTTTGACTCTCGCCGTCCGTTGCGTCACACACTTCACAAGCCGTCAAAAGTCACGTTTGCTCTGTCGTGACATCTTTTGTTGGACTCCGCGACTGTTGACAAAGCCCGCTTTGATACCCCATCGCGGTCAATGCCTCCAAGACCCTCAGGAACAAGAAGTGTCGCGGACGAGCTATGCTCGCTGGTGCCATTTATATCTTTGATTCTTCTCCCGTAGTCCTTGAGATAATCTGCTTTTTGTATCGGCTTCTCCCTCGGCATCGACGACATCATGCTCATCCGCTTCCTCTTCAGAGTGCAGACACTGCCAGCAATGTCTATCCTGCGACCAGGCTTCGTCTATAAGGGCACAACTCTGTGAACACTGGAGAAATCAGCCATATGGGCTTCGATAATGATATAGGAAACTCGTCCTCGCGACACTTGGGGCTCACAACCTGTCTGGCTTGCAAGCCGGGACCTTTCGGCGATGTATGGTGAGCATCTTCTATGCATGGTTATTGACCGGGTTTCCCCTAATGTGTGAACAGGATCTAACCCTTGAGCTGTTTTGCCTCGGGCAACAAGGATCCCACAAATGGCACACGGCCATCAGAGCAACAAGTTTATACTTACCCGCTTGATGAATCTCGATCACGGCATAATCCAACTCGACCAGAGATCGACTATGTTATATATATTATGCGTTGCGCCTTACGCAAAGGCGTTGGCAGTCTGTCCCTGCTGTCACAAAATTGCAAGATGCGCCTCGATCACCAACACCTTTGTTGCCGAACAATGCCTGGCGTTATTTTGAGGTTTCCTTTGATACCGTGGACAGGAGACTGAAAGCCCCCGACCTTCATACAATGGCTTCTATGTGTGCAATCTTTGTCTCGGTGGTGGAACTCAAGGAGCAGCAGGCCGTCCGAGTCGCGTATTTAATGACCGGACCCCAAAGTGAATCCGCGCTTCTGCCTCGACTTGTTAACAGTTTGCATCGTCACTGAAAAGCTCCAGCGTGCATTCGAAACTGATACTGCACTTTTCAAACTCGCAATCGATACCATCCTCCCGACGCACTCGATCCAAACCTTCATCGTTGGAAAGATACGGCCTTCACAACTCCCCAGAGACGTCCACGCTCTTGTTTCCACACGCTCGCAGCCAATATGTCTAACATGTCTGACATGGATGTGGATCCAATATTTTATGAAGCCGTGGCGCGAGATGAGGCTTTTCGGCAAGCCGTCCATGACTTTATGGAGCATCATGCGCCTTTGGTCCTCACGCACTATATGCGAGGTGCACTTCACAACCTTGTCTTCTCTTATTTCGGCACAAGCCAGAACATTGAGATGCAGCGCCTAATCCTTGCCTTGCATAATACCTACAGTCTGGAAGGATTGATGGATATGACTTTACTCGACAACATCCGCGTGAACGTCGACATAGTGAATCAGGAAAGCATCCACATGAACTTTGGAATGGCAAATGAGATGCCGTATTATGGCATGGGGCAACAGCTAGCGTCATCAAGCGCCGCTCTTCCAAATCTAACTGGGCTTGCCTCTTTTACTGAGCCTGCACATACCAGCACGAGCACCTTGCCAACCTACCATTTCTATCAGCTTGCTGGAGAAGAGCCAGCGGTGGGCAGCTTGGCTTCCAACCATTCTGGCAGTTCTGCCGCTGATGACGCCGGGACGGGGCATGTGACAATGACCAGCACTGCACCTGTTGTAGGTTCTTCAAACAGTGTTGTCAAATGTCATCCAGATGGCCTCGAGTACAAAATCACCATTGAACCCAAGGACAAGAGTTGGTTGTTTAAATGTGACGAATGTGGTCACGAAGTCATATGGCGCGAGGAGTTCACCCGCCACATGCGGGTGGGAGCGGCGAGGGCTGACTTCAAGCTTGTGAATGCTGTTCCCGAAGAAGGCCAGGTCTGGTATGGAGTGGACGCCGCCGGGAACGAGTACATGGGGGAGCTTGTTGAGAGGGAGGACCCGGACGAGAGGAGGCCTAAACGAAGGATACCACCCCCTTGTGGACCACGTCTTAAAGCCCATCGAAGAGGCAACGGATAGGCTCAGGAGGAGAAACGAGGCAACCCGCTGAGAGATAGAGTGTAAAAGTGTTGTTGAGAATAGAGCAGTCGCTGAATGTAAATAATGCACTAATCGTGTCTTGTAGGCAGATCCCCCGTTGTCCCTAACAATGTCAACTTGAAAGAGCATTGACGACCTGGTTTGGGCATTTGGGCCTGCGCAGCCTTGTCGTTGTGGAAATCTGTGCTTCGCCGTACCGGTTTTCAGCCTCGTTGATCTCATCGCTGCTCTCCCCTCTCCCTTTATGCTCGCCCTTGTGATATATTCTCGAAAAGATGCAACTTCACCCTCGTTCCTTTTAATGATGTGGCTTGTCTTGTACCATGCATACCCGTCAATGGACAGCCATTCTCAGCCTCCCGGTTTGGCTGCAAATAGCTTGCGTCAACGCAGCTTTTGGCGGTGGTAGTGATCATCCATATGACAGCGACGTCCTGAAACAGCAGGAATCCATCTTCGGGATTTGTCCGGACTACACTAACTATGCGCGTCATATTCAGTAAGCCAATCTCTGTCTCGAATTGCAAGTTGAGTTGCTAACTCATTGCGCAGCAAACCTCTCAGCAAGGGACCTCTACAACTACCCTTCCAAAGGCCACACCCAAGCTGCCGCAAGTTCTCTTCGCCCGCCGTGGAACAAGTAATAGATGATCTCTACCCTCGATTAAAAGATCCGGACCTTGCGCAGATATTCCAGAACGCATTTCCAAATACCCTCGACACGACGGTGCTATGGCACGTAGATGGAGAAAAGACACATGCTCCCCCATCAAGATTACTGCGAGACAGAGACAGATGGCAAGGCGCGCACTCGTTCATCGTGACAGGCGATATCAATGCGGAATGGTTGAGAGACTCTACGAATCAACTCGCTCAATACCAACTTCTTGCAAAATCGGCCCCGGACATCTCGAAACTCATCCTCGGAGCAATCAATACACAGGCTGAATTTGTGATATCTTCACCTTATTGCAACGCATTCCAGCCTCCGGACCCATCTCGTTTGGCTCCAGTCCACTCAGGTCAAGACGACATTGTTCATCCGGCCTATGAACCCACCGTTGTCTTTGAATGTAAATACGAACTCGACAGCCTCGCTGCATTTCTGAAGCTGACGAACGAATACCACGCAACCACTGGCTCCACGGCGTTTTTGACCACTCGATGGTTCAAAGCGCTTGAGGCCCTTTTGCAAGTCCTCGACGCACAGGCACGGCCAACTTTCAATCCAACCACGGGATGGTACGAACGCAATGAATACACATTTAACCGCTACACACGCATTGGGACAGAGACACTCAACTTAGAAGGAACCGGAAACCCCTTAGCAAGTGGAACAGGCCTGATTCGCTCTGCCTTCCGGCCGTCAGACGATGCTACGATTTTCGGCTTCCTGATTCCCGCTAACGCAATGATGGCTGTCGAACTGTCTAGAGCAGCCAAGATGCTCAAATCCGCCGGCGCGGCCACGTCACGAGAAACACAAGCAGTGCGAATGATCCAAGTTGCGGATGACCTCGCTGGCCGTGCAGAGACCATTAAGAACGGAATCTACAAGCACGCCGTCGTCACGCATCCGGAATTTGGACAGGTATTTGCGTACGAAGTCGACGGCTACGGCGCCCACCTCCTGATGGACGACGCAAACATCCCTTCCCTCCTATCCCTCCCTCTCCTAGGCTTTGTCGACGCCGACGACGAAATCTACCAAAACACCCGACGCATGATTCTAACCCAGCGCGGTAACCCATACTACCTTTCGGGCTCGAAATTTCAGGGAATAGGCGGTCCACACATCGGCTTACGCAACGCCTGGCCCATGTCTGTCGTAGTGCAGGCCATGACGTCGACCTCTGACGGCGAGATATTAGAATGTCTTGACAAAGTGAAGAACGTGAGCGTCTTCGGCTTGATCAACGAGTCCGTGGATGTGCACCGGGGCGTCAAGCGCGGAGGCGGAGGCGAAGGGATGACGCGCAGTTGGTTCGCGTGGGCCAACAGCGTGTTCGCCCAAGCAGTCCTGTGGCTCGCAGAGCACAAGCCAGGTCTCGTCCTGAGGGACAGCGACGACGGAAGCCCGCCTAAAGGGTATCGTGTGGGCGTTGGGTGGGTGGAATATTCTGTCTGACAGGGATGCATTTTGATAAGTAAATGGAATGAGACGGGGTTGATGCCGAGGAAATGCTCGGGACGCAGTTATTATTATGATCTGGTAATCAACCAATTTCGGAAAGAGAGACAGGGGTGCCACAATGTGCACCGTGCACTGTTCGAAGGCATTCATTCGCGGCTTTTATCGACCTGTGTTCGAATATTCCCAATCAGAGCATAGAGTATGGAGCATGTACTCCATGCAAAAAGGACTCGTCTCGTAAATGTATACAATATCCTATGCGATGCAATGCTATGCCATGCTGTAGTACATAGGTTTGTATGTATGATGTATGTATGTATGTGTGGATGCTATGCGATTCTTGGCCCTGCGCTGCTTCTTCACACAGCCACTCACTCACTCCCCCACGCGCCCGCCAGCTTCAACCAGGGCCCAGGGCCGGCCGACAAACGAATGAATTATGCATTTTTCTTCCCGAAGAAACTCATAATGTTCCCTCTGCCTCCGGGCCCTTTCTTCTTCCCTCCCGGCCCTGCCTTGCCGGCATGGTTCTGGGCCTGACTGCTGGATGATCCCTGGCTGTGCGTCTTGGGCGCGCTGCTCTTTGGCGCTTCCTTCTTGGCCGCCCGCGGAGGAGGCTCGGGTTCGTCCTCGCTGAAGCTCTCCCACACTGCTTCCTCCCGTGTCACGAGGTAGCCGTCTTCCTTAGTCGTGCGCTTTCGCATCACTTTGCGCTTGCCGCGCCGACGCCGTCTGGGCGGTGCCGTGGCGGCGTCATGTTGTTCGGACTTTTCTTCCTTGGATGCTTGTTTCTTCTCGGTGTCCGAATCTGACCACGCCACTTGGTCATCCCCTTCGTCGTCCTTTGCCTCCGTATCCGCGTCTGTGCCCTTCTTCGCGGCTGGAGGCTCGTCGTTTTCAATCCCGGTTGTCTCTTCCACACTGGGCGCTGCGGCTTCCTCTTCGTCGTCAGATTCCATCATCTTGCGCAGCTTCGCGGCCTTATCCTCGCGCTCCTTCTTGAGATCGCTGGATCGTTTCTTTGAGGTTGCAGATTTTCGTGTTCCGGTGTCGAGGAACAGTGCTTCGTCTTCAGACTCCCCTTCATCAACGTCATTCATGGTTGTGTCTGGGTCTTGGCTGCTAGATTTTGGAGTGGCGGCAGGTGTTGATTTTGGACGACCGTGTTTGGCGAAGGCTTTAAAGAGATCGGAGGCATCTCGTCTCAGGGTCGGCTGTTTGTTGGAGATGGAGGTCGAGGTACTGTCACGAGAACTGGGACGTGAGGGTTCTTCGGATTTGACAGGTGGAGCAGCAGTTGATCCTTTAGGAGTGGGTTTTGCGTTGCTGAACAGAGTCTTCTTGTTCTCCTCTTTGATAGGTTGAGATTTTGATGCAGGTCCTCGTAGAATGACCGGTCTCTTGCCTTTCCGCCGCCGGACATCAGGGTTCTGAATCAGACCGTAGGTCTTGCTATGTTCGGTCGCAATGCCATCTGTGAATAGACTTTGACTGATATCGGTCAACGTAACAAGATCTTGTATTCGCGCAGGAGAAAGGCTGTAGATGTGTATGGATGTGATGGTTTCGTATTCTTCTTTCACCGCTAGCAACACCAGTTAGTGGTCACCTCGAGTAATGGACTCCTCAGAACACACCTTCCAGAGTCTCTTCCCTCACCAGCGTGATGGTTCGGACGGGCTGTTGTTTTACCTCCTCTTCTTCCACGTGACTACTCTGTTGGCTTGGTTCAAGCATCGAGCTGGTGAATGGAGGTGGGCTTGAAGGAATATGTTCATCGGGATCTTCGTCGGGGGCGTGTCTTCTCGCGGTCCCATTCGTGACCACAGCAAGTGTCGGTGTCTTCTTTATCCCGGACAAAAGATAGGTAGCATAGACCGATCGGGGCTTCTTCGTATTCTGAAAGTCGTAAAATTCGTAGAGCATGCATTTTGCGGCATTGACGTGCACCTTCAAGGCTCGTGAGAGAGTGCGGTAGGATACTGTTCGCTGCTCATTTAGAACCTCGCTTGCCAGATATTTCTTAAAGTCTTCAGCCATGTTGGTTGACATCGGTATCCAGTGACAGTTATGGACGATGGTCTCAAGATCTTGATCGGCGGAAAAGATGTTGGTGTGACGTGACGTGACGCGACTGCGATTGTGAACGCGTTGAGTGCTTTTCAGAAACGGCACGACGCCGCTTTTACCTTTTACCGAGCCAGTTTTCTGTCAGACATCCACATTTATTTCTAGAGGTACTCCATGCTTGTCCATGTCAAGTCCATGTATAAGAAATCCCATTGCGTAAATTGTGTCCACGACAGAGACACACCGTGTCTTTGCCTCGATATCGTCCTCCATATAGAAGCTCCCGTGGGATGAATGACAGCGCTCAGCAAGATCCAGGCACCCTTCAAGTTCGCTGCTGTCAACACAATAGTCGTGTCGGAATCAGGATGGACTGGGCGCGAGCCTAATCCTTTCAGCTTTACAGTTATGCTTGCTCGACGACAAATGACTGAAATGATGAGTCCACATTACAGCTACTCTTGGAAGGTTCAAAGGCACAGCGCTTCTTGGAAATTCTTTGCCTCGGAGCCGTGGATGGAGTGAGCTTGAGGGAATCAGCTTACGTTCTGCGTGGGATGTTATCTTGTCTAACGACTTAGCAGGAGCACTTGATGATCCTTCAGGACCTGTCGACTTACGGGTTTGATGTGGCAACCTTCATCCATTTTGGCGCTTTGAGCCGATGGGATAGCTTTTCTCGCCTGGTTGCCCGTCCATATACAGCTTTCATTCTCAACGCGGCGTGCGACAATCGACACCAATCAATACCTTTGTCTCGTTGGATCGATCTGGAGGTGCCTACAGCCCCATTTCTCAAGATTATCCGAACCCTAGCTTCGGGAACAACGAAAGGCAGCCTACTTCTCCTGAGATCTGCTTTTGTTCTCAAAGAATTTGCATCCTTAACCGCAGATGCTTGTTTGTTCAAACGAACATCTGCTACCGACTTGCTTCACCCTTGCTCAGCCAGCCCTCTCCAGTATCGTTTCCAAGCGGACTTCATTTGCCTTCTCCTTATTATTACGACGCGGGCTAGAGCTCGTCTGATGGGACGGTGGCCAAGTTTCTTCACTTTTCGTTGACCGGTAAATGGTTGAAAACACGGTTTTGGATCGACAAGATCAGACATGCTTTTCGTTGGCCTGTGCACGATATCCATTTTAGATGAGGCAGTTGTATACCAACGTGTCGTCTGACAGAAACTGAACTGCTCAGAATAGTCGAGATCATTTTGTCAGACAATGCAATTCTCCGGCCACTCATCCGCAATGTTCCTGAAGGATTCAGTAAGCGGATTGAGTTGCTTCTGCCACCACGTTGGCGTTCTGAAACAACTACCAAAACTGAGCCTTGGCCGCGGTAACATTGAATGAAAGTCGAGGAGAGTCATCGTTTACGAGCTACCTTCCACTCAATCCGACGAGGAACGGATGGATTCGCGTATTGCAGTCCACCGGACAATCCACAGTCAGCCTCAGTGAACCGGTAAGACTGAAGGGTATCTCTGCAAAGATGAACTCCCAGGGTAAGCTATGGACTACCTAAACCCCTCCACTTGTCTCTTTGTCAAAAATACTGATATTTCAGAGTCTCCTGCGCGCTCGTGGGTGTGCTGCTTCTGCTCCAAATCCTATCGCAGATCGTAAGTATGTCCATCCTACAACGGGCCCAATCGGCGGTAAAGATAGGTAAAATACCCAACGAAATGATCGGTTCTTTTATCCAGTCCATCAGCAGGGTTGGGGTAGTGTCAATTGTCCGCCTCTGCCGCAATATGCAAATATCTCTGTGGAACCTCGAAATTCTTCATCGAGAGTGACAGAAGCCATCTCTGGTTCAGCAACCTTCACAATGCCTTTGAGCACCCTTCCCCTCATTCGTCTTTTCATGTCATGCCAGATTTCGCGATCTGGGTTATTGCATGCTCATTATTCATGGACTGACAATCCCTTAGTGATGTGCTCCGCCGGCATTACATCAACTGTCCATCCAGGGGTGAGCGAGCGATTCCTGGAAAGCTAAAGAAAGGCAAGAAAACACGAGCGTGCGATTCATGTGCACGCCTAAAACTGGGTTGCGATCTGGATTGTCCATGCGAGACCTGCCTGTCCTATGGCCTCGAATGCACCTACACCCGACTCACGGAGCAGCAGCGACCGCATCTGGGAGTTGAGCCTCCCTCAATACCGACTCAAGATGTACAACGCCCTAGAAGTCGCTCTGTCAGTACTGGCGTTTCTCAGAGGCCAAGAAATCTTGGACAGCAAGAGCGGAGCAAGATTTCCTTATCCTTCCTACTCAACTATGTGAATCCGAGCACAATCATGGCAGACGCCTATGGCTCCGTCACAGAGAAAGCACAGACAGACGGTGAGTCTGCATCGTGACGAGGGTTTGAAAGAGTCTCTAACGTCAAACGGCCTAGTGCCTCTGCCCCTGAACAGTAACGTCACTGCAAGCGATTTCGGTACCTCGACTGCTACGGTGCAGTTGGTGACTGATGAGTTCATCTCGCCGGCCCACAGTGATAGATTAGACGACTTTTTCGTGTCTTGTCTGTTTCCCGATTCAGAAGTCTTCCAAGGCACAGGCGAAGACGCAAACTGGTCCTATAATTGGCAAATGCTAGAGCAGTCGGACCCATTTAGCGTTCCTCCGACCGTTAGCCCTTTCAATGGCTTGGTAGACTCGTTAACCGGATTCACACTCTCCCTTCCACAGGGACACCCCGAAAGCGCCCCGAACGATCGACTAGCAAAAGCAGCGACCCTGTTTTCGAGAGACAATGTTGAACGATTTGTCGGTCATTACTTTCGAGACTACTGCCCACATAGCCCGATTCTCCATCCCGGGACTTTCCAAGTGGGTGCAGCATCCCCCTTCTTACTCACAGTGCTGGTACTCACAGGGGCTTTATTTTGTTCTTCGCCGAATGATATGGAGCTAGCAAGGGCCATTCTTAGCCTGGTAGTGGAATATGCTTTCAGCAACCCGATTTTCAGAAAGCTGCTCCTTGGGCCTGATGCATTACGGGGACTGGAGGACCGCGAATCCCTGCAAGCACTCGAAGCTGCTTTCTTCATCACGCAAGTGCAGCTCCGAGAAGGGTCTCCGTCCAAACGGAGAGAAGCGCGAAGCTCTCGCTTTGAAGAGATAATATCTGCCGTTCGAAGCCTAGGGCTACTAGAGACTCGAAACTCGTTCTTCAATGCTGAGCCACCAGCGCCAGAAAAGTTTCAATGGGCTCAATTTGCCGCGTGCGAATCCAAAATTCGTCTTGCATGTGGTGTTTTCAATCTTGATGCCAGCTTTACCGTTCTATACAATATGACTCCACGATTATTTGCGGAAGAGATGAGTATCGGCATGCCTGGTTCTGCTGAGGCTTTCTTTTCCGATAATGCTCAGGATTGCTATCGGCTTTCACTGAAGGAGGATGGGATTCAAAAATTGTCTCTTTCGCAGGTATGCGACGCTTTTCTGCAGGACCACTGGGATGAAGAGATGCGCTGTTCGATGCAAAAATTGTCGCTTCTGCATCTTTGCAGCCTAATTCTGGCGTTGACGCAGATTTTATGGCTTTCGCCATACAGGCCCAGAAAGTGGCAAACAATGAAACGAATGAAAAAGGCGTTGAAGAGATGGAAAGCAGCCTGGGATTTTCAGAACGCGACACTGACTGCTCGACAACGCGACCGTTACGGGTTCCTGAAGACTATCCCCCTTGAGTTTTGGCAGATCACAACTGTCTTGGTGGAGAAAGACAGTACCAGTTTGGACACAGCTATCACTCAAAGCGCCATTGCTGCTCTGAACAACAACCAGTGTGCGCAAACTATGCTCGAAAGCGTCGAAAAGCAACAGAGTTGAACTCCATATTTGCTGGATCGAAAAGTCGACCGACGTCATCAGCTCCCTGGATCTCGGTTCCCTACCGGGGCAAGACCGCCAAGGAGTAGATCTCAAGGTACAGCAGCGAAGGCATCAGGCATTCCCCGTCTCGATAGGGAGGAGATTGTCAAGGCACCGCTAGCCACTGACCGAGCTGCCAATCGAGCCCAAAGATGATCTTCAATGTGAAGAAGGTGAAGCACATGGTCACATGTTCCAAACATTGATCTCTTCATGCATCCATTCTCTGTGCGGCCGTTCAGAAACGAGTGTACGCTAGTGTCAACATCACGAAAGAAATTTACTCAGATAATTTTGTTCATTAGGCATTTCTCACCGTTCCTCGGACGTTATTTCACATCGCATCAATCTCGATCTTTACTGTCCGAAGGGATGAGGTTCTTGACCTAAGGAGCTGGTACAATTGTGTTCCTAGAGTTTGCCGCCAATATATACACAATTTGCTTCTTATTGTGTGGATAGTAATGACAAGACGCCTATTTAACAGATAGCAGAGAGGATAACTGGATGTCGATGCGAGATTTACGTTGGAGAATAGAATAAAAGGTTTCGGCGTCAGAATCAAACTGCATGACTCCGCTGCATTTGAAACAAAATTTAACACTGCCAGGGAGCAAACATTCGTCCTCCAAGCCCCGAGGAGGGCCGTGGATTCTCTCGACCGAAGTAGCAGCAAATTGAGTGAACACGGCAAGAATAGAGTCGAAGCTGGGACCTGTTGTCCAAGGCGTCTTGGGCGTCACCGCAAGGCTGCAAAAGCGGCGAGGAGGCCTTCGTTTCTCCACTTGTGGCTAATCAGCTTCCTTCCAACGACAACAAAACGTATCGGAGATCAATCAAACTATCCTTTCCTTTCATCGGCAGTCGGCGCCAAGAATTCTTTCTTTCCTTGTTCCTTTAGCAAATCTCTGATACGTTAATAGCTTTGTCGATTCGTACGCGCATAGATAGACAAGGAAGTGAAATGATAGGTAAGATACGCCACCGCACCCCTTTGTTGTTCCCCATGAACGCAGCCAGCAACAACCATTGTGTCTATCCCTATTAAAAGGACATGCTTTTGACTGACTCAGTCACGCAGGCAGTGATGGAGGCCGGAGACAGTTGACAGTTCAAGCCGAATAGATTGTTACGCTTCTTTGGACAGGTATATTTTATTTATATATATATATAAGACGCCGTTTCTGCAAACAATAGTCCGGTTCTCCATACACGGTCACAGTCAAAAGTTTGCGCCAGCTCCCCCTTAACACCTTCGGCCTTGCCCTCGCTATCAAAGCACACGGTCATCTATCTATTTACTCAAAGGCAAAACCCTTCCTGGAAAGGGTAGCGAAGAGGATGGAATTTGCCGGCCCGGAGCCAGAACTCCAATCTGGAGAAGAAGCAGGCGCCCCCAGGATGCCTGGTGACCCTCACCTCGCCGACTTCACCCAGCTCGGGTCCCAGATCTATTTTTACACGCCTCCTGCTCCGTCGGTGGTAGAGATCGACGGCGCGGCTGAGGCTCATCAGCAGCAACAAGAGCAGCGACCGTTGGACCCGGATCTGATAATCGTCTGCTCGTGGATGTACGCCCAGTCTCGGAATATTGGCAAGTACATCAAGGTGTACCAGACGACGTATCCGTCCTCGCCGATCCTGCTTCTCCGACAGGACGGAGGCGACTTCTTCTTCCGCACGAAGGCCCAGCAGATGCGGAACCTGACCCCCGCGGTCTCTCTGATTCGGGATCTCTCGGCAAAGAAGGAGAAGAACAAGGAAGGGCAGAATACGGGGAAGAGGTTGAAGGTGCTCTGCCACGTCTTTTCCAACGGCGGCGCGTGGACGGTATGCCAGCTTGCAGACGCTTATTATCATCAGCAGCACGAGCAGCAGCAGCAGCAACAGCAACTGTCGTCTCCCGTCTCTCGCGAGGAAACCGACCTTTTACTTCCCATCACAGCGCTGGTCCTAGACAGCACGCCTTCGCTACCAAACGTGACCGCATCACACACAGCCATCTGCGAAGCGCTGCCGAAATCGCCGCCGGCGCTGCGCGCGCTCGGCAGCGCCCTGGTCTGGGGATACCTAGGGATGTCGCACGTCGTGGGCGCCGTGGCGGGGAGGGAGGACGTGACGCTATCTCTGCGCCGCCGCCTCAACGACCCGCGCGGCGTGTTCACCCAACCCTCCTTGCGGGCCCGCGTCTACGTCTACAGCCAAGCGGACGCGCTGATCGCCGCGGCCGCCGTGGAGGCGCACGCGCGCGAGGCGGCGCAGGTCATGACAGGCGGCACGGACAGAGTGCAGCTGGAGGATTTCGGCAAGAGTCGCCATGTCGGCCACGTCCTCGCGAATCCAGCGAGGTACTGGGGCATTATTGAGTCGCTGTGGAGGGAGAGCTGTAGAGGGAGCGGTCAGGACTCCAAATAGAGGCAGAGTTTGTTGAGGGAGTGGTGAAGATTCGAAAATAAAGAAGGCAGATGATGGATGGCCTCTGAGGCGTACGTGTTTCTGGAGACATCTACATATCGTATAATCATGGAGGATCTACAGCACCCATGTGGTTTTGCCCTCTGGCTCGTCTCCTCGTGCAAACCCGTCCGACATGCGCCTGCAGCGGAGTCATAGCAAAGATCCTCTATTGGTCTCGAAAAGTCTTGATCAATTCGATTTTTTGGCCTCTCTGCATAACTGCGTAACATCGAGTGGCCTGGGGTATTTGGATGATTGCAATAGCGCCGTGTCATGTCTCATCGCTCATTTTGATTCCATATCGAGTGTGCAAAGCAGTGCAACTCAACCATGATTGTGCCCAGCGCCATTGACTTCTCGACCTGCGTCTTGTCCCAACCAGCCCTGACTTCGTTAGCCACCCATGCATTTGAGTCACCGCACGCCAGGCTATGCTTTCACACTCCATGACTATCGCCTCCCGCGGCCGGCCGGGAGAGCAAAGTACAACATCTGCATCGACCCCTGGCATATTCATTCTCCTCATCAGCTTCTGTCCTAAGACCCTTCCATCTGCACATTCCTCACCATAGCCGCAAATTCTCTCTTCACAAACTCAACGAACCCTTTCCATGTGACTAACTCTCCGCCGACACCGTCTATGCTTGCATTAGGAAATTTCCTATCCAGTTCTAGGGTGATCCGCACCACCGCGGCGTTTGCTTCGTTCACTTTCTCAATTTCCTGCTTGACTGCGTTGTCTTTCAATTTGGCGCTCAAAACCAAACGGAATTTTTCGGCGAGCGAGGACAAGCGACGTCGTGTTTGGTCGGGATCAATCACGGATAGGCGAGTGAGCATGAGGATGCACAAGGTGCGGATATCGTGGTCATCAGCGATACCATCCAGGATGCGGTCAAAGATATGGCTGATGGGGAGGTGCGGGATCGCACCTGGGCAATCTAGCAATGCGTACATGGTCGCATATGCAGACTTCCGGAGGTCGAGACCTGCATCTTCGGTATGAGTGAAGGGGCCAATTTTGACCTGCTTGACCAATTCGGGCTTGATCTGTGAGTCCCCCAAGACGGTCGGGAGGAGTTGACCGACGTCTGGGATTACGAGTTCTGGTTTGTTATGGATTGCGGCATTGAGAGTGGTCACTGCGAGCCGGCGGTTAGCAAGGTCGCTGTCATTCAGCATCGTTTGAAGCATGGGCGTCATTGTCTTGACAAGAATGTTGTTGTAGGAGCTGCTGGCTTCACCGAGGGTAAAGCGGAAGGCGGAAATAACTGTGCCACGGACCGATGGATTGGGATCTGCCAGTGCCTTTGAGAGCTCGGGGACAAAGGTGTTTGGATCAATCGTGGCTAATCGACCGATGCATTCTGCCCCGACAGCACTGTTGTCCTCTACCTGTGACACTACGAAGAGTTTCTGCCACAGTTCCGCTGCATACGGAGCCATCTCTCCCAGGGTGCTTTCAGAGTGTTCCAGAATCTCTTTGACAGAATGCAAGTAAAGATAGTCTGAGGTGGATGCTTGTGCCAGGCTTTGCAGTATCACGGGTACGCATACCGAAATGTTGTTGGAACTGGCACTGCCGAGAGCAATCGCGGCAGCAAGTCGCACTTTGTCTGACTCGGCGGAGAGGCAATTGATGAAGGTTTGGATCTTCACTGGTGAACTGGGGCCCATTCTAAACCCGACCTCTCCGAGGACCGTCAACGCCAAGCAGATGGCTCGGATCTCCTGAGATGTTTCCAGTTCTTTTAGAAAATCGGATATCGTAATATTCAGGTTGTTTCCACCATATACTAACAGTGTACCGATGGCTCTCCCAAGAACCATTGTCTCCCCGCCGGTTCCGACAGTGAGGAGACCTTTCATAAGCAGCGCACCGACGCCGTGCTCACCAATGACTTTCACAACGAGAAGATATGCCCGGAGAGGTGGCCCTTCAATCCGGGTTTGTGATATGCCGCAGAGTGCTTCGACCATTTCGGCAGTGACCAGTGCTTGAGCGTTGGTGGGGATGATTTTGGACATAATCACAAGTGCTGGGGTCAACAAGTGAAGATCATTCACAGAAATTAGAGGCATCAACATGCCCTGCAGTTGCAGAATCGTGGTTGTCTCGTACAGCGACGACGTCACAGGGTTCAAAGCAAGGTATTGCAATGATTCCAGGCAAGATCCCCGGAGAGATCTGTCAGCTTTGCGAAGCTGGTTCGCCATCTCAAGTGAAACTTCCTGGACCCAAGCAGACCCGATGTTATCTCGACTGCTTGCGGCTTCGCCAACCCGGCCAATCGCTCTCGCGCTCGCCAGTCTGGTGGTTTCGTTCTTCAATCTGTCACTGAGAATCCCAAGGCTCCTAGTCCTGGCTGAGCTTGACAGCAGTTGAGTAGCCGACGTTCTCGCCAGGAGAACACCAAACACTTGTATAGCACGATGGCGCACTTCCAGGTCAGTGTTATTGTCTGTGACGCGGTCAACGATTACTTCCCATAACTTTTCGATGTGTATGGCATGATCTTGGTTCGCAGAAGGCAGACGAGGTGGAGTCAGAGCCTTGACGAACTGCTCAACCGTGGCAAGGGCTTCGCTTGAAACTTTATAGTTTCTATCACGAGCAATTGCCGTGACCGGGGGTATGAGTGCGATGACGAAAGGTATCAGTACCGTGGCACCATTAGTCTCAGCAATTGCACTGATCAAAGTCAACGTCTCAATCTGAAGACTGGCAACTGTTGCTGAGGTCCCTGATACTGTGCTGCTGGATCCAGAGCCGAATGACGGCTTTAATGCATCGGCGATGGGATCTTCCAGTTGCTGCAAGCGATCCGACAGAATCCCATTTCGCGCCAATGTTAAAGTCTTGAGCATGACAACTGCAGCCTGTTTTAGTGATATGCTTGCCTTCTTCCACAGTTTTGTAAGGGCTTGAACAATCTTTGGCACTAAGCTAACGAGTTCAGCCTGCTCGCCCGTCGGCGGAGAGGCTGGGACAATGGGAGGACTGGATCGAATGGATATTAGACCTCGAAGATCCGGATCCTTCTTGTCAGCTTCGCTGTCTTGCCGTCTTCGCTTGCGAGTATTTGTAGGCATTGCTGGGTTTTCTGAAGAATCGACTCTGGTGAGCGACTCGGTCAGGCCAGTCCCCGTCTTCCGAATCAAAGCGGTGGTGGCTGCAATGACTTCCAATCGGACACTGTCTTCACGCTCACTGAACAGCCTAGAGATGAGAACGGGCGCGATTTTGCCAAAGAGCGTGCCTTTGTCGCTCGACGAGGATCCCGAAACAATGGTGTAGAGGACTTTTGCCGCACAACGTCGCACTTTCCAGCTCATGTCATCCACGTCGCTAAAAGCATCATCGTCATCCAGCTCTGCATATTCATCATCGTCGTCGTCTTCGAGGGCTTCTTCTGTAATGCCGTCATCAGAATCCTCGTCTTGAGTTCCTCCCATTTCGTCATCTTCGGCATCTGCAACGTTGGGGTCGTACTTGAGATACCTCAATGCAGCCTCAATCGCGTTGGAAAGATGAGGCTTCATCTCCAGAGGACAAGATCCAAGCATGGCCTCGAGGGCGATGAGAGCTGTCTCGCGCAGTTCCTCGATCTCCGGGTCAACCTCCGCGTCCTCATCCGACACAGACGCAGTAGCGGAAAGCTCCTTCTGGCTCAAGACTTGAAGGACGTTGGGGATGACATCGTCAATGAAGGGTCCAAACTTTGTTGGACTCGATCGGGCAAGAGTCGCGATCGTCGCGACAAGAAACCTCCGATGTTCCGTGGTCAGCTGGGGATGTTGAAAGCTTTCAGTGAGGGCTGCCACGAAGGAGCTGACTTGGGCATCATTGAAGTGAGCCAGCAATGCCCCAATTCCCGCCAAAGCTCGTTTCTTGACCACACCTCCAGCCTGAGGACTCTCAATGATGTTCATAACAGCCTTGGCAAGTGCCACCAGCTCCAATTCCTGCAGTAGAGATCCATAGCATTTGACAATCTCAATCATAACATCAACCGCATCGCTGCTGAAGCCCTTGTCCTTCTGTCTCTGTAACAGGCCTGTCGGTAGTTGCGGCGGAGGCCTGCCCATCGGCAAGACCACATGACCAACCAATCTCGGAATCAAGACCTTGCTCACAGCGCCATATGCGTCTTTTACATCTTGGGCAGGAGTTTCGTTTGGTTTCGGCTGAGGTAATGCCGCGATGAGAGCGCGTAAAGCAGAATTGGGGATCGAGATATCGATGTCGCTGTGGGTGAGATCGGTGAGCTTGTCTATCAGAGGAGCGATAGTGTCGCCAGGTATGCGTACAGCAAGAGGGCCAATGCTGTCAAAGTTAGTGTCTATTCATGCTCAAAACCGGCTCCAACTCACCATTTCAGAGCTTGGTTCTGGACTTCACCGTGCTGGTCAGCCAAAGCCTTGAGCAGCCCATCGATGACTCTTGCAGCGGTATGATGGTCGGTCCGTATGTAGTCTGAGGAAGGAGACTCTAGGATCTCGGTGAGATCGTTCAGCTGCATGAAACGAATATCCGGATCGGGATCATTGATCTTGTTGAGCAACTGCGCAATCCCATGTTGGGCCGAACTGCGGTCCCTTGCCATTGTGAGCCACAGAGTAGCTTAAGGCAGTATGAGGAAAGGAGGGTGGGAAAACCCTCAGGACATTGGAACCTGGGCCCAGGGTAGGAGGATTCGCAGAGGAAGTTGACTTGAATCGAAGTGGGGGGACGATTCTTGTACGGCGCTGGCAGGTTCGATTGCGGATCTTCAGAGCAGAATAAAAACAGGCTTAACGCTACAGTTGAACAAGATCAGAGTGACTTGACAAGATATCTGGGAGGAGCTGTGTTGCAAGCGAGAGGTCCCTCGAGATTGCTGGCAACAAGTTCACTTCTGGATTCCTTGGTACAATTGACAGCACCAAAAGGCCCAAGTGGGATGATGAAGTGCATTTGGGCGCAGTGGAGAGCCTTGCCTAGCCTTGCCTAGCCTCGCCCGCACCGCAGCGACCACTGACGTCTTGGTACTGGGTACTGGGTAAATCTGCTCGCGCCACCCCGACCACGCCGCTTTTGAACCCCGCCCAGCTCTCCAATCACCCTCTGACCACTTCCAACTCACCCTCTTCTTGAATTTCTCTTGCGAAGTTGTTCACTATAATGCCGCCTCCTGTTCTCCATGATGCCGATAGATACATCGCCACCAAGTTCATGCCTCCTGAAAGTTTAACTGAGGACTCAAGACTTACAGGGTACTAAGCAAGGACCAAGGATTGAAACAACCTGATTCTTTCAGAAAATATCGAAATTATATGTGATCGATTGTCAGAGTCATGTTCATCATATTAAGAGCACTTTACCGGGCTAGAGGAAAGATAGTGCACAGAATGTGAGATTGAGCTCGGATCCTTGCATGGGAGGTTGCATCATCACCATTCTCTCTTAAGCGGAAAGGCAGCTCTTGCATCGTGCTGCCTGTTCTGATACCAGCTTGTCTTACACACGCGCTATCTTTTCGCCAGCCTCCAAGACCTTCTCGTCTCGCTTATGATGCAGCTCTTTAGCCACAAGCTTGTCAGTCTTTTTGCTTCTGTTAGGGACGAAACAAGCTCCGACAATACCGAGACCACCAAAGGCGATGGTGGTGTAGAAACAAGACCTATACGCTTGGATGTTGGCTGTTCGATAGGCCGCTGTAGCTGCTGCAAGGATAGTGTCAGTGAGGCCTGGAACGCTGCTGGGTGGCGCCAGTCCTTGTAGAACCTCTAGCAAAGCAAGTAAAGATGTCGGTGGCAAGCCAGCTCCGATCGCGGCTGGAGGGACCAAGGCTGGGATGGTCGAGCTTAATCGATTGGAGAGAACGGTGGTATAAATAGTCGTGGCTATTGCTCCCCCGAGTGTTCGAACTGATGTTGCAAACCCGACGGCGGCGCCGATGTCGTTCTGATCAACTATGGCGATTCCAGACATGGTGACTGCAATGCCCTCGATCATGCCGAGGGCAAAAGCCCCAATCACCATAAGGGAGACCGTGAGACTTTGGTTGTCCTGATGCACAACAGCGACCGCTCCAGTAAAGGCAGTGCCAATTATCATCAGGGCGAGAACGAAGATTTTAAGCCGACGAATGAAAGAGGCGACCACTCCGCCAACGATCCCTCCTAAGCCGACCACACCTGATGCTGCACAGACTTTCCATCCATAGAGATCAACAGAGCTTGGCCATACCACTGTAATCATGGCAGGCCACAAGATGCTAGATGCCGCGTCAGCTTGAGCCGCTTTCTCGGATCGATAGTGACACACCTAACTCCATAGAAGACCATGGCTGCTACTGTCATAATGATTAGGATTCCGATGTAGTGCACATTTTGAACCAGCTTCAGAGGCAGGTAAGGTTCATCCGAAGGCCAAAAGGATTCGTAGATGAAGAAGGCGATGATCAAGAGTCCACCTATGACCATGGTAGCAATGACATGAGCGCTCTTCCAGGCTGTTTTATATTGCAGTTAGACTCGGTTAACACTAGCGAGAGGATCTGGGCTGGCTTACGGTGGATGGATCCTCCCCACGAGAGACCCAAGATCAGCAAGATAATACCAGCAGTAAATAGTAGGAAGCCGATATAGTCGAACCCCATGACGAATTTCTTGGAAGACTCGCCATGATGAAGCATCTGGAATGTTGGTGGATGGTAGCAGAAGAACCAGCAAAGGAACGAGATGGCGTTCATGATGAGAAGCACGTAAAAGATGAACCTCCAGCCTAGATTTGGATTGTTGGCAATTGAAACGGAGGTTTTGCCGGCGAAGACGTTGGTGGGTAGTCCGATGAACCAAACCCCACCACCAGCGAGGAAACGATACTTGATGGGTACGAGTTCGCCGACCACAAACGCGTATGATGCCTGAGATGCGGTCGCTACAATCCGAGATCAGAGCGGTGAAATCTCTGCCTCCGCAAATGACACTGGTACTCACCTAAACCAATCAATGTCATGCCTCCGATCAAAGTCGGAACATTCTGGGCTCTTGCACAAACCACGGTGCCTACTATGGCAATAACAGATCCTCCGACAAAGAACCAGCGCCGCCCAAAGATATCGGTGACTCGCCCAACGAGAGTACCTAAAGAGTAGAGAATAGTCAGTAACATTTCTCCTTGACTGAGGTCGGGGGTCTACTCACTTCCTATGGCGAATGTGAGAATGTAAACGATAGAGACCCATGAGATGCTGGCACTTGGCCCAATGTCCGCGTTAATCAAGCCCAGCGAAGGAGCTGCAAGACCAAAGGCTCCATTGCCAGCAGCTAAACCGAGACCAGCTGCCTAGTGGAAGCTGTTAGAATGTCTCATCCATGGGTGGGCCATGAGCTCACAAGAAATGTCCCCAAGAACAATGGACTATAGTAATAGCCCTTTGGTGGCTGCAAATCCTGCACGATAGGCTGCGGTTGATCGATAGCAACAGTGGTGCCATCTTCACCATATTCAAAATGTCGATAAGACGGCGAGCCTTTTCCCTCGGCGGAAGCGGGTGAAATCTCAACTTGTGAAGCCATGAGTGCATGTACCTGTATGAGCTTCTCTAGGTGGACTGACACTTGCAAACACTCGTCTATATCTCTAATGTACAACCACAAACCGTCTCAATTGCCCGGAAAGAAGACTGTTGTTCCGAATGCATTCGGATAAGTCACCCCTCGTTTGAGCCTAGCTACGCACAGCCCCATGGGCCAGAAGGTCGTCTCTCCTGCAGAACGGGATCTAGACCTGTCTACTCTACAACTCTCCAAAGAACAGTTTCAATCGTAGTGTGTGAGAGTTGCTGAGCCGGTTCGCTCTGTCCCATTTCCCCCCTGGTATTGGACACAGCCTTGAGAGAGACTGGTCACGAGGCGCCGAGCCCGACTCACTACACTCATTGGACATGTAGAAGGATCCACAGGAGAACAAGGCTAAGTCACGTGATACGCCCTGTTGGCTCTGTTGGCAGAGGGTGCACAGAGCGCACAGAGCGCACAGAGCATGAGTAGTATATATACACCTTCATTACCCCTAGGTAGTTACACTCCCTTCGTAGCCAATTCGTGTTATCTACTGGACTATACTGTTCTCAGTGACGTGACTGCTTATACCTTGCGCTTCCCTCATCCAGTTCATACTATCAAGGATCTGTTACTGAGGAGCCTAACCTCATTAGGCGATACGGCAGCAGCTCTAACAAGCGAATATCCGTATCTCGGAATGACATCTTCTTTCTCTGGGTTGTACTTTTCAGGTTCGGAAGCAACGAGTGGCAATGCTGTGCGGTACTGCTTGCATCGCATCTGCCTCCGTGACAGTAACTCATTAGCATTTGTTCTATCATGCCGCAAGGTAGATGTTGATTCGAGGCTGTGCCTATTCAGGTAAGAGCCTGGCTTAGATGCGCCATTCTTGCCTTCCACTGTAACAAGACAAAGTGGCTGTGCTGTGCTGGGATGGTAGGGCGATGGCAGGGAGGAAAAGTTATCTAGTCACATGTCAAACCAAAATGGGCTGGTAGAAACGGGGTGCGGAACAGTTTACAGTGCTGGCAGAGTGTCATTCTTTACAGTTTAAGCAGAGTATCACGAATTCCATGGCTTTTTGGCGCCGTCTATCTAATTCCTGAGTGTTTTATCGGTTCTGTCCTGTTCCTCGATGCTGCCGCTGTGCTAGATGTTCGTAGCCCTAGCCGCTGCCCCTCTGGGTGGTGTTGGTGGTGGTGTTGTCTTGTCAGTATCAACCAGAAACGCGTTCTCGATTCCCGATCTGCTGGACAGGCCTCTGTGCGTTGTTGCACGTGCACTCCGAACCCTGAAGTGCTCTGTTACACCACTAACTTGAACATTGACATCGGCCTAGACGAGTGCTCATCTGAATTTGCAGACTTCTACTCTGTACAGACTACATCTCCTCGTTGGTATATTCGAAGCAACCCAGAATTTATCAGTTCGAGTGTCCAGGAACGGGTTATCGGCGTAACTAGAGCTAATATTGTTGATGCTGATGTTGTTGGGACTATACCTGCTGGAGTAGCATTTATTAGGGTGCTGGAGACCAAGCACAATATGATGTTAGCATATAGAGACAGTTGAGGTGTAACAGCACTACCTCAAGCTTCTCGTGTTCTTTATTGGTGCTAATGCCCGCTACCTCATGCTCTTACTGTTCTTTGTTGGAATCTATGCGCCTTTCCGAAGTCCACCATAATGGTGTCCTATATCGACCAGTAGCGAATCTACTCGCTCGTCAACAGCCCACTATCTGAGAATTTGCCGACAAGCTGTAATGCATTAGGATTGGCCTAATAGAGGCATGTATTGGTGCAGTAGCGAAAGGCTATACTTCCTGCTGATTGTTCTCAGGCAAGAAATGCTACCATGGCTTCCCAGTTAGATACCGCTCCCGAACGAACCCCCGTCATGACTAGTAGATATTCAAGAATGTTTTGACTCGGCCCAGCCTGGTACGATCTTGTACCGCTCATAACCGATTGTCATTTCCTGGTCTGCATGTCACCTCCAGCTTCCTGCACCCAATCCACGAATTTTCGTGCAAGAAGAGTGTCAAGATAGAATCGAGCGTGGACGACTTTCCCGTTCTTGATCTCGAAGAGCCAGTGGTAAACGTTTTGGTAGATGTTCTTGCCGACTGACATGTCAGAGGCAGCCTCGACGGCCACACGATTGGCCTCGGCCGTGATACCAGTGACCCAGACCTTGAGCTCCGTCACGCGTGACTCGGCATAGACATAGTCTTTGAATTCTTGCTTTGTCATGCGCCCGCCGAGTTCAGGGAATAACTCTTTCTTGACCATGGTTTCGCAAATGGCATCGTCGCTGAACAGCTCGAAGAACGGCTCCACATCCCCACCTTTGGGTATGCACCACCGCTCGGTCAGTTGTCGTCCGATCTCTCGGGTTCGCTCGATGGTGTCAATATCACCCATGTTGACAAGCTCAGTCTAGTAGCCTTGAGTACGGAAAGTCGGAGACGAAGATGAATATGAAGAATTGGAAACATTTTTCTCTGGTATAGCAGAGACCACTTTATTAATGGTCTCTTAGAAGTCAAGAGCGAACCCCACCCAGGGACCCACTTCATCTGGCCCCTTTTATTGGTGGACTTTCGGGCAGGAGTACCGTGAATTGAATTTATCAGCGTTTATTGTATTGAACTACTACAAGTTATACGGTATCCTATGTCATTCCGAGTATGGATCTAAGTCTTGAGACTAGTCCAAATTTCCACTGCCATGGGACGAACAGTTTTGTTCGGAGTAGCGAAGGATTGATCAATTTTCGCGCTCGCTCTCGTCCTCTTGTATAAATGATTAGGTAGCATCTCCAGTTGGGGGAGCCTACAATAGTCTTTCCCTATCACTCGGGCTTCCGTATACATTCAAGGAGTTTTAGGGATAACCTTTGATTTTGTTGGGAACGTTTTTGGGATGATCTAAGCACAGCTCCATAGAACGTGAGCAAAGTATCACGTCAATTATCCCCAAGGACAATGACTGTGCCAGCTCAAGGGCTTATCTATCGCGTTCCTATTATTAATGATACCCAGGAATGCTAGGTATACTCTGCGTCGAATGAGAAATGGCGTATGCAAGAATGGAATGCTCCAAGGAGGTAATAGATTTCGCGTGCTCTAGGTTATTGAAGTGTCAAGGTTCTAATTGCTAGTATGTGGTATGAAAGAACCATATTATTATCAGAAAATATCAGCACATTATTTAGCAGAACTCTTAGCGGATCGCATTCTTCCTAGGATGACAGGACAGTACTATTCCTCTTAACTGGGAGCAACTTTGACGGGGACGTGCTGTAGCCTGCAAGAAATGCTCGATGTCATGTGTGAATCGAGGTCCCTGGCAGTGCAAGCAGCGGCGATTGAAATAGCTCCAAACACGAGGCTGGCCAAGAAAATGACCTTGAACGTCACTTCGTACGCTGTCTTGACAGCGCTCCCCACAGCGACCAACACAGCGGCATCAACGCCTGGGACCGCCTCTAGTTTAGACGATACACCGGAAGCAATGGCTTGTAGAACATTTGATACTGAATCATTCGGAAGGCCAGCCTGAACAGCCGCAGGGACCACGTACTTCAGCACGTTCTGGGTTAGTTGGTTTTGCAGCTGACGTCCATGGTTAGACAAGGTTATCACACAGCAAGAAAGTCTACCACGTTTTTCTCAGACTTACAATTGTTACGTATATTGAGGCTGATCGGTCTCGCTGTTAAAGCCGGTACTACGCCATGAAATGTAGACGGCACTTACTTTCCAGGGCAGACATCAGGGTCCGAAAGGCTGCCACAACTGCGTATGCAACACTGATGTCTTTTGTCTTTCGCAACCATTGGAGCGCCGACCTGAATGACAACCTCCATATAGCCGATCATGATTGCTGATATGATTGTGAATGCCACTGACATTGCGGGCGTGTTACGGGTGACGCCGGCGATTCCGCCAATACGACTGGCGAAGGTCTCGCATGTGGCGATCAGTTGTAATCTTGTGTGACCCAGAGGTTTCGTCGAAGCCCCTCCCAGAAGCTGCCCGGCGGGAGGTCCAGCAGTTATTGCTAACTGGTAAATCTTAGTGCTACTCATAGAAAATGGGCTTCGTTTCATACTGAGTACCAGCCAGATTTTCGTTGTGAGGCGCCAAACAAGCTTGTGGTTTCCTGACCGTAAATCACGCTCGGCGCATAGAAGATCATAGAGCCAACAGCTCCGGTGATTGCAAAAGCCACATAGTCGCGATTTTTGAACAGGTAGAACGGGATCAGTCTGCCCTCAGCAGCCACTTCGCAATTATGCTGGGTTCGAGGACTTGCCCCAGAGTGAAAAATGGCAAATCCGACAGTGCCAACACAAATTGTAGCAATCACGCGTGAAAATCCCCAAGCTGTGGAAAAGAGGTCGATTAGTCTACGTCTTTGGGTCAAAGTGGTGCCTCAACTTACGATATTGCCGGCCGCCCCAGGATATACCAAGTAGGAAACAGACGATTGAGCCAAGATAAATTCCGAAGCTTAGCCAGTCGATTCTTGCCAGCGCTTGCCACTTTGTTTGGTTTCGACGAAGGAGACGGAAGTCCGGAGGGTTGTAGAAAAAGAAAAGTAGGATGAAAGCAAGACCGGCCATGATAGCGGGCAGTTAATAGATCCATCGCCGTCCTTCATTGGTGTTTGAACACAAAGCAATACCTGTAAGGTGATTGTGAGCCAATGTCAAATATCGTCGCGCTAGATTGAACTCGTACCGACAGGTGGAATGAAGACCATGAGTGGGAACAACCATGCCCCGAGAAAGCCAACAGCTATGAATCTGTGTTTTTTTTTGGAACCAGTTCGGGCAGGGCACTCGTACAAGTTTGCTGACAACATATCGCCAGCCCTGCCAGCGTTTGCTGTCAAAACTCGGTACGATAGCTAAGGCTGCTCTGTTGAGTTGTGATGAGTAGCTGGACGGGATGTACCAACCCCTGCGAACAACATTTCAGACTTCACCGCTCGGCTGCATATCAAGTTGCCAACAACACTTAGGGCATTTTCGTAGAGGAAGAAGTAACGACGGCCAAAAATGTCCGACAAACGTCCCACCACTGGAAAGATCGCTGTTTGTGCCACAATGCTCGATAGTGTGAACCCAACAATGTTTGGTGGATTCCCTTCCTCGAATTGTCACTAACGCCATACCTGCGGTGGTTCTCGAGTGGGAACACTTACCTATGGCAGGACTGATATAGAGGTACAGCAAGATAGATTGCATAACAAAGAAGATGTATGTTGCTGATAACCCAGTCCAAAGCCCTATGAAATGATGTTAGTCACAGTCACACTGGCCTAAAATCTGGCGAGATAGGGACAAAGTGTGTTCACCAGCATGGTCCCTAGGAAACTCGAACTGCGAAAGTAGTTCTTGGGCAACGCGGCAGCGGAGTCACCTCCAATGGCCCGACGGTCGATCTCCTCATCTGTAGCCTGGGGTCTGAGTTAGTGTCAGCTGCGGCCTATAGTACTCGTGCTGTTCAGCAGAAGATTTTTCCTCTTCTAACGCGGTCATTATTTGATCTTGTCAGGATCGAGGAGCTAGAGAGTGGTACTTTGCAGGGCAATGGATTTGATGGTTGGACTTCCAGATCCTCCCCACGATAAAAATAGGCAGATACGTAGACTTTGCTGTCGGCCTACACACCCCATTCTCCGTAGAGTATGAGCACGTTCCCCGGTTTTCCGGCCCCGGGAATTGCGGAGGCTCTATGTTTTCGGCCTGCACTACCCAAAGGGACCAGCGCTGTAAGCTTAGAACTACCCGCTAAATGTACTTCGAGACTCAAATCACAGCGTTCATCAGCCATCAGTCACTACTCGTTGCCACACGTCACTCATCCGATAAAATCACAGTTCGGCCTCATTTTCGATCAAACAAGTATTTTAGAATCCATGGATTCCACGCCAGCCATTAAGCTCGTCGCGTTTCTGAAAAGAAAACCTGGAATCACAATGGATGAATTTCAGGACCATTACGAGAACCAACATGTGCCACTGGTGCTTCACTCCACGCCCACAATATCTCGCTATGTGAGAAACTATGTGAAAGCAGACTCAACCTTTTCAAATCTCGACAGTCTCACTACACCATTGTGCGATGTGGTCACCGAGGCTTGGTTCGACTCGGAGGCGGATTTCACGAAGTTTCAATTGGACGCTTCCCGTCCAGAAGTACGGAAACTGATATCGGAAGATGAACTTAGTTTCATCGATCGAAGTGCCATCAGAGTGTTCCTCGTTCGCGAATGTATCTCTACAATTTCCTAAACCCGCACTGCGGGTGGACATATTCTATGAACAAAATGAAAGAATGAATAATAGTTTTGCTACCTCGCAAGATACCAGTACTGGATAGGCGACAAAGAAGACAAGGGCCGTTGATGCACTGTTGCAGTAGACCTACAATCAAGGAACACGAATGATAGCCAGAGCCCTGCTCAAGAGACACTTCCACCACTTACTAGAAAGCTCGAAAGAGTTGAAATGGCGATCCATCCAACAACCCGGAATGTTGCCCCGAAGGCGGATACGTCCTCGAGAACTGCTTGTGCAGGTTCTGAACAACCTCTTGCATAAAACCCGAAGAGTTTGGGCATATATCACAACATATATGATAGAAGACAAGAGTGGTCCACGTGGTTAGCCGTTATTCCCACTGATGCACTTCTGCACCAATCCCAAACAACTACCTTGAACTCCGTATAGCTTGGGATAAAGGTCTGAACATCTCCATTCCCTGTCAGTCTACCGAACGGTTTGGTCCGGAGGCAAATGATCTACAGCATGTGATTCAGCTGCATCAACAAAATCCAGCTTCAGGATATTATTCTGTCTTCCTAGACCAGTTGATCACTCACTACACCAAGCATCGATTACCAAAACATGGATTTGTTGACGTGTGCTGTGCTGTCTGCAGGGGAAGCATACATACTGACGCACACAAGAATTGCGAGAGTCACTCAATCAATATGTGCAGCTCTATTTCTCTTGCAATACCTGCTTCTGAAGTTCTATAGGTGCTATGCCTATCCACGCTATTTTTCGCCTCTGCGTGATGTACCGGGTCCAACGGTGATCTCAGCCTCTCTTGGGATTAAATCTTGAAATTTGCTCATTGATAATCAAGGACCATAACTTTGTGCTTGGACAAGCATATAATATCTACAAGAGAGGCCCTTCGGAGGCACATGTCTCATGGATGAGGCAGTTCCCGAATGAGCCACTCATACGATTCTTCGATATTGGCTACACGGAGGCGATCATGCTGAACGATGTCAAAACTACCCGAGAAGCTCTGCAATCGCAATGTTACAAGCTGGTAAAACCGAATTTTGTAAGACGGGTGCTGGGCGAGATTAATGGCACCGGGGTCTTCTTCGAGGAGGGCGAATCCCACAAGCGGCAACGCAGATTACTGACGGGTAAGTATCATACAATGCTTTACGCGATGAAAGTAACGCTAACACCTTCGCTCTTCCGCAGGGCCTTTCTCGTACGGAAGCATCAAGGAGATGTTGCCATTTTTCGACGAGAAAGCACAAGAGCTGGTTGGCGTTCTCCGTACGTCGATCAGGCGTAAGGGCGACGAACTGGTTGAATGTAAGTCGAGAGTCTCAGATCGACTCTAACCGTCCACGTATCCAGCATACTAACGCTTTTGCAGTGAGCTCACTGTTCTCCAGTGTAACCCTGGACATAATCACACTGGCTTGTTTGGGACTACGGATGCACAATATGACAGAGCCTTCACCATTTGCGCTGGCGTACGCTAAGGTTTTTGAAAACACCCCATGGTCAGCTATAATGCACACTCTGAATGTTTATATCCCCATCCGCAAACTGGTGCCCGTCAAGGCGAATCGTGAATTTTTGCAGGCCAACCAAACCGTGAGAGATCTTCTCAGACAGCAAATCCGCAATAAAAGGGCATCTTTGGAAGGAAAAGAAAAGGCAGCGATAACAGATAAAGACCTGCTGGCATTGATGATCAAGGAAAGAGGCCAAGGTGCAGAGATCTGGACCGAAGACGAAATGTTGGGTCACGTAAGTTTAGAAACATCATGGATTGCAAATCAAGAGACACTGACGTTTGAACAGCTTCTCAATTTCATGTCTGCTGGTAAAATTTCCGACGCTGCTTTTTTTCTTAACTCTTGCATTCCCCAGCGAAGCTGATATTGCTCTCAGGGCACGAAACCACAGCGGGCACTCTGACGTTGACAGCCCATACCTTGGCCAACCACAGAGATATTCAAGACAGACTCCGGAAAGAAATGACCCACTACTTCCCCTCCGGCGCCTCTCTCGACGTTGCGACGATAGATAAAATGCCATATCTAAAGAACTTCTCTCAAGAAATCCTGCGTTTTTACGCGCCAGGTAGGGCTCCATTAAGCCGTGTGGCATGTACAGCTGACTTACGACCACGGATGACAGGCATCGTGAATTGGAGAGAAGTGGCAGAAGACATTGTTTTAGCGGGCACAAGGATCCCCAAAGGTACAATCATCCACATCGCCCCTGCAGCTCTTCATCACAATGCTTCCATCTGGGGTCCCACGGTGGACGAGTTCGATCCTGACCGATGGGACAACATATCTGGTGATGCGAAGGATCCTTTCGCTTTTGGCTCCTTCCACAATGGCCCTCGTATTTGCATTGGGAAGTCCTTCGCACTCCTTGAGTACAAGGTCATACTGATCCGATTACTGCAAAATTTTGTGTTCGAGGATCCAGAACAGAAACCACTCGAATTCGAACGAGGTGCTGTAAGTCTGCGACCAACAGGCGGAATGCACCTGAGAGTACAGCCGATAGACAACAAAGGACAGGAATGAATTTTCTATCTGACAACGACGCCTACCATTTGCGCTGGATGGTTGGGAATGGTTTTGGCTCGTGGTATGTCAAAAGACTATCACTCATTGGGGTGTATCCATTATGCCTTAGCACAAGATTCAGGCGAAAAAGAACCTTTCGAATCTATGTTACTTTTTCACCAGCGTTTTGACCTTTTGCCGCTGCTACATAGATCGTGAGTACCGAATTCGAACATTAAGCCACGGGACATGGGCCGACTTTTGTTAAGGCCGCAGGCTTGCATGTTTCTCACTCAATGCTCCTTTCGCTTCATAAAATGGCCCTTACTAATCGTGAAAAGTACTCTACAACTCAAGCGTGGGCAGCGTGCAATTTCAAATATTGTGGCAAAAGCACGAGCTGGGCAACATGTCTGGAAGCATTTCTGGAAATCAAAGGCGAAGAGAGACTTACCCTATATTCTCGCGCCCCGAATTGAAGGGGTGTGAAAAACGAACCTTCGTCCTCGGTTGTGTAGATCCGACTTAAAGGAGATTAGCGCTGATGGTGGCTCCTTTACGTCCTCAGTTAAGGAACGCTGTAGTTCTAATGGAGACAAAACTCTGAGGATTCATGTTATTGTGTTATTGTGCTACTGATATCAAAGTAACTACGTTTCAGGTGAAGCGAGGCTTGAAAGTCCTGTTTTGGGACGTGTGAGTTAGTCTGTCGATCGTCCATCAATATGGCGCCCCTTGAACCAGGTAGACCACTTGGCTTTTCTTGCTGAACGACAAGCTAATCAAAACCCGCAGAAGTCTCGGCGTTTACATCAAAGATACATAACGACACCTACCCAGAGATAGATCCGCTCACTGTGGATCATGCCGGCAGGTACGTCGTTATCGTTGGAGCAAGTAAGGGTATTGGCAGGGAGATGGCGCGATCCTTCACCAAGGCTGGCGCGTCTGGGATAGCAATCGGGGCACGATCTGCTCTCAGCTCTACCGTTGAGGCTATCAAGCAAGCTGCCACTGAGTCTAAGAAGTCCCTGCCCAAGATCCTGCCCCTAAACCTCGATGTGAACAGCGAGGATAGTATTGCCAAGGCATTTTCGAAAGTTAAGGAAGAATTCGGGCGCGTGGATATTCTGGTCAATAATGCTGGAGTGGTCGAGTCTCCCTTCCGACCTATTGGAGATACTGTGGCAAGGGACTGGTGGGATGTTTTTACAACCAACCTCAGAGGCACCTACCTGACCACGCGAGCATTTCTTCCGCTTCTTTTAGAGAAGGGCAGCCAGAAGACCGTCATTAACACGACCAGCATCGCTGCTCATTGGGTCTATCCTGGATCGTCGGCATATGGAACGAGCAAGCTGGGAGTGGTGCGTCTTACCGAGTTCCTGGATGAGGAATACTCGCCTCGCGGGCTTTTGACATACACCATCCATCCAGGAGCGATCATGACCGACTTGATATCTAGAATGCCGAAAGAAGTACACAGCCAAATGACTGACACTGAAGCACTGCCGGCCAATGTCATCACGTATCTGACCAGCGAGAGACAAGAATGGCTAGGAGGAAGGTATATTGCATGCACATGGGATGTGCCAGAGCTTCTGGCAAGAAAGGATGAAATCGTGGCAGGCAACAAACTAAAAGTCCGTCTTCGCGTTTGAGAAACTCCGCGGGCGATTGCCATAAGCTCTCTTACCTGCTCGATGATGCAAGGAGATACAAAGTTAACCATTGCTCTGCTACGTCCGATGTGCATGAAGTCTACCATCCGAGTTATTGGGGTTACATGTTGTGATACGCCTCCATGTGGTTGCACACTTCCACTTCCATCCACTTGATAACTTTTCACATACAATTGTGTCCCTAGTGGGGTTGTCACATAACGATCAATAGAAGTGTTGGCACAGTAGTTTCTTCTCTAATTATGCTCCGCATAACCCAATAATCAAACATCATCATTTTCGTTGGCCCTCGACGCCTGTCTGGGGCGTTATCGGTGTCTGAGATAGAACAACCCAATTTTCAGGCTGTTTTCCCGCATGCCGAACGTATGTGGAAACCCTCAAAATTGGGTTTTGCATCACCACTTGCTCTATAACACGACGCGAGCCGAACGCATGCGGAGTCCGTTATAGTTGGGACCCTCTAAAGAAATGCAGCACCACTTCCTCTACAATAATACAGGAGATTTGAGGAGAGCATGATTCTATGGTTATCGTTCTTCAGATTGGGTCATCATTCAGAGTGAAGATTTCGTTGTCTGCGGTGCTTGATCACTGGATCCTTGAATAACGTTGAATAAATTGAAAAGATGAGGCCAAGCGACCCAAATTGGAAGGGCAAGCTAAAGCTACTACCAGCTTATCTCGACGAAAGCGCGAAGAAGGATCCAAACCGTGTAATAGCCGCTATTGCCAATGGTGATGAAGTGTCACTCGGCTTCAGAGATATCACCGTCAGACAGTTTGCGGATGCTGTTGACCGCGCTGCGTGGTATATCCATCGGGAAATTGGGCCCGGCAATACATTTGAGACGTTGACATATGTTGGACCGAATGATCTTTGTTATCCCATCATTGCTATTGCAGCTGGTAAAGTCGGGTACAAGATCTTTTACACATCGACTCGAAATAGCTTTGAGGCTCACAAATCCTTGATGCAAGCGACAGATTGCAAGATAATTGCGACGCCGTCACGGATCCCCGCTGGAATCGCGCCCGTCATCGACAGACTCAAGCTTCGGCATCTTGTCTTTCCGGGAGTCCTTCATTGGCTATATGAAGCTTTGGAGGAAACAAGACCATATAATTTTGACCGCTCTTTCGACCAAGGACGGTTGGATCCTTTCATGGTTCTACATACGTCTGGCTCCACAGGTAAGATGTTTCTACCTATTGGCAAAATTGCCATACTGATTCATATAAATCAGGCATACCAAAGCCCATGGTGTTCCCTTATTCGATGTACAGCACCCCTCAATTATTCTCTTTCTTTCCTGAGGAAGGTGGTAGAAGAACTGTGATTCAATTTTTCATCGAAAAGTCGGGAAGGCTTCTCTCCCCATTCCCAATGTTCCATGTAAGGATTCGCCCTTGAACGGTGTATCCAGGCTGCCTCAGAATCGAGGAATTCTGCACACTTGTTGCTTTGCTTACCAACCTGTCTTATTCATAGGGAGCTGGAATCTTCCTTTTCTTCGCTTTCGGCCTCCACTGGAATGTCATTCCAGTATTGCCCCCAACTCGACCACTTACGGCGCAGCTAGTCGACGAAATCCACTCGAGCGGTGCTGTGACCTGTTCAATGGTTCCTCCAGCAATCTTGGAGGATATCGCAATGGACGAGAAAATGCTCAAGAACCTTGAACGGCTTGATTATCTCACATATTCTTCAGCACCACTCTCATTCGAGGCGGGCGAAAAGTTGTCACGCCACGTCAGACTGGTCCAGCAGTATGCACAGACAGAAACAGGGTTCTTGCACCAGTTCCTGGTGGATCCTGAGGATTTCCGCTACGTTTCCTACTCGTCACTATCGAATATAGAGTTCCAACATCGTTATGATGACTTGCATGAGCCTGTGATGGTCAAGAAAGAAGGCCTCGAAGATTTTCAAATTGGGTTTTTACTTGAACCGTCCTCGAATGCTATTGCAATGCGAGATCTTTGCAAGCGACACCCCGATCCAGAGAAGGGAGACCTTTATACCGTCTGTGGCAGATTAGACGATGTCATTGTGTTCCAAAACGGAGAGAAGCTCAATCCCCTGACTATGGAAGACACCGTCAATCAGCATCCTGGAGTATCCTCAAGCCTCGTGGTAGGACATGGCAGGTTTCAAGCTGCTGTTCTGGTTGAACCAGTCAGTGATAGAGCAAACACTCCGACGGCTACCACAAACTTTCTTGATGAACTATGGCCTACGGTCGAGCTAGCGAATCGAGACTGCCCCGCACACGGAAGGATTGTGAAAGAGCTTGTATTGATCCTGCCTCCCAACGTCTCGCTCATAATGTCTGAGAAGGGTCGACCATCCCGGCCAGCCAACGCGAAACTATTTGAAGACCTGATCGAGAATGCGTATCGACGAGCAAGCCTATCTAATACGGTGGCCTCTGTCGAGCTAAATCTCGACGGCTCTGATGAGGAAGTCAGAGACCAAGTGCGCCAGCTTGTTCTAAGCACTACTACAGTTGAAAGCTTGGGAGACGAAGAGGATTTTTATACTAACGGCGTTGATTCTCTGCAAACAGTACAGCTCTCCCGCTTGCTGACCGCAACACTCAATAACAAAAATGTCAAAGACCGTGGCATCATGCCATCCCTCATCTACGAAAACTCCACCATTACTCGGCTATCATCAGCTCTTCTCGCAATCTCCAGAGCGGAGGGCCACGCTATTCCCAAAGACTTTGCCAAGCAACGTTCGGAAGGCATCCACGCTGCTATTGCCAGACACATGCCTGACTTTGGGCTCGACCACAAGAGGGTTGTTGTGCTTACAGGCTCTACCGGAAGTCTCGGCTCATATCTCCTTGAAGCATTGATAAGTGACTCCAAAGTGGAACGAATCTATTGTTTCAATAGAACGAGTGACGCGGCCGATCGACAGGCTGCCGGTAACTCGATGCGTGGCCTTTCCGGACAGTTTGATCCTGCGAGAGTAGTGTTCTTACGATATGACGTCTCCCGACAGGATTTGGGCCTTGATCCGGACACCTACACCAAACTCTCCACCAGTGTCACAGACATCATCGACAATGCTTGGGCAGTTAATTTTAATCGCACACTATCGTCGTTCGACAACAATATCTCGGGCGTTCGGCACTTGATTGCATTCGCGCGGAAATCGGCACTCCGACCCAGCCTCTTCTTCACGTCCAGCGTCGGAACGGCACGCCGCTGGTGGTTGGCAGGCAACGAGGGTCCTGCGCCTGAAGATGTAGTTCCAGACGTGGATGCAGTTGAATTTGGGGGATATCCCGAGTCCAAATACGTGGCCGAGAAATTACTCGAGTCTGCGTGGACCCATGCAGGAGTCGACGCCTGTATTCTTCGCGTCGGACAGATCGCTGGACCCATTCGCTCGCAGAAAGGAAGATGGAACGAACAGGAATGGCTACCAACGCTTATCAGCTGCTCCGGTCAGCTGGGAATGCTACCTGTGGACATTAAGGACTTGGGAGTTATTGATTGGATTCCCATTGACGCGGTCGCAGATGTGATCATCGACTTAATGCACCACCGCCGGGAGAAAAGGGCAAGAATACCAGTCTATAACTTGGTCAATCCTCGCCCGGAAGCTTGGGAGAAACTTGTGCCCACGATCCAGAAGGTTCTAACTCGCTCCACGGGGCATGAGATCAGGCTCGTCAGCTACGAGGAGTGGCTGGAGTCTCTGATTAAGGTCGAATCCACCTTGGAAACTGACGAAGAGTTAAAACGAAACCGTGGGGTAACGTTATTGGACTTCTTCCGGGGTGTGGCTGATGCAAGGAACAGTTCTGTCACCAGGTGGGCAACTGGGAAGGCACAAGAGGCCAGCAAAACGCTGAGGGATGTTGATGCGGTGAAGCCAGAGTGGATGGAGCTATGGATGTATCAATGGGGTTTCGGTGCATTCAAGGAGCCGAACGGGTTGTAGCTGTCGGACTCACGAGAAAACACAGTCTGGCTGTGACAGCACAGAGCTCCAAAGCTCAACTTTTGTTATTGCTCCGTCAAGTTAGTCAATGCCGATAAACTTGTGCCAACTTGGCGAAGCAAATGATATGCCATGGAGATTATTGCGCGATTAGTTGTGGTTAATATATGGAAGCTAATCAGGAGCGCAATCGCGTGTGGAATGTGATCTAAATGGGTGAAAAAACGCCCAGTACGAATCGGAGCGGAGAGAGGAATCTTATTCCGGTGAGCGTGGGGCTTACGGCGTATACTGTATAGAAACCGCCAATGCACCACTTCTTCTTACATCGAAGGAACAAAGTTACCACCAACCTCACGAGTTTGATCCTCTCTGCAGCACCGCCATAATGACCGATTTACTCCAAGGCGTGGCCCTCGTTACCGGCGGCGGCTCTGGTAAGCTTACTACACGACCGAATATATGTGCGGCCAGGCTCAAGAGTTCGTAGGCATCGGGCAAGCGACGTGTATTGCACTTGTTCGGCATGGAGTAGACCGTGTCGCAATATTGGACATTGACACTGCAGGTATGAGCCAGACAAGCAAGTTGATCAGGACTATCAAGGAGGTGGACATCATAGAGATCTCCACCAACATGGCGAACGAGTCGTCAGTGGTGCAGGCCGTGCAACAAGTCATCGATCGCTTCGGGAGAATCGACATTGCCGTCAACAACGCTGGCATCGGTGGGTCGATATTACCCTCGACAGAAACATCCGTTCAAGACTTTCATAAGGTTATTGATATCAATTTGATTGGGCTTTGGATCGGCCAAAGAGAGGTCATTCGTCAAATGCTCAAACAAGAACCTCAGCAGCTGTGGTCTCTAATCCCCTGAACCCTGCGTCTTGAAAACTGGCTGTTCTGACTGACCAAACAGGACTGGAACGCCCGTCAGAGGCACCATTGTCAATCTATCCTCAACATTCGGATACGTCTCTGCGGCTGGGACGACTCCGGTCCCCGCCTACGTTTCTAGGTGAGCAGTTGGCCCGGAAGCATTCCTGAGGCAGTTGTTGTCTGTTCTTGGAACTTCGACTGATCACTGTTGCAGTAAGCACGGAGTTCTGGGAATTACGAAGCAGGTAGGCTGTCTCACTTCCTTCTAGACTATAGTTCTAAGTTCGATGAAGGACTCGAATAGTTTTGCCAAAGACGGCATTCGGATCAATGCCATATGTCCAGGGTATGTTTTCATGCTCGTCCGAACCGTTAGGTTTGCGGAAGCGAGCTTACTCTGATTTTTGCAAAGCTACATCAATACACCGGCCATAAAGGCGGCTGCAGAAGCCAGCGAAGCAGTTCAACTTGAAAAGTTGAAGGTTCCGATGGGGCGATTTGGTGAGCCCAGTGAGATAGCTGAGGCGATTTGCTTTCTGGCATCGCCAATGAGCAGCTACATGACAGGGGCGGGCATGATTGTTGACGGGTAAGGTCCCCACGTGCAATTATGAATGCTTGTGCTCGACTAACGAGTAGCTTCCAAGTGGTTTCACAAATGTTTAGTTGAGGATCCTCTCTATGCCGATCTGGCCACCCGAGTCAACCGGCGGCCGGAGGACAAACCTCCGAACGAATGCATCGGGAAGGGTAGTAACAAGAGCAACATCATGGCTGTGTGATTATCCGAAGGCTCTAGAAGTACAATTAGGTTAGTTCAGTGATGAAAGGTCGCTTGTAGCTATTCATATCATCGTTCTTCGATCGCAAGTCAGGCTTTTCGCCCTAAGAATTTCTCATTACCTCCATTCTGATCACGAGATTTCAACAGAAAACACTTCGCCGCGATGGGCTCCGATGCGTACCTTGCAGCAGTAAGAAGCAGAAGAAGCTATTACGAGTTGGAAGCACGGTCGACTATTCCGGATGCCAAAATTCAGGAGATCGTTAAAGAGACTCTTCGGCACACCCCCAGCACCTTCAACTCCCAATCAACCAGGGTTGTGCTTCTACTAGGGGCAGAGCATACGCAACTCTGGAATGATATCGTCAAGCCGGCCGTGAAAGCCGTCATGCCCGCTGAAGGGTGGCCCGCTACGGAGGCAAAGTTGACTGGCTTCCAACAGTCTTATGGAACTGTAAGCATCTTTTGAGAAAGGACATGACGTGACAGGCTCCGGTAAAGTTTTTTGCCCGCAAACTCACCAAAAGGATATTGTAGGTCCTGTTATATGAAGATCCCAAGGTCGTTTCGGCCTTACAAGTGCAATACGCATTATTCGCAGACAAATTCCCGCAATGGTCTGAACACACCAACGCAATGCACGCCCACGTCCGTAAGTTCACCCAAACCCGGTCCCTTGCCTTGTTATTTTGCCAATGGAGCGGATATAACATTGTTTATAGTGTGGACAGCGTTGGAGCAAGAAGGCCTCGGGGCAAGCCTGCAGCATTACAACCCGCTCATAGATGAAGGTATCTGTAAGCAGTGGAAGATTCCTGAAGATTGGCAGCTAAAAGCTCAGCTGGTGTTCGGAAAGCCGACGGGCCAACCTCTGGAGAAAACCTTCATGCCGATAGAAGAGCGGCTCAAGGTTTTTGGCGCCAAATAGACAGTTTCACACATAAAAAAAACTTAGTTTAGGACTGCAAATGGACTTGAGCTCACAATACAGCCGTCTCTGTTCCGGTCTCTTGAACCCCACTTGCCCAAAGTCGTGAACCTGTATACAAGGATGAAGGCGGCAGCCATCGAATGGAGTGACTGAAATTCAAATGCCTTGTTTCGTGGGAGTAGCATCCGGTGGAGGGGCTGGATCATATCGATCGTGGGCTTTCGGTGGTCAGCTTGCTTCCGCCTGGCCCTCTACGGCCATGCAGCGCTACGTCCTCTTTGTTCGGGACCTGAATGGACTGTATAGGTTGGCCTCGGCTGATATGGGCCCCTCCGGGTGGCCGAAGGTCAATTCTGACAGTACTTCGAGTTCTCGAACTGTGAATTTTGGCACTTCCATTCACATCTCGAGAAGACATTGCCGTCGTTGTCATTCATACCTGGTAGCCTACCTTTAGATTTACGTGTATTCGTCACTCTCACAACAAGTCGCCTTTGTAGAGCTTACGCTCTTCAGAATGAACGGTCATATCGAGGCATCTGATGAAGCCTCGACTCCTATTCCTGACGTCGAGGTCATCCCGGACAGTACCATTTTGATTGCTGGAGGAGGACCCGTGGGCTTGACGCTTGCCACGGTCCTTGCTTTTTATGGTGTGAAAAGCGTAGTTCTGGAAAGAAACGCGACAACTACAAGGTTTGATGCACTCTTACACACTTCCGATGAACCGGCGTGGGTCTAACCGTTTTGTTTGCTTGTAGATGGCCGAAAATGGACTTGACCAACGTTAGGTCTATGGAGCTTTTCCGTAAACTTGGGCTTGCAGACGAGTTGCGGAAACAAGGTGAAATCAGATACTTGTGAATACATCGCGCCTTGAAGACTGATTGAACAGGTGTTCCTTCTCATCTACCCTACCCCGTCCTCATCTCAACCGGCTTGGGGGGCCCTGGTCCAATCGCTGAATGGCAGCATGGCACGGTGGACCAGTACAGGACCAGAGTAGCATCAAAGAATGACGGCTCCATGCCGTTGGAGCCATGGCAAAGAATTTCTCAGGCCGTATTCGAGAAGTGGCTTAAAGGCATCTGCGACAAAAACCCGCTCATTGATCTTCGATTTGGTTGCAAAGTCGACGGAGTCGAGGATCTTGGTGATGGGGTGCGAGTGACTACGACTGATGTTTCGACGGGGAAACAGGGTCAGATTGCGTCAAAATACCTCGGTGGCTGTGATGGGGGCTCAAGTAGGGTACGCCGAAGTCTGGGAATACCGCTCGATGGCGGCCCAATGTAAGTCTTCTCTCAGTGCGATGCGGACAATTCTGACCGCGTTGTTCGCCTTCAGGCCAGTCTACGTTCTTTTGGTCCACTTTAAGTCTCGAGATCTGACTCGCCTTCACAAACATGGACGATTTTGGCATATCTTCTTCGTGGGAGAAACAGGCCTGGGCTCTTCCATAATTGCCCAGAATGAGAAGGACATCTTCACTACTCATCTTCTGCTGCCAATGGACCAGGATTGCGAAGGGATTGGATCCGAAGAAGCAGTCTACAAAGCCTTGGGAGCCTTATACGGCCCATATCCGATCAAAATCGACGAGGTTCTTGTTCGATCGACATACCGGCCAAACATCGCCATATCTCGAAGCTATTCGGGCTGCAATGGGCATGTGTATCTCGGTGGCGATGCAGCCCATCAGAATATTCCAACCGGGGGTTACGGTGAGACTGGGTGAAGCACAATCATCCGACAAGGTGACTGACTCTCTACCACAGGCATGAATATGGGCATTGCGGATGCTTTCGAGCTCGGCTGGAAATTGGCCGCTGTTGTCAATGGCCACGCAAAACCTTCCATTCTGAACACTTACGAACAAGAGCGGCGGCCGATAGCAATGACCAGCATCGAGCGCTCCGGGGTCCACATGAAAGTCCACATGGAGGTTCCTGGATTAGTCGAGGGTAAAGTTCGAGAACTGGATGCAGATACCGAGGAAGGCCGACGACTCAGGCGCATTGTCCATGAGCATTACGAAACCCACGATGGCGAAAACACCGACCTTGGCATCGAGATGGGATATCGATACACCTCCAGCATCATCATCCCGGATGGCACACCGGCACCAGCGTGGGAGCCGTCGACATACTTGCCCACCACCTTCCCCGGATGTCGGGCACCCCATGTATTTCTCCGGGACGGTACCTCCATCATTGACGAGTTCGGCCGTCACTACACGTTGGTTGAATTTTGTTCGGGCGAGGACCACGGTGCCAGACATCTGGTGGAAGCTGCATGGCGCAACAGGGTTCCTTTGAAACATCTGGCCCTCGTCGATGAGAAACATGCAAGAACCATCTACGAGCGCAACCTTGTGCTGGTTCGTCCTGACGGCCACGTGGCTTGGCGAGCTGACGAGGTGGACAATGTCACGGCTGCTACGGAGATTATCGCTATCATCTCGGGGCGCAAGGAGACGGACAGTATTTCCCAAAGAGCAGGAGCGGTCGAATTGGTCATGGAACAAGCTGGCGGGGTTTTCGCATTTACCTCGACTACAGGACTGGACACCCAAACCGCCCAGTTCGAGCTTGAAAAGATGGGCGGATTCCAGACTTGAGACGTTGGACCAGGGGGGCTTGTCACCAAGGCTCGAAGTTCGGGAGTTCGGGGGAGACGCCGAAAGGAAAGGGTAAAGCGTCAAATATGCCATCATGGGGCTCATGCCCCATTCTGAAGAATACCCAGTACGGCGAATGAATTCTAAAAATCCATTCAATGGTTCACGCCGTCAAAGTTACACCTACCCCACTCTGGTGCCGCCGGCCTCCGTCGTCGTCGATGGAGGAAGCGCTGCTTGTTTAAAGTGACAGCGTTCTGGGCGAAACAGAATTAACTGCCTAGTTTTGAAGTACGTTTACTTACCATGCCGAGGCCGAGTGGGAACTTACGACCACAGCGACGAATCGTAACTAAGGTCAGCAAGCGAGATCGATACCTCGGGTCCCATGTTGCGGAGGCATTTATCTCTTAGCTCAAACGGAGCAGGCACTGGCTGGGGGTGTGATTCGTCTCTTGGATCCTCGAGGTCTGCAACCTGGATCATTCTACCCAGTAGTTACAACTTCATTCTAGATTCTAGCCAAGTTTGTAATTCAGCCGCAAGGGTCAAATCTGGGGATCCCCAGACCCCACGCCCCAGATGCTGCTCCTCTAAATGGCGTCTGCCGCCCGCTCAACGCTTCGAATCCTCCTCATCCCAGAGTTGAGTATTAGTCTCTGCGCACCGTTACTTTGATTGTTCCACCTGCATCTAGTTTATTGATTGTTGAATATCATGCAGCCCAAAACTGGGCCGATACCCGCGTCGTCTCATCATCGCGAGAGAAGACAGGGACACAAGTCATCGCTTGCTTGTAATTTTTGTAGAGCGAAGAAAATCAAATGTACGCCACCAGGCCTCCGGAGTCGATGGCACAGTTGGTGCTGATCGTTCCCTGTGAATTGTTAGGCAACGGTGGTCATCCGTGTCCGAACTGTGCTGTAAGCTCAATCAGACACAGTCTGCTCAGTTTTCTTTGCTCAACCACATCACATCCAGGACCACCGGGTCTCTTGCGACTATTCAGCCGGCGCGCGCCGACGTGATCACAGCCCCAAGGACTACAGGGCGCTACAAGACCGTATGAGCAGGGTTGAGGCTATGCTAGCCACGCCGACAGCAAAGACCACCGTCGAATATCCATCACAGGAGGCCGGAAGCACGATACCACCATCTGAATCGCAGGGCCGCTTTTGTTCTTTCACCTTCCAAATGAAGCCTATTGCCTCAACCGATGACCCTCTACATTCTCCTCCCATCATCAACGAGTTGCCAGGGATCAGAGGGTATGACGCTGTCAACCCGGCCTCAGCCGCCTCCGCTCTGCAGCCTACAAAGGAACCGATACTAAACATGGCACTTCCATCATTGGCGCCAACACCGGCTGATCGTACGGCTATTCTGGTGGATCACGGGATGTATACGCCACCTAGTCAAAGCAGCCCTATGAAATTGTTGCAAGACAGTGCACGTGAAGATGACGGCAGCAGCACTTGTCCGCCAGAGGAGGAGGTAAGCTTTGATCCTCTCAAAAGCTTTGCCTTTTCACAGACTCACACGTACATTCGTCTAGTTAACATTCGAGTATCATGGTCGGTGGCCCGCCCATTGATCATCAACACTGATGAAGTTACTGATTTCAATTATAGGACCCGGCTCCTTTCTCTCCATCTGCTCAAAGTCGGGAATAGAGTGGGTGGCGGAGAAGACTGGAGTGCCAGACTTTGGACAAATCGCACAGAACTTGGCGTCAGATGTCTCTCGAGCGCTGAAATTGTCTTCGTCTTCTACTTCATCAACTACGCGCACCCCAGAGCCAGAGGAACAGAAGGCATGGGAGTACACCAAAGTGTATTTTGAAGAAGACCCGGATGCGAGATATGGTCTCATAAATCGGTCAACGTTCGAACCTTTACTACGCGCGCATCTGAAGAAAGATGGCTCTTCAGAGGCTGAATCTGATCCGGCGTGGTATGCTCTCAGAAATACTGTCTACGCTGCTGGTTGTCGTATCGTGGACTTGAAGACCATGTCCAAAGGCTCAAAAAAGAGTGTCATCTCACCATTGAGCTGGAGCTACTTTTTGAACGCACTTTCGGTTCATACAGACTTGTTGTACTTCAAGACAAGCCTGATGGCGGTCCAAGCTCTAGCCATGATGGTAAACTATGCTCAAATTCAAGAGCGCGAAGCATTTACTGAACTGCAGGTAGGCAGTGTTCGTTGAGGCTATCGGCTGTCCTTCCATCGACTACATGTTGTGCTCCTGTGCCATGAAACTGGCGCAAGCGAAAGGCCTCCACAGGCAGCCGGCCGCGGCCTGGAATCTTAGCAAACCCGCCATTCAATCCCGAAGCTTCCTCTGGTGGACACTGTATGGATATGAGCGAATGAACGCAAGCCGTTCAGGCCGACCATTGGTAAGGGGCACACCGTCAGCCTGTTCTAACATTGGTATCTGACTATAGCCATCGTTCCAGTCCATCAGCGATGAAGACATCACGTGCCTGCTGCCGAACGAAGCGCCGGCTGACAGTAGAATGAACTTTGAATTGTTATTGGCAGCGATGACCCATTCTAGGCTGTCTGGGCTCATTTCCCGAAGGATCGGAGCTCTTAAGCAAGCGGAGGAAGTCAGTCTTCAGAGAATAAGTGAGACCATTGCGGATCTCAGTCAACAGCTGGATGACTGGTGGAACGGCCTCCCGGAATTTGTCAAGAAAGACCTTAACGCCTCAGCGCCGCTGCCCCCAAACGTCTTATTCCTCCATGTCGCCTACCTCCATTACGCTCACTACAGCAGCCTCGTTGCCATCCACTCTATCCTCGTACATCCATGGAATTCGATAATCCTCAAAATCGAATCCGACCAAAAGGAAGAGCTCGCGGCGTTGGCTAGTGCCAGCATGGACTTATATCTCAAAGCTACCCGACGATTCATCCACAACCTTCCGCAAGTAGACATGAATGCGCTAACTCCCAAATGGCAAGTGGTCTTCATCACGCATTGAATTATAACCAACAAACTAAACAATCATGCCAGGTTTGCATTCGTCACGCCGTTGTATGCGGTCACCAATCTCTTTATCTGCATTTTACAGTATCCGCAATCCCTGACAGCCGAGTCGGACATTGTTCTAATGCATCAGGTGGCCGGGCATTTTAGCTACCTTGAATTTGCCACCGCGGACCGTTCATATCCTTTCGTCGGGCAGATGGCAAATCTCGCCCGGCTAGCGGTCACCAACGCCAGAAAGCGCGACCTAGGGCCTGTTGATGATAGAATGCAACTGGACATTTCTCATGCCGACGGGTGCAAGGATCGGACCGACCTAGTCACTTTCAACGATGTAAGTCGAGGAGCAGGGTGGAAGACTGTCGAGGCACCATTGGCATAACATTGAGCGTCATCAAGCTAATCACGTGATAACAGGCTTTGTTGGATGGTATCACCCTCGATATGGGTGACAACGAACAATGGGCGACACTGATTGGTTGGCCTGATGTGAATGATTTACCTGAGATGGACAGCATAGTATGAGTAGAGAATTGCTCCCGGTGTGTTTTCATTCACACCGAGGGAAGACAATGCAGCAGAAATCTGTATCGTTGTTGCACGAACGCATTGTTATAGAAACACAAAAGACCAGGATTCACCAGATATTTGTACCCTCGCTTCGTGATCGACTAGCACAGTCAATGTACTGTAAATAGTGACGCCACGCGACCCTGGCCTCCGACGGGCGTCATGGCGGCTCGGTGAACAGCGCCGAAGGTAAAGGTAAGGCATTCCGGAGTTCATTCGGCAAGGAGTTCTTGTCTAACTACTCAGCCTCCGAAGAGGCGGCCCGACCGAAGAGATGGCCCGACCGAAGAGGTCGGCCTAGCCAATACCTGCCTACTTCTCAGTCCCGGTGTGTTGACGGAGATAGTGTAACGCGCAGGGCATCTCAAGGTTGCAATCTCCATTATACCGCCTCTCCTTGGGATCGAACATGAAAGACCTTTTGCTAAGAAAGATTTCGCAATGCTCAAGTCCCTGCACTGGCTCGAGTCTGCGCACGTGTCGGCTTCGGAATAATCCCCAGCAGATCGTACGCGCGTGTAACAGACTATACGCAACGGTTCATCAGGTGCAGAGCCATACGTGGTCCAGCTTATCCTGAGATAATAGGCGGCGCTAACTGGTCGCAGGAGAAGCCTAATCATTATGATGAGAGCTTCGATGTCATCGTTGTCGGATCCGGGGCGGCAGGACTGACCGCAGGCTTTGTCGCTGCTGCTCGGGGACACTGTCGCGTGCTCGTCACCGAAAAGACCGCTCTGTATGGGGGAACCTCAGCCTATTCCGGAGGGGGTCTGTGGCTTCCTGGCAACCCCCATATGGAGGCAATTGGCATGCCTGACACGAGACAACAGAGCGAGGAGTACATACGTCAATGTCTCGGGGGCTCCTACCAAGAAGACTTGATCTCTGCGTATTTGGACTCTTCTCCGGAAATGGTTCGCTGGATGGAAGGCAATTCGGAGGTCAAGTTTTTTGGGCTACCGTTTCCCGATTATCACATGGATCGTAAGGGAGCCGCCTACGGACGGACGGTTATGACACGACCCTACGATGGGCGGCGTTTGAAGAGACTTGTGCGCCAGATTCGATACCCGCTTCAGGGCATGAGCGCCTTTGGGTCGATGCAGACACCGCTCGGAGAAATTGGGACGTGGCAGAAGCCGTGGGCAAGCTGGAGGAACATGAAGTTTGTGTCCTCCAGTCTTCTGCGATACGGTGCCGACTTGATTTTCTATGGTAAAGGAACGGATTTGTGCAACGGTAATGCGCTGGTTGGTCGTCTTTTAGAGTCGGTAACGAAGACTAGAATTACCTTGTGGTCAAACACACCCGCTATTGAGCCTATCTTAGACCAGGGCCGAGTCGCTGGTCTGGTCGTACGTCAAGAGGGCCGAGACCTGCGCATCCAGGCAAAGAAAGGCGTTGTCCTTGCTACTGGCGGCTTTGCGCGCTCTGCGTCCCTCAGCCGCAAATACTTGCCCTTCAGCGACTATACCGCAGCGCCGAGAGGCAACACCGGGGATGGAATCGGTCTTGGTATTGCCAGCGGAGGCCACCTGCCAGCCCCCAATAAAGATAACGGTTTGTGGGCTCCCATATCTGAGCTTCACGGCCCAAAAGGACAGGTGCGACATTTCCCGCATCAAGCCCTTGACCGCTCGAAACCGAGGTGCATTCTGGTTGACGGCGATGGCCTCCGGTTTGCCAACGAGTCGGCACCATATCAACCCTTCGGCCATGACACCCACGCGGCGGGAGTCCAGAAGCATTTCATCATTGGGGACTCGGTCTTCCTCAGGCGTTATGGCATGGGCCTGGCACTTCCTTTTCCATATCCCGTCAGCAGATACTTGATGCGCCACTACCTTGTGAGCGCCCCCACGATTCGCGAACTTGCACGCAAATTGCGAATCAATGAGGAGAATCTCGCCGCAACGGTGGAAAAGTTCAATGGTTATGCCCGGGAAGGACGCGACCCTGACTTTCACCGGGGCGAGGCAATCTACGATCAGGCATATGGGGATGCATCAAACAAGCCAAACCCTTGCCTGGGGCCACTGGAAAAGCCTCCGTTCTACGCCCTCCCTCTTTATCCCGGCAACGTGTCGACCATGTATGGTCTGGAGACAAATATCAATGCTCAAGTCTTGGATGGTTCCGGCAAAGCTGTGCCAGGATTGTATGCCGTTGGAGCCGACATGAACAATCCAATGAAAGGCTTCTACCCTGGCGGCGGATGTACGTTGGGGCCCGGGATGGTTTTTGGCTATCGGGCTGGACTTCATATTGCTGGGAAATTGTGAGTTTATATGAACTCGATATTCAATGACTAAATCAGTCGGATTTGTGGTTTGGCGAGGGTGGCTGAATGTTGTTTTTGTTTACATTCATGTGGCCTCACTTTAATGCTTGCCCTTTCAACCTCCGAACGTGCTGAAACAGCACTCAGCTTTGATCCATTAATCCTCGCCCTCAAAACATCTGAATTCTTGAACATTTTATCCCATTTGACGGATACCTCTGAATTTTCACAAAGTTCGTCCTGTGTAATGGTGGCGCTGAGATTGGTACTTTAGTAAGACCTGTTTCAAAAAGCAGGAGAGAATTTGCGGGTTTCACTGACCGTGCAAATCGTACGAAACAGAGCGGCGCCATGCCGTGCTCTAAGATGTAAGTGCCCATTAGTTATTCAGTAAGCCAGCCACGCACCACAGCCAATGCAGCTATCTCCGACTGGCACCGGGCGAGCTCCCGAAGGCGGAAATCGTTGTAGAATAAGGCCGGGAGCGTTGACATTCCGAGATTCCCTCACATATAGCCCGGCACCGATCTGCGGCCAAACCATTCCGGACTTGTCATACTGTAGCAAGTTCGACAGCTTTCGTTCTGCATCGTACAAGCATGGCTTCCTTTGGGAAATTGTTGCGTTTCAAGAACGTTTCCGGCCAGATTCTTTACGGAGAAGTCAAATCTCTTGATAAAATCACCTCTGATACCATTATTGGAGCGACTGTTCCGGTGTACGATGGAGAAGACCCATGGGCGGCAGATTTCAAGCTCTCAGGCCGTGAGGAAACAGTGTCAGAAGTATGCTCTTTTATGTACTCCCAACCCTGAAACATCTAACAAGCCTTCTTTCAGGTCCTTGCGCCACTTGCGCGGGTGCCAATCTTTTTGTGCATTGGGCTCAATTACAAGAAGCACGCAGAAGAGGGAAATGTAGGTTCATTAATCGACCGCTTTTTAAGAATTCAACCCATGCGTTAACTAGGCATCCAGATGAAAGTTGGGGACTACCCACAAACTTTCTACAAGCCTGCAGGTACGCTAGAAAAACTTTGCGAACCACCGATGCTTTTATTGACATGCACAAAAGATGCGTTGGCCGGACCTTACGATGATATACCTATCAATCCAGCCTGCCAGTGGATGGACTACGAAGTAAGTTTCGTTCTCACTTTCGAAAGGCTGTCATAGAGTTCCCACTGACAATAGTGCACAGGTCGAACTGTGTGTGGTAATTGGCAAAGACTGCAAGAATATCGGTGAAGATGAGGATGTAACTCAATATATTCTTGGCTATACCGTTGGCAATGATGTTTCATCAAGATGGTGGCAGATGCCGGAACGATCGAGCAATCAACCATCTGCAGCAAAATCCTTTGACAAGTTTGCGCCGATCGGTCCAGTTATCACTTCACCTAGTCTCATTCCCGATCCAACAAAGCTGAAGATGCGCAGCATCGTAAACGGAGAACAGAGGCAGATCACACAGACGGATGATTTGATCTTCGACATTCCGGCCATTATCCGCCACTTTAGTCGTGGCATGACGATCCGCAAAGGCACTGTCATCATGACTGGAACCCCAAGCGGCGTTGCCGCATTCATGAAGCCGCCGGCATGGCTCCAAGATGGGGATGTCGTCGAGATGGAGCTTGAAAACGTGGGGACTATGCGAAACAAGATGGTCTTCGAGAGATAGGTGTACTTGGTTGTTTGCCCTGCGAGAAAGATCGCAGGTCTCCCCAGTATAGCAAACCCGGTATATGCACGGTGCCAGTCAATCATTTCTACGTTGCTACAGTCTCAGAAAGGATGGGGATACAGGAAATAGCACCATACAGGGCACGTAGATGTCACCTATATGGCAATTTTAGATCAGTGGCAGAAGCGAGCGCTGGCAACAAATGCAATTCTGAGTAGATTATCTCAGGCAGTGTATTTGGCTTCACGATGGCATTGAACAGTACATCAGACCTCAACCTTAGCCCCTCCTTCAATTCCACCTGGAGCAGGAAGTTTGCAGGCGCTTAGCCTTCTCTCCTTATATTACCCATTAGACTAGACATCCCGGTTCGACCGTTGAAGATCTTGTGGCCCGATTCTTGGGAAGAGATTGTCCAAAGGCTACTTAGGCAAACTCTGGGATGCCTCTGGGGCCAATGTCTTTCCTTGTCTTCAGCTCTGCCTCGCTCTCGCCGGCAGATAAGCGAGAGATAAACTCTTCCGGATCAAAGTCTACCCCAATCGGATTTTCAGCGAAGGCCGGGGACTTCATAAATTGCGTGGCCGAGTCGGCATCGTCAAAGTTGTCCACTTGCGTTTCGAGCATATTGCCATCCGGATCTTTGTAGTAGATCGAGGTGGTGGGGCCATGGTTCACCGGCCAGAATGGATTGATCGATCTCACCTTGCGTTGCCTGTAGGCCAGCAGCAGATCAGTCAACGACTCATAGGTAAAGGCGATATGCTCAAGGCCACAGGACTGGCGGTCTTTGTCTTTGGTGCCCGGAACTTGCACTAGTGCAATGCGATGATGCTCGTCGTCGTAGGTCAAGAAAGCCAAAATCTCGTTTTCGTACATCGCTTCGGCACCCAGGAAGGTCTTGTAGAAATTGACCATCTCCTCGAGCTTGTTTGTACGTAGAACCACATGCGCCAGCTTCGCCGGTGGCAGGACCTTTGATGTCGGTGCATCCCAATCGATGGCCATTGTGGCGTTAGATTCGAAGAAACGAGAATGAGGGGAACAAGCAGACAGGCGCCACCACTCTATTCCATAGCTTCTCCTGTGATGGATTATTAGGATTTTGGGTTGCTGCGCGTAATGGAGGGCCTCGCTCCGAAAGCTCGTGGCACATCAACAGCATTCCCGTCCGGATGAAGGCCTTCTATTGCGGTGTAACCGATCGGACCTGACATCTCTTCCCTCTTGCTCCACAAAACTTCGTATGCAAAAGCCGAATGACGAATCGGAAGAGTGGCAACCAAATGGGCAGACGTCCGCCGACACAGATTGGTTTAGTGCATTTGAGCCTCCCAATCGCACCACGGAGACTTGATTTTGCCAACTTGAGGAGATAAGCCTGGTTCTCTCGGATGAGAAACTGAACAGAGAGCAAAAATCCGGTTGCTTTCTAGCTTCTACACGGAGATGGGTTACAACACAGAGGGGACCGAGTGGCCCGCTGACAATGTGACACCCTCAGTCAAAGCTCTAATTGACAGGTTTTTCAATCTGCTCGACAACACTGGATCCGACGTGGGCAACATATTAGCTGATGAAATATTTGCTAAAGATGCAGTGGCACAATTTGGAATGCACACTTTCGAAGGGTCCGAGCGTATGACCGCATTTCCGCTCATCAGGGTTGTATGGACAAAGGGCTGACACTTTGGTTCAGAGATTCGCAAAAGTCGCGACAACGCCTGGACTTTGTTCACAGCACGCCAGCATCGAGTCCTCAGAGTGTATACTCACGACAAAGAAGGCACTGATTTGCTCTTCATCGGCCATGTTGCCATGGACCTCAAGAACGGCAAGCATGTTGCTGGGGAGTTTACAGGCCGATTTACGATTGCCGACGCGAGTTCGCCTTCACCCCAGCTGAAATCATACGCAATCTGGGCGGTGCGTTCGTTTCTCCCAAGCATTTTGCAAGAGCTGATTATTCGCAACAGGACTCTGGTCCGCTCCTAAAGGCACTTCAGGGCAACTAGGAAATAACGTGTCTCCAGAGAGAATCGTGGCGAGTCTAGGCGACGGACTGTGTACACGTTGATCACGCACAAGCTATTACGGGATGATACTCTCTTGCTAGAATGTCGATACTCTGCGTCTTTTAGCCAAAGCAATGTACGCCCAGTCATCCATTATAAGAGTCCACATAGAAAGTGAATATAGCACGATCAAGAAGGTTAAGCAAGCAATCAAGACTACTTGAGTGGCTGGTAAAAGTTGAAAGCAGCTTAGGCGTGCTTGTAAAGAACATGTCCCCCTCCAGATAGAGATCCTCAGGTTTCGAGTCGATTGAAATGTGCGAGCGTGACCAAGGTCCACTTTGGTAGGGGTGAAGGGGGGGTGGGGTGAAGGGGCGAACGTCACTTTTTACGTTCGGAAGAGAGTCATTTCCGAAATTTGCGATGAGAAATGGGGATGAGCAGTCCTTTGAATGCTGATTTGGCTGGAAAGACAGATCCAACATGCAGTCATTTGTGTCATTATAACACCAAGATAAGCTGTTCTCAGCTTGCCATATATCGACTGCTTTCTCGACAAAGCGTGTTTGGTATTCGAGGCAGCAGGCCCCATACCCGACGATGACGAACAAACGCCGATCGTTGAAGCCAGGGGTGAGCGTCGCCACGGTGACACTCTTCGACGCCGAAACCGAAGACATTGATGTTGCGGGCATGCAATTTCATGTCTTACGTCTCGCAAAAGCCGGCATCAACAGCGTTACCATCGCTGGGTCGAACGGCGAAGGGGCGCATCTCACCCATAAGGAAAGGACGCTCTTGATCAGCGCCATTCGCGAGGTTCTGGACGGATCTGGCTATCGAGAGTTGCCAACAATCGTCAATTGTTCAGCGCAATCTGTGCGAGAGGTGGTGGAATTGTGTCGTCAGGCTGACCAGGCTGGGGCGGACTATTCCTTGATCTTGCCACCCAGTTACTTTGGCGGTGCATACACTCGTCAATGCCTCTCAGACTTCTTCACCGAGGTAGCGTCCAAGTCGCCGATTCCTGTGATACTGTACAACTATCCTCTGGTTGTGGCGGGCACCGATCTCGACTCCGACCTCATTATCGACCTTTCTAGCCAACCCAATATCGTTGGGTGCAAATTTACGTGTGTCGACTTGGGCAAGATCAATCGTGTCGCTACCAAGGTAGATGCAGCAACGTCGAAGCATAACGGATCGGGTTTTTATGCCATGGCTGGTCTCGCCGACTGTATCGTCCCAACGCTGGCGGCGGGTGGCACGGGGGTGATAGTTGGGCTAGGTAACGTTCTACCAAAATCATGTGTCAAAGTGTTCGACCTATACGAGGCTGGCAAGTTTGATGAGGCTCAGAAGCTGCAGCGACTGCTCGCCGCAGCCGATTGGACTCTGGTGGCTGGAGGAGTCACTAGTGTAAAGAGTGTGCTGGAGTCATACTTCAACTATGGAGGACACCCCCGACGCCCGTTGCCGAGGGCCGAGAAGGACGCGAAAGAGAGATGGGCCATTGCTCTTAAAGCTGCCGTTGAGTACGAAAAAGGCATTCAAGTATGGGAACAAGAAACCGTAACGGGAGGTCCGAAATGAGATGGCGTATCTGGACTACGTAAAACTTACTTCATAAGCGAACCATCCACTCCGCTTACTTTACGGGCCGCTCGCTTCTGAAGTACGGTATGGTATACACAGACAATCTACCGGTGGCAACTTGGTATATGTAAGACACAATCTCTTCAGAGATTTCAAGGATATTGAAGATACCATCAGGCTACATACCGCACGCCCTGTCTGCTGGTAGGAGCGCACCATGGAGGAAAGTCGAACGCCGAACGAACCTTATGATTTACGGTCAGGTGTGTTTGCTCAGATAGGAACGGCGACTATGCACAGATCGGTTGATCGATGTGGTGATGCCACATGGTCGCTATTTGAGGGGTTTATAGCTCGGAACTGCTCGACTCCCAGATATGGAAAGCGAGAAACTTTGATAATCCATATCCTTGACCCGCCGTCTTCAACAACCTTTTGTTTTGGTACTGGGCACACCTACTCCTTGGGCACAGAGTAAATGGGAAAGACAGTTCTTTCCGCGTTCGCATATTCCTGCAGGATCGTCTTCTCTCTCCTTTCGGATCGGACTTTAATCTCGCAAGGAAATGGGAGTGGTCCGATCGCCACGCCGTCGGCATAGCCTGTCTCGCTACTGGTGTCTATAGGATAAGGTCGGCCGTCGCTATCCAGCTGGGGAGTGATATCAAAAGCCCAGAGGCTCTTGGCAATCGTGGTGAAGAGAGCACGCTCAGCCAGGTGTATGCCTGGACACAGGCGGCGGCCGACACCGTAACTGTAGTGATCTCGAGCCTCGTAATTCGCCAAGTGTGCATACTCGTCCGCAAGAGCAGGCTTGTCCAGGTAACGACCCGGGTCGAATGCTTCTGGATTAGGGAACCTCTCCTCGTCTCTGTGGATCGCATAGATATTGACGATCAGGTCGCTCCCCTTTGGCAAAAAATGTCCATTGACCCAGGTGTCTAATGCTTGATTAGCGAAAGGACAGGCTGACACGGTGGAGCCTTACCTTCTGTCAAAGCATGAGGAAATCCAACAGGGGCAATGGGTTTTAAACGCAGGGTCTCCTTGATAATAGCATTGACGATGGGTAGCTTCTCTAGGTCGGCGAGCGTGGGAGCTCGGTCTTCGCCAATGACTCCGTCAATCTGTTTCTGTGCCTTCTTGGCCCATTCGGGATTGGCCAATATCAGGTTGAAAAAAGCATTCATGGCGCTGGCAACCGTGTCGGAGCCTGCTTCCATCAGGAGACCGGCCATGAAAGCCTGCTGGTGGCGGTTCCACTGGAGACTGTTCTGTTGCTCGATCACACGGTCTGCAAAACACTCCACGCGCCCTTGAGCCTCTCTACGCGCAATGACCAGGTCAAAATATCCCAGATAGAGGTCGTTGATCTCCTTCCGCGTTTGACTTACCTTGTCCCTCCAAAATCCAAGGAATTGTTGAGGAACCCAGCGTAGAAAAGGGAATAGGTCGACAGGCGGCAAACCACCGGGTTGTAGCAGTTCAGTCGTCCTTGCCAATACCTTTCCAATCTGCACCATGTGCCGCGTCTGCACCGTTGGTGTTCGGATTCCATATCCTGGTAGCAATTTCTGTGAGCTTTGAAGACTGGCCAGCACTAGGGCTCGCACGCGGACAACGTACCAACGCTCATCATGAAGCTGTTGCCAAAACGCTTCGAGTGCTGGAGGAAGTTTTGAGGGTCCTCAAGAATATCCCTAAGCAGCTGCGTAGCTTCCGCGTCGATCAGTGGCATATGCGTATTCTCAACCATTGAGCTCATGAAATTTTGGTGAAGGAATTTGCGCGCGGTACGCCACCGTGGATTGCTGGGCTGCCATAGTAGCATCTCGTCGCCATCGTAAAGCAAGTTCTCTAGGATCTCCGCGGGTGGACGATTGCTCGTGATACTGTTCCTTTTATCCATTAAATCCTTCACGATTTGCCGATCGCTCAGAACGAAAGCTTTCCGGGAAGCAAATCGAAGCATATATATGCCACCATATTGACGAGACCATTCTGTAAGCCTTCATCGTAGCACTCGATATCAGCTCTCAAGAATGAAGACCGTGAAAGGGCGTGTAGTATCTGCTCACTTCAGGTAGCTTCTGACAGGTGGAATTTGATGAATATTACCAATTATAGGTAGACCAGGCGGGGCTGTCAAGCGTCAGCAGCAAGATTATTGCCTTCGAAACAGGGTAACACTACAGATTGGGTAGTATTTGCTGTTTCCATCTCTCAAAAGCCCACGGGCTAAAAGTAATATCAGTACAGCGACCGCGAGACAGCCTACAACTTTGATGGCCAATTCCCTTGGATCGCGTTGTAGAGAAAGTAAATCGATCCAGTGCTCAATCGCCGACGCCATTTTGAAACATATACTCCCATTCACATGTGCGAGGGCCGATTCGAAGATAGAAAGACGGCTTGATCGAGACTCATTGTTGCTTGTCAACGGTTTTGCTGCAAGAACAAAAGAGAGCGACCGGGTGATAGAAGGCAAAGGAACTTCTATTGATTGGTCCGGGATCTCGGGTCAAGCCGATCCAAAACGTCCGGGCAAGTAGGATGGCAGCGCCAGACGAGTTAGGTGGCCGATTTATATGAGATATTACATAAGCAAGGCTACGACATTGAAGCTAACGCACACTCCTGGCTGAGTGCTGACCGGCAGTCTGGAGAGGCTGAGAGGTATCAAGCGTGCTCTAATAGACAGTAATAGGACACCGACAGTTAGACATGAGCGTCTGGAAATGTCCGTAAGAGGTGTCGCGAAAAGAACAGAACTCTGAACATCTTTGTGGGTGAGCATCGTTACCCAGAAGCTATGGTATTGGGCATCGATATCTACATTTATTCTCGCAGGAATATCTCTCGTTGATCAAACGCAAGGATCCGGTCGACTACTGTTCCTATAGCATGCAGCCTTGATGCATCTTTCTCTACCGTCAGCTGTGAGCCATCGACGCCTGCATCACTGCTATGCCCTTGTGAATGCCTTCTTTCACGTCCGAGAAGGTTCTCTAATGTCGTCCATATCGCAGTGACAGTGGCTGCCGCGCCGGAGTGTCGCTCTGCTAAAGCCCGAAAACCGGTCACTATGCTGGACCGTTGATGCGCACCTAGCTGGGGCATCTGATCCTTGGCGACGGAGCTGTGGAACAAGCAGACTGCAACAGGAAAGTGTATCCATGCAACACTATAAGTATCAGACAGTCTCAAATTATTCGCGCCAAGGGGGTGCACACTTACATGGCGAGAGGGATGGCTTCAATCGATATCTGTGTGAGCAGAGTATGAAATATTCCGCCCACTTTTGCCGCTGCTAGCTCTATTTTCTGGACCGACCTTGAGCGGAACGTAATTTCTTCTGGACAGTCGTGTGGGTGAATGGAAACAAACGGTCGGTATAGCATTATAATCAACGATCTAAGCCATCTCTGAATTAGCGACCTCAAACGACAATCAAAGGCGGATTCACGGACTGGATCATCACCTGCAGCGTTTTGACCGCCACCACATCGACCTGAGGGTCTCCACCGCGCAGCGTTAAGTTGCCATCGAGTTCGAATTGCAATTCTAGAACATCCAGTCGATGCTTGATGTCAAGTACAATTTCGATCCTTTTTGTTACAGAGCTGACATTCTCACGTCCCGTCCGCCATGTTCTTGAAAACATCGCCTCTCGCTGAAATTCGATGATAGACACGATCTGAATGCTCAAGTGACAGAGCCAGATGAAGGAGCTCATCCTCAATTGTTTCGATCTTCGGTCCATGTATTGGGAACAAATGACTTCGCTGCCAAAATCAGCCATGGTCACCATTGGCCACGTGCGTTCGTGTGCAGTCGTATGAAGCCGATGAGGCCTGCGAAGGCCCATACCAATGATCCGATCTCTAACCAAGCAGCACCACCATATCACCTTGCGCTGAGAAGACGGAGTTGCACTGTCGGTCAGGGGGTCCCAGAGCCTGGCTTCTCGGGCATGGAAAAAAGCCCGATCGAGCCAGAAGCTATTGACACATGGGTCGGAATTGTAGGGACTCCAAAACGTCAATAACAGACATACTGTGGCTCGAGTGACGTGGCCGACAGAATGATCGTGATTGTAGAGATGCTGTTCCCTTGCATGTTAGCGCAGGATCGCTCATTAAGACTTTACGCTCGAACCTTGACATTCTCAAGGAGAGCGGTCTGGCCCTCCAACACCGTTGAGAACGGCATCTGCCTTAACTGGAACTCCGTCGCATACTAATGACACAGTCAAATACAATACCCGAGGGGTCAGTACTGGCTTACTGCGATGGCTGTGAACATCATAGCCTGGAGCTGTATCATCTCAATTCTGGCAGACAAATCACCATGTTGGTGCAATTTGTATCGTGTGGTAAAGTCACTCTCGTCAATGACTGGACACAGATGAGAGCACATGGCGTTTGGGGAAAGCATGGGCAGTGCTGGGGCATTTGACCTTTGAATATTCTCAAGGGAGATCAGCCCGACACTCTCCACACATAAAAGGAGTGCAAAGACATACCATCTTCATTCAATTCTGATCTTTCCTCCCTTACAATTCCACTTTGAGTGGGGAGCGTGCAAACCACACTTCTTTGAGGCGAGTTTGAGAACTTTTCGAGTACGCTTGAAAAGCTAATGGTGAGGTACGTGATCCACAGCACAATTTTTTCTATTGCGGCGGTAGGTAGCCAGAGAAACGAAGGCGGAGTGGCCGGTTTCGTGGGGCAGCCTGGCGATTTCAGTTGTTCAAGCCCGGAACACTCACCGTTCGGCCCGGCTCCTACAGTGTCAAGGGGGAAGACTTAAAAATCTAGGTCCCGGCCACCAACACCTGCAGGTGAGACTTAGAGCGCTATCTCAACAACGGAATTCCCTTGCCGGTTATGGCCGTCCCAACTTCACATCTGCCACGAACTCTCTGGATCCCTCCAGACAAAGAAGCAACCAATCTTGACAAATTTCGACACTGGGTGAATGCGAAACACAAATTGGCCTTGATGGATTACAATGAGCTTCATCAATGGTCCACAAGCAGAGAGTCGGCCGAGAACTTCTGGATTGACCTCTTCGAATTCGAGAAGCTCAATCCAAGGGTCGTCCCGGAACGGGCTTTCGCCAGCAAGGTAAGGCCACAGATAATTGTTTCAGCCGCCCATCGTCGAGGTTGCTGATCAAGGTTTATTTAGGGCTTATCTATGTTTCCACCTCCTCAGTTCTTTCCAGACATTACCTTGAACTTCACCGAACACATTTTCCAGAACAGAGCACCAGGACAAGTTGCCCTCTATGCTTGTAGCGAAGGTCTGGCTGAAATCACTGAGATTGATTGGGATGATCTATATACCCGCACAAAGACCTTCGCAGATGCTTTGCGCAACAGCGGTTTGAAGAAGGGCGACCGAGTGGCTGCTGTAATCTCGAATTGCGTGGAGACAATCGTGGCTTGTCTCGCCGTTCTTTCGATCGGTGCCATTTTCTCAACATCATCTCCCGACATGGGCGTCTCCGGCATCATGGAATGTCTAGCACAGATCGAGCCCAGATTCACCATCATTGAGAGCTCGGTACGATACAATGGGAAGACTCGTACATTGATGGACAAGGCTGAAGCATGCCTCGATGGTCTACGTCAAATTGCTGGCTTCCAGGAGATGATTTTGATCCAGAGACAAGGATTCTCGTCACCACCATCCTCTACGGTGACTTGGGAACAGTTCAACACTCGCGCGACGGGGCGAGACTTGACTTATGAGCAAGTCCCTTTCAATCACCCCGGCTTTATCGTCTACTCGTCAGGAACTGTGAGCGGGATGTCATTCATTCCTGGCGGTGACGAGCTAATATGTAATAGACGGGCACACCGAAATGCATTGTTCATAGTGCAGCGGTCAGTACGCCCAAACCCGATTGCTTTACTGTCAGTTGAGACCAGACCTAGGGCGTTTTGATGAAGATCAAAAAAGACTATATGCTGAATCTTGATGTTCGTCAAGGAGACACAATCTATCAGTATACCACGGTATGGGTATGACCCCGTAAAGATATGACACATCAGCACTAATCACCGCCTCAGACAGGTTGGGTGATGTGGTTGATGGTGCTATGCAGCTTATCATACGGGGGCAAGACTGTCCTCTACGACGGATCTCCATTAATTCCCGACATTATGGTGACACTGCGAATGGTCGAGAAGCTAAAGTCTGTATTTTTGGTCCTCTCGAGGTTGTTTGGCTGACATTCCAAGAATAACATTGTTTGGCACTTCAGCGAGATTCTTATCAGACCTCATGCTATCCGAGATAAAGCCTCGTAGGTGTGGCAAGCTACTCAAGGTTTTCGTTGACACTGATCCGTTTACTCTCAGGAAAAGTAGTCGACCTTTCATCACTACGCACCGTTTCATCTACAGGTTCTGTTCTACAGCCGGATGTATGTGAATGGTTTCACGATCGTGGGTTCCCCTCTAAAGTTCATCTCGTATCTGGGAGTGGTGGAACAGATCTAGCTGGCTCCTGTGAGTATTTACATTATTGTCCATATCAAATACTCGATGGATAGCTAATCTGGAGGCTTCTCCCAGTGGTAAATGGAGATCCAACGTCCCCTGAATACGCTGGCGAGATACAGAGGCCGGCTCTTGGGATGGCGATCGATATTCTCGACTCGGAGAGCGACAAACCAATTTCGGTAGCTCAGAAGGGACAACCCGGTGAGCTTGTATGTCGTATGCCATTCCCGAGTCAGCCTGTCAAATTCTGGGGCAGTGATGGCAATAAACGTTATGAGGACTCATATTTCTCACGTTACGGCCGAGGTATTTGGCACCAAGGAGACTTTGTCTCTATGTCCCCAATCACAGGTGGATTCACTATGTTGGGCAGGTCGTGGGTGCCACCTTTCTCTTCCTCGTTCCTCTTATCTCCTTCCTTGCGGACACTAAACTAACAAAATATCTACCTAGAGATGGTGTTCTAAATCCTTCGGGGGTTCGATTTGGTTCTGCAGAGATCTGTAACGCTATATCTGGCATGCCCGAGTTCGAAGAGACGATCTGTGTTGGTCAACGTCGGCCTACTGATCACGACGAGACCGTGTTGCTATTTGTCAAGATGAAAAATGGGCAAGCACTAACCGGGGCCCTCATTGCCAAAACAAAGAGTCGGATTCAAGCTGCATTGACACCGCGTCATGTGCCCAAGCATATCTTTGAAGTGCCGGAAATACCATATACCATCAATGGAAAGAAGATCGAGTTAGTGGTGAAGCAGATCGTCTCGGGACGCAAGGTCATTCCTTCTGGGGCGGTCGCAAATCCAGGCAGTCTCAAATTCTACGAGAGATTCGTGGACCTCAAGGCGCTCACAAAATCCGAGAGGCTTTCAAGCGCAAAGATATAGGAGAAGACAAGTGCACATACTACTATAGACCTACGCCCACCATTTCAATGGTCAGTTCTATAGAGGAGCCTTATGCCTTGATCAGGGTTGACATATGCTTCACACATCCTACGCCATCATACAATCCTACCAGTGAGCCTGGATGTATGCTCACCACAGACAATCCGTCGCTTACTGGGGGAGTGTGCTTTGCAGCGAACTTCAATCGGCTGATACTCCGAAATAAGGTCCCGGTTAAATGTCTCCGGAATCTGTTTTTCGAAGAAGCTCGGCACCGGAGCAGGGCCCGGGGCTTTCCAACCGTTATATCTGTACTTCTATCTGGCGTCGTTCAAGATGAAGATATTATGCATGGTATCTAGAATTTGGTCCTACAAGACCAAATCAATCAAACCAAAAGCTGTCAGCGGAAGACGTCACGTTTCCTCATCTTCAATCGAAACAACGTTACAGTAGTCTCGAAATAGACTATTATGGGTCTAAATTGTGACAGCCAACCTGTTCCTCGAGGGCGACTTTTGGTTATTGGAGCGGGATATGCTGGTCTGGCTACTGCAATTGAACTTGTTCTGGCAGGTTTTGAAGCCGAGGTAGTCGAAGCCGTATCTCAACTTTCCACCCAGGGTGCGAATTTTCTCCCTCCTCAAGCCATCTATAAATGCCTCCTACTATTACTGACGCAAGTGATTGCCAGGCGATATGATACAAATTGGATCAAATGCTACCCGGCTGATGGCGCGGTGGGGCAATGTTGTGAAAGAGATTCAAGCAATCTCAGCACAACCTCCGACAATGACCCTGTTCGACAAAGATGGCGTAGAATTGCTGACCGCTCCTCTACCAAGTGAGTTTGATGGCTATCCCGTTCTGTTCTCCAACAGAGGATATATCCAAAAGACTGTATTTGAGTATGCTCGATCCATCGGCGTCAAGTTTCGTTTCGGCTCTCGAGTCAAATCATACTTCGAAGACGACACGGGTGCTGGGATAATAATAGGAGATGAACGCATCCGAGCGGACGCAATCATTGCTTGCGACGGCATTCACAGTGCAGCTAGGAAGCACCTAACCGGCGCGCAAGAGCTGGCGCGCCCCAGCGGTTTCGCTGTGTATCGATCATGGTTTTCACTCGATCGTCTCGCAAATCACCCTCTGACGAAGCGGTTCACGGAATCGAAGGTTGATCAATTCTACGTCTGGATTGGCACCGACATTCACGTTATTCTTTTCACCACCATTGCTGTAAGGGGCGCCGTAGTCTTCGTTACACATCATGTAAGTTCTGCCCTCCTCGATGGTTTTCTTCGTTCACCAGCGTTACCGTTGCGGGGACACTAATGATGTACTACTTTGACTAACAACCTAAGGACACTTATGAGATGGAAGAGTCTTGGACCTTCCCCGGAGATCGGCAGGATATGCTGAAAGTAACCGAGGGTTGGGATCCGATCATTGCTGCCGTTATTAGTGCCATCCCACAGGAGAATATCATTGACTGGAAATTACTGTGGCGTGATCCTATCAAGAAATGGGTTTCGTCCAAAGGTCGCATTGCAATAGCAGGAGATGCGGCTCATCCCCATCTTCCTACCTCAGGATCCGGCGCTGCGCAAGCAATCGAGGATGCCGGAACGTTTGGTGCTCTACTGGATAAGCTCGGTCAAGATCGGATACCCCTGGCTTTCCAGATTTTTGAACGAATAAGGTCGGTCCTATAAAACCTAATTCTATCTAGATATATATCTAACCACTCTACAGATATGAACGGACTAGTCTCACACAGCGAATGGGCTGGGAGACGCGGCATCGATGGCACCAGACCGATTGGGCTGCTGTCAAGGTAAATCCAGATTACCTGAAGATGCCGCAGCCTATGTGGTTGTATGCGCATGACGCCAGACAATATGCCTATGACCAATGCGACGCAGCGGTCGAAAGCCTGGAGAAGGGCAAAGGCTTCAACTCCACGAACTTGCCAGAGGGTTATACGCACGAGGACTGGACAGTGGAAATGATGCTTGCCTTGGAGAAAAATCAGGTCCAAGAACACTTTTACAAAGTTGTAAACCGATAGCTACCTGAGGTTGTTGACTCTCCCCTACCGTTTTTTGTGCGAGCATTCAGGTACTTCTCGGGAGGGGCGGGGGAATCAAGATAGCATGAAACTCTAGGGGGTTTCCCGGCTAGACAGAAACAAAGGTAGAGTCGAGCGTCGCCCCATATTCCCCCACACTCCGGGGAAAAGCCTGTATCCGCCTGTAGAGTTTCTTCACTTGGTCGTTGAGCTCGGGTACCACGCTAATAGCATGCGGGCGGCCGATCCCATTAAATCGGAAGGAGTCAATGGAAATGCAAGCCTCGTAGGTTGCGGCTATTCAAATGAAGGTCCCCATGGCTCCCACGAACTATCTCGCCTCACCAGCGAACGACCAACGGGCCAAGCAAACATTCTAACAACCAAACGATTTTTCACTCTCACCTGATTTCCCGCAGAGCGACATTTTAGCAATTTGAGGCGACATTATGACCACACAGAGGACCAAGATACATGAGGAACGGGTCGTCTGGGATTTTCCTATTGAAGCAGTCTGGAGCTTGGTCTCCAGCTTCGGGGCGATACAGGCTTGGATGCCCTCAATAACGTATTGCGCCGTTGACGGGCACGGAGTTGGCGCTACTCGAACGGTCATAGGACTAGCAGGGGAAGTAAAAGAGACTCTGGAAGTTCTGGACGATAAGGAGCATTTTATCTCATATCGCATCAAGGACCCTGTTCCTTTACCTGCCAAGGGCGGATTCGGGAGCTGGAAACTGGAAAGCAAGGGCGAAAACAAGACTACGATAGTTTGGACAGCAGATGCTGAGGAGGTGGCGGTGGAGGCCATCCCTGAACTCCAAAAGGTTTACGAGCCCTTTATGAAAGACTGTTTAGCCGGGCTGAAAAAAGCACTGTCATAACCGCGCGGATGTTTCTAATGGATGCGAGAAGCTATATTTTCTACAATTCTTGTTCGCTTAAATAGTATTGTCCTTATATTGAGGACATTTTATCAGCCAGGCTCAACTTCCATGTTGGAAATGGTTGGGGACGTGCTTGTGGAATCGTAGGCTCTCAGCTAAAATTGGCTACCAAATCAAGTCGACGAAGGTTCTACCCAGGTCACGCCAAAAGAAGCATGTGAAGACGAAATCCCGGAGATGCTGAATGCCTCCTTTCATTTATAAGAGACTCTGGACTAAAAGATTACCCCGTCTGTCCCCTCGGGTTATCTGTCATTGCATCCATTCACTGATCTCCCCAAGCCGCATCACTCCGGGTCTGGAGGAACTATCGAGAATGAAGCGATCAGTCCTCCGTCAACCTGCAGATTCGTGCCAGAGATCTGTCTGGCATCGTCTGATAGCATGAAGCAGATAGCATCAGCCAGGTCTTGAGGCTGGCCACATCTCCTGCTCGGGGTGATAGATGCGATCCATTTCCGATCCAATCGTTGGTCGAGTAGAGGGGTGTCCACATAGCCTGGACTGATGGCGTTGACACGGATGTTGTCAGGCCCATATTCTGCAGCAGCGACATTGGTGAGCGAGATCACAGCCGTCTTGCTGGCGGAGTAAACCCCGAGACCAGGTGTTGGACGCATCCCAGAAATGCTGGCAATATTGACAATGGCGCCGCCCCCACGCCGCTTCAACGCTGCAAGCTCGTAGAGCAGGCAGTACGCTATACCACAGGTGTTGACCCTATACACGTTTTCGATGCTTTTTGGGTCCATCTCCAAGATCTTGCCGAGCGGCCCCTGAATTGCAGCGGCATTTACAGCTAGATCGAGTCCGCCAAACGTTTCTTCCGCGAACGCAACGGCAGACTCGACGCTCTTCGCGTCTCCTTGATCAAACTCGATGGCCACGGCTCGTGATCCGATGGCTGCTGCCGATTTCTTGGCCAGATCGATGTTGATATCGCCGATCACCACTTTTGCTCCATCTCTCACCAGAGTCTGAGACACTGCCAGGCCGATGCCAGAGGCACCACCAGTGACTAAGGCTACCTTGTCCTGAAACCTCGACATTGTTGGAGAGCCTTGCTGTATGTCGAACTTTGAAGATGCAGAACGTCTAAAGAATCATACCTAATGTGAAGGGATCATCAAATCCGGCTTGTTACCGTTCCGCTTTAGCCCGCTATGTTCGGGAGCCAAACTGAACCATCAAACCCTGGGGAATTGTTCCTTTTCGGAACATCTGATTCCATTCGTGATCTTCCTACGCAGCACCTACGCAGCACTCTTCGTTCTCATCCGACCGTGAACCTCCAAGCGCATCTCTTGACGACCAATAGTTCTCCTGCGATATTAGAAACTGCAATCAAATTATCTTTGGCACTTGCCCGCCCAGGATCGAGATGAGTCAGCAACACTGGCTGCCAGACGGCTCTTTGCAAGGACGAACAGCTATCGTCACGGGGGGTGCGGGCTCTTTCGGCCGAATCATCTGTCACGCCTTAGCGCGCGCAGGCGCTTCCGTGGTCGTTAACGACGTGGGCACTGCGTACTCGGGCCATGGAGCTTCAGAAGGGCCTGACACGGATTTGGCGAGGGAAATATGTGCCCCTAGGGTACACGGCGGTGCCAGACACTCATAGCGTTGTTGACGCATAAAAGGTAGTCGACATCGCTCAGCTCCTTCGGCAGAGTCGACATTCTGATCAACGGTGCCGGTATCAATAGATATGGGAAGTTCGAAAACTACTCAACCGCGGATCTGAAAAAGATCCTCAAGACAAATACGCTGGGACCACTGCTGTTCTGCCACACCGTGTGGCCAAGGCTCCTATCTCAGGGCTATGTACGAGTTGTCAACATCGCATCAAGATCAATGCTGTTGCGCCTATTTCAGCTTCACGCATGACCCTCCGGCTCTCACTGATGAGAGAGCCATCAAGGACTTCGAGCTTGCTTGGCTTCCGGCTGGAAATGTGGCTATCATCCTGGCTCCGGCTACTGATGCGTGCAACTTCAACGGTGAATTTTTCAGCACCGGCGGATACAAGGTCCATCGAATTGTTTTCGGTATGCTCCCCGGGCTACAAGGGGTAGAGTCTTCTCAGGCCATTCTAGACAAGCAGGAGCAGAGGATGAATGGGGCGGACTGAGTCGTTAAGCAGCGATCCACATTGGCGGCGCTGACATGGCTTAATGACAAGACTTCTTTGGCTTAGCGAGCGAAGCAATTAAAAATCAGAGCATTGCTGTCCTAGCGCAGACCTTGAGCGACCTCCGCCTCATCTACCCAACGCATGGCCTCTTTTGCGAAGAGTGTATCAAGATAAAACCTTGCTGCTGATATTTTGCCGTCTTCAATCTCAAACAACCAATGATACTTGTTGCAGTACGAATTGCCATTAATTTCCATCTGCGAGCTGGCTTCCAAGGCTAGCCGGTCTTCGTCCGCCGTGATTCCCTCCACTGTGACCTTCACGTCCCCCACTCGAGATTCCTTGAAGACCCAGTCCCTGAAAGCGGCTTTGTCGAGGGTGCCTGCCAGACGGGGGAACATGTCCTTCTGCGCAATGGTGGTGAAAGTTGCGTTATCGTGAAACAAGGCAAAAAAGGGATCGACGTCTCCGCCCTTGGGTACCGACCATTTCTCGCATATCTCATAGGCAAGCTTCTTGTTGGCATCGATCCGGGCAAGCCGAGCGTTGTCGCTCTGTCCCAGACTTCCCATGGTTATCGAGTGTCAATGAGAAAAAAGGCCTATTGTTCCGTGAAGAAAATAGGTATGGTATGGGACGCGGGCACTTTTTGAAATTGCGTACTTAAGGATTCGACAACGGTGCTGAATAATATAGGCTCTCTCTGTGGTGTTGAAGGTGCTTCTCAGGCAGCATAGCCAATTCTAGATTCTAGATGGAATCTGTGGGATCTGGCTAACCTAGGTTGGCCGGAAGCTAACCTTCTACGTTCGGAATGTGGGCGCAAACATGCCCCGATGGTGTGAAGTCCGTTGGTGAAATGACAGCCTATCTCGATGCCCGGGGTTAGTGGTATTGAACCGTACCGTGTACTCGCAGTTCGAACTTGACAACTTCCACACAGCTCTAGGTAACTGCAATCTGCCTCGTTCTGGTCATGACGGTCAAAATCATCCTGGCGCTGCGGCAAAAGGGAAATGTTTCAATTGATGTATTCTAAAGAAGTGCAAAGAGGAGCGAGGACTGTTGATAGCGAGCCTGCAGACGTCTCTTCGACTGGTCAAGTATGTTCAAAATCATAGGCAATGCGACAAATCTGACGATGAGCTGCGCTCTGTCCGTCCAAACCTGATATCCTCCGAGGCACCTTTTGACGTGATTGAGGAATTTTGCATCGACGACACGGATGATGGCTTTGTGGCAAGCTTTCAGTCCTAGAGGGAGGTATGGAAAGTCTTACGAGATGCCGGTGAGGATTTTCTTGACTATTCGGCTTCTTTCTTCGTGCTGGTGGAAGAGCGGACACTCATCTTGCCTGGATCTCCAGACATGATAATGGCCTCGGAGTACAACTCAATCAACAATGCTGTTGCGTTTGCGGTGTCGTCAGTCAACTCAAATGGAGCGTAGTACGGGATGTGGTTCCATTCAACAGCCACCCAGAGATGGGGACCTGCCTTGGGACTGAAGAAATACGCCCAGAACGTTCCCTGCGACCATGACGTTCTCAACGAGCTGAGTGAGGAGTTTGGGACAGTCAGGCCGCGCTATGATATCTGCGCAACCATGTGGTTCGATGGAAACGCTCAATTCGGGAATGCTTATGCGAAAGCACTCGCAGCCATCAGGGAGGATGAGGATTCAGGATTCCTAGCCCCCCACAATCCATGACAAGCTCTTTGGTAAAGGAGCATATATTCATAGATAAATACCGAACGTGGTAGAGTCTGCAATAGAGATCCGCATCCAGTTGGTAAAAGTCCTCTATGCCACTCCTGGTCCTGGGTTGTTTGGATTTCACAAGCGCTGCTACAGACAACAATGACTAGAAAGTCTCATCACAGCCTTGCGATACGTTTGGCGTCGGTCTGATGCGAATTCGAGTTTCCCCCCAGGAGTCTCTTCCCACCATCAAGGGTGATGTCTTCCCCGTTGACATACGCCCCGGCTTTCGAACAGAGGTAGACCGCAGTTCCTGCTATGTCTTCCCGCAGTCCCAGCCGGCCCATAGGATTGTCGGCGCTCGCAGCGTCCAGACCGCCATATTTCTCGATTGCTGGGTTGGCCAGGCGTGTTGGGAACCAGCCCGGGGCAATCACGTTGGTGGTGATATTCTTGGGCGCAAGCTCGAGGGCCAAATTTCGACCAAAATGATGCATGGCGGCCTTGGAGATGCTGTAGGCAATGGCGCCGTCCCTTCCGACGTGTGTTACAGCTATGCCACCCACTGAACTCATGATGATCACTCGCGCTGGATCGCTGGGAGTACCGGCTGCAGCAAGGAGTGGTACTAGTCTAAACATCAAATACCACAGCATCAGCTCGTTTGTGTTTATATTTTGTACCTCACGGTTTTGGGACTTACTTGCGTGTCAAATTGAAAGGACCTCGGACATTGACATCAAAAGTTTTGGCAGTCTTCCAATCCTCATAATCTTCGAATGAACCCCCCCAACTTGCTCCAGCATTATTCACTAGAATGTGAAGACTTTCGCCCGGTACTTCCTCCTTCACTGCCGCGACCAGCTTCTCGACGCTTTCCATTGTGTTGACGTTTCCAGCAATAAATGAGGCTCGGCCGCGTATGTTGGGGATAGAGTTGAGATCCTGGGCCGCCTTTTGAAGGCCATCTTCCTTACGAGCGTTGATGATCACTTTCGAGGCGCCAGCTTGCAAGAATGCGGCAGCAATATCGAACCCCAAGCCTCGCGAACCTGTCTCTGTTCAGTGTGTCACGTAGCCAGGAGAAATAACCCACCTCCAGTGATGAAAGCAACCTTGCCGTCGAGACGGAAAAGAGAATCGAAGTTAGGTATTCCTGTCATGGTGATATGTGGCGGACTGTACGTAAGTTTGGCAAGGGAGTTGGAAGCTAGTGACTTATGCCAATTATTAAATCGGTCTTCGTAGCGGCCGTTCATTAGCATCCAGTCGCCGGGGTGACAAGGAAAAATCCTCCACTGCATTTTGGGGATCTTCCCACTTCCTCCCCATGTCTCATCGATTTTCTACTATACATAACTCTACTATCGAAGAAAATTCATCTCGGCGCGGAGAAGCTGGAAACAGCTCAGCCTCAAAAGATAATCGTCTTGATTGCCAGCACGATGGCGTCTGTACTAATGCCCTCTATCATCGAGGATAAGCTCCGGCCGCACGCCAAAGAAACGCTGGAAGCAGTCAAGAGATTCGTGGAAGAGGAGTGTGTGGCTTCTCCGCTCTAACTGATCTGTCTTCCGGCTGATATCCTGTCACAGGTATCCCCGCAGACACAGTGTTCGAGGCACAACTGTCTACCCATCCGGACCAACGGTCGAAGTCAATGCCTCCAATCTTGGAAGATCTCAAGCAACGGGCGCGCCAGCTGGGGCTGTGGAACCTGTGGATGCACTCACATCTTGAAGAAGGGCCAGGTCTCACGAATGTCGAATACACGCTCATGTGTGAGATCATGGGTCGCAGTTTGGTCGGCCCCGGAGGCCATGAATTGCAGTGCTCCTGACACCGGAAATATGGAAGTATGACCCTGCATATCAATTGCTTCTCCCTTCAGATGCTCTAAGAAGTCATCGTTCTAATCTACTATTTTAGACACTCGCAAAATATGGAAATGAACAACAGAAAATGGAATGGTTGAGGCCTTTCATGGATGGAAAAGTCAGGTCGGCCTATGTCATGACGGAGCCCACTGTGGCCGCATCAGACGCAGAGAGTCTTGCCTTAGAAATGCGCCGAGAAGGTAATGAGTATATCTTGAACGGTGTCGTAAGTCACACAGTCATCGGCCCAAAGCTGTGAAACTTCAACTTACACCTGTAAGAAATGGTGGATCAGTAGCGCTGGGGACAAGTGATGTCGACTGTGAGTTGGAAAATGCAACTGGCTGGTGGAAGGCTTTCTTCTGACACGCTTCGATCACCAGATTAATCGTTTTTGTGAGATCCAACTCGGACGATTCGCTTTGCAGATGGGCCAGAAGAGGCGCACCCCGCCCAACTCGCAAGGACCGAGAACAAACGTCACCGCAGCGTGTAAGTGCTCATCCTTTACCCTATTATCCTACACCTTCCCAGTTACCACTGCGACTGATTCCGGGTAGAATCGACCTTATTGCAAACCGAGACGCCGCAGGTCGGTCATTACGGGGAAAATATCGCACTGCTCCTAGATCACGCTTGTAAACAACGGCAGACAACTAGGATCAACTACGTGAGACAGGGGGTTGCCGTTCTAAACATTCATTAGCGAGGCCAGCACTTACCTGCCTCCCTGTATATTCTCCTACCATGGATTAAATCAGCCTGGAATATCCCTTGATTGCGTTTCATGATCACCTATTTCTCACTCACCACCTTCCCTGATGAACGCTGGGTCAAACCGGGTTCTAACAAATAAATATAGTGGGGTGTCAGATGTCTTCGTCTTCGCGATCGGCACTGGATGAGCAAAACATGAGCTCGGAGATGGACACTAGGCAACACCATCTGATTAGCAAGAGCACGGAAGACTGCTTGGAAGATACCACCAGCGAGCATAGGCAGAGTAGGCGGACGAAGAGAGAGCACGGACTGGTTATTGCACACGGGCAAACCGGTGAAGTGCCTGGTTGAGAAAATCCCCACGGCAAGGCTGAATGATCATATCTCCGTCCATTTTGCTAATTCACGCCTCTGGACGATATGACTTGTGACTTTCACTAATAACACGCCGCCCACAGTTGCAGGCAGTTGTGTGTTGTCTTCACATGTAGAGATTGATGATTTTGTGTTGATACTTGTTTCACTCTTCCTAGCAACCAATCCAATTTTTCTGTCCTCCTCAAACCTAGGAACGCAGGAATGCTGTGGGAAGGAGTACCAAATATGTGTGGTAATACGGGATATATACACGCCCTGGTTTTGACCTTGTACTCCAGCCTCTATTCCCTCTCAGAAATCAAACCGGAAACCAGTTTTTTAGTCGGCAGTCATGGTGAATAATGTCTTCCGCCAAGGCCTGGACTAAATGGACTTCCCACGTGATTGGCGGACACAGCGTTGCACCCGCACTGCACAAATCGCCTCGTCGCCGGTAATGTTGAGGGATCTTCAGGCACTCGGAGCGATTCTCCTTCTGACTGCAGTGGGGCTCGAGGCAAGCCATGTCTACGTCGTACAAAGAGCTCGCTCTTTTTGTTGTCCGCCTCCACGATGAGATGCAAGATGAATTCCTTGTAAGTCTGTAGACCTGGCGATGCTGAAAACATGGAACCTCGTCTCCATCCTTGTGGCTGTTTTCCCCAGAGTCCCGTGCGTTGTATACAACATCGCAAGACCGCAGTTTTTGAGTCATCGAGCATCTTGGCTCCGACCCCACGTCGTTCTAGGTTCTCACAAGCGAAGGTTAGAGTATACTTGATATGTAAATTCGTTGCCGGGAAATCCGCCTCCGGTTTAGGCGGCCTGGCCGCTTCGGGAATAGTCGCGGGCTGGGCGCGCCGCCGCTTTTGATATCTATAAGAATCCTCTCCCCCTCCCCTCCCAGTGCTCTCTTCCTTCCAACCTATTTTCCTTCTTCACCTTTATCTTTCTAATGCACCCGTCGTGCGTTACGCGCTATAGCCTATATTCTTCTCGGCCGCATTAGGCCCCCCCTCGATTCTTCACTAGCTGCTTCAAAATTCGCCTCGCCTCTACCTGTGCACTCCGATTCCCCTCTTAATTCTCGATCGTCGCGGCCTTTGCGCTCCTCGACGTAGTCTATTTCGATTCTCTCGAAGTCTATAACTCCTATATAATATATTTAGCTTCATCGGCTATATAGTCTATAGGCTTAGTTAATTTCGTCCATTATTTACACCTTCATCGAAAATTCTATGGGGATCCGCGACGATACGTCTCCTTATACTACCTCGTCTATATAACTCTCTTAATGGGCTTTTCTATCGTTTATTTTAGACTTACGAAAGAGTTAAGGAATCGTTATTAAAATAATCTTAGTCGTAGTGCACGATACGGCTCTCTTACTATACTATTCGTGCCGGAATTCTACGATATATCTTAAATCTAGTGAAGAATAATATAAAAGACGGCGAAGACGTAGCTAATGTTTTACTATAGGCCGGTATAGTAAGTTAAGTATCGTACTTAATATATCTAATTATAAAAATATCTTACGAGTCGATTAATAGTGTATATATATTGCTACCTACGCTTCGCCTTAATTTTACGACGCTAAGCTAGACTAAGATCTCTATTTTAGTCGTTAGCGCTCGAGGAAAGAAGAATTATCATTCGGTAATAAGAGTACGTCAGCGTATTATAAGTAAATTTCTAGCTACTATCTTATTTAGACTAAATATAGTACGATAATTCTTAAAATCGAGGCTCAGTAACGATAGAATATAGAGATGAAAAAGTCGACTTCGTAAGATATAATTTCGCTCGGACGAACGCGGACGTCGATTCTCCTTACGTAGATAATGATTCTAATAGTGAACGGGTATATATTTATAAGATTAGCCATTAGTTTCGAGAAAGACTATAAGATCGTCCCTTAAAAATCGCTGAAAGTAGTTATCTCGGTGCTTCGGAGATATTCTCACCGTACTCGAATCTTTAGAACCGGGGAGACGAGCTAGTACTCTATACTTATCTCTTATTCTAGGATTATCGTCGTTATAGTTAATATCGCGCTTAGAATACCTAGAGCTCTTATCTCTTATCGCGTTTCGATGGTATAATTTACTTTACTTTATCGCCTTAATAATCTTTCTTATTTACGCCGTAAGAGGCCCTAAAAATACTAGTAGAGAAGTCGTTTACGGATGAGACCGTTAACTTAGTAGTTATGAAAACTTAGAACTACGTCTTCTAGGAAAGTTAAAACTAAATAGTCGTAAAGTAGTGTCGATCGTCTATATATACGGCATTAATTCTTTTCTTATCTTCGGTCGCTAAATTTATTCTTCTTTCTATCTTTCTAAACGATTATCGATCGCTTAGCTTATATTTCATTACTTTCTAGTTATGACGATCTTCATCGTATACTAATCTAGAGTAAACGCACCGCTCTTCGAAAACTATATTTTCGGTAAATTATCTATAGTTACGTCTTCTTCTTATATATTAAGTAGATAAAGCTTAAAATCTTCTAATTAAATAAAGTCTATAGGTAAAGCGGATTTCGTCGATTTTATAAATTTAACTACTTCTCACTAGAACGTTCCTTAGAAGAGTTTAATACTATAAGAACTTCTAGAGCCGATATATTATAATTTCGATAAACACGGTATCCGAGTTACTAAAGCTCGCCGTAGCGGCGTAATCGATAGTAATAACGTTGAAGACGACGAGGAAAGCGACAACGATAACGATATTAATTACGAAAGTAAAATTAGCGATCTTTTATCTCTTACGGATATCTTTCTACGAAGCGACTTAGAATTTAGAGAAAGTATAGACTTTAGCTATAAGGCTTCCGTATTACTCTCTCTCGTTAATAGAACCTATAAGAACTATTATTACGAGGGCGACTATGAGAATAGTAGTAATTTTACCGCGATAATTATCGTAGATACTTAGCTCGGAGTTAGCTAAGATAAGTAATAGAGATTCTATATCGTACGTATACTATAAATAATATATACTAATGTATTTCTTTAGACGACTCGATTATATTAGACGATAATTATCTAGTTAATATCTTTAACTTTACTGTCTCTAGAGACGATTATCTTACTCTTAAAGTCGTAAATTAAGAATCTTTTAGTAGTTTCTTTTTAACTTTATTTAGAGAAACTACCGAGCTAAGTAATAAGAACGAAAAGAATAATTTAAATAGTCTAGCGTAGTATAAGTTAGATAACTCTATAGGCGATAAGAAAGAAGAAGGATATAATAAATTATATAAGAACGACGCTCTCTACGCTCGTATTTTCACTAATAGTAGTAACTATAACGAGTATAATAATAGCGGTATAGATTTAGATATATCGGCGTTTATCGGCTAGATTTACGATGTCTTTGCTAACTTTAAGGAGATCTTCGGTATAACTAGGCGAAAGTAGAAGACGATGGTTATAACTCTATATAACTACGTAAATCGTAATATTATAGTAGGGTCTATTTTAAATCTTATAAGTTAGAGAGAGCCTCGGTTAGCTACGGACGATAGCGCCGCAGGTATAGATGCTAGATTTTAGTACGTTTCCCTCTTAGCTAGTAACTATTACTCGAGTAAGTTCTATATCGGCGCTATTAAGTCTAATTCTACTTTTAATATTCTAAATTACAGAAAATATTAGTGCCTTTATAGAATCTCCGCTATTATCGCCTTCTATAGTTACGTATAAGGCTACTCGATCTAATCTTAACGCTAACTCCTAAGAAGCACCGAATCGAAAACGAACTCGGCCATCTATTTAACTCACTATTCTCTCCGACGATGGCGCTCTTTATAAACGGTCTCGCCGCGTAATAAAGGAGACGTAGAAGGTAAGAGAGGCCAGAGAGATACGGGAGAAGTCCGAGGCTAAACCGTCTTAAATATTATTAAGTCTATACCGGAAGAAATAGACTTACTTTACTAGTCTTAGTCTTAGTAGAGATAAAGTAATTAATAAGATAGTAGATATTAAGAATATTTATCTAGAAGAGAATAGTTTTATTTAGTGTCTTATTATATAGAAGCCATCGTTAATCGCGATGAAGAATCTTATTAGTAAAGAACTACGGCGGCGATGCGAGAAGCTATTCAGGAAAAGGTATGGCCGCTAGGAGTTCTAA